GAGGAAGCAGCCCCCCCCCCCCCAAAAAAAAAAAATGGATTGTTGCTCGCTATAGCCACCCAAAATAAGCTTTATAACATTGAGAAACGGGCACCCCCCCCCCCCCCCAAAAAAAAAAAAAAAAAAAAAAGAAAAGGAAAGGCGAGGCTGGAGGATTTTGGGTATCAACCGGAAAATCTATAGTTTGTGGTTCTGGTGAACGTTCCACTCAGGTTTGGTTTCTTTTTGATTGATTTGTAGTCACATTTTTCATCATTCGCTTTCTCGGTATATATAGTTATTGTCCCCCACCCTCACATGTGGTTCCTTTCTTGCCCCCCCCCCACCCCCACATGTGAATCCTTTCATCCCACCACCCCCATATGTGGTTCCTCTCGCTCTGTTTCACTTGAAAGCAAGCAATATAATTTCATAGTCTTTTCCCGCACCCTCTTTTACGAAAAAGATCAAAACAATAATATGCTCAAGTGAAACAATATGAACGGGATGGGGGGGTGGGGGATGTTGGGAGCAAGTACACGATCAAAGGCTGAGATATTAGCCCAAGTAACGTAGCCGCGCACGCGCATTCTTGCAAGTCCCCAGCTGGTGACAGGTCTCTCATATACATCTCAACCCGCATTGCTCTTGAAGTTAATAGCCGCGTATGTCTTTGGTTAAAAGTACACCCGGCTGTGAAGCAGAAATTGTAGTTACTATATATTACCTATTGCACATAGCTATCATAAAAGTAGGCTAAAATCATAAATCCGGTAAGTGTCATTATTGAAGGAGGAAGAGATGCTGTTTGAATCATAGGTTATGTATTGTTTTGAACTGCAGAGCTAGTTTGTGTAAAACCGTTATTGCATGAGAGGGTGGGTGTGAGAGTGAGAGTGAAGAGAGTGGGATCGAGGCGGGTGAGTTTTCTTTTCTGCCATGTCTCATATTTGATCATTGATGGATCTTCACCAACGGAATAGGCGGAGATGCCCGAATTGTAATTTTAAATGGGGGTGCTCTTCATGGAACAACACCCACGCCTTGGTTTGAAAACTAAACAAAAGAGATAGATGTCTTGCCTTGGTTTAAAAACTAAGCAACGGATATAGATGTCTTGCCTTGGTTTGAAAGCTAAACAACGGATATAGATGTCTTGCCTTGGTTTGAAAACTAAACAAAAGAGATAGATGTCTTGCCTTGGTTTGAAAACTAAACAAAAGAGATAGACGTCTTGCCTCGCTATTGAATTAGAAAAGGCGGAACAATCTTGTTCCTGAATGCTCCTTATTTCTGTCACTATGCAACCATATCTACTCTGGTTTGGAAAAAAATATGTCAATTTCTTTCGGAACCTTAGTCAATTGCTAATTTCAGTTTTGGAAACTGACTGAGTGGGGCTATACTTGGTAACTTGAGTGATAAGTTGTTGTGTTTGCTTGATAAAATGAACTTGGTTGAACTTGGTTGAACTTGGTAGCATTTTTAATTAGTCGTGAAGAGCAAAACCTCTTGTCACTATGAGTTTATGGTTTATAAATTCATCTCCCTTTTTCTGACTTTCGCCCCTCATTCTGTCCTCCATTTGTCCTGTCATACCCTATCATGTACAATGATGTCTTAACAAGGGGGCACATCTAATCTGAGAGCGAACTAAAAACTCACACAAATGCATAACAATTGGAAGCCGTGACGCTTAAAAAACATGCATTATCGGGCCAAAAACCCAAGCTAGAGTTACTAAAACCTTTTGTTGTCTAAAGGGTGACCTGTTTGTGTCTACCCCGTTAGGTACATCAAAATATGCAATATTGAATGCACAGAAACAGGAAACAAAAAAAGAGAGACCCTTCCACCCCCACTCTCACCCTCTCTATGAAACCATCATTCAGCTGATGAGTAAAAGTGGGAGATTATCCACTTTTACAGAAGGTAAAGAGAATAAGTTGGAAATAAGAATAAGCTGGCAATAAAGAGAAACCTCCGGTACCCCGGGTCCTCTTAGTGAGAGATAAGACGGGTCAATTGCTTTCTTGGTTCTTGGTTCTTGGTTAATGAAACCATTTTTTTAAGAAAAAAAAATACGCAAGGCTCATTTTTGAATTTGCAGCTAGTGAATCATTTTGAATCCCTTTTTTTTTTTTTTTATACTGTCCTGGTATCTGGTGAGTAGTTGTTTCAAGTGACATGTTTGTTTTCTGCCCGTCGCTTGCTTTTCCTTAGAGTTTGCTTGTTTTTCTTGCTTGCTTTTCCTTAGAGTTTGCCTGTTTTTTTGTTTGTTTGTTTTTTTTAATTCATTTTCCAGGCCTGTTTTAGTACCATGCTTTATGAAGCTTAAGCTCGTCAAAAAAACAATTTGAAGAGGAGCAAGACAGGAATAAAGGAGTAAGAGCAAAAGGCAGGTAAATTGTTTCAGCGACTTGTTGAGTTAAATCAGTAAGTAACTAAAAATTTGTGCCAATCAGGAGCCTTACAAGGAAAATCCTACAAGAAAAACGAACCAGGGCACATAATCAAAAAGAAAACAGAAGTACAAGAAAAAACATACGAGTTTGAACCCTGGCCATTTCATTTCTAGTTTTCAATATACCCAGTGTTCTTAACTAGAGTAGTATCTGCGATACCCTTTGTGCATGGAATACCCCCGATTTTCCCAAGTAGAATAGAGTTTGCCAATTGTCTCAAGAGCATCTACTTTTATTGTTTCTAATCAAGGCTTTTTTCTGTTTAGAGTATAAACTATAAAGAAAAAGCATCAACACTATGAGCCACACTATCGAGCAGACTCTCTAGCGTGATGCAACACTATCTCGCTCTGCTCGATAGTGTAGCTCGATAGTGTCAAGGGTAGTAGAGGAATCTTGTAAATTGTAAGGAATAAAGTGGTTATAGTGTAAGGAATAAAGTGGTTGTAGTGTTAGCTCCTTTAGTAAACTTCATCAGTTAAGCTTTTCCGCCTCACCATTAGACCCGTAGTTTAAACCCATCAACTAATTTTAGTATTAGCTTTTGTCAGGTGATTTAGGTCTATACTTTTAGGGGGTGCAACTACACTTTGCAAAGTGGTATGTATGGTTGATAGAACTCTATTGGGTGATAATCAGCCTACCAAGTTGATACTTGTGTACCTTAAAGAAAAACCTTTTTGAGGTGTTTGAAATGAAATTCTATCTGGGCTCAGCTTATATGAGCTAGACAGCAAAGTAGATGCAGCAAAGTATAAGGGGTAAAATGGGTAGGGTAAACCAATAAGAGAATGTAAGTACATCTAGTAGAGACCCGTTTCATTACATCTAGTAGCCATAATATAAATATATCTCTGCTCAATAGGCTCTGCTCCATAGTGCTGCTCAATAGGCTCTGCTCCATAGTGCTGCTCTCAATAGGCTCTGATTAATAGTGTCTATAGTGTTGGTACACTATCTCGCTCTGCTCAATAGTAGTCGATAGTAAAAAGGGAAATTTCAGGCGCCATTAGCAGAGCCTTAGTATACAGTAGTTGATGCACAAACCGTAAAACCAGACCATAAAGCAATGCACAATACACTTGTAAACAAGCTTTTTTCAAACAACTTTATTTTAATATGTAAGCCTTTTTAAGCTAACTTTTTTTTATATATTATATAAGCTTTTTAGTTTATGTATATTGTGTAAAGCTAAGGGACTAAAATAACATGTTTGTGTAACTTTGTTGCGTTTTTGTAGTTACACAAAATCTCATCTAGGACATCGCTCATTGCAAAGTCAACTTGAGCGGCATTTTTCCTAAAGCAAAGCCAGGAGTCAAAACCCCAAGAGCCAGGAGCCCTTGGTATATTTATAAGAGGGTGTTATTTGACGTAGAACTTAGCAAGTCTATATCCTGGGCGAAGCCAAGTTGTAAAAAATTAGAAAAGAGAGAAAGAGAAAAGGGGTCCCAAATCTCTCAAAACTAGAAAACCCAAGGCGCCCAATAATTGTCCTGATTTTTCACTGACTTTTCTACTAACCTTTCCCACGGATTGCAGGCCTCATTTTAAACCCACCTGTCTCTCTAGCCAATAGGAAAACTATTTGCCTAATAGAATTGTTACAATTTTGTTTTAGTATTTCCTTTGTAACTTCTACAAAAACGGAGTTATCTGGTATTTTTGAACAAAGGCCAAAGTTAAAAATTTCGATTGGAATAACCATATCCACTGGTTCACTAGATTCACCAACTAGAGTCATTAGCAGGTACTGGAACCTTTTGCAAGATTGAACCTAAGAACCTAAGAACCCAGGAACCTAAGAACCTAAGAACCTAAGAACCTAAGAACCTAAGAACCTAAGAACTTTAGAAACTGAAAATTGAAAACTTTGAAGATTAAAAATTTTTAAAGTATTTCACCAGTTGATTCAATAAGCTTCAAAAGCAAAGTCATAAACGTTGTTCTAGATTTTCACAGTCCAACGGGTTTGATTACTATCCTCCGGTTTTTATAGTTGTTGGTTTCATTAGAATACTATTTTTCAAGATTTTGGCCAAACCAAACCAAGGTTCTTCTGAGAAAGTCAGCCACATCAACATCAACACCAGCACCAACACCACTTCAGCACCACCATCTCGAGTCTGCTTCGGTTTACTATCACCCCTTCTTTGTTTCTGAAAGAAAATTAAGTTACAGAAGAAAAGAATAAAACTTTATTATTCAACCCCCCCCCCTCCCCCTAGAACAGAGGAAACCATTCACAAGATCCCCCGTACTCCCGTTACCCAATAGGCAAACATCTCTTATTAGATACACGCTTTACCTGGCACCTGTCTTTGCAGCTTTTATCAGGTTCTGCAATTATTTTTCAATTTTATCGTACCACAATTATCAACAAGTAAGGATATTATTTTCCACTTGAAGTGATATAATAAAAGGGTAGGGTTAAAAGAAGCAAGTTGCTTATATATCGCCACATTTTTTTGGTTACACTGTCATGTCAGCTGGTACAACTCTGCCTCAAGTAATGCAAAATCTAGCTAGCAAGTCCCCAAAAGCTACTCAAAACTATTCTCCTCAAAAGAGAATTAGAGCTACAGGCGAAGTACTCAATTTTTTGATTGGGGAGTTTTCCAAAAATGCAAACCCCAATCCTGATCGAAGAAGGTATATTAGTGAGAAGGCGTCAATGAGTGAAAAAGCTGTTCGGATATGGTTTCAAAACAGAAGAGCAAAACAAAGGAAATACGAACGAAGTAGAAAAATGGGAGGAAGACGAGGTAATGCCGCCGAAGAAGATGATGATGAAGAGGATTTGGACGATGGTCAGCAGCATTGTGGTCTGGACTTTTCCACAAATATACAAATACCTATTGAAATTAATGAAAAGTACTGCTTTATTGAATGCAGCTCCTTATCTGTCGGTTCATGGCAAAGAATCAAAAGTGGTGCAATAACCCACCTTGGTCTTCTTCACAACAACCTCCTCAATTTGTCTCCTTTTAATCTTCTCGCTATCATGAACCAAGTTGATCTTTTAGTAATATTGAGTAAGAAGAATCAAGAATTAAACTACTTTTTCCTGGCAATAACCAACACCACCACCAACACCACCACCACGACAAGGATTTTGTTTAGAATTTTCTACCCGGTAAATTCAATCCAGCTGTGTTCATTGCATGAAAACTCAATACAAAGCAAACGAGCCAATAATGGAGCTGGCCCCGGTAATAACTCTAAAGAGTTGAGGATCTATTTATCCCATCAACCTAAATTTTCAGTTTATTTCGCTAATAATGTAAATGGCATTAACCAATGGTCCATTTGTGATGATTTCAGTGAAGGACAACAAGTAAGTCAAGCATACTCCAATAATGACCCAGATTATTCAAATCAAATTGATCAACATTCACCTTCTCCGCCATCAAGCGTGCCCCATGTAATAGTTGGCTCAACTGGCTCGTTGTCTTTTTTACAAAACCACATTAATCAGAATATTCATAGAAACGTCAAGGTTGCTACTTCGACTCATTTACCAACTACCGTTACACCTACTGATTTCCTTCCGCAGGTGACAAACACAATAAACAACAATATCCCTCATCAGCAACAACAGCATAATATGGAGTTTTCGGATCTACATTTAAACACGATTTTCCATAATCAAAGCGCACCACCACCACCACCACCACAACAACAACAACAACAAGGAACAGACATATCAAGGTCTACAATTTTTATTGATTCAAATCAATTATTCACTTCAGGACCAACTACAAGTACCGCAACCAATGAATCACCATTTTCGAGCACTTCTTCTCAGCATCAATTTTATCAATCGGACGATACACCACAATCTATTCAATCGCATAACATGCAAGGTCAATCTAAACCGCATTCGCAAAATGTAATTGCTTTGGGCAAAATGGATGAAGATGAAACCCCAATTGACTTGAACTTGAACATGAACATGATTTTGAACTTGAAAGCCGCTTCAACTTCAACTTCCACATCCACTTCAACATCAACTGCAACTTCATCCCCCGATGATGTTTTGTATATGACCAAAAATGATTATCAGAAACAATCAAACACTACAGTTGCAGCAGCGGCAGCGGCAGCGGCAGCAAAGCCAGCTTACACACATACAGCGCCTTCGAATGAATTTAGTCAAGAAAACTGGAGTACGGGGTATATGAATCACGAATTTGGTTTATTTGAAGAATTCAACGGGGATGAAAATTCTAGCGCTGCTACTACTACTACTACTACTACTACTACTCAACATCCTCATTATAGCATTGGCCCTACATCTGCTGCATCTTTGGATTTTATCGACTTTCAAGCATGAACCAAGCGGGATTATTCATCTTTTACCTATTACCCTTTGTTTATCGGATTCATCTTTTTGTATTATTATAAGAAGATCCCGTCCCTGGCCATATTTTATTTATTCATTAATTGACTTATTCGTTACCGTCTCTATATACTCTTCTTCTACGATGTAGTATTCTAGAAATCAGACCTTACCTTGTCATAAACTCCCTACAACTCTCAAGAGATGAGATGAGATGAGATGAGATGAGGTGAAAAAAAAACCCCAGCCAATCAATGAAGAGGTGTTTTTTCAACAAGGATTAAAGACGGTGAAGGTTGGTATTATTGGTAAGGGTTTTACTGGATGCTACAGTTTGTTAGGTCTGTTACAGCACTGGCTAGGTTAGCTGCTACTGCGCAGAGTGTGAGGCCGGCGCTTTCGTCGCTTCTTCCGCTGAAGAGAACAATCAATAGAATTTTGTTTGATCATGACTCGAACATTACATACGGCAAGATGATACCATTGTTGACCCATATTTACGATAACCTAGCAACTCCTTCCAAGATCGAAATCCCCAAGAATATCCGCGGGTCCGATTTGATGGTGTTTCGTAAACTTTTGGCCACGATACGAACTCAAACACAATCGATAAACAGCCATCTCTTTGCATTAGAGAATGAGATTGTTGAGCAAAGTGCTGAAATGGGTGATCTTGATGCAATTACCATACTTGCATTTGAAAAGATTCGGCAATACTTGAAGAGGGAAACCGTAGTTTCCCCAGCAGATAAAGAAGATTACCAAACTGCCCAAAAGTTAATTGAGGAATTGACTGATTTGAAACATCCCTTGGTGTTTAAACTCGCTGGCGATTTAGCTTTAGAAAGGTCAATGTGGGATCAAGCTCATTCCTATTATACTCAATTTCTAAAAGTCGAAAACGATACCATCGAAGCAGGTCATGTATGTTACCAATTGGGATACTATCATTATGCAAACCCCCAGCAGTCGATCCGCGATTATAACCAAGCCAAAAGCTGGTTTTTGAAATGTATTGAGTTGACAGATTTAGATCTTTACTCAGTAAAGGCTCATTACTATGTAGGTCAAATCTATCTCAATGAATTAACAACCACCCCAAAATCAGAGTCAGAGTCAAAATCAGAGTCAGAGTTGATCAAAAGAGCAAAATACCATTGGGAAATATCTGCTTCAAAGGGTCTCATTGAATCCTTTTCAAGTCTAGGCTTTTTAGAGATGAATAAGTTAAATAATTGCATTTTGGCAATAGAATGGTTCAAATTGGGTTTGGAGCTGGATAGGACCGATTGCTTATGTTTAGTTGGACAGTTTGACTGTTATTTCAAGATGAAAGAATGGCCACGTGCAAGGAAAATATGGATGAACTTGAATGACCTAAGAGAGAAAATCGAGCTGGTGAAGAAGAAACTGGGCGGCGGTGGTGGAAGCAGCAACGACATTGTGCCAGAGAATATGAGAGAGAGTTTCAATAGAAATGATGCATTATTGAACAGTTTTTTTAGTGGTCGAGAAAATGAGTTTAAGGAGTTGGAAGAGAGGGGATACGGGTTGTAACTGTCAACTGGTTTGTCACTGGTATTGCTTTCTATGAGAATTGAGCAATAATTGCAATTCATCCAAACCGATTTCCCTATTAGAAAAATTGCCATGTAGTCTTATTTGCAATAATGGGTTTCTGTACAGCATGGGTATCTTTCTCTCTCAAGTAACATCTTGATTCCCCGATTCTGCTAATTCTTTTTCTTCTTCTTCTTTTTGACCTTATCAACATATTCGATACACGAGACAGGTACCCCCTTTTGCTTCAACAACTCTATAATCAATGGTCCATGTGATCCTTGAACTTGGACCTGATCATCTATAATAGTAGACGATCCAGAACACTTATTTCGCAACTCTTCAGCAAATGCTCCCTGTTTAATGAAAAACTTTTCATAGTTATCAACGCGAGTGGTTACCTTTCTGCCTATTTTCAATTCAGTTACAATATGGATCTTTGGTGGATTTCCTCTATTAATCTCTTTTATTCCCTGATTATTCTCAATACTATAATATGGTGTGAAATTACCAACAAAATTTTTGAGAAATTGATCACGAGAACATGATGTGCCACTTGGTTGATTTGTAGGTTTTGCCAAAGTCTCATCAACTATGATGCATTTGGGTGATTCTTTATCAACTAGCTGGAATTTCTTTATATAATCTTCAACACTACTTCGTAGCTCACCAATGGTATAGAGTTTATTAAATTCCAATTGTAATTTATTGAAAAACATCAGTGATTTACTCGTTGGTTTATACAAGGTTTGGATCTTCATTGATTGTTGTTTTTGTTGTTGTTGTTGTTGTTGTTCCTTCGTCTTCACTTTGTTGATTTTATGAGGTACAAAATTCACAATACTTTGATTATCACTAGCCATGAGTTTGATAATTGAAACATCTTCATCTTTGCCTTTAATATCTAAATAATTCATTTTACTCATTGCTTTTAGAAATTTAACCGTTTTTTTCCATGATGTCTTTTTGATATTGGCATAAGTTGGATCAACAATGGGTAAGTTTTTGTAAATGTATAAGGACATAAATGTTGATGCTGATATTGGTAATTCAATAGTTTCTAGCTTGATGGTTTGAAGTAAGGAGCGTATGAAAAAATTGTCGATTTCTTCCACGCTTAGCTGGGTCATGTTTTTGGCTAGCTCGGTGACTTTTTCAACTTCTGTAGCCTCTGTAGCCTCTGTAGCCTCTGTAGCCTCTGTAGCCTCTGTAGCCTCTGTAGCCTCTGTAGCCTCTGTAGCCTCTGTAGCCTCTGTAGTCTCCTCCATCTCATCAACCTTCTCAGGCTTGTTGGCCACGTCGGCCACTTCAACATTCTCTCCTGTTGTTTTCGCCTCCTCATCCATCTTTGGCATCTCAAAATCAACAGTATCTGGAACCCTTACATCAATCTCCTTATTTATCTTCATTAACTCGTCTTTCCAATGGTGCAAGATCTTCACCGCGGTACCGCTCCTCCCAACAACATTATCAAACTGAGTCAAATCCAAATTGCAGGTCCCCACAGCCATTATCCTGTAAGGATCAGACACACTTGCTACTCCAACCAATGTCCCCTTGACACATCTCTCATCAAATGGCGGAATAGTCCCCGGTAACATCAAGTCAGCACCGCCACCAAGAATATCAATCACAACGGAATGGGTATTGACTATAGGAAGTATGTAGGGGCACTTCCAACATGTTAGAATAGAAGGTAATAGTTGAGAGTCACGCGTTTGAAACCATATAGGAAGCTCATCTTCGTCAAAGTAGATTGTCCCAGAATGGCCTTGTATGGAGATATAACTTGCTCTTTTGATTACCGATGGTAGAATCTTGGTAAGCCCTTCTTTGGAAATGTTATTTATAGGGAGGTTGAACTGAGTGCATATTGTAGATAGGAGTTTCTTCCTGTCGGAAGATTTGATGTTGGCAGCAGGTTTAGTCTGCGGTTGTTTCTTGAACATGGGAAGCCAAAGGGAAGGAAAGTGAAATGAAGGTAAATAAAATGAAACAAAAGTTGAATAAAGCCTGGACTGTAAAGTACAATGCAATTGGAAGCGGCAAATGACAAGACCTAAATGTAGCTGGAAGCTAATGACAAGACCTAAATGTAGCTGGAAGCTAATGACAAGACCTAAATGTTGCTAATGACAAGACCGTAGCCAAAAGCAGTCACTGCAGTTATTGAGACCTAAACGTAGCTAGAAGCAGTCGCAGTTAACGAGACCTAAATGTAGCCAAAAGCTGTTGGTGTAGCTAGAAGCGGTCGCAGTTACTGAGACCTAAACGTAGCTAGAAGCAGTCGCAGCTAATGAGACCTAAACGTAGCTAGAAGCAGTCGCAGCTAATGAAACCTAAACGTAGCTAGAAGCGGTCGCAGTTACTGAGACCTAAACGTAGCTAAAAGCAGTTGGTGTAACTAGAAGCGGTCGCAGCTAATGAAACCTAAACGTAGCTAAAAGCAGTCGGTGTAACTACAAGCAGTCACAGCTAATAAAACCTAGATGTAGCTGGAAGCTGTCTGTGTAGCTAGAAGCTGTCGCAGCTAATGAGACCTAAACGTAGCTAGAAGCAGTTGCAGCTAATGAGACCTAAACGTAGCTAGAAGCAGTCGCAGCTAATGAGACCTAAACGTAGCTAGAAGCTATTGGTGTAGCTAGAAGCTGTCGCAGCTAATGATACCTAAACGTAGCTAGAAGCTGTTGGTGTAGCCAAAAGCAGTTGGTGTAACTAGAAGCTGTCGCAGCTAATGAGACCTAAACGTAGCTAGAAGCAGTTGGTGTAGCTAGAAGCTGTCGCAGCTAATGAGACCTAAACGTAGCTAGAAGCTGTCGCAGCTAATTAGACCCAAATGTAGCCAAAAGCAGTTGGTGTAGCTAGAAGCTGTCGCAGCTAATGAGACCTAAACGTAGCTAGAAGCTGTCGCAGCTAATTAGACCCAAATGTAGCCAAAAGCAGTTGGTGTAGCTAGAAGCTGTCGCAGCTAATGAGACCTAAACGTAGCTAGAAGCAGTTGGTGTAGCTAGAAGCTGTCGGTGTAGCTAGAACTGTCGGTGTAACTACAAGCTGTCGATAGTGTCAAAAGTATCAATGACACCTAGTAATGCTCCACTATCTCGCTCTGCTCGATAGTGTCAGACGTACCTAATACAATGTCCCAACAAGCTGAAGCGATGGTGCCTTTGACGTTGAATCACGAAAAAGTTTCAAGTTGAACAAAAAAAAGTGAAAAATTATTTCATTGACAATGGGAGTTGAAGTCCCAATGATGGTAAAGTCTAAGGAGTCTGTTACTATTGGGTATACGAGGAATGTTATTACTGTTCTAGTTATAGGGTTGATTGCTGGGTTAGGTTTCCCCTTGTTTTTATACACTACAAGGATATACCGAGCTGATTTACCAGTTGAGGAAATATACAATTATGATATGAATGAAATTGATTTCAAGGTTCCCATATTGGTGGATTATGAGGTTGACGAGGAATATTTGCGCTCACTGTTTACTAGAAGGTATCCAGAGATAAAGTTTTGGTCATTGACTTTCCCCGAGAAGGTAAAGGGTGTTGGAACTGAAACTGAAGCTGAAGCTGGTGCTGAAACTGAAGCTGAAGCTGGTGCTGAAACTGAAGCTGATGCTGGTACCGCAGCTGGTGCTGCAGCTGGCGCTGCATCAGCTGCTGCTCCTGGTTACACTCTACACATCCACAACGATACAAGCGACAAATTTACAGTTTGTGGGAAAACAATCGATATATATACAAGATCCAGTAATGTTGACTCCTATATCCTGGAGGTGCTATTTGATAATATTTTCAAATCCGAATTGGATACTTTGGCTTCAATATACAAGGACGAACCGATTAATGGTGTTGCTATACCCTATAGTGAAACATATAATTTAGTATTTTCCTTATTTGTTGCCAATGGTAAGCAAATAAACTGGGAAATCCAAAAAAGCCTAAATGAACATTTCCAACCAGTCTTGGATATCTTGGCTGATATAACAGAGTTCAGAATCTCAACACAAGTGCAGTATTACTCACAATTATCATCTACAACTTTGCAAAAAAACAAAACCATAACTCAAGACGAATTAAAGACTTTTATCAATTTCGAAGATTGGAATTTGGTCAATTTGGATATTCATCCAACTATAAATTTTTTGTGCTACATCCCTAATGAACCACTTTACATTGAAAACTCCGAATCTAACTCATTCTTGATTTCCCAGTGGGGTGGGGTGAAAATCCTCAACCGAATACCAATGATGGCAAAGTCAACACTAGGTGAAAAAGATCTTTTTCAAATATTGAACATATTTGCAAACCAGCTACTTCAATTAATCGGTATCCCCCATCCTTCTAGTTCTTCCTCCTCCTCTTCCTCCCTTGAAATTCAACTAGATTCATTAAAAAGAATACTAATCTACAAAAACATAAAATCCTCACTATCGAATTTGATCTCACTAGTTAAATTATCAAACTCATTAAATGACATAACTGTACCTAAGGAAACTCGTGACCAAGTGATCAAAGCCCTAAACTATATGAATATTGCTAAATTAGAAAAATCGGTGAAAATATCAGCAATGGCAATGGACAATTCAAATAAAGCCTTTTTTGAAAAAAAAATGGTCCAACAAGCTTATTTCCCAAGTGAACATAAACTAGCTGTTTTTTTACCATTATTAGGTCCGATTGGATCCATTGTTGTATTTAGCCTACTTAGATTAGTAAAAGGATAAAGAAAAGGATAAAGGAAGAAAACCTCAATGTTATAAACTACTTCTTCATCCATTCTTTATTCAACAAGTCAAGCACTTGACTATCGCAATAGTTTGTGCGTGGGTTGTTAAATCTCAACTGTTGTGGTGTGAGTAGAGGCAATGATGGCGATTGTGGCTTGATCTTGATAAGTATATCTTGTGGTTCTTGTAGTTGTGGCTCTAGCTGCAATTGTTGACAAGATAATGTAAATAGGGCATTTTGTCGCTGATTGAGCTTGGTGTACTCCTCCTCTTGATTGAGGTCTTGCATGTGTTGTTGATATTGCAGTGGTTGATATTGCAGTGGTTGATAAGGCAGTGTTGGTAGCGGTGAATCAATGAGCCGGTTAGATTGTAGCAACAGTCTCAGTCTCAGTCTCAGTCTCGGACTCAGCACGGGTCTCAGCACCGGTCTCAGCACCGGTCTCAGCAACAGTCTCAGCCTCAAAGTATTCTTCACCGGTGTATTGTTAGAAATGGAAGTATTGTATAAATTCTGCAACATGATCCCCGGGTAGTGATCACTTGATAATGTCAAATGAGCCAATTCAAAGTCTTTTGAAGGCACTTTCACATCATCCTCATACTCCCCAAAGTCATTTTGTTTATCCTCTTTGTTGCCATTCCCGCTACTATGGGGCAAGTATGAAATTATATGATATTTTTGATCATCTTTAGTAGTTAAAGAAAACGATTGTTTGATCAACCTGGGTCCTCCTTCTTTAGATTCATCCTTGTTCAACTCTTTGTATATAAGAAAATTCCCATTGTATACTTTTGAAGGTGACCAAACTCTGCCATCGGTCCATCTTTTCATTCCACACATTGTTTCGTTCCAAATAAATACAGAGTATGGTCTTATAAACTTTAGTCGCTCGTATGATGTTAGTCTACGTATTATTGTCGGTATTATTTCTTGTCGACATGCTTCTATTAGTAACAACGCATCTTGAGTAGTTTTGATAGTACCAACGTAGGAAACTATATGACCCAGTGATTGAGTAGTTTGAGTAAGCGGAAACTCACCCATTTAATAAGAAAAGAAAAGAAAGGGTGGTTCTTTTCTCTAGTGGTTGATAAATTCAAAGGGTAAACGATTGAGCAAGTAAAGAGTTGATAGTTTGCAAATGAGCTATTTGGCAGTTGACAAATGTGCAAATGAGCTATTTGGCAGTTGACAAATGTGCAGAGGAGTTGTTGCAGATAAGCTGCTGACAATGACAGATGAGTTCACTATTGCAAGTCTCTATAATCTATAAACCCACACAGGACTCAATTGACTGCGAGCTATTTCAACTTGTTAAAAAAATACTAAAATATCAAACTAACCAGGCTCAAACACGGACTTGAGAATAGCAAGATAAGCTTTTCACTTTTAAAAGGGGTTTAAGAATCAACAATTTATAAAAAGTGAAAAAAAGAAAAAGCCCTTTAAAAAGAGAGATGATAAGAGTTGGTAAACATGCTTTTAAACCCGGGTTTTTTTTCTTTTTCTAAGGAGAAAAGCAGAGTAAGAGTAGATTATACTTCCACTCTTACTGCTGCTATTCTCTTTTACCTACAAAGTGTAACATTTACAAGGGTTTTTCAAGGTATTACTGGGGGGGGGGGGGGGGCATTTATCAGGAGAGATGTAGTTTATGCTTCTTTGATTTTATGGTAGCGCAATATTATAGCAGTTGAGAGAACAGGAGAAGGGAAGAAAGGGACGAAAAAGGGAGAGTAGAAGTGGCAGTATAAGGAGAAAGAAGCATCTCGGACTTTGGGATATCTAGAAATGGAAGAAAAAGCAAGGGGAGGAGACGATAATATCAAAAAAAAAAAAAACCAAACTCAAAACCAAACCCAAAACCAAACTGGTGTTGAGAGTACAAAATTCAAGCAAGATTAAGAAAAACAAAGGGAAGAAAGCATTGTTATAACGAATCTTGGCGAGAAAGTAGTGGAATTGGCCATTATCAAGTCAGTAAAGCAACCAAGTAATATCAAAGGGAAGGTGGAAACACGGTTTAAGGTTTAAGCAAGTGGGTTCTGTATAAGCAAGTGGGTTCCGTATTGTATTACTTGGTTTGGGTTGCTGCTGCTGAAAAGTTCTATATGCAGTCCTTGCAGCCATTTTTTATGGTAGCGAGAGGCTAATTAGGAAGATGCCCGATTAGGAAAGAGCGGCAACGACACTAGTGAGTGGAGTGAGCGAAGCGAGCTAGTGGAGTGAGCGAAGCGAGCTAGTGGAGTGAGCGAAGCGAGCTAGTGGAGTGAGCGAAGCGAGCTAGTGGAGTGAGCGAAGCGAGCTAGTGGAGTGAGCGAAGCGAGCTAGTGGAGTGAGCGAAGCGAGCTAGTGGAGTGAGCGAAGCGAAGAGAGCTCAACTTGGTAGGTTGTTGCAACACTATAAAACATTGACACTACACCAACACTACGCCGACACTAGCTCGCTGGTGGAGCAAAACATAGTGGCAACACTATCGAGCAAAGCGAGCTAGTGGAGTAACACTTAGTAGGCACCAGCGAGCAAAGCGAGCTAGTGATGTACCACTTGGTAGGTTGTTGCAACACTATAACACGTTGATACTACACCGATACTACACCAACATTAGCTCGCTTCGCTCGCTTATCAATAAAACATTGATACCACACCGACACTACACCAACATTAGCTCGCTTCGCTCGCTTATCAATAAAACATTGATACCACACCGACACTACACCAACATTAGCTCGCTTCGCTCGCTTATCAATAAAACATTGATACTACGCCGACACTACACCGACACTAGCTCGCTTCGCTCGCTAGTGGAGCATTTAGTAGCTTATTACAACACCATCTCGCTTTGCTCGATAGTGAGCTGTAATATATTGCAATCAACTACAGCATATTCTGTATATATTGCAATCAATTCTATGTCAATTTTTTTTCTTTTTGCTTCTTTTTTTGATTAGGAAACAAGGCTTGAGTAAAAGACCAGTTGGGAAATTGACGAAATATTTAGTAGTCAGTAGTAACAACTAGGTAGTCTATAATAACTAGGTCTATAATAACTATAATAACTAGGTAGTCAGTAGTAACAGCTAGGTAGTCAGTAGTAACAGCTAGGTAGTCAGTAGTAAACTAGTCGGAAACAACTTGGTATTAACAAATTTGTCCAATCTTTAGTTGTTATTAATGTAAACGCTACCTTTGGTCTGAAAGTAGATTAGAGTCAAATGAGTTTAGGTCAACTATATTTCCTTTGAGGTTGAGTGTAACTCTCTTAATTAAGCAGTAAGGACTGACTACAACATCACCTAAATTTGTAGATACAAGCAGTAAGGACTGATTAATCAACGTCATCTAAATTTGTAGATATCGCCCTATTTCTATAGATTAGACATAGAATAATAGGCCCGAAATGAAGCAGTAGAATAGTAGACCTAAGATGAAGCAGCAGAATAATAGATCTGATTGCACCCTTACAACTCGATAGTGGACCAACATCTAGTAGCTTGTTACGACACTATCTCGCTCTACTCTCTCCATACTCTCTACTCTCACTATACTGCTCTACTCTCTCCATACTCTCTACTCTCTACATACTGCTCCACTAGCTCGCTTCGATCCCTAGTGTAGTAGACCCGAGATGAAGCAGTAGAATGCCAACAGAGTGGAAGATGATGCCGGTGCTCTACTATGCTCTCATCTTATTCTTCACCACCAAATTGCCCACAGCTCCATCAAATAGCCTACAGCTTTATTACGGCTCTGTTGGTGCCTACAGCTCTATTTCATCGACATCGCCATTGACTCTCAATTCTCCATTACTCTCATATCGCCTACAGCTTTATTACAGCCAAAGGAATGCTGAAACCTCCAGCTCTAATTTATTTCACCAGCAGAGCCAGAGGTGATGCTGGTACTACAGCTCTATTCTATTTCACCAGCAGAGCCAGAGGTGATGCTGGTACCTCCAGCTCTATTCTATTTCACCAGCAGAGCCATTGACTCTGTTGGTACCTACAGCTCTATTCTATTTCACCAGTAGAACCATTGGCTCTGTTGGTACCTACAGCTCTATTCTATTTCACCAGTAGAGCCATTGACTCTGTTGGTACCTCCAGCTCTATTCTATTTCACCTTTGGCTCCTGCTGGTGGGTCTCTTTTAACTCCATCACGTGACTCAAACAAGAAGTAAAAAAGCGGAAAAATGTTTACTTCAATTTTTGTTGCAAAACCAACAAAGAGCCTTTGACCACTAGTTTCACTTTAAGTAGGCAGTTCTTGGACTAAACAGTGTCATATAACTAAGCAATTGCACTTGATCTAAGTAGTTTCTAATTAGTAAAACACTGCCACTTCCAATTGAGTAAAACAGTGCTTTACTGCTACTGCCAATTGAGTAAAACAGTGCTTTACTGCTACTGCCAATTGAGTAAAACAGTGCTTTACTGCTACTGCCAATTGAGTAAAACAGTGCTTTACTGCTACTGCCAATTGAGTAAAACAGTGCTTTACTGCTACTGCCAATTGAGCAGTTGCCGTGAGGTTAAACAAAGCCGGCTAGACAACTCAAGCTGAGTGAAGAAACGGTTGCTGTTTAAGACAAGAACCTCCCTTATTACAAGCAGCATCCAAAGCCGCCAAAAATTGGCACGGCGACATCTTGATAGTGCGACATCAACACTGTACGACATAAAAATACCACGACATTAACACGGTACGACATAAAAGTACCGCGACATCTAGCCGCTGCGCTTTTGCTTCATCATCTCATTGTCAATAGCAGCTAGTGTCGATAGCAGCTAGTGTTGGTGGCAGCTAGTGTCAATAGCAGCTAGTATCAATAGCAACTAGTGTCAGTGACATCTAGTGTGCTCCACTATCTCGCTCCGCTCGATAGTAGTGACATCTAGTGTGCTTTCAATTCAAATTAACAGATCAAAAAAAGACGAAACAAAAGAGAAGAAAACAAAAAAAGGACGATACAAAACAAACAAAAAACATAATATACGTGTTTTCAAGTATAGTTCACTATCCGTCATTGTCTCCCATTGCCTTTATTTTATCCTATAAAGACACACATACACATATATACACACACATATACACATATATACACACATTTTTTTGTTGTCAAGTGAAGATGAATTATTCAATAGACAAGAGCAATGTGTCCTCTGCCGCTTTACGTAAGAGAAAAACGCTTAAGAAATCAATAAATTTTTCAATAATGATTGTTGGTGAAAGTGGCTCGGGTCGTTCGACATTGATCAATACCTTATGTGGCGGCAACTCAATAGTGCCAACTTCTTCCACTATCAAAGAAGATCCGTTTACCAGGAAATTGACTTTGAGGCACGAAAATGTCGAATTGGAAGATAATGAAGGCCACAAGATTAGTCTTAATATCATAGATACGCCAAATTTTGCTAATCAAATAAATTGTAACGATGATTTCAGAATCATTGTTGATTTCATTCGTCACCAGTTTGACGAGGTGTTATTGGAAGAATCTAGAGTCAAACGTAATCCAAGATTCAAAGATGGTAGAATTCATGTGTTGATTTATCTTATCAATCCAACTGGTCATGGATTAAGTGAAATTGATGTGAAATTTTTAAAGCATATTAACAATTTAGTCAACATATTACCAATTATATCAAAAGCTGACTCCCTAACCAAAGACGAATTGAAGTTGAATAAAAAATTGATTTTAGAGGATTTGAATAATTACGGTATCAATTATTATAAATTCAACGAGTATGAGTATGAAAAGGATTATATCGATGACGAGATTATTGAGTATAACAAGTATTTAAACTCACTATTACCATTTGCAATTATTGGTGCTAATGAGTACAGAAAGAATAGTGCAAGTGACAAGCATGTTGCTGCCGCTGCTGCTGCTTCTTCTTCTTCTCGTAAGAAGCACGATGGAGATGATGATGACGACACCGAGGCCGACGACGATATTGATGTTGACGATATCATCAAGCTCAGAGTGTTGAACAAGGATCTCAAGCCAATCAATATTGACGATCCCGATATAAATGATTTCACAATATTGAAAAATGTGATTCTCATTACCCATCTCAATGAATTCAAAGATATTACTCATGATCAGATTTATGAAAATTACAGAACTGAGGCATTATCAGGTAAACAGTTCCACTACATGAACAAAAATAACTCTGATGATGGAAGTTATAGGTCATATACTACAAGTGCCCAAAACTTGTCTGATCATGCCAATGGTAATGGTACCAACGGAAGCAGTAGCAATGGCCATCACCATCACAACAACAACAATAACAACAATAACAACAACAACAACAACAACTATCTAAATAACGGCTCAGATACAGGTGCAACCCCACCCTCGGATTATCTAATGAAGGAAGAACAAATTCGAATGGAAGAAGAAAGATTAAAGAAATTTGAAGAGCGCGTACATCAAGATTTAATTACAAAGAGACAAGAGTTGTTGGATAGAGAAAATGAGTTGAAGGAAATTGAAAAGAGACTATTAGCTGAAGGGTTGAAATTGAATGAAAATGGTGATGTCGTTAAGGTTGAAGATTAACTTTTTGTCAAAACTCGCTCAGTCGCTCATTCACTTGACCCACATTCACTCGACAACCCATTCACTTTTTGACCCATTCATTCGACCCATTTCCTTTCCAACCCACAATCTATATCTAAAGTCTACATCATATATCGTTGAGCTGTTTATTATTGCTAGTTTGTAAGTAAGTAGCTTCTAAAGTTTTATCCATATCAAACACTATGCGTAGTTTTTTGATTATGCGTAGTTTTTGAGAAGAGAAGTGAAAAAAAAAAAATTTTTCAGATAATTTTTCAAACTAACCAATAATCAATAGGTATTCCAGGAAAGACTCTGGTTATGTTGAGGCTGGTATCTCTGCCCTTGAGGCAGCCGATGGTTTTGTTGAGGATTTCGACACGGTTTGTATCTTACGATAAGGAGAGCAAGACTCTACTTCACCAAGAAAGAGGCCGGGAAAAGAAGCGAAGATTGAGAAAGGAATTGAAATTCAATGCGTTGGAAAATCCAGCCGAGCATCCCTTACATATGGACATAGCCACTGCTTTGAATACGATAAGGTCGTTTGAACTTGGTAAACCATTGAAAAAGACAAATATTACATGTAGTTTATACGCGCGTCAAGAGCAAGGAGCAGCGCCTATCAATGCCAATTTGAATTTACCCTTTCCTGTCAACAAAAAGAATAACCCCTTGTTGTTCACTACTCATCAAGGTGTAATGGAAGAACTTGAAAGCTTAATCCCCAGGGAAAACATGGGTGGTAAGGAACTATTGGATAGATTCATAAATCAAGAGCTTTTACCGGGAGATTTCACTCATGCATTTGCCACTTGCGAAATGGAACCACACTTGAAATCGGTGTCTAGAATATTGGGGCCTGCGAAATTACAACCGACAAAGAAAAAGGGAACAGTAACCGATGATTTGCTGGTGATTCGCAATATCTTGAGCTCGTATCAAATCAAACAACGAGATTTCCATATTAGTTTCACTGCGGGTGATTGTTCATTTAGTGATTTCCAAATCATATCCAACTTGAAAGCTATAAGCGATGCTATTTACCGACAAATTGATCCAAAGGCGTCAAAAAAGACAAGGTTGGGCCATTGTTTTATTACAAGTGCTAATAGTCCTGGTTTAGTTATTGACTTTAAAAATGAATAAATTAGAAATGAATGGTATAAATGATATAAATGAATGATATAAATGAATGATATAAATGAATGATATAAATGCTTGTACATATATATATATATATATATATATTCATTTTCAAGAAACTACTCAACTTTCTCTGTAACTTCTTTCTCAACTTTCTCGGTAACTTCTTTCTCTGTAGCTTCTTTCTCAGCAGTCTCATAAGCTTTCCCATCCATAGCAGCATTTTCAGATTTACTAGCAGGCTCCTTCATAGTCATATCATTGGTTCCTTGTATTAACAAAGTTATCGAAAAGTATGATATAATTAGCCATGCAGGAAACCATCCAAGCATGATGATGAACCATGTCCAGCTCTGCAAATCAACCCATGCTTGAACGATATTCAAAAGAAAATCTTTATTTCCCGAAACTCTACCTCCAATAAATATCAAAAGAAACGGATTTGAAACAATTAAGCAAAGTATAGTCAAGGCACGTTTCTTTTTGATTATTGTGGGAACAAACGTTAACGGAACAGCCAATATTCCAATCACATAAGCTAATGCAAAGTGAACAATCAATAAAGCAATAATCATAAATGAAATACTCAATAATGCAAATGCCATTAGGGAATAACATGCACTTGTCGATAATTTCACTTTTTTATTTACTATTATTGCCCCAACTCCCAGCAATATCAATTGAAGAGTCTGAATCAAACTTGCAGAGCAGTGATGCAAAACAATCACTGAAGCAATCACACAACATAATTGAACCGAAACAACCAATATGATCATTTTAGTCAAATCTTGAGCAATATCCTTTATCACAACATTGGAGTTCAAAACAGCGTCAAGAGCACTAACTGCATAACTCAAAGCCAACATTACAGCCGCTGGCAAATAAGTACCAATCGATACAAAATGTTTGGGGCTCAACATTAAGTAAAAGAAAAACGATTGGTGGAATTTCTCCAATAAGTTATTTACCGAACGGAAAGTTTGGTCAACTATTCTTCCAAATTGAGTCACGTCATGTCCCTGTGTTCCCCTGGCCTTTATCGTGAATGCTTGAATCTGCCATCCAGAAAATGCCTCGTGTCCATGTACATCAATTAACCCAGCAGTCACCAATTTCAAAATCCCCTTAAATAAAGTCTTCAACTTATTTGTATAATTACAAACTCTGCCACTTATTCCCTGTATACTGCAGCTTATTCCTTCATTGTGGCCTACGATATTAGCAGTATTGAGCAAATCCAAATTGGGTAGTTGTCCATTTAGCCCTTCGTAGAACATATCGTAATATTCAAAACCATCTCCTTGTTTACCGTATTCCATCACGACTGCTGCTTCTATGGACCCGGCAGTATCGTCCAACAGCGTATGATACGCTTCGACCCATGCCCTTAAGCTTCTCTTACCATCCGGCGGCACAACAAGAATAATATTCTTAGACCAAACAGAAATACGGTTAAAATACCGCATCAAGGCTAACGCCAAAGCAATACCTCCTTCGTTATACTCCAAATCAGAGTTGATCCATGGTACAACTAAGGCCATTGCCTCGGTATTCTCGCCTCTTGAAGCATGCATAATGGCATAGAGTACTCTTTCAGAATCATAACAGGAAACCTGTAAACCAAAATCATCCAACCATTGACTAACAATTGCATTCCGCTCCTCGATTGAACTATTTTCCAACTTGGAAACTTCTTCTCGATACCCACGTACAATATTCCACTCGCTCTCTCTAAAATACGAGTGGACTTGACCGGGCATCAATGCGTTTTCAGAAATATAACAATTACGATAATTACCATCTTGGGCCAAGGTTAGTAGCCATACTATACTGAAAATCACCAAAACACCCGAAATACGAGGTAAATGTTTGATTGTTTTGGGTATCAATCCCAACTTGTGGATTTTCCTTAGCACATTCTCAGCTAACGCCATCCTTTACTCCTCTACCCGTCTTACTCTGTTACCTTATCAATGGTTGAAAACAAAAGTCTTCTCGATGAAGGAAAGGAAATCCAAAAAAAAATTGGTTTTCGCATAAAAGGAAATTTGCGATGAGATGAGATGAGATGAGATGAGATGAGCTGAACTATGGGATGGGATGAGGGCAAGGAGTTGTGATGAGATCTGCAGGCTTCCTTCTGTGATGCTACTAATGAGGTATAAACAGTTACATAGACAGCTCAGGAGGCTCCCGCTTCCTCGCGGTATAATTAGCGATGGAGCTAAAGCGTTGAAACGAGATTTTGTTAAGGAACGAGTTGATAAATATGAGCGGCTCTTTAAGGTTATATTAGAAGATGAGAAGTATCACCAGATTCCGATGCTTTTGAATGCGATTTATCAAAGGGATACGCCTTGCTGGTATTTACAGTTTCAGAAAATGCCGTATATCAGGTTGAAGAAACAATGGCCGACTCTTCATTTAATTGACGAGATTACCAACGATAAAAGACCGCTTGAAACTTATCATCGTCAATTGCAAAAACAAACACCATTTTTGGTAAGTGAGCATATTGACACTAAGGAAGGTTGCAAGAGTTGGCCTGTTTTGCCGTTGATGAGAAAATATAGTGGCCAGCAGCAGGAGGAAGGGGGGGACAATATTGGCGAGATGATTAACCAAGTTCATCGCCGTTACAAGTTCATCCTTTTGCAAAACGTCTTTGGGATAACAAAACATACATTTGAAATGGTCTATACGCCTACCAAAATGGGGTTACCCGTAAACCAGCCAACTATAGATGGTCAGTTGCGCAGGAAAATAAGTACCGTGAAAAGGGCGCTAATGGAGGTCCAGCCAATCCTTGCCAATGAGTTGGAAAAACTAACCTTTGCTTCAAAGACAAAGTTTAACCAAAATTTTTATAGATGGCTAAAACACAAACGAAGGGATCAGACCGTGCCTCAAGAAATTAAAAAGAATATCATAAAGGAACGTATCGTGAGTGATGCTCAATTTAATGAAATTGTACAAGAATATATACGCAACCAATACTATTATGATAAGGATACCCAACAATACAAAATGAACCACAAGAGGTAGAATCACAGGAGGTAGAACCATATCAGTGTTGATGACAGTGAGTACTGCTCCACTAGCGAGCAAAGCGAGCTAGTGTCGCAAGTAGAGCTACAAAAGGTAGTTGGATTTTCAGTGTTGATGACAGTGAGTGCCACAGGAGGTAGAACCATATCATTGTTGATGACAGTGAGTACCACAGGAGGTAGAACCATATCAGTGTCGCAAGTAGAGCTACAAAAGGTAGTTGGATTTTCAGTGTTGATGACAGTGAGTACCACAGGAGGTAGAACCATATCAGTGTTGATGACAGTGAGTACCACAGGAGGTAGAACCATATCAGTGTTGATGACAGTGAGTACTGCTCCACTAGCTCGCTTTGCTCGCTAGTGTCGCTGCTTATTCGATTTGCAAAACGACATATTTCAGCTTCATTGCGTCAGAAAGACAAACATAAGATGAGTTTAGTCTTATCAATCTTGGCTCAAAGTCAAGGTGCGGTAAACTTATTGGGATCGATGAAGAAGAATCGATAATTAAGAGATGTTTCTGTGTCAAGGCAATTAGATCGTTTGACCTTTGCTGGTATGCAATAACATTGGGAACAGTGGCTAAAATCGAAGTTGGCGTCGAAATAACTAGTGTAGTCTCAGTTAGGTATGTGATTATGGTTTGGCCATCCCATTCAGTGAGCTGCAAATCTTTGTGATTTGGTAGATTAAGTTTTTGTAGAAACTCAATCTTGATTAATAATGAGTGGTGGGCATTAACCTGGGAAATAATCGTTTCAAATTGCGATAAAAGTGCATCTTGTTGATTTTCCAACGTATTACATTTGTTGAACCCAAGTATATCCAAATCATAGCTGAAATGTTTTAACAATTCAGGTTTAGTCATATCGCTTTGTATATATTCCAATAATTTCGAAGTAGAGTAACTAATGCTCCACTCTTTTTCCTCCAAAATATCGATAATTGTTTTCCACCACGATAAAAGCTCGCTGAATTTTTCCTTTTGACTTTTGAAATCCCATATAACTTTATAGTAAGCCTTTATTTGAGTTTCGCAACTGTTCATAAACGTAAACAACTCGCTTACATCAATCCCCAAGACATCGTTCCACTTGCAAATGCCAATGAGTTTATTTATCAACACAATGACTCTTTCCATAGGGGATACGAGGTACCTAAAGATCTTTTTTGTCACTTTTTCATCAACAGTTTCCAATTGTTTGCTCAACCGTTTAAATCCTCGCTCGCCAAATTGGTTCAACCAGAAATCCTTTGTTGATTCAGGTATAAGGTTAGTGATTAGAATTTCAGATAGTGTAGCAATTAGATTGCCACCAGTTTCTTCACTCAAATTGGATAGATATCTATCGATCAGAGTCAAAAGTGGTTTGATCTCATTTTGAAGCTCCTCAACAACTATTTTAGTTTTGCCAAAATACTCCATAATGTGACACATGATAATAATCAGATCAGTATATAGCTTTGGGGATGACACGTTCAAATCTACCAGGACCAAATTAGCGTCCTTGTCTAGATAAACCTGATGAAACAAACCGGATTTCAACTGCTGTTGAAAATGAAAAGTAGTAGCTTTTGAGACATTCAACAATTTATTATAATTGATGGTTAGAGAATTTGCATCGTTGATGACCAAATACTCCAACTTGTAAGAAAGATGATAGATAGCTGGCAATCCTTGCAATACTGCATCCTCAAGCACAAACTCGGTACTATTCCAGTTTAAAAATTGAATATCATTGAAACAATGATCGATTATTGTCATCAACGCCCCATCATTAGCATCGTATACCTTGACTGAACTATCAGCTCCGGATAAACAGAAATAGTTTTCATGGAAAGTTATATTCTTGATAATGGCCTTGTTATTTATTGAATATAGCCTCTCTCCGTCTAAACGATAACACCAAATCGAAGTCTTGTTCATAGACTTGATAATTACATTCAATTTAGGACACCAGGTTAAAATTGAATTGACATCATTGGAAATCGGGAGTTTGCCGTTGAAAATTACGGATATAGTAGAGCCCTTCATTCAATTGCTGGAGCCTAAGTAACAACGTACCGCTCTAGTGGGAACCTTATAAACCAATGCCATTAAATAAATGTAAAGTTTTCCATATCGATTGAATTGAAAAATAAAATTTCAAAAAAATTTTACGCCGTAGCGCCGGGGAATTTAGGGCGCACGGCGTAGTCCTGCGCCCTAAATTTAATCTTCTTCGACCTATCTCCACTATCTCCACTATCGAGCAGAGCGAGATAGTGGAGCAGCGCTGACTACCTTCTACTAGTATCTGCTGGTCTCCTCCTCTACTCTACTCTACTCTCCTCTACTCTACTTCAATCTCTACTAGATTCTACTAGACTCTACTCCATTAGATTCCACTCAATTACTCTTTTTCACTAGTTTCTACTCTATTCTACTATAATCTGGTATAATCTATAGTCTACTATAATCTGGTATAATCTATAGTCTACTATAATCTGGTATAATTTATAGTCTATTACAATCTGCTCTACTGGTCTCCTCCTCTCCCCCTCTACTTTACTTCAATCTACAATATCGAGCGACACTGTCGAGCAGAGCGAGATAGTGGAGCAGCATTGACTGCCACTGACACTGTCAAGCGACACTATCGAGCGACACTGTCAAGCGACACTGTCGAGCAGCATTGACTGCCACTGACACTATCGAGCGACACTGACTATCAGGGTGTCTCTAACGACCAATAGAGTGTTTCTAATGGTGCCAAAAGCGATACTACTGACTATCTGAGTCCCTTGCTCTCTTCTTTTTACTCTATATTTACCCTCTCCCTTTCTTTCTCTTCTCTCTCACTACATCTCTCACTACATCTCTCACTACATCTCTCACTACATCTCTCAACTTGCCTCTCTTTCCCTCTCTCCCTTCTCCTCCCTCTCTCCCTCTCTCCCTCCTTCCCAATTTTGCATTTACTAGCACCGCCCAATCTGAGCTTACCGGTGTCAGCTAGTGTTGCTCCACTATCTCGCTCTGCTCGATAGTGTCGTTGCTCGATAGTGTCGTTGCTCGATAGTGTCGTTGCTCGATAGTGTCGTTAGAAATAGAGAATAGGGCCAAGAGTACAAGGTCATACACTGCTGGACTACACTTCTAGGCCATACACTTCTACGTCATATATGACTGGACTACACTACTAGACTACACTTGTAAGCCATACACTACTGGACTACACTTGTAAGCCATACACTACTGGACTACACATCTATCCTACACTAGTATCGAGCAGAGCGAGATAGTGTTTCTAGTGTCGATGTAGTTAGTACTGCTCCACTATCTCGCTTCGCTCGATAGTGTCGATGTAGTGCTACTCCACTATCTCGCTTCGCTCGATAGTGGAACTTTTTCTCGGGTCATTTTTAACCCCGGATTTCTTAAGCGCCCATCAAACATCTTTTTCATTATTAGTTATCCTAAATATGACAGATAACACTAAGGAAGAAGCACCACCTTCGTATCAAGAGGCGATAAAAACAAGTGTTTCTGCTATAACTGAAGGCTCTTCCAGTTCATACCACCAGCTGTTTCAAAGACCACCGGTACAGCCGCCTAGACCAACACAACCTTCAATACCAGCACAGCAGTATCATCCAAAACCACAGGTAAAACCACCACCCAACTCAACTCCAGGAAATCCTCCGTTACCATTTAAGTATCCAAAAAACTACAAGTGCAGAAAATGCAACAATACTGGCTACAAAATGAAAAATGGTCGAACTTGCAAAGATTGCTGGGAAGCTTTAGCTCCTCGTAATAGTTATAATTTGGTAAACAACAGTTTCCAACCCCACTATTTCGGATCTACTACATATGTCCCTTACACACCTCCTCTCCCACCGGGAGCTACTAATCGAGCCCAGTTGCCTCCCATAAGAGTGCCACCGGGTGATCCGAGATTAGGTGGTATTTTATGTGGTCGATGTAGAGGCTCGGGAATGGTACGGTTCTTATTGGATATGGAATTGTGTCCTGTTTGCTCGGGACTAGGCAGAGTTATCAATGTGCCCCAACCATTTCCACAATACCCACAATACCCACAATACCCGCAGCACCAGCAGCACCAGCAGTTTCTGTATATGCCGCAACCGCAAGGTGGCCCCGTACCCTATCAACGCACCAAAAACTATGCAGATAGGAAGCGCTAGGAAAAGAAAAAGTACTATATAAAGAGAAATGGCTAATGTTGATAATGGATTCTTTTGTTGTCAATGGATTCTTTTGTTGTCAAATACATAGTCTAATTTTTTTTTCTTCACTGATAATTTGAAGGGTATTTGAAACCAGAAAGTTCGTAAAAGTTTTCCTTTATGTTTCTTATCGAAACAAATCTCGTTAAAATGTTGCCACTACCAGCTTTATCATTTGTACCCGAAGCTCTTGCACCTCCAAACCATTGTTGGCCAACAACTGCTCCGGTGGATTTATCATTGATATAGAAATTACCAGCAGCATATCTCAACTTCTCTTCTGCTAATCTAATAGCTTCACGATCTCTAGCAAAAATTGATCCTGTCAATCCATATTTGCTTACTGAATCTATGGATTCGATAACCTTGCTAAACTCTCCATCCGGATATACATATGCCGTTAATATTGGCCCGAAAAATTCCCTTGATAAATACTCATGGTTCAAATTGCTTGTCTTGATCAATGTTGGCTGGACATAGAACCCCTTGCTTGAGTCGTATGATCCTCCACTAACTATTTCCAATTCTGGATCCTGCTTAGCATCATCTATAGCTTTGGCCAATTTGTTGAACGACTGTTCATGGATAACAGGACCCATGAACGAATTGAGCGTTGTTGAGTTAGAAGTATCTCCAATACTAATTTGGGACATTTGACCACACAATATATTCTTGAATTCAGGCCAAAGTGATTCTGGAACATATAATCTAGAAGTTGCTGAACATTTCTGACCCTGATATTCAAAAGCACCTCTCAAGGTAGATAATACCGAGTGATTTAATGAAGCACTAGGGTGAATCAAATGGAAATTCTTACCACCGGTTTCACCAACAATTCTTGGGAAATCCCTATACTTGTCCTGGGCTACATTAGTGCTGATGTTGTGGTACAACTTCTTGAAAACATCAGTAGATCCTGTGAAGTGTAACGCAGCGAAATCCCCATCATTAATGACTATATCACTAACTGCAACAGGGTCCCCAGGAATAAAATTGATAACTCCTGCAGGTAAACCAGCTTCTTCCAAAACCGTCAATAATAAATAATTGGATAATGCAGCGGTGGCTGAAGGTTTCCAAACAACGGTGTTACCCATCAATGCCGGAGCTCCTACCAAATTAGCAGCAATAGCGGTGAAATTGAATGGAGTTACAGCATAAACAAAACCTTCCAATGGTCTATACTCTGCGCGGTTCCAAACACCTGGTGATGTCTGAACTGGTTGTTGGCCATACAATTCCTCAGCGTATTTCACATTGAATTTGAAGAAATCGATCAACTCAGCAACACAATCAATCTCGGCTTGATATACGTTTTTACCCTGACCCAACATTGTTGCCGCCAACATATCGTATCTGTACTTTGTTGAGATCAAATCGGCAGCTTTCAAGAAAATCGCTGCTCTATCGGTCCACGAGGTTTGTAACCATTTTGTTTTAGCTGCTTTGGCAGCATCAATTGCTGCTTGAACATCCTCGGTGGTCACTTGCGACACATCGGCCAAAATCTGCGAGTGATTGGCAGGGTTCACTTGAGGCTTTGTTTTCTCCCTATAGATTTTCTTGCCGCCAATAACTATAGGCACCTGCAACGTACTTTCATCGGTGAATTTGGTCAATGAAGCTTTTAGCAAGTCCCAGTCTTTAACATCATTGAACCCGAAATTCTTGACTGCTTCATTTTGGAGAAATGGTGGTGCTTTGACATGCGCTAATTGCGACACGTGTCTTACAAATCTACCGGCAACCACCAACTGCGACACCCGTGTTTCAACTGCGAATTGTACCATCCTGCGGCCTCCTGAGGCTGCTCTAGCTGCTCTAGCTGCTTGTGTCAACTTCAACATACCTTATACTTTTTAATACTTCCTTGTAATTCCTTGTACTTCCTTGTACTTCCTTGTACTTCCTTGTAATTCCTTGTACTTCCTTGTACTTCCTTGAAATTCCTTGTAATTCCTTGTACTTCCTTGTACTTCTTAGTGGGGGGGAAAAAAAGTGGCTAGTGTAATTATAAAAAGTGTTTATAACCAATAGTGATTCCAATCTCAATATATACTTGTATATATATATCCCAATACTCCTCCAATTCGGAGTTGACAAAGAAAAAAGAATTCAACAAGACTAAGATGAGCATCGGGGGGTATGTCGAAATATGGGTGAGATATAGCGAGGGAAAAAATAGAGTGATCCGCGAATATTTCCTTCAAGGGTTTACGTTAACGAGACAACACTATCGACACACTATCGAGCGAAGCGAGATAGTGGAGCACATTGACTACTCCAACTCTGACTACACCAACACCGACTACTCCAACTCTGACTACTCCAACTCTGACTACTCCAACTCTGACTACTCCAACTCTGACTACTCCAACTCTGACTACTCCAACTCTGACTACTCCAACTCTGACTACTCCAACACCGACTATACCAACTCTGACTACTCCAACACCGACTATACCAACTCTGACTACTCCAACACCGACTATACCAACTCTGACTACTCCAACACCGACTATACCAACTCTGACTACTCCAACACCGACTATACCAACTCTGACTACTCCAACACCGACTACACCTGAAACTACCCTTTTCATCTCTCTTCTCTCTCTCTTTGTATGCACGTTACATTGTCATAATATTAGATGATAAACTAGATACGTTATATTGTCATGATATTTGATAGATAAACTAGATATATCGAGCAAAGCGAGATAGTGTTCTAACAAGCTACTGGGTGTTGCTCCACTATCGAGCAACACTATCGAGCAAAGCGAGATAGTGTCTCGATAGTGTCGCTCGATAGTGTCGCTCAATAGTGTCACGAGATTGTAACAAGCTACTGAGTGTTGCTCCACTATCTCGCTCTGCTCGATAGTGTTCTAACAAGCTACTGAGTGTTGCTCCACTATCTCGCTCTGCTCGATAGTGTTCTAACAAGCTACTGAGTGTTGCTCCACTATCGAGCAACACTATCGAGCAAAGCGAGATAGTATCTCGATAGAGTCGCTCAATAGTGTCGCTCAATAGTGTCACGAGATTGTAACAAGCTACTGAGTGTTGCTCCACTATCTCGCTCTGCTCGATAGTGTTCTAACAAGCTACTGAGTGTTGCTCCACTATCTCGCTCTGCTCGATAGTGTCGCTCTGCTCGATAGTGTCGCTCTGCTCGATAGTGTCGCTCTGCTCGATAGTGTCGCTCTGCTCGATAGTGTCGCTCGACAGTAGGACCACTAATTGCAACTTTTCATCAACTCATCGACTCTCGACTCTATTTTTCCTTGATTTTCATCAAATACTCTTCTCGAATCGTCTAATTTTCTATTGACTTGATTCATTGAGTCATCCCATCTATGCATATCACCAATGAGATCACTTATCATTTGGTCTAAACCCTTTGCAAATTTTATTGTCTCGTTGACCTCGCTATGTATATTGTTGAGAGTTTTCAATCTTTGTAAAAGGGCAGGTGCATTTTTGGCATAATTTTTCAAATTGGGAAGAATGGTATAGATATTGTCAATCTTATCCGACTTTATCTTTGGTTCTTCTTCGATACCAAATACTTTTTTGCTTAATTCCAATTTGTTGATTTCTTTGAAAAGAGATTCAATGTGTTCTTCAATAACACTTATGCTATACTCTGGATGCTCTATCACGTCTAATCTTCTTTTAATCTCATTGATTGCAAATTGAATCGATTGTGTTCGCTGCGGCGCTTCTATACCTATCAATTTTTCAATACTACTTAGCTGTTTCTCGAAATCGGCCAATTGTTGTATTTCCTGGGTTTTGTTGGTTTTGGCGGTGGCGGTGGCGGTGGCAGGTTTGGGAATGCTGAAAATTGCGTCTAGATTGAGTTCCTCCTCTTGAAAAGCTTCCAAGGCACACTTGTCCTCGTTGGTGGTGTTTTTCAACTTCAATAATATATCACTCAAATTACAAATTTCTTCTTGCGTTAAAGAACCGCGATCATCATTGGTAAGCTCTTCCAACTCCCTCTTAATCCTAGCGATTTTTGCCTCTTTTGTCTCGTAAGCCTCCTTCACCTGGTACCCATCTAAATTAGTTACGTTTCCTGAAAAGTCAAATCGACTGTTGATGATAATACTCTTTAAAAATTGTTTCCTTGATTCTTCAAAATTAACATTCTCAATCTCGGAGCTTTCAGAGCCAAGTTCATCGACATTTCTTTCGGTTTCCGTTTCTGTATCTGATGTCTCAAATACCTCTTGGCTGTTGGTATCTATTCCCGGTAGTTCATTGAACTTATACATGAGCCAAATACAACAAGGGGTTTGAAGACGGACCTATATATCCATTTCCCATCATCAAGCTCATCGACATCGATCACCGTATAAAATAGCGATATTGCTGCTACCAATTGTCGTGAGATGCCTCGTCAACACTATCGACCAACACTATCGACCAACACTATTGAGCAACACTATCGAGCAGAGCGAGGTAGTGTTGTGACAAGCTACAAAGTGTTGCTCCACTATCGAGCGAAGCATCTAGTCAAGTCTCTAGTCTCTAGTCACCACTATCGAGCGAAGCACCACTATCTAGCTCTGCTCGATAGTGTTGAAACAAGCTACCGAGTATTGCTCCACTATCGAGCAAAGCGAAATAGTGTAACGAGATTGTAACAAGCTATTGAGAGCAAGATAGTGTTTTAACAAGGTACTAAGAGCAAGATAGTGTTCTAACAAGCTACTGAGAGCAAGAAAGTGTTTTAACAAGGTACTAAGAGCAAGATAGTGTTCTAACAAGCTACTGAGAGCAAGATAGCGTTCTAACGAGCTACTAAGAGCAAGATAGTGTTCTAACAAGCTACTGAGAGCAAGATAGCGTTCTAACGAGCTACTAAGAGCAAGATAGTGTTCTAACAAGCTACTGAGAGCAAGATAGCGTTCTAACGAGCTACTAAGAGCAAGATAGTGTTCTAACAAGCTACTGGGTGTTGCTCCACTATCTCGCTTTGCTCGATAGTGGACAGCTACTGGGTATTGCTCGATAGTGGCGTCTATGCTATTACTATTTAGTAACAATTTGTACCACATCTTCATCATGCACTGGGTGGTTCAATCCACATTTCTGCGGCGAGTGTTTAGCGCTCGATCCCCAAACCATAGCATACTTAAACTGGTTCTTCATATCCCTATGGATTGCATCACACACTTCCAATACCGTACTCTTATTCCTCACCACCATAGGGTCGTTCAAATTGGGCGTTACTCCTCTTCGTTTAGTGTATAACCTCAACAAATCCAACTGCCTCCATATCTCCTCTTTCAAATCTTCGATACCTAAATCTAACTCGCAAGACATGACAACGGTATTTGGCTCCCTTGCAAGTCTATCGCACTCTTCCAAACTAACAGCGTCAATCTTATTGTAAACGTAAAGACATTTGATATAGGATATATGTTTCTCGTTTATCACATCGATAAAGTCGTCTACCGTGACATTTTCATCTCTTATTAGCACATGTGCGTTCAATATCTTGTAATCCTTCAAAATGGCACAAACGAGTTTTTCATCGAGGTATTTAGGCGGTATGATTGAGTTCATCTTTACACCGCCTGTCTTCTTCAACGTGATTGTTACATTTGGTCTCAGTTTGTTCAATCTTATCCCCATCGATTCCAACTCATTCTCCAATATTTGCCGTTGATCTTCACTTTTAGTAGCATCCAAAACCATCAAAATCAAGTCTGAGGTTCTAGACACGGCAATGACTTGACGGCCTCTTCCTTTACCCTGCGCGGCTGCTTTGATAATACCGGGCAAATCTACAATTTGAACCTCGGCTCCATTATATTCCAATATTCCTCCAACCGATGTCAAAGTGGTGAACTCGTAATTAGCAGCTTCAGATTTGGTGCTGGTCACTTTGGACAAAAACGAGGATTTACCAACAGACGGGAACCCAATCAACGATACTCTAGCATCTCCCGCTTTAGCAACCTCAAAACCTTGGCCTCCTCCAGAGGAGCCTTGTCCTGGTTGCGGTTCAAGTAATTCTCGCCGATATCGTGCAAGCTTACCTTTTAGTAGACCAATATGATACTCCGTGGCCTTGTTCTTTTGCGTCCTCGCTAACTCTTCTTGAATCTGTGCTATCTTCTCAATAATACCCATCTTTCAACAACAACTACCACTTCAACAACCACTTCAACTCAGTCACTCTTGATGAAAGAATTTGGTGGAATTTAAAAGGAAATTGAAATTGAAAAAAAAAAAAATTAAAACTGAAAAATTTGGCTCATCTCCATCTCATCGCATAAGATATTCAAAGGTTTCCTGTACTTATTTGCCATGCCAAAGTATGCTAAAGGAGCTGGAAGAGCTGGGGGAAGAGCCAGAGGTAGTAATGGTCCTATAGAAGTATCAAAGGCCCTAAGTACTGGATCTTCGGCCAAACTTAAAAAGAAAATAAGGGATATCGAGAGGGCCTTAAGGAAGCATGATAAACTACCGGCAGATAAGAAGATAGAATACGAAAGAGCTCTCAAGGCGTTGAATGTTGAATTACAAAATGCACAATTGCATCAAAAGGAAAAAGCCAATGCGTCCAAGTACCATATGGTTCGGTTTTTTGAGAAGAAAAAGGCGATACGGAAATTGAAACAGCTACGAAAAACATATGAGGAGGTTGAAAAGACTCAAGTTAGAAAGGATATCAAAAAGGCAAGAAAACAATTGAAACACGGAGAGGTTGATTTGATGTATGTAGTATTATTCCCCAAGTCTGAAAAGTACATTTCCCTTTATCCAAGTTCAAATGAGGAAGATATGACGGATCCGAAAGTAAAAGCAGGAGTAAGGAAAACAGAAGCTCAAAGAATAGAGTTTCGAAAGGAAATTGAGAATTTGATGGCTTTGGGAAAGATCCCATTCACAGTGGACGACATAATACAGGGTAAACATGTTAAATTCGAAGCTGAAAATACTCATCCATCTAAGGAGATCGACGCGCCTGTACCAAAAGATGATAAGAAAGAAGGAGGAGGAGGAGGAGAAGAAGAAGAAGAAAATGGGGACGATTTCTTTGAGTAATAGAATGCTTGGAAAAGTATCATCCTTAATAAATAAATAAATAAATAAAAATTCTATAAAAGTTTGATTTCTCCGTCATACTGCAAATCCATGCCATCATTGACCACTGAAACTTTGACGTTTTTACCAAACAAATCTGGTGTCACGATTAGATCACAGACAACAGTACGTTTTGATCTCACCATTTTTGGTGAAGCTCTCTTTAACAAAAGCAACTCTTTCTTCCCATCATGGATTATTACAAACCATGACTCCCTTTGTGGTTTGGGGAAATACGGACAATATAACTTGAACTCATCATTCAAAGGGCTGTTCCCACCAACGAGAGATACTCGAAGAGAATCTTGTTTTTCTTGTTTGATTTCCAAGTTTCCTGTAGGCAAGTGAGACGCAATTTTGACAAACTGTGCTTTAGCTGCTTCCTTTTCCTTTTCCTTTTCCTTTTCTTTTTCTTCCTCCTCCCCCCTCTCCTCAATACTGTGGCCAGATACTTCTCCTCCTTTCACACCCATTCTCCTTTCTGCTAAATTAAACAATTGGCCGCGTTTCATTTCACCAACTTCCTTCAACCCAATCAATTTCTTGATTTCACTTTTTGGGGTCAACTTTGAGCCTAGTAGCGCTGAAACTGGATCGTCATCATACCAATACCTCTGTTTTAAACATTGCATCAATTCAACAAGAACAAACACTGTTTGTAAATAGCCCATCTCTGCAGCTGCATCGATATATGCTTGTAATATACGTAGCGCTTGGTCCAATACTGAGACCGTATCTTGGGCATAATCTGCAATTGGAAGTTCCACCCTGCTCATAAACGCTTGCATGAGAAGATACGCTTTAACATGTGGATCCCAAATAAATTCCTTCTCAAGATCTTCAGCCTGATATCTCATCGATACGGACATCTCCATATTTATCAATTCTTCCCCGTGACGTGTGGCTAATTCATCATACTCAGTGGCCTCACAAAGTAACATCAAACAGTGTCTAAAATCCATAGTAGGGGCAACCTTCTTAACAAAATTTCTCATAGTCAAATGCGAAAGATAGTAGTAAGATGAAATATGCAAAAATGGTGTTGCATGTAAAACATCGGTCCCCAGCGTTAGTACACATTTAGACTCTGCCAAGTTATCAATAGCCAGATCAATAAGACCCGCCAAATATTTCGAAATCCCATATTGAGAAACATCTTCAATCCCGTAATAAGTTGGATTATTATGAGCTCTTCTGTACAAAAATGTCCATGTCAAGAATTCCATTGCTTCTTGTCTCGTTGTAATAGTGCCTGCAGCTATCTCTGCACCAATATGATTATCTAAAACTTTTTGCAATGAGGATTCAACAGGAAATCCCAAATTCAAAAAGTGCTTGTAGAAGATCTTTTTCGACTCCTTCGTATAAACGATAGCTATACCGCTGGTATCAAACGCGGGTCGACCAGCTCTCCCCATCATTTGAAGAATATCTGTCAAATCCATATCCCTATATCCTTCGATCTTGGCATCAAAGAATTGTGTACCTTTGATAATTACCAAATGTGCCGGTAAGTTGACACCCCATGCTAAAGTAGATGTAGCTACCAAAATTTGTATCTTACCAGCTTCAAATAGTTTGTGTGAAATTTGACGATCAGACTCAACCAAACCGGCATGATGAAGGCCCATTCCAAATTGCAAAGATAATCTTAAAGTATCATCCTTAACTTTCTCCAAAACTTCTTCCAATTCATACTCTGACATTTTCAAAAACCTTCTAGGATTGGCCTCCATTCCACAAAGGTGAATCAAATCTAACGCAGTTAATCTTGTTTGTCGACGAGAGGCAACAAAAATTAAAACAGGTTTTTCCGGTGAATGTTGTTTGATTGCCATAAATGCCGGTTTGTTCATTGTTTTCATCAATGGACAAAAGGCTAAATTGTCAGGAAACCCATCAATGTACATCTGTAAAGGAACAGGACGCACCGATTGGGGGAAATTGAAAAGACCATTACGAACCCCCAACCAGCCAGCCATATCAAACGCATTGGAAACGGCAGTAGACATACCCAATAAACGCACAGGTTTTTTAAGTTGAGAGCCAATATAATTCATTCGACTTACAATCATCTCCAAAATAGGTCCACGATCACTTGCTAAAAGATGAATCTCATCCATGATAACTAGTGACACTTGCTGAACAAATTTCCTGGTTTGCCAATTACGTGAAATACCATCAAATTTCTCAGGAGTGGTAATAATAATGTCGGCTTCCTTGACTTCATCAGTGGTGGGTAACGAATCGCCCGTCAATTCAACAAGCTTGTGACTTGTGTTTTGACATATTCTCTTTTTCCAATCGTCAACTCTCTCACGTACAAGAGCCTTCATGGGAGCAATGTAAACAACCTTGGATCCAGGGAATTCGTTAAAGGCATGCCAGATTGCCAACTCGGCCACCAATGTTTTACCTGATCCAGTGGGTGATCCAACAAATACACTTTCATTAGTGTTGTATAACGAGTGGAATACCATTGTTTGCATTGGATTGAAATACCGAAACTTGGATGAATAGATTTTCTCTATATCTGGATTATGCAATGCTGTTATAGGTAACGGCAGTAGTCTCAACAACTCAGTTTTCATTGTTTCATTCAGCGGCTTGATCAAATGTTGGAAAGAGATTGGATGAACCGTTTCAGAACCAATCCATAAGTCAGATACAATTTTCACAATAACCTGTGACGGTAATGGATCAGATAACGGAATCATAAAGTCCATTTCATGAGGCCTGCCTACTTGTCTTTTGTTCAAAATAAACTTTTCCACATGCAAAACAGCATTCAGTTTATCTGATTCCTCCACGGTCAACCAAAAGATTTGTGCCATACCATGATATCTAACGTCCCAATCAAAATCTGGTACTAATTCGACATGTAATCTCATTACGTTTGTTGTAATAGGAAATATCTCAGAGTTGATTTCAATGTATGGAAACTTGCCAACTAGTTTGTACAAGACATTTCCCATCAGGTTATTGTGAACAAAGTCACCTAGTTCCGCTGGTTCCATATCCCGTAACATTGCCATAGTTGGGTTTTTGTTTTTGATGTTCTTTAGTACCGGTTCGGGCAAATCAAATTGACACATTGGGTGCTCAAAAGACCAAATTCTTTTATCAATAGACTTGCATAAGGACAACATTATTTCCATTAGCTTTCCCCATCTTCTATTCATGGCAATAAGAAATAATGCTCTGCAAATTCTGGCGGAATTCTGTGCAACATAATTTGAATCTGAGATCAAAGCCGATTCCCGGACGTTAGCTTGTGAGATGAATGCTTGAAGTAAAATGTTTGTTTTTCCTGGCGGAGAATCGATATCTGCCGCAATCTGACAAGGTGCGTCTTCCTCCAACAAAATCTTTAGCTCTCTGGCCTCTTCCTCCCTAAACTTAATGCCATCAAACTCGCTACTCATACAAATCATTGAAAGGATGTCAGCTTCAGTAGCTAAAGGATTCATCATTTGGTTGAATATCTCAACCGAATTGTTAAGTAAATAGAAATCCGAAGCAATTCGTCCTAAATCCTTGGGTGTAAACGAACCTGTTTCTTCATCAAAAATAATCATTTGCAAGGCGTGGAGTCTCTTGGCAGAAGCAACAATCATATCTCTTCTTCGGTTAATTAAAAGCGGGTCTTCTTGGATCTCTTGCCAGGACATGGAATATGCAAAAGGGTTTCTTTTCATCCTCGTGATCATATAGGTATAGCCCAACCATTGCACTCCTTCGTCCACATTTGTTACAGTTCCAAGAGATATCTCGGCATTGAGGTTATCAGTAATTTTCTCCTTGAGCTTTGACTCAATCGGATGTTGCTGCGTTAACAATGAAATGTAATGATCCATCTTATCGCTTGTGGTGCACAATATACCAATACCAAACTTTTCATATTGCGGTCGACCAGCACGTCCAAAGATTTGTATGACATCGGATATTCCAAGGTCAATAAATCCACCTTCTTTCGAATCGTAAACCTGAGTTCCTTTGATTATAACAACGGCGGCCGGTAAGTTCACACCCCATGCTAAAGTTGACGTACAACAAAGTACCTTTATTGCCCCGCTTTCAAACATTTTTTCAGTCAAATTACGATCGCTTCGAAGCATACCGGCATGGTGAGTTCCAAACCCACTCGGAAACAACTCGCGCAATTCTTTACTTCTATTCTTTTGCGATGCTTCTCTTTTGAATCTCTCGTAGCTTTCATTTTCAGTGCAGTCAAACAATCCAAGTTCATTGTGATCCTGGGCCATCAGGATAAATCCCCTTGCTGTGTTCACTGTCTCTTTTCGAGAATGGACAAAGACCATCACTTGGAGTCCCTGGCTGACGTATTCAGCCAATTTATTGTACGATACCTTGTTCAAGTTCTCCCTTGCAAACTTCGACCCCGATTTTCCACGAACTCCCAATATTTGTTGTTGAAGTGGAATAGGTCTAAATGACAGATCGAAATAAAACATTCCAATATTCCTATTTACTCCTAAAAAGTCCGCCACATCCATGTAATTTGGCAACGTAGCAGACAACCCAACAACTCTTATCATCAGCTGAGTGCTCTCAACTTGCCGAAGTGTACGAGCAACTAAAGTTTCTATAACAGACCCTCTGTCCTCATGCAAAAGGTGTACCTCGTCAATTATAAGCAATTTAACTTTTGCAACCAACTCACTATCACCATTCAGCTTACGTGTGACCACGTCCCATTTTTCTGGTGTTGTTACTATAATTTGGGTATCAATGATCTCTTGCCGCGTCAACTGCATATCACCAGTCAACTCGCGCACTTTAATACCCAACCATTGCAATTTTTTAGAGTACTTCTCGACGATTTCGGCTGCCAATGCCTTTAGCGGCGCAACATATATTATCTTAAACTCATCGTAGTCAATGTCAATCACAATGTCGTCCCCTTCTTCGCTCGTTGACTCGGACATAAACTGATCAATAGTATGCAAGATGGTCAACAATGCCACATCTGTTTTACCTGCACCTGTAGGAGCACAAACAAGCATATTCTCGTTGGTGTTATATGCCACTGGAAAAACCAAGCTTTGCATTTTGTTCAAAGTATCGTAATTCTTAAATGTGCCCTGACAAAGGAAATCCATATCCCTGACTTTAACTAATTGGTTATCGCGGATCCATTTATTCGGTAGGGTTTCGTCTGGATACGGGATAATAAGCTCTTCGTTAGTTGCATATGAATTTCGAACACTTCCTTTCGGTAGCGAGAGTTTCCCTCCCGTGACAGCTGCCAAGTTTACTGTATCTTGGTTCTTGTATACATGAGCATACTTTTGATATTCTGATTTGGGCAATATTGCCTGAGACTTGGTTTTGTTATAGCTATCTATGAGCAACTGCTCATGTTGCTCTGCAGTCAAGAGCTGACTTGTTTGTGCCTGAAAGGGGCAATTAGAGCTAAATACCTTTTTGTTTTGCACAATTTTCGATATAAGCTCAAACTCGTCAAAGCCCAAAATGTCAAATAGTGATGATTCAAGCTCTTGGTCACTTTTGGAACCCTTGATCAAAGATTGCACTAGAGTGAAGGTCTCATTTTCGTTTTGACCTCGGTCTTTGCTTATCTTGGAACAAGCCCTCTGAATCCCATCAATAATGCATTTAGACTCCTCCTCCGCTTTCGCCTCGGAGTTTCGCCCAAGGCGTTTAACGGCATCACTAGATACTCCAATAAATCTCTCAAGAATAGTTTCTATTGATCTATACCTTGCTGGCTCGCTATCTATAGGCTTAACGTGCTTCAGTTTCTTGTGCTGTTGCAGTGTAAGCTGTGAAAGCTTCTGATCCATTTGCCACATCGCCTCCATATAGGACTTAACAGAAGTCACATTATACAACGCCATGGTTTGTTCACCTTTATAAGAATAGTCAATATGATCTGAAAAATGTTGAAAAAAAACGTCGACGGAAAATGCGCCGGCGGCGGCAGCGACGGCCCACTACGACACTATTGAGCGGAGCGAAATAGTGGAGCAGCACTAGCTACACTAGCTTCAACACTAGCGACAACACTAGCTACAACACTATCGAGAGCGAGATAGTGGAGCAGTATTTCCACAATCTCACTTTGCTCCATAGTGTCTACAAAGTGATATTCCACTATCGAGCAGAGCGAGATAGTGGAGCACAATTAAATGTTAACAATAAATATTCAATATAGTTTACGCACTGACTAAATACCACCTACAGTTTGTAGCTTGTTACAACTCTATCGAGCGACACTATCGAGCGACACTATCGAGCGACACTATCGAGCGACACTATCGAGTGGAGCGAGATAGTGGAGCACCACTTTGTAGCTTGTTACAACACTATCGAGCGAGATAGTGGAGCACCACTTTGTAGCTTGTTACAACACTATCGAGCGATATCGAGCGGATGTGTATTAGTATTAGGAGTAGTATATTGGTGTAGTCAGGGAGATAGTGTCGGTGGGAGCCATTGCAGTTGAAAGAAGGAGAGAAAGAAGAGAATACTCTCCAGAACAGTTGAGTAGAACGATAGTGTCCGTCAGTGTGCTCCGCTCTCGAGCAGAGCGAGAAGCAACACTATCAAGCAGAGTGAGATAGTGTTGTAACAGGCTAGTCAGTGTACTCCACTGTCGAGCAGAGCAAGATAGTGGGCAGCTCGATAGTGGAGCAACACTTTGCAACAGGCTAGTCAGTGTGCTCCACTATCTCGCTCTGCTCGATAGTGGGCTGCTAGTCAGTGTTGGTAGTGCGGCTTTTCACCTACGCGCACGACTGTAACTGAATTTATTTTTCAATGCTCATCGCATAAGGAGATGAGGTTAATCATTATAGTTGAAAGAGTAGCAAGTGAAAAGATAGTAAAAAATGGCAAAGAAGCCTAGCGTCAAGCTGCCCGGGAGTAGATCTGAAAGACAGAATGATGTGAGTTTGAAGAAGAGAGCCAGAAATGAGGAGGAGGAGGAGGAGGAGGAGGAGGAAAAAGAGCTTGAGGAGGATGAGGAGGAAGAAAGTAATGAGAAAATTGTTGATGATCTTGATGCCAATTTTGACGAAATTGCCCAACTTCTTGGAAACGATGTAAAAGATTTCAAACAGAAGAAACAAGACAAAAAACAGGCAAGAGATGAAGCCAGATTACAGGAGCTCACTAAACCAAAAGTTTCAACCTTTGTAGGTAATAGCGATAATAATAAAAATGATGAGAACGATGATAACGATGATGGTGAGTCTGGGGACAATTACTCCTTTGAGAAAGCGGAATTCTCCGAGCCAACAATGAAAGCCATTAGAGAAATGGGGTTCACCAAAATGACCAAAGTACAAGCCAAGACCATACCTCCCTTGTTGGCAGGGCGAGACGTGTTGGGTGCTGCGAAAACCGGTTCAGGTAAGACATTGGCGTTTTTGATTCCTGCCATAGAACTTCTATATTCCTTGAAGATCAAACCAAGAAACGGTACTGCAGTTATTATTATTACGCCAACTAGAGAATTAGCCTTGCAAATATTTGGAGTTGCGAGACAATTGATGGAGCACCATTCACAAACATGCGGTATAGTTATTGGTGGAGCAGATAGAAGACAAGAAGCAACTAAATTGACCAAGGGTGTAAATTTGCTTGTGGCAACTCCGGGAAGATTATTGGATCATTTGAAAAACACTCAAGGATTTGTATTTAGCAACTTGAAAGCTTTGATTATAGATGAAGCAGACAGGATATTGGAAATTGGTTTTGAAGAAGAGATGAAACAGATTATCAAGGTCTTGCCCAATGAAAATAGACAGACGATGTTATTTTCCGCTACACAAACCACCAAAGTTGAAGATCTTGCGCGTATATCATTGAGACCAGGTCCATTGTACATAAACGTTGTTCCAGAAAAGGACGTTTCGACAGCAGACGGATTAGAACAAGGATATGTGGTATGTGACTCCGATAAGAGATTCTTGCTACTTTTCTCCTTCTTGAAGAGAAATGTGAAAAAGAAAATCATTGTTTTCGTGTCATCATGTAACAGTGTCAAGTTCTACAGTGAATTGCTCAACTATATTGACTTACCAGTATTGGATTTGCACGGCAAGCAAAAGCAACAAAAGCGTACAAATACCTTTTTCGAATTTTGTAATGCCAAGCAGGGTATACTAGTGTGTACTGATGTTGCAGCAAGAGGATTAGATATCCCTGCAGTTGACTGGATAATACAGTTTGATCCTCCAGACGATCCAAGAGATTATATTCATAGAGTTGGTAGAACGGCGAGAGGTACTGATGGAAAGGGCAAGTCATTGATGTTCTTAACTCCTTCTGAGTTGGGATTCTTGAGGTACTTAAAAGCAGCCAACGTACCTTTAAACGAATACGAGTTCCCGGCAAATAAAATTGCAAATGTTCAATCGCAATTGACTAAACTCATAAAGACAAACTACTTACTACACCAATCGGCAAAGGATGGATATAGAGCTTATTTGCAGGCATACGCTTCGCATAGCTTGAAGACGGTTTACCAAATCGATAAACTAGATTTGGTCAAAGTAGGGAAATCGTTTGGTTTCGATATTCCTCCAAAGGTCAATATCACGATTGGTGCAAGCGGCAAGTCCATAGAAAAGAAACATAAAAAACAGAAAAGGGACAAGAAATAGAATTGCAAATAACTTTGAAATTTTTTTTACAAATTTTGATTAACTAATAACCCCCTTCTCCTCTATCTCTGTCTCTAAATTGTATCTAACCCTCTTCTCCTCGATCTCTGTCTCTAAATTGTATCTTTTTGGCCTGTCTGGCATTGCAATTCTTGCCTGGTGCAGACGCGTTTTGAAAAATTGAAAAAAAAAAAAAAAACGATTTCTTTGATTCTTGAAACCCTAGATGATCATTATTCAATGCCTCATATGTCCTACAAGGAATACCTTACCGCGAATTCTGATGATAGTAAAGTGTTTAGAAAAGAGACTGAAATACCAGTAGAGTTTGACAAGCGCAATGAGTTCTTTATAGACCCAAAGTCTCGGAAGTATGATAAGCAATATTTTTCAATGTACCAATATCGACTATCACACTTGAAGGAGCGGGTGATTTCCAACGCGATGGAGAAATGGGGCAACTGCACACGAGAAATTGATGGGCAAAAGATAGTGAAGCAAGATAAGATTCTTGATATCCAGAGCGGGAAGCTTTGTTGGGTTGTAGGGACTGTATTTTGTGATGCTAAATATAAATTGAATATCTTGAGTGACGTTGAGAAAGGTACTGATGATATTTTACCGCTAGTGCCAGCGAGGTATGTAAGTGATGAAGACCAGCCAATAGTGATGTTGGAAGATGAGTCTGGGCGTGCCGTTTTGCATAACGAAGAATTTTTGAAGAAGAATTTATTAGTTACTGGGTGTATTGTTGGAGTGCTAGGGATTGAAATTCAAGCGGGTATTTTTGAGATAATGGATGTTGTTTATCCCAAGTGTGCTCCACAGAAGCCTCTCAAGACCCACGGCAATGGCAATGTGAGTGGCGATGTTGATGTTGATGTTGGGGCGGGAAGAGTAGCGATAGTCTCTGGTTTGAATATTGGCGTTGCCGGAAATTACGATTTAAAAATTGAATTACTCAAGCAGTATCTCATTGGAGAGCTTGGAGCCGATGTGGATAAATCGTTTAGCTCTGAGATATCCCAGCTAGTTGTAGCGGGGAATTCTATAGAACCGATTCGCGATATCACTGCCGAGGAAGATCTTAAGAACTTTGTAACTACAAACAACTATGGGTCAAAAAATATCACAAAGTACACCACTGAGTCATTGAAGCAACTAGATCAGTTTATCAGTGAAGTTGTTGTCAGTCTTCCTGTGGCTATTATGCCCGGAGACCATGATCCTGCTGAGATCAGTCTACCTCAGCAACCGTTGCACAAATCCATATTCAATACAAATCGAGCAATTTTGGGAAGTGACAGGTTGCAAAGGCTTACGAATCCTGTTTGGCTTGAGATGAATGGTGTGAGAATACTAGGCACTAGCGGTCAGAACGTTGATGATGTGAAAAAGTATATAACAACAGAAGCAGGTGCCGAGTCCTCTTTGTCAATGAGAGTAATGAAGTCAAGTATGAAATGGCAAAATTTTGTACCAACAGCTCCCGATACATTATACTGCTACCCATATGATGATTATGACCCGTTTATTTTTACCAGTGAGTTACCTCATGTGTATTTTGTTGGGAACCAAGACAAATATGCTATTGATACATATACTTGTGAAGATTCAGGAGCAAAAGTAAGATTGATTAGCGTTCCAGATTTTAAAAGTAGTGGTGAATTTGTCATTTTAAATGTAGGGACGTTGGAAACGGAGGTGGTGAAGATCAAAGTGTGAACACTATCGACACTATCGACACTATCGAGCGAAGCGAGATAGTGGTGTAGCACGCAATAGCAACACTATCGACATTATCGAGCGAAGCGAGATAGTGGAGCAGCACCTAATAGCAACACTATCGACGCTATCGAGCAACACTATCGAGCAACACTATCGAGCGAAGCGAGATAGTGGTGTAGCACGCAATAGCAGCATTTGATAGCAGAGCGAGATATTGGTGGCAGTCATTGCAGTTGAACACTATCGACCAGGGTGAGCTGGTGGAGGTAGTGGAGGTAGAACGAGAGAGGGAAGAGTGGGAGAATACTCTGAAAAACAATTGATAGAACGATATTAGGAGGAAAGAGGGGTGAATACTCTGAACAGTTGATAGAACGATATTAGGAGGAAAGAGGGGTGAATACTCTGAACAGTTGATAGAACGACATTGGGTGCAAAAAGAAAAAACAAAATACTTTTGTTTAACAAAGGGAAACTTTTCATGTCTGTTAATTCTTTGGTTTATCTCTCTGTTGGTCTCTCTGTCACTACACTCTGCTCGCCGCATTCTACCTCTTACTCTCTATAGTCATAGTCTACCACTTACTCTCTATAGTCATAGTCTACTCTCTATAGTCATAGTCTACCACTTACTCTCTATAGTCATAGTCTACCACTTACTCTCTATAGTCATAGTCTACCACTTACTCTCTATAGTCATAGTCTACCACTTACTCTCTATAGTCATAGTCTACCACTTACTCTCTATAGTCATAGTCTACCACTTACTCTCAATAGTTATCGTCCACAGTTTATACTAAAGCTGCAGCTACTGTCGACACTCTACTCACCGCACTCTACACACGTCACTATCGAGCAGAGCGAGATAGTGTCATTGGTCAGTGTGCTCCACTATCGAGGAGGGCAAGATGGTGGAGCAACACTCAGTAGCTTGTTACAACACTATCGAGCAGAGCGAGATAGTGTCATTAGTCGGTGTTGCTCCACTATCGAACGGAGCATGATAGTGTTGCTATTAAGTGTTGCTCCACAATCTCGCTTCGCTCGATAGTGTCGATAGTGTCGATAGTGTCGATAGTGTCGATAGTGTTGATAGTTTTATTCAAAACTTTTGAATCAAGTTGATGCAAAAAGAGGCAACAGAGAGGTGTATGGTCACGTGTGAGGTATCATAGTATATGAATGTTATAAGAAGTATACGTAAAAAGATGCAATAGATAAAAGAGTCTAGAATAGATAGATAAAAGATTGTGGTGTAGGTAGATGAAAGATTGTGGTGTAGGTAGATGAAAGAGTGTGGTGTAGGTAGATGAGAGTGTAGATAGGTTATTAAAGTGTGTAGCTAGTCGGTGTTTGTCCACTATCATGCGGGTCGAGATAGTGTCGACAGTGTCAAGAGCTGGTGTTGCTATTACGTGCTCCACTATATCGCTCTCGATAGTGCTGCTATTGCGTGCTGCTTCACTATCTCGCTCTCAACAGTGCTGCTAGTGCGTGCTACTTCACTATCTCGCTTCGCTCGATAGTGTCGCTCAATAGTGTCAATAGTCTATCTACTATCAACTAGACTCGTTTCACTCGCCTAGTTTTCACTCGCCTAGTTTCTCTTCACTCGCCTAGTTTCTCTTCACTCGCCTAGTTTCTCTTCACTCGCCTAGTTTCTCTTCACTCGCCTAGTTTCTCTTCACTCGCCTAGTTTCTCTTCACTCGCCTAGTTTCTCTTCACTATCTACTATCAACTAGACTCGTTTCACTCGTCTAGTTTCTCTCCCTCCCTTATAATTCCCATTCATTTCATTGGCTGACACAGACTCCCATACACTTTCCAATCCCAACGCTACCAAGTTCCATCCTCCAATCGCTGGAGCCGCCGACTCTGAAAAAAAAAAAAAGGCCCATCTATATATAACTAGTTTGTAGTTGTTTGTAGTTGTTTGTTGTAGTAAACTAGGTAAAGAGTTGTTTATATTGCTTCAAACTTGTCCAGAGTTGTCCAGAGTTGTACCGGTTAGTGTGGAATTGAAGTATAATTCAATATATTGGTATTAGAAGTGAATATGATTCGTGGATCCTCGATAATAAAGCAAGTTTCCAAGGTTTCCAAGGTTCCCAAGGTTTTTAATTGTCGGTTTTTATCAACTGGTGTCAAGTACACTACATTATCTAATGGTATAACGGTTGCTAGCGAAGTTTCTGATGAGGCTCAACACTCAACTGTGGGACTCTATATCGCAGGAGGCTCAAGATCAGAGCACCCTTATTGCAACGGAGTCTCGGCTTTAACCGCTAATCTCTTGTCACAGCAGCACAATGTTGGCCAAGATGGCGTATTGACAAGCTCACATAACTCAAGGGAAATCAATGGCGTAGTTGCAGAAACCGCGAATAATAATGTCCAAGTAGCTGGTAAATTGATTGCACAAATTGCGTCAAATGCAACCGAAATTGTCTCAAAAGCTGATTTTGGAATCGCTAGAAAGAAGTTGATAAAACAAGCAGAAATTGTTGAAACCGATCCAGAATCAAAAGTATTGAGCCATTTGGCAGCTACCGCATTCCAGGGATACTCTTTGAGCTTACCAACTTTGGGAACAACCGAGAGCGTTGCTAATTTGGAAGTGGAGGATTGTTTGCGTCACTTGGAAAAACACTTGGTTAACAACAATGTTATCATTGCTGCTGCCGGTAGTTTTGACCACGAGAAATTGGTTGATGCTATTGAATCCAATTTGAAAATTGCACAAGGCGCTAAGCCAGAAATCAAACCAGCTTCGTTCTTGGGTTCTGAAGTTAGAATGAGAGATGATACCATGCCAAAAGCTTACATATCAATCGCTGTTAACGGTGAAGGCTTGGGTTCTCCAAACTATTACTTGGCTAAAGTCGCTGCTGCAATTTACGGAAATTTCAATATCCACTCCACAATTGCCAAATACACCTCACCAAAATTAGCATCAATTGTTCAAGAATACAAGATTGTTGAAAAATACCACCATTTCTCAAAATCATGGTCAGACACTGGATTATGGGGATTTTATGCCGAAATTCCAGATAAATTCACCGTTGATGACTTTTGTCATTTTTCATTAAAGGAATGGAATAGATTATCTATTTCCATAAGCGAGCAAGAAGTTGCTAGAGCTAAAGCACAAGTTAAAGCCAAATTGGCTTCTCATTATGCTTCAACTCGTCACATTTCCAAGGATATTGCCAAGAATATTTTAACTGTTGGTTTCAAGCATTCATTGAAAGAGGCTTTTGATAAGATTGATGCAATTACTGTTGGTGATGTAAAAGAGTGGGGTAAGAGCAAAGTATGGGATAGAGATATTGTTATTTCTGGTACTGGTCGTATCGAAGATTTGTTGGACTACAATAGAAATAGAAACGAAATGGCCATGATGAGATGGTAAGCAAAAAGAAGACCTGAGGAAGATGTAATATCCCCCAAAAGAATTGAAAATAAATTGCACTGTAAGTAAGAACTTTGGATCAAAATTTATTCTTTAATATAAGTCAAAATAAAAAAAAAAAACACACACACACACATAAACAAACAGACACTATCAACACTATCTCGCTCTGCTCGATAGTGGAGCATGCCTTCCTTGATTCTATTAGAGAGTGTCGGTGGCAGCTAGTGTCGATAGTGCCGGACAAGCGCTTTGTATTATCTTTACATGATTCCGCTCTTTTTCAAATTTTGTTGAGTAATCATATCAGCAACAGCACTGAGAACGAACTTCATTGAATTTGTATCTGTAGCGCAAGTTCTGTGGACATAGATTGGTTTATTTGTTCGATTCATTTTTAAAAAATTAGTTTCAAAAAACTTGATAGCTTCGTTAGCATCATCACTTTTACCCGTATAATCAGGAAAATATTTCCTTAATGGGTTGCGTTTGATTTTCTTTTCAAATAAATCAATCTTGTTGAGGAACAAGATGAACGGGGTATTGGCAAACCATCTCGAATTGCATAACTGGTCGAATAAAATGATCGATTCGTGCATTCTATTGACTCTTTCATCTTCAAACAACATTTGATCGTATTCGTTGATCGCGAGAACAAAGAGCACAGCTGTAATGTCGTCGAAACAATGAATCCACTTCTTTCGTTCGCTTCTTTGTCCACCTGCATCGAGAACCTTGAATTGGAAAGAGTTTATGGTGAAATTTGTCTCTGTTATACCAGTAGTTTTAATACGCCCGTTTAAAATATCCAAATCGGAACAAGTATAATAAGGATCAGCGAAATTGAATACATTATTGAAATAATATTCAGCGCTGCTCTCGAATTGAAATTCATTTGACCTTTCAAAGCATTTCTTTATTCCGGAATCCCTTGTCCATAAATTATGTATTGCTTCTGCGATTTCTTCTCTTGAATATCCAGATTGTTTTTGTTTTTGTTGTTTTTGTTGTTGTTGTTGTTTTTGTTGTTGTTGTTGTTGTTGTTGTTGTTGTTGTTGTGATCCATTAGTTGTAGACTTTACATTCTCCATCAATGGCAGGTTTGCCAAGGCTTCATTCATAGTCTCTGAATCCACAACACCGTCATTTTCATCATCCCTACAGTTGCCCATAAACTCAACAATTCCCGTACTGTCCATTCTTCTTTTAATCTTGCTCTTTTCGTCATACTTTAATATATAGTCGTTGAGAAAATCAAGGCCACCAGCAACACTAGTATCGATTTGAGTCAATGCATCGCTTCTCAAGACACATTGCTTATAAGGAATCAAAGGACTATCAGCTTGATCACAATTTAAGGGAATTTTCAATTTTCGAGCTTGTATAATCAAAATCTTCATACTTTGAATCACGTCACACCATATTATATGGGCGTATTGCATTCTTTCTTGGTGTGTGAAGCCCCCCTTGTGTAGGACTTTCAATTGCTTCAATACCGTCGATTTTCCACTTTCTCCTGCTCCTAAAAGTAATAGTTTAATAACTTGTTTGGAATTAGCTTTGTTTAAATTTAACGATTGCTCTATTGCATCGTTGATTTGTTTGTCTTGCAAAAAGAGGTCATTTTCTTCATCTGTTGGAATGCTAGTGCCACAACCCATTTCAAAATAGACTCTCCAAATAGTAGAGACGTGCTGGGCTGACTTGAAATGTTGAGTTGAACTTTCCTAAAGTTGAGCTATTGATACTCGCTTATGAAATAAGTTGAGCTATTGATACTCGCTTATGGTATAAGTTAATGCTTTATTCTACAACAGCAAGACCATTAATCCAAGACGAACAAGCTAGAACCAGCCAACTTGAATATCTTTGCCAATACTAAAAAACTAACCAAACCCCCAAATTACAATTATGTATCAAGTCAGTTAAAAACTAACCAAACCTCCAATTACGTACAAAAGTCATTCTCCTACAAGCCATAACCTGTTATAAGTATGCGGCATCCCTTTAGGGAAATACGGCCTAAACATGACTCTTGGATGTTTCACATTTAGACCATAATTAACCCAAAACTTGAAAGATAATCATTGATGGTTATGAGATGAGGTTTATCTGGTAGCGTTTCACTATAGATTATCTCAATAAGCAAATCAAATCCGTGTGTTGATGCATTGTTAAACATATAAGGTATTAGCTGAAACCAAAATCATTAATGGCTCTGGAGGAACAGACCAAAATCATTAATGGCTCTGGAGGAACAGACCAAAATCATTAATGGCTCTAGAAGAACAGACCAAAATCATCAATGGCTCTAGAAGAACAGACCAAAATCATTAATGGCTCTAGAAGAACAGACCAAAATCATTAATGGCTCTAGAAGAACAGACCAAAATCATTAATGGCTCTAGAAGAACAGACCAAAATCATTAATGGCTCTAGAAGAACAGACCAAAATCATTAATGGCTCTAGAAGAACAGACCAAAATCATTAATGGCTCTAAACATCCTTACAGGAAAGAAGTTCTGATTCAGAAAATGTCAAAAACTTTCAGGTTTTATTTCTAAAAATAGAAATATAACCGCGATGAGATATTACTACTGTTTTGGGAACTTTTTGATAACATTTTACCAAGGTCAAATAAGAAGGCTAAAAAAGGAGTAAAATAATAGCTCTTTTTCCACAACTCATATGTGAGTAAAAAACACCAAATGTCGTACGCGACACTAGCGAGCGAAGGGAGCTAGTGGAGCAGTATGTAGAGAGTACCAACACTAGCGAGCAAAGGGAGCTAGTGGAGCAGTATGTAGAGAGTACCAACACTAGCGAGCGAAGGGAGCTAGTGGAGCAGTATGTAGAGAGTACCAACACTAGCGAGTGAAGCGAGCTAGTGAGCAGTATGTAGAGAGTAGCAACACTAGCGAGCGAAGGGAGCTAGTGGAGCAGTATGTAGAGAGTAGCAACACTAGCGAGCGAAGGGAGCTAGTGGAGCAGTATGTAGAGAGTAGAGAGCAATGAGTAGTGAGCAATGATTAGAGACTGGTAAGTAGTAAGTAGAGACTAGTGAGTAGTGAGCAATGAGCAGTGAGTAGTGAGCAATGAGCAGTGAGTAGTAAGGAGTCAGTATAGAGGAGCAGTGAGTAATGAGTAATGAGTAGTAAGTAGTGGACCAATAAGTAGTGCGTACTGTGTAGTGTGTACTTTGTAGTGCCTAGAGAGTAGTGGCTAGAGAGTAGTGGCTAGAGAGTAGTGCCTAGAGAGTAGAGTAGTGAGCAATGAGCAGAGTAGAGCAGTGAGTAATAAATAGTCTACTCTCTTCTCTCTTTCGACTAGACTCGCTTTGCTCGTCTAGTCTTACTATCTCGCTCTGCTCGATAGTGTTGATGGTCAATGATACAATCAAACTTTAGGGCGGCGCGCTCGTCGTATTGCCGCACTTGCGCCCTCCCGCCCTGTCTCCCGCCCTGTCTCCCGCCCTCTTCTTCCCACTACCACCACCATTACGACAATAAAATTCGTTTTGAACTAGAGTGCACTACCTTTTTGAAAAATGAGTCAGCTCGATCCACAGTTTTTCATTTAGTCAAGCTTAACAATGGAATCAACTTTCTTTAGAAGAAGGTATAAATAGTGAGGAGTTGCTGCTCAGGTACTAAAGATAGGGTTTATTTTGCTCAATAACATAAAAGAAATCTTATTTCCAAGCTTTACGTTAAAGTTTACATATACATTTGGCTCTCTCATCTTTGTATTATTGAGCCCCCCTCCCCCCGGTAGTTTTACATATTACATCTACTTTACACAAGTTAACTGAACCAGGGCACTTTTCCAGCCTATATTATATATCCTTACTATTTTAGCATTCCCGGTATCTTCAAATAATGTTTGCCTTTTTATCACAATAAGGGTGATTTTCCATTTATCATTTTTTTTTTCATTTTTATCCAGGTTATCTCAGGTTTCGTCAGTAGGCACAAATATTGAAAAATATTGCTTTATACTGCTGGTTTGTTTTCACATCTGTTCATTGGCATTTAAAAGGTTAGAGTAGAGCTTTCAAGGTTAGAGAAGAGCTTTCAAGGTTAGAGAAGAGCTTTCAAGGTTAGAGAAGAGCTTTCAAGGTTAGAGAAGAGCTTTCAAGGTTAGAGAAGAGCTTTCAAGGTTAGAGAAGAGCTTTCAAGGTTAGAGTAGAGCTTTCAAGGTTAGGATACAGCTTTCAAGGTTAGAGAAGAGCTTTCAAGGTTAGATACAGCTCTCAAGGTTAGGATACAGCTTTCAAGGTTAGAGAAGAGCTTTCAAGGTTAGGATACAGCTTTTCATCAATAAAAAGTGGGTTGACGCAATAAGCAATTTTTTCATACATTGATTAAGCAGACATGCACTCACCGTATTCTCCTACTAAAGAGGAGGAGCAAGTATCAAGGAGGAACAAAAAGAGGGCACATGAAGTTTTGTTGACTCCACCCGATTTCGCCACCACCACAACCACAACCACTAATTCTCGTCAATTTTCTAATACACCAGAGTTTTTATCGTCCCCATCGTCTCCTTTGTCTTTGGCATCACCGAACCAACACAAATACTACAATGCTAACTTGAGTAAGGCCCAATTCAACTCAATCTTGGTCACCTGCGCTGCCAATTTACTCAAAATCTTGTACACAAAAGATACTACCACCACCACTACAAAAGTCAAACAAGTTGAAACAAAAGCATTTATAATTGAAGTGTTACGAAGATCAAGAACTTCCATTCAATCATTGCAATTAACTTGTTTCTATATTTACAAATTGATCTGTTCACTGTGCGTTATTAAATTGAGCGCCCACAAACTATTCCTCGGACTAATCATAATTGCATCAAAATTTAATCAAGATTACAACTACTCGTTAAAATCATGGTGTAAAATCTGTGGTGTTGATGGTGAAGAGAGGAAAAATGTTCAACAATTACGTGAGATTGAAATCTCGTTATTGAAATCCTTAAACTATGAACTTGTATTGCAAAGCGAAAAGTATGACAATTGGTGTAATATTTTATTGATATTTGGTTACGACTTTATCAAAAGACAACTCATTTGGGATTCTACAAACAGCGAAATCGTATGGGACTTGGAGGTGAGTAGTAATACAAGTAAGATTACAAAATGGTTCAAGTTTTTCAAAGATTTAAATATTGATAATTTGAATCTCCTCAAGATTAGTTTTGAAAGTTATTTCAAAAGCCAAATGAACCAAAAGGTTTTTGTTGTTGAACATCGTCTCCTGTTGGGCAATAGGAAGAGATGCATGCAAAATGATGCTACTTTGATATTTGAACAACCAGAAGCTAAAAAAGTTAAGGTCTAAACCAGCAACGGAGGTTTAGGTTAAGGTATAGGTTAAGGTATAGGTATAGGTACACTTTATTTCCCCATTTACAATATCATGACATGATGACGAATGAAAATAATCATGTAAATAAGACTCTTTGTATACTTCTCTACTTGACTCCTTCTCCTCTTTTCGTGGGCGTTTAAACTATGTACAAGCAACCATCAGTACCCCATCTCCCTTTGATGTTTAGTGGTAGAGGCATAAACCCATCACTACTCTTTTTATATTGATTTCCATGCATGTCATTTTCAGCAACTTTGCCATTAATAAAATTGGTAGGTTTCCCAATACTATAACCGCGGATCATGATGTTACCCAGCTTAGTTCTTGGATCAAAATTGATGAGTTTCATTTCTAAAGATTGTGATATCGCTCCAAAATAAGGTGCATATGTTCTATGCTCGAAATAATCTGTTACTAGTATCGGTCCAATAACATTGAAATTGTGAAATTCTTGTATCACATGAGAGTTTTTACTAATCATGAGCTTGTTTTTTTCAATTGACGTGAATTTCGGTTTGTCTAAATTTGATTGAATGTAGATTAGCTTGGTGGATTTGAATATACCTTTGTTGAGTGCAAATAATTTTAATTTGCTGATAAAGGACATCTTGTTCAATTTGTTCTTGTCAACTACATAGTCTGGTAATGAGATCATATCAGTATCAAATCTGGCCTCATAGTCTATATGAATTTCCATATTTGAAACAAACCCCATAAGTAACTTAACTATTGAATTTGATATGTTTTCAAAACTTTCCAGTGGGACTATAGTCATGGATTTTCCCGAATAATCTACTGGAAGATGCTTTATCGATGATGCCACGGCACTAACCAAATTCAATTGAGTAAATTCAACGAGAACGTCAATTCCGGGTCTCACTTGTCTTGCATACTTTATTGCTATTCCTCTATCTTTTGTTGGGGTGTAATTATTTACAAAGTCTAGCTTTTCCTTCTCTTTAGTTGGGAGAGTTATATTTGAAATGTCGAGCCCGCTTGACAACTTGTCCTTGTCCTTGTCCTTGTCCTTGCCCTTATTGCGCTCATAAAATCGAACGGGAATTTGTAAGATAAACCCAATTAACACACCAACTACCCATTTCTTGTCAATTGTGTAATCAATTGGGATGTTAATGCTCTCTATAGGCTCCTCCTGTTTCTTTTGCCATTCGCTGATGCAATAATTGATATAGGTATATTTCAAAACCTCGCGATTAATAAATATACCCTTGTCTCTCTTTTGTGCCGCTTCGGCCATAGCAATACTCCAAATATCATTCAAGTTCCCCAGTCTTATTTTATAAGAGTCATACCTAATATCTAAACCAACTCTGAGACTATGGTACCTTATAGACTTATATATGGATGATTCATGCGCAAGTCTTGTTGGTTCAACTGACGATTGTTGTTGAAGGTACTCCTTAGGAACCGTGCAAAGCTGAGATAAAAGCTTCAAGAAAACATAAATGCCTACTACTGTTAGTAGCAGCAATGTAGGAAGATCCATGTAAAACCAGTACAACAACTATTACTTATAAACAAACTCGGAAATTCAAAGTACAAGCTAGCTACTATTATATGGGCGCATCTACCATCTAATCCCAAATATGGCTTGCTTCTTTTTCCTTAGCACCCACTGAAAAGCAATGGCCTGAGAATCTCCTAATCCTAATCTATAATGGTTTCCAGTAAGCCGGTTTATATACAAATACGAATACCAATACGACTGGCATCGCATCGCATCGACTACTACCGCCAGCGGCTACCGGCGGCTACCAGCTACCAGCTACCAGCTACCAGCTACTGGCACCGGCACCGGCATCGTATTGCATCGCATCGGAAAAAGATTAAAATGCCATTTGGTAGCAGTTCACGTGACTATCATCGGATTTACATTAAATTTCCAATTATCACTGTGCAATTTTTTAGACCCTCTCTTCCCCCCTGAAAGTTGAAGGTTTTACTGCTATTGTTGCTGGTGACTACTCCGTTCTGTACTCGGTTCAAGCAGTATTTTTTGTCTTCTAATGCAGACGTCTTTATTGTCATTGATAAGAAATTTGAAATTAAACCATATTAGTCGGCGGGAGAAATTGCTACTAGGCATATTTACAATATGGCTTGTTATCTTTTATATTAATGAAACTATTGTACCATATGGTACAGCGCTGAAGTGTAAATGGCCTTCATTAACGACAGAAAAGAGCTCTACATCTGAAAAACAATCAAATATATTGCTCATAGCAGACCCCCAGCTAATTGATAATCACACATACCCAGGCCGTAATGAATTGTTACTCAAGTTATCTCAGCATACAGTCGACCAATATCTCAAAAGAAATTATCAAGCCTTGCAATATCAGTTGCAACCTTCTCACATCGTTTTCCTTGGTGATCTACTAGATAATGGAAGAGCCTCCACTGACGAATATTTCAATCGTGAAGTTGCAAGATTCAAATCAATTTTCCCCTTTGGCAATAACGTATTTACTAATCTACCAGGAAATCACGATATTGGATTTGGCGATTTGATAAGAGTAGCTGTACGTGATCGATTTTCCAGGACATTCGGTGAACCCAACACGTTATTGAATATCAATGGAGTCGATATTATCATGTTGGATACCACGAGTTTATCATCGACAAAAGATGTAATTAGAACTTCTGCCCAAAATTTCGTTTTGCAATTACCTCAAAAAACAAGTCCAAGAGTTCTTTTCTCTCATGTTCCGTTGTTTCGAGATATCAACTTATCATGTGGTCCACATCGTGAATCGCTGCATTTCAACGTTTTGGGACATGGTTATCAGTATCAAAACTCTCTTGTCCCGGATATATCCAAACAACTTTTGGACACGATTGAGCCCGATTTGATCTTTTCGGGTGATGACCACGATTACTGCGACATTGAACACGAGGGGGGTGTTCGAGAAATAACAGTCAAGTCAATGTCAATGGCAATGGGGATAAAGTACCCCGCAGTACAATTATTGAGCTTTATTTCAAATGGAGAGAAGATGCAATACAAAACGGAAATTTGTTATTTGCAAACACCCTATATCAATGTTGTGGTGTATATTATCCTCGCTATAATCTCAATAGCAATTATACTAGTGCAGAATATGAGACTGAAGTTGAATATGAGGAAAGGACAATATTCAATCTTACCGTTGAACAATTATCAAGGGAATACAGTTTACAAAAGAAGACTAATAGTGGATTGCTTTAAGGAGTGCCTTGTTGCTGGTATCGGGGTTCTTTGTATTTACAGGTTTTTAATTGTAAAGTAGGTTGGTCACATCATCGACACATCATCGACACTATCAAGCGAAGCGAGATAGTGGTGTAGCACGCAATAGCAGCACTATCGAGAGCGAGATAGTGGAGCACATTGACCAATTACTATTTGCTGTAGTTGAGTCGGTCACCACCACCTACTAAACCAAAAAAAAAAAAAAATTTCACCTAGACCTGTCTAGACTCTTACATTTGCTTCACTTTCAAATCCTCTAAGGTAAAACCACCAAGCTCTCCCTTTTCTGCATCGACTCTTTTATCCACATTCTCGACATCTTTCAATAACTGTCTCAACCCTAGTGGTTTTGGAGCAATATGGTCACAAGCAATTAATCGAAACTGCGTATCATTGTCCTTGTCACCGCCACCCTCAAAGCTTTTGTTGGATTTTTTCATATCCACTTGCCCTACTTCTCCATCTTCCTCATATAAATGCGATATAAACATCGTTTGAATCAGTAATGCTCTTTCCAAATCTTGTTCTGTTTTCTCTTTGAGTTCACGAGTCTCTATGTTCAACCCGGAAAGTTTAATCATCTTGTTAAATATATCAGATACCTTTTTGTTTGAACCAAATTGAGAATGACTCATAGGTTGAAAATATTGCTTTATCGTCCATGTTGGTTTAGATAATAGCTGGTGGATTTCTGTACGTGTAATTGGTTTATGAAAGCGCCGTGTGGTATTGTGAAAGAGTCGTGAGCAAAGTAACTGTTTCATCTTGACGCTGGCAATATGTGAATAAGGGGAATGGGGATGGGAGGAGTGGTGTTGTGTTGTGAAGCTTCTTGATCTTGATGTTCAGTGAATAAAGGTCCAGCGGAAGCTCGCGCCCTTCTCTACGTCCCCTGTCGGCGCGTGCTCGACGGAAAATTTTTCTGATTTCTTTAATGCTTTTACAAGATACACTGGCATGTCATTTTATCAAATGTGCTTCAGATGTAGATGAATCAAATCCTATTTCTACATCAACTACTACTACTACTACTACTACTACTACTACTACCCTCTTACTACTTCCTTAATCCGATTTTTCTCCAAAAAGAACTTTTCTTTACCGCTTTCTTTTTCTCTCCTCCTGCCCCACTGTCACCACCGCTTTCGACATATTCATTACTTTTCGTACTCAATAAACTATTCTTACTCCCATTGCGTGGTGGTAACAGTTTAGTACTACTGCTCCTCCTCTTCCTTCTTCTTTCTTCCTGTTTTCTCTTTACCTCTTCATCATCTTCAATTGAAATCAACGACTTCACCTTATAAATTTTGTCTCCATTACCATAACTACTGAACAGGTGATTACCCCCAATACCATTGGCACCAGCTGAATGCAGTTGAGATTTATAAATACGGTGGATCCTATCGTCTATTTTCAACAGATCATTATTTGATTGAATAGCTTGCAAATAGTTCACTGCCCCAGTATATGATTGGTCTGATATAAATGATATCCATTGTTGAAACTTCAAAGGTGAATCATATGGTAGTGCATTTATTATTGCTTCTTGTTCCTCGATTGCAGAGTCTTGTCGCTGTGGCGTAAAATTTTCATCGGTGTACTCTTTAGGTGTATATGACTCCACTGATTCTATTGATGAACTTGAGTTTGTCAGTACACGGGAAGTAGTAGATGAGATAGTGGTTGCTGTTGCTGTTGTTGCTGTTGTTGCTGATACGTTCAGTGATAGTTTCGGTGGTGATGATGATAATGATGGTGCATGCGCAGTATCATCGCTGAATGTGATCTTCGGGATATGGGGAAGATGTCCAAGGGCGGTGGTGGAGTTTGTGGTATTGGAGTTTCTCTTGCTGAACAAATTAGAATTCTTCAATGTATCACCTACTATTATCACGGGAATAATTGAGTGCTTGACAATGTATGAAGATAATTTTATCAAATAATCATTAGTCAAAGATTTCTTCATTTTCAATGGGTACTTGAAGTTCAAGTTGGACGACTTGTTACCAATAACAATAAGATGTGGCTCGTATTGCTTATAGACATGATAGAGCATGAACTTTTGACCACCTCCTATCGATTCATCCGTCTCTTCTGTATCTCTATCAATTACAAACTCAACAGTCATTTTAACTTTCAAATTTAGCTCTTCTAATTGAGTTTGTAAATACTCTTGTAAGTAGCTGCACTTTTCTTTCAAAAAGTCATCTAATGATTTCCTTTTCCTTTTTGACATATAATCCTTAACAAATTTTTTGGATATTAAACTAGTTACAATGAGATAGTCTCCATCTATCAAAAACAGTTGGTTCTTCTTGGACTCGGCTGTCCTATCAATCAGTAGCAACCAATCTATTGAGTTCCAAGTATGTTTTCTTCCCGATATTGTGGTTATAATAGTTCTACTGGATTGAATTTGATCATATTCAAAATGCTGTACAGTCAATGCAATGGATTTGTAATTATTCTCATTTGACGAGGGATACTGAAGCATTTGCTGTTGTTGCTGTTGCTGCTGCTGCTGCTGCTTTATGGCAGATAAAGATTTCCTTTCATCTAAAAAGAATGTATACTGATTATCAAACTTAAATGCATCGAAATTGGACATTTTAGGCTTGCTATTTTGAAATTGTGGATCCAAGGCCATTAGTTCCTCATCTGTCATTTCTGCATACGATTTCCTACGCGGGTATTTGTTTATCGGCACTTCACCCTTAACTCCTTGTTGCGGTTGTGTTTTTCGTTTCTTCTCCTTCTCCTTCTCCTTCTCCTTCTCCTTCTCCTTCTCCTTCTCCTTCTCCCTTGCTTCTTTTTCATTCACTTTTACTTCTACAGCTTCCTCGTCGTCTTTGTCATTTTCGTCTTCTTCTTCTTCTTCTTCTTCTTCTTCTTCTTCTTCTTTTTCGTCTTCTTCGTCTTCTTCGTCTTCGTCTTCTTCTTCTTCTTCTTCTCGATGATAGTTTATAGTTGCCCCTTGAATATTTCCTTGAAATAAATCATTATATGCCAATTGTTGCTGTGATACTCTATTCTTTAATATCGATTTACTTGGTGGACTAGGTAGTTTCAATCTTCGCCTTACAGGTATAGCATTAGGACCTGAAGGTGTAAGTGTAAAAAATTTAGGTGACTGAAAATGCAAATCGTTGGGTTTCTTGGATATACTTGAAAATAAGGATGGTGTCAGATGCTGGGGGGCCAGATGTGACGACAGTAATAAATTATAATTGCCCTTGAATGGTCCTGATACAATGTCATTGTTATTCGCTTGATTATAGATTGCCCGATTAAATGGTACGTTTGAGTCGTCTTCTGGATTCAAGTTATTAAATGATACTCTTCTAGCAAACATGCTTGAGGATGGTTTGGTTGCAGGAGTGTTTTCTTTTGCAGGAGTGTTCTCTTCTACAAGAGTGTTTTCTTTTGCAGGAGTGTTCTCTTCTACAAGAGTGTTTTCTTTTGCAGGAGTGTTCTCTTCTACAAGAGTGTTTTCTTTTGCAGGAGTGTTCTCTTCTACAAGAGTGTTTTCTTTTGCAGGAGTGTTCTCTTCTACAAGAGTGTTTTCTTTTGCAGGAGTGTTATTCTCTCCTTTTGGTGTATTCAATGGTTTACCTTCTAATGATGAAATAATGCTGGAGGATGTTCTAGGTTTTGCTTGGTCCGAGGTTATTGTGTCATTGGTAATAGTTTTAGGAGGCGTCGTGGTATATGACGATAAGGAGCTCGATAAAAAGACGGTCGTCATGAGCTAAATGGAATGGTTGTGGTATAGATATGTGTGTATAATATAGTGAGAAACTTTAAATCAACATTCAATTGCTGTTATCAACAAGTTCTATATTGAGTTTTAAAACCTCCTCTTCTATATGAAAGCGAGTTCTAGCGTGAGTGCGAGAGAATGAGGCGTGCAAACAATTTACAGTTTGCGCTTAATGCTTGGGGGGCTATGGGGGGGCGAGGGGGAGGCGTGGGGGGGGGCGTGGGAAGACACTGGGAGACCATGGAACAATTCTTAATTGTTCTATTATTTCTTATTCACCTTCTATTCCAATTAGGTTGAAATAATATATTCTTTGGTAGGTATATGTATATCTTGTCCTGTCCTGTCCTGTCCTGTGCTTACACAGGCTTTTATCTAGGGAGAAGAGTATAAATAATAGAAACAAAAGCTTATTAAAAGGGGAGGATTTAACAAGTAAAAAGGATATTATCGTCTAATTTATAACAAAGAGAGGGTGTGAGAGACACGGGTTTGATTTGACTTGGGGTAATGAGCTATCAACTATCACTATCACTATCACTATCACTATCACTATCACTATCACTACCACTATCATTATCAATTTCATATACTAAAATTAGTTAAAGAATCAAGAAAAAAAAGATACTGAAATAATGGCCAAGATTTTATGTGCCACTATCGAGCGAAGCAACAACTCCACTATCGAGCGAAGCAACATCTCCCCTATCGAGCGGAGCGAGATAGTGGAGCACTGACACTCTCAAACATCGTCACTATCGGCGAAGCGGGATAGTGGAGCACACCTACATCGACACTATCGAGAGAAGCGGGATAGTGGAGCATACTGACACTCTCAAATCTCGTTTCGCTCGATAGTGGAGCACATTGACTACAGGGATATCAACACTATCCCGCTTCGCTCCATCATCGACACTATCTCGCTTCGCTCGATAGTGGAGCACACTCAAACATCGTGTGTCTCAACTAGTCCTAAGCCCTTCTCTAAGCTTCCTTTCTCGAACCAGCGCCAATAAAAACACAAAGCTTCAACGCTAATAAAAACTAAAACTTTCAGCGCTAATAAAAACTAAAAGTTTTAAGAGCAACGCTATAAAGACTAAGCTTCAGGAACAATTAATACTGAATCCTCTACTTTTCACTATTGAGCAGAGCGAGATAGTGTCGGATAGTGGCAGCTAGTGTGCTCCACTATCTCGCTCTGCTCAATAGTGTCCGATAGTGTCCGATAGTAGCAACTAGCGTGCTCCACTATCTCGCGCTGCTCGATAGTGTCCAATAGTGTCGAATATGCTACCATGTGTAAACTATAACCTCTTTTTTCTTATACTTGACAATTAAAAATCGCCTCTTTTTCTTGTTTGCTTAGTGTAAACAAAAGGGAGAGAAAAGAAAAGGTTTGTAAGCTTACAAACTAGTTGCTTTACTTACTTGATTGCTTATTAGCAAACCCCTTATTCCCCTCCTTCTCTCTGCCCCTTCTCCCCCTTCCTTTCTCTGCCCCTTCTCCCCTCCCTTTCTATACCCCTTCTCCCCTCCCTTTCTATACCCCTTCTCCCCCTTCTTTTATTCCCCTCATTGAGGTGTCATTTTCTCTACTAAAAAATAATCATACACTTAGATAATAATAATTCATCTTTATACATAGAGATATGTAGAGACCCATCTCTACAGTTTATATCAACATAGCCTCAATTTAGTCTGGGCTATATCTTCCTTTTGTGACTAGATTTTTAGATTTACAGTTTAAACTACAACATTGAAATTGATTACCGATAAACTCCAAAATATGAACATTAGTAAAAGTCTTGTCAAAATCCCTTTAATTGCAAGAAGAAAAAAAAAATAGAGAAAAATAAAAACAAAAAAAGCAAATGGGAAATATATCAAAAATGCAACGCTTAATAAAAACTCACTTTAAAGGAATAATACTCAACATGGAGTATAAAGTTCAAAAAGAGAAGTTTGATACAGAGTTGTAAATAATGGCGTGATGGCAAAAATCAAAATGCAAATTGTAAATTGTAAAATGTAAAATTTAAATTGTAAATTGTAAAATGTAAAATGCAAAATATTAAAGCAAAATATTGTTGTAACAACTAAAACGGTCACGTGGTATGTTGGTTTTGTGTAAAGAAACACAATTCTTCTTTAGTGACAACACTATCGACACTATTGAGCAGAACAACACTATCGAGCAGAGCGAGACAGTGGAGCACACTAGCTACCACGACATTATCTCGCTCTGCTCGATAGTGGAGCACATTAGCTGCCACCACTGCAATTCTTTTTAGTGACGATACTATCTCGCTCTGCTCGATAATTGCCACCATTACAATTCTTTTTAGTGGGCTATTATTCTTTGAGGCTAAGAAAGTTTTATTGCCAAATTGTTTCTTAGTCTCTTGGTCGAGGGTCTGGGTTACGAGAGGATCTTTTACTCGAGAAAAAGGCTCACGAATCCTCAATAAGCACGTGTTGTTTACTTTGCAATAAAAGTTTTCTCTAATTTCGTGCAAAATAAGTCAAGTTAAATCATGGTACACTATTGAGCAGAGAGAGATGGTGGAGCAGCAATGACCGACACTAGCAACACTATCGAGCAAAGCGAGATGGTGGAGCAGCACTGGCTACTGGATCCCTCTGCTTATCACATGTGGCTCCACTATCGAGCGGAGCGAGATAGTGTCGGATAGTATCAGTGGCAGCTAGTGTGCTCCACTATCTCGCGCTGCTCGATAGTGTCGCTCGATAGTGATACTATGGTCACGTGACCAAATATACCAAGCACAACTATGCAACACATATAATTCAACGAGTCACTTTGCAACAATTATATTTTGCAGCCATTTTTATAGTTAAATGTAGCGCTGAGCAGATTCTTGTTACGAATCGGCTTGTAAAACAAAACCAGTACATCTTGCTAATTGTGCAAATCACCCTGACCCACAATATAATCCCATCAGGCCATAGCTGTAATGGTGGCTGAATGCCGCTACCGTGCCCCCCCCCCCCCCCAAAAAAAAAAACGCCTTATAACCAGCATTACAGGATAGAATAATTGTCAAGAACAACAGTATAATGTCAACAGAACTGTATATCAACAGTCAGTAAATAATAACAACTAGAACAGCCATTTATTTATTTTTATTTTTTACAACTGAAACCAATTATTAAAAGAAAACGCTTTCTCTCTTGAAGAATAAGGTAGTATTAGAATCTGTTTCACATTTAACAAACATTTCCCTATAATGATTGCACTCCCCTTTTTTAGGGTACCTTTTCAACTTTTCTCATTCACTATGAAATTCACTTTCCACTTTACTAATTCACAAAATATCATTTGCTACTTTCTTTTTTTCTCTTTTAGTAACAACTTTTTAGTAACAATCAGCAAAGTTGGAAATTGTGAAATATTGCTACCTCGAGATAATTGTAGATTTTGCATAATAAATTATTTTTCAGCCTCGCAACAATGGTAAATGGATATACCTTTCCTTTTTCGTTATACTCTTTCTGGTAGGACCGTAGACTTGTATTTTGGTTGTCATTTCAACGACTCAAACCAAAAACCAAACCAAATCAACCTATTTCAGCTCTTTTAAACCAACTCAACCTATTTCAGCTCATCTTGAACTCAATTGATAATTTGAGTCTCTTTTTGGTTAAAAGATTGACCGTTTTATTTGGGTATTTATACTTTACATTTGGCTAATACAGACAAGTATTGCTTCAAATAGTTCAGCTAGTCTTGGGTCATCGTTTCTTTGCCACGAAATACCTGATTTGGATATAATGACATCTACAAGTAGGTTGGATAACAATGAAGGTTGGTTCGATCCGTTACCTTTGGATGAATACCTTGCAATCAACAAATATTCTCGGGAAAATGTACCAACAACCAGACCAATCAGCGAAACAGACAAACTAGGAGATTACGATATTAGATGCGGACCCATCTTAAGACTTGCGGGTACTTTGGAAAATGGAACGCGCAATTATAGAGCTACAATTATGTTGGTAGTAGATAATTGCAGTAAGCCGCCACCAACAATTTTGTTCAAAATAGGACCCTCTGCCCAATTGAAAACAAAAACAGAAGGAGAAAGAGAAACAGATGCAAACTTAAACTCAAACTCGCCACCCGAGTTCAAAACTGGCGAGTTCCCCGTAACTAAATACTATGAAGAGCAAGATGCTTCATTTTTCAGATACAATGTCGATTTAACCATGGTTGAATATGAACAAAAAGTTGAATACTACATTGACGGTTTCTTCAAGAAATCGTTTCAGTTCTTCATACCAAGTTATGAAGAAAGTATGAACACCATTTCGTACTCATGTAATGGATTTTCTTTAGCATGCGACGCGAAAAAGTACAAGTCCTCATTGTGGTTAGATGTACTAGCAAAGCACTCAAAACAACATTATCATGTAATGTTAGGAGGCGGCGATCAAATATATTGCGATGCTATAAAGTTGCATTCAAAAAAATTACAAAAATGGATGCAATTAAAGAACCCTTTGAGGAAGCGGTCTATGCCGGCAGATGCTAAAGTTGTTCGTGAGTTTGAAAATTTTTACTTACACCACTATATGGACTGGTATGGTAAGGGGTTCTGGAAAGGTAAGAATTCGCTGGTATGGGAATCATTGTTTCCCTTGGCAATGGCACAGATTCCTCTGGTTAATATTTACGATGACCATGATATAATTGACGGATTTGGCTCGTATCACGATTCTACTATGAATGCGCCAATTTTCACAAAGGTTGGAAATATTGCTTACAAGTACTATATGTTATTTCAACATCAAACGAATCCGGAGGAAAAACTACACCTCGAAGACCCTTCATGGATTTTGAGTAGAAAAGAAGGATCGTTTATCAAACAAAAGAATCATTCAGTTTATATGAGATTGGGTAAGGAGATTAGTTTGTTGGGCTTGGACTGTAGGACAGAAAGAAAATTGAAACAAATAAATGATCCAGAAACTTACCAAATCATTTTCGAGAGATTAAACAAAGAATTGAAGGATAATCTGGAGACTAAGCACTTATTGGTGATGTTGGGTGTTCCCATACTTTACCCAAGACTTGTTTGGTTGGAATGGTTATTGACATCTCATGCATTTGCGCCATTGCGTATGCTTGCCAATAAAGGATTTTTAAGCAGAGGTTTGGTTAATGAGTTTGATGGGGACATTGAAGTTTTGGACGACTTAAACGATCACTGGTGCGCCAAGCATCATAAGAAGGAACGTAATAAATTGATAAAGGATTTGACCAATTTTGGGGCATCAAAGGGGATAAGAATCACGATTTTATCGGGTGATGTGCATCTTTGCTGCATTGGTAGATTGAAAACAAAATATCATCACCACCCTCACGCCCATTTATTAAGCGACACAAGAGAAATCGAGAAGGGCAACAGGGATATTAAAGAAAGCCCAGAATACGATCCAAGATTAATTTTCAATGTTGTATCATCGGCTATCGTTAATGCTCCGCCACCTGACGCAATGGCCACTTTATTGAAAAAGAGAAGTCACATTCACCATTTCAACAGGGACACTGATGAAGACATGTTGCGTATTTTTTTCCAGGATGTTGATGGAAGCCCCAGAGATAATCGAGAATTTCTTAATAAGAGAAATTGGTCTGATTTGATTCTTGCAAAGCAGTCAAAATTGTACAAAAGCTTGTTGGTGGAGGGAGACAATTTAGACACTGCTTTGCGTAAATTTCCTCAACCCGTATTTGAAGGTAAAGAAGATGAGGATTTAGCAAAAGGTGAAAAGGCGAATGAACGCGAAATCAAGTATCCCTTGTTGAGTGATTCTTTGGTGGCTAGTTTACACGTTGAACAGGATAAGGATGACTTGGTAAGTAAATCCGTTGCATATGAAGTATTTATTCCTAGGTTAATGGGTACTTATAAGCTAGAAAATGCACCAGTCAAACACGTTGATGTTTGAACTAACGAAGGAAGGCGAGCTAGTTCCACTATCGAGCGAAGCGAGATTTGAGAGAGTGTGTGTTCCACTATCGAGCGAAGCGAGATAGTGTCGATGTCGGTGCAGTCAGTGCTGCTCCACTATCGAGCGAAGCGAGATTTGAGAGTGTGTGTACTCCACTATCGAGCAAAACGAGATTTGAGAGAGTTTGTACTCCACTATCTCGCTTCGCTCGATAGTGTCGATGTCGGCGCAGTCAGTGCTGCTCCACTATCTCGCTCTGCTCGATAGTGTTGCTAGTGATGCTAGTGTCGCTAGTAGAGTAGTTGTAGAAAAATCCTCTACAAATGTATAAGCTCGGAATAATCTGGATTAACGTTTTTCCTACAAAATTTTCCTATATAATTTTTCCGCGTCAGCTTTCCTTTCTAATTCCGATATGAGGAGAAAAAACCCCGAGAACAATAAGGTATAGATAAAGAAACATCCAAATTTGGAAGTAGATTACTTCTTCTTCACGATGTCAGCCTACTCCAGGGAAAAACATAAATTGGTGGAGCATGGGGAGGTAAACAATGAAGAAAATGAAGCTTATTCATCTACTCCAAAAATTCTGCGAGAGAGACCTACTAAGAAACTGAAAAAATTATCGGTAGTGATAAAATCACAGTCCCAGACTCAAGAGGTAGTTGTTGAGTCGAAGATACCTAGAGCTATATCTGCATGCAGGCGATGTCGCAGTAAGAAGATCAAATGTGATCAAAAATTCCCAAAGTGTGGTAAATGTGCCATGCATAATGTTGAATGTATTGGAGTTGATACTGCTACTGGAAGAGAGATACCAAGAAGTTATATTGTGCATTTAGAGGAGCGAGTTAGACAATTGGAGGAACAGTTGAATAGAGAAAGAGGCGGTTGTGTAGAAGAAGATCCAAGAGAAACAAGCAGTACGAATGAGTGTGGTAGTGGTAGTACCGAGGGAATTTATTTCAATCTGAATCGAGCGGACAATGATAGTATATCGTTCCTGAAGTTGATGTCTACTGCATTCAAAGTTCAAAGAATAAACGAAAAGAAAAATAACATTGTTGATGAGGTCGTACAACAACAACAACAACAACAACAACAACAACAACCGCCACTAGCACCACCACCACCACCAGCACTACAGCATCAACACCATCATCAAAATAATATTTCAGATGAAGAAGGTGCTGCAGTATTACCACCAAAGACTACTGCATTGCTTTTTTGTCAGATATTTTTCCATCAGTGTAATCCTCAAACTGCCATATTTCATAGAGAGGAATTCATTCGAGATGTTTTTATACCCATTTATGGACCGGTACCAAAGGAACAATTCAACCTTGGCAGTAATGACGGTGCTATTAATGAGTTCTTTTGGAAGGGCTATATAGAAAAAGAGAAGGAGGAGGATGCCTCAAATTATTGGTTTAACTTATACAAGAATCAATTTCTGCACATGATCTCATTGAGCACTGACAAGAATCCCGATATCAAGAAGATTTCAAATAGCATTGTGCCCCCCAAAAGGTACCACAAACCCTTGTACTTTTTGAATATAGTCTTTGCCATTGCTACTTCAGTTTACCACTTACGTTACCCATCAGATATTTCAGAATCATTTAGATTAGCAGCAATGAACTATTATGATGAAGTGAGGAATGGCTCTGACCAATTGATGGCTTTACAGGGAATATTGCTATATGCTTTCTACTCCATCATGCGACCCACTAACCCTGGAGTATGGTACATCATGGGAGAAGCATTACGGATGTGCGTTGATTTGGATTTGCAAAATGAACTTAAAACGAAATCTAAGCAAAATGTTAACATTGATCCATACACTCGCGATAAAAGAAGAAGGATTTTTTGGTGTACTTATTGCATTGATCGCCAGATTTGTTTTTACTTTGACAGGCCATTTGGAATACCCGACGAAAGCATCAATACACCATTGCCCACAATCTTAGATGATCTGAAACTTGTACCGAATGACCACATCACAAAGTACGCAAATGAGCATAACGGGGGTGTTGAAGGAGGAAAACCGGAAATAGTTAGTTTTAAAACCGTTTTCAATGCATTTATCGCAATAAGGAAAATTCAAAGTGAGGTAACAAAGATCTTGTACACTGGTAGTGAAATACCAAGACAATATGAGAATTCGGAACAGTGGAAAACACATATCTTACTCAAGTTGAATCTATGGCTACAAAATCTACCAACACCACAACAAATGAACTGTGATTTCAACCCAATTTTTTTCAGACTAAACTATAATCATACTTTGCTTTACATACATGGATTAGGTCCAAAGAATTTCAACTTATCCCTGAATGATTTTCGGCAGGTATCAATTGCATCGAAAGAAATTATTGATTGTTATACCGAGTTGTTTCTCACGAAAAGCATAAACTACACATGGGCAGCTGTTCACAATTTGTTTATGGCGGGGACTTCCTTTCTTTATGCCGTGTATAATAGCGAGGAAATTAGAAAAATGAACCCATTAGGCACAATGAAATATTTTGTTTCAAATTGTTTACAGATTCTTCAATCCTTGGAGGATAAATGTGACGCTGCAAGTTATTGCTGTGAAATTTTTCGTAATTTGACGTTGGTTATTATTAAATTGAAATATCGTAATACCAAAGGGAGGAAGAAAAAAGAAGAAGAAGAAGAAGATGATGATGATGAAGGAGAAGAAGCAGGAGTATCAGTAGAAGAAGAAGAAGTAGTAGGAAAAGGAGAAGGAAAAGGTTTGAAAATAAGCCGAGAATCCCTATACAGAATAAACAACGGAAATGTCCATTTCAATTTGTTTTCTTTAGTGACCGAATTGGACAGTTTGAATCCATTAAACTCTCCAAAAAAAACCCAAGAAGATGTTTTTAATGGCCAACAAGCTCAGCATCTTGATGGTCATAGCAGAGGGAAATTTGATGCTGTAGCGACGGCTACGGCTACGGCTACAGCACTAGATACGTTATCCACAGTTGCCACATCACCATATCCGAGACTTGATAAACTAGAATGGAATGATAGTGATTTGGAATATTTTCTTAAAGAATTAGATCATTATCCCCTGCTGGAAAGATCAAGTCCAGCAATTTCTAAAGAAGGTAAAATGACGTTTGAATTGATGCATAATATGCCTAATGAGAAAATATGGGATGAGTTTTTCACTTTAAAGTACTAAAACGACAATTCAAGGAGCATTAAAAATATAGAATCTAAAATTAAACCTCTCATCGACACTATCGAGCGATCGACACTATCTCGCTCTACTCGATAGTGGAGCACTACTGACTAGTGACACTAAAGACACTATCTCGCTCTACTCGATAGTGTCGGACAAGCTACTGATTGTTGCTCCACTATATATTTTCGAAAAAAATTGGTAACAAATTGAGAAGAAATTGTTGAGTTTCCACTGGTGATACTATCGAGCGAAACGAGATAGTGTCGAAACAAGAGTATTGCTTCACTATCTCTCTCTTCTCGATAGTGGAGCACCACTGACTAGCTTCTACTATTATCGGCTAGTCTCCTCTACTAGTATCTACTAAACTCTACTCCATTAGATTCTTCTCGACTACTCTCTCTCACTGGTTTCTACTCTATTCTACTATAATCTAGAGTCTACGATAATTTGCTCTACTGCTTTCCTCCCCTACTCTCCTCCCCTACTCTCCTCCCCTACTCTCCTCCCCTACTCTCCTCCTCTACTTTACTTCAATCTACACTATCTCGCTCTGCTCAATAGCGTCGGACAAGCTGCTAATTGTTACTGCACTATCTCGCTTCGCTCGATAGCGTCGATAGCGTCGATAGCGTCGGACAAGCTACTAATTGTTACTGCACTATCTCGCTTCGCTCGATAGCGTCGATAGCGTCGATAGCGTCGGACAAGCTACTAATTGTTACTCCACTATCTCGCTTCGCTCGATAGCGTCGATAGCGTCGATAGCGTCGGACAAGCTACTAATTGTTACTCCACTATCTCGCTTCGCTCGATAGCGTCGATAGCGTCGATAGCGTCGGACAAGCTACTAATTGTTACTCCACTATCTCGCTTCGCTCGATAGCGTCGATAGCGTCGATAGCGTCGGCAGTGGAGCATTTGCGCCAATACTCGTTTTCCGACTGCATATAAAGATCAACTCTCGCCAAAGTGGAAATCAACAAAAGGCACAAATGATGAAAAAACTCCATCACGAAGAAAGGTACCGTTGTTCCATCAATTGCTACGCTGACTCTTTTCATTTAACTACGGTCGTGTTTGGAAGAGATTGGTGGTCTTATCAATTTGTCAAAATATTAGATTTGAAAGGCTCATAGCCAGGTGTTGTGCTTTTCTTTTTTTGCTCCATTGAATGAAGTACCAACCTAATAGAATTGTATTTTCATGAGCATAATGAATATCAACTTAGACTCAGCAAAGGATGTGCTCTGTAAGAATATATTGATCTACGGGTACTGTAAATATCAAGACAAGGGATGCGCTTTTAGCCATAATAAACAACAACAGCCAGCTCTGCAGCAACGTCAACAACAACAACAACAACAACAACAACAACAACAACAACAACAACAACAACAACAACAACAACAACATCAACATCAACATCAACAGCAGCAGCAGCAGCAGCAGCAACAACAGCAGCAACAACAGCAGCAACAACAAACGCTACAGCAGCAGCAGCAGCAGCAACAGTTAAAAACAGCAAATGCCGACTTATTCAATGGCAATTCGACATTCGATTCGCAGACAAGGAGAAAATTTGATGTGAATACTCCGTTATTTCAACCCAGCGCAGCATCTGGGGCTCCAATTACTGTTTCCGGTTTATCTACCAAGTTTTCTAGTTTGTCTCCAAATATTAAAGAAAGGCCAATATTCAAGCCCGAAAATGAGCTCCCATCTCTGCTACAACAATCGAAAGCACTGCAATTTCCTTCAAGTCCCTATACACTGAAGAAGTTCAATGTTAGTACGCCCTCGTTTACACCAACAGGCTTTGACTTTGCACAAGCGTCACAGATTAATAATTCCAGTACATTTCAGAAAAATCCTACACAACAGAGTCAATCACATCTAGCTCATGTTACACCTTCTGACAGAAATGTGGGTAGCCTTTTGCAACAACAACAACAACAACAACAACAACAACAGGAGCATGCAGGTGTGTCATCCTACTTGCCCAATTCGAACACAATTGCTCATTCTAGTACGGCTGTACCTTCTTCACAGACCCAGCCACCGTCACATTTGACTTCATCTAATATTGTTGGTGGATCGGCCGCTATAAACCCTGGTTTCTTTCCTCTGCTGCTGCCTCATCCGCATGCCCGCCCAATGCGCAATCCACAACTTCAACAACCCTTGTACCCGTTGCAATATCATTTATATGCACCAGTACCGCCACCACAATTGACAGCATCTTTGAAGGATTACGAGACCAATTCGCAACAGTTGTTTATACCCAATGATTTACGCGAGAGCCTTCACCGCAAAAATGAAGCAAGTTTACAAACAATGCAGCACCTGAATCTACCAGATCACGTGAATGCCTACCATTCACTAGTGCCTATAGACAAATCATACGAATCAACAAGTAAGCAATGGCCTGGAAAAACTAGTCTTTTGTTCAAATGCTACTCAAACGCCAACGGGAACTTGTATGCATTGAGAAAGATTGAGCCATGCACAGAAATTGTGGATGAGACACCTTTCAAAAGTATCAAGCAATGGAAGTCTTTAGGTAAAAATGCCAATATCGTTGGAATACACGATGCATTCACGACCATGGCTTTCAGCAATAATCTCGTAAATCTGGGAAATGAACAAAATAGTGTGAATAGGGGTGCTTTGTGCTTTGTGTATGATTATTACCCTAATCTGCCAACTTTGATAGAGTATCACATCAAGGGATTAAGAGTAGCGCTAGTAACTGAGGATTTGTTATGGATGTATCTCATCCAATTGATTAATGCCATTAATGCTATACACGCCAAGAATTTAAGCGCGAGGTCGTCAATCGATTTGAGTAAAATCATTGTTACAAGTGAAAATAGGATCAAGCTTAGTTCTTGTGGTATAAGCGATGTTTTGGATAGTGCAAATGGAGTTGAAATAGATATTTCAGAAGCTAAACTGCGGGATATCAGAAGAATAGGACAAGTGTTATTAGAGTTGAGTATTCTAATGCTACCTGTGAACTTAAGAACCAATACAGTACCGATACTTTTGAAAAACTTAAAAAACTCGGCCAAATTAAGTGATGAGTTTATAGACGTTTTAACTATATTGAATGATGATGCTATCATCGGTACTCCATTTGATTTCAACCTCAATACATTCACACAAAAATACGTGGCAGAGAAAGCGATGTTGATGATAAACAATTTGCAAAACTACAACGAGTTCATTGAACAACAATTGTCGACCGAGTTGGAAAATGCAAGATTGTTCAGATTATTGACGAAAATCAATTATGTTGTTAATAACAATTCTAAAATGGATGCTAGCAGTAGGAATAATTTACGGACTATACGGATATTTCAAGACAATTTATTTAATTCGATTGACTTCAACGGTAAAAGTGTCATCAACTTGGATAAAGTGTTGGTGAATTTGAACAAATTAGATTGTGGAGTCGATGAGAAAATTTTGCTAGTAAATGAAAACGAGTGCATCATTGTTAGCTATAAAGAAGTCAAAGATCTTATTGAAACGCAATTCAGATTAATGAGGGAGTGATTTCTTCTTTTTTTTTTTTTTTTTATAGCAAGATGGTTATGTATGTGTTGTTGAATGAAGTGAAACAAAGTAAACTCATCTTCTTAATCTGACTTAAGTAGAATTTCTTCTTCTTTGAATATATATATATATATATATATATATATATATACATTTGCTAGTGTCTACACTAATAAATCGTTGAATACATCCGCTATACATGCATTATAATCTACCGGCATCAAACTGTAAGTTCTTTCGTAGTGAATCATACTTAACGACTCAAAAAAAGATCTCAATTGAGCGATCAGTTCAATCTTATTAATACCTTCTAATAAAGGTCGCAATTTTTTATCCAGTACTGTTCCATTAATTAACCTGAACGCGTCTACTTTGGAAAATGTAAAATCTACATTTTGTGAAATTGTATCAATTATCAGGGGAGTTTGATCCTTTTTTTCAAAACCACACAGCTTAACAAAAAGCCAAGAGCTCAAGTTGAATTCGTCTGGTTTCAAAATCAACAATTCATCAAGTAGTTTACAGGCAAACAAAATCAACTTTGACAAATCTTGGTTTAAGGCGCTTATTTCTTTTGTGGACTTCTTCGCAATGCCAAAGATTGATAAAAGTTCGTGGTTAATTAACGACCAGTGAGATAGGAGATGCATTTCGTTGCTCTTAAGTGCAATTGCTCTTAATAAAGTTGTAATTTCAATACGAATTGCAGTTGGACAACTAGATTCTTGTAAAAGGGTCTTTAACACTTCAAACAAAAGACTCAAATTGTTAACAAAGTAGTCAACCGGTTGAACTAGTATCATATATGTGATTCTTTTTAGTATTTCAACCTTGTTTTCAATTTCGGCAACTTCATTCCAGCTGAATAAAGTCCCTGCTGGGTTTGTTGAAAAATATGATAGTCTAGAAACTTTGTCACCAAACTTGTCTTTATCATTTTCAATCCACAAGTTTATGATACTAAACCATTTTTCTGACGCCACCGAAGAATACTTGAAAAAATCATTATCATTAAATAAGTCCGATACCATATTTTTCCAACATCTAATTGGGTAATGTTTACCAATTGTTTCCACAATATCTAAGGAATTAGACAACAAATTTGAGACTCTTTTCAGCCTTCCTGGAACAAAAAGAGCATTGTTTTGGATGTACGAGATAGTCACGGAGGTTTTGTCTGAATCTTGAATGATCTCGTTGAGATGAGGTGTCACTTCACATACAATGTTGACTATCTTCTCTCGCGTTAGGTCGCTGCTATTTAATGAGTCGCCAGCAGCTGTTGCTTTATCTTTATCTTTTTCTTTTTCTTTTTCTTTGAAACTAGTGTCTTCAGAAACTAATTGAGTAAGTAGGCGAGTGAAAGCATCTGATAATGACTTGCGGTTTTTCAATTCTCTACCGCTGCGTACTCCGTTTGTCTTAACAGCAAGTACTTTACAAATCCTTAACAAGTTTGGTACAATGACTCGATACCTTGAAAAATCAGTCAACACACCCTCCAAAAAAGCAAGGGTTTGTGACCACACATCAAGCACAGTGTCTACATCCATCAAATCAAAAAACGCAACCAAAAACGCAGATACTTCCTCGACATTCACATCTGAGTCAATGTAAGTTCCACTATCGGTTGGGACTAAATGAGAATTGCACCTAGATACCAAAAAATTGAGCAAGAACGGTAAGGTTATTTGAGATCTTCCATTATCCAAGATGTTTAAAAGCTTGAGGGTGCTGAGTAAACTGCCTTTTGAAGCAATCAATGAAGATATTACCTCTTGCTTTTCGAGTTCAAAAAAAGTATCCAAGATCTTCTTCGTTCTGTACTTGAGTTTATAGGATACATAAGTTAGTGACCTGGTTGAATAATTTTCAACAAAGTCTGGTACCTGGCTTTTGAAATCAGCCCAGCTCCAGATCTTAAAAGTAACTTTCACCGCGTCATGAAGGGCAATGAACATGGAATAAAGCTTATTTTCTTCGCTGCTTTTTGTGAAAGGAGACTCTATTTGAAAAACGCTTTGGATCACGTTATTGAAGAATACACTATCTAGAGAGCCATTTGTCGGCTTTTCAGCTTGATTTTTCGCTCTAGAATGCAACAAATATCCATGGCTGATTGTAAGCAAATTCTCCAAGCCATTAAACAAAGATACCATCGAGTGCTCAAAGTTATCCTTAACGTCAAATTCCTCCCAAGCTAGCAATCGTTCAAACAATTTACTAATTTTACTAATGATTGCGTCATTAATCAAGAGAATAACGCTGAAAATTGATTCACCGAAAATATGGGTCAACTTCATAAGCAAATGCATCCATTTTTCAAGCAAAATTGAAGATCGACAATCCTTTATGCCCTCAAGTAAGAAATTTATCAAGACTGGTCCTTTATCCTGTTCCTCAACATGTAGTAACTTTAAATCAATCCTCAAAACAGTTGCGCAGCTCAAAAAATGAAGGATGCAATCAAGAAACTTAGACATAACCGATTCTATCTCGCATTTATCCTTCTCTCTCAAGTATGTGAAAGCATTAGATAACAATCGGTGAAATAAGCTGGGGAAATTTTTTTCATTTCCATTTATCAATTTTGAGTAAATTTCCAAACACATGCATAAACATTCGGAATAAGCATGTTTTTGTTTCCATATTTTACTCTCCTCATAAACACTCACATCTATCACCTCTAACGAAAGAAAATGATCAATTGCAGTGACTAGCAATATTTTATAACTCAAAACATCCCACTCATTAGCTTTGATGACAGTCATTTTGTTCTCGCTCGAATCAGCAATGTCGATGCTAATGTGTTCCCGCATAACTTTTGTGTTGAAGCTCAAACATTTGTGGATATTTTGCAAACAGTATAGAAAACGCAACAAGTCGTCAGTTTTCACTATTGATTTGCGAGAAATTCTCATAAAGTCCTGCTCAAAAGCAGGATTGACCAAGAGCTTAAAAAATCTCTTTGAAGTGCCATGACTCCCACAAAGTCTCCTTATAAGATTATTGACCGCCTCCTTATTAGTTTCCTCGTCTGCCGAGTCAAAGAGTGTCTGCAATTGTCGTTGAAGCAAAAAATCTGCATCGTTCGATGTATGCAACCAAATTGTCTCAAACGCAACTATCTTCACCGGTAATGGAGAAGTATTAAACAAGTCTAATAAACCGGCTTCAACCTTGCTTGGCGAAAAGCTTTGTATTAAACCAAATAGATGTTTCACGGATTCAACTTGATGATCTGCAGGGTTGGGTGAGGTAATTGAGAACCATAGACTACTAAGTGTGATCTTCAAAAATTTTTCAAACTGATAAGTAGTCATGAATTTCGAAAATTGATTCTCCAATAGTTTACTGATTGAGGATGAGATTACAAATTTATGCTTCTCATCCATTTGAATGTTTGGTGATGATGATGGTGATGGTGATGATGACAATAATAGATCAAATGTGGAGTCTGCTACTCGTTTCTTCAACTTGGGCAGAGCAAGCAGACTAAGGATCAGTGCTAGAAAGTCGATCAATTTTGTTCCGTGGGACAAATGAGTTATATTTTCCATATACAATCCCTCTAAACGCTCAATTATGTATGCGCCCAATTCTTCTTGACTATAGGGGGCAGATGCATCAGCGTCATCAAGAAGTGTCTCGTACCAATTCCTTGTTGACTGCCTTAAATCCTCACTCGAAAAATGAGACTGGGATTCCGATATTTCGTCTGCATTTGTGAAAACCGCTGAAGGGATCAAATTTAATATGGACTCAGTCACCTCAAGTTTTTTCAAACTCATTTGTGGTTTCGATAGCAAGCACGCCGCTGCATATGGAGCATGGATAGTGAGCAGTTCTTCCTCATGTATATCAAAACATCGAAGAATAAAGTCCAAGAACTTGAAATCAGTCTCTTCTCCACGTACAACAAGCTCATTTACCTCTTTCCACATATAAAATTCCTTTGTTTCTTCAAAGAATTTTAGGGCACTGTGATTCAACTCTTCGTTGTCTTTATATTCAAACAAAGTTTTTAAAAATGTAGAAAATAATAACGGTGTTAGTTCGTAGTTTATTTCCCACCTGTCCATAATCAAATAAACGGACATCTTGAGAGCATCTATAGTTTCCCGTATTGATGTCGAGTGTGCCAACTTCAACAATCCTTTACTCAACAAGCTCAACACGTGGTTCCTAAAATAATTCCTTCTACACGTTGCCCTGTTTTCTCCGTCGACCTCGGGCCCAAGAAAATAATTCCAAACCCTGCGATTCAAGCTCATATCCTTTCTCATGGTCAATCTGCAACATGCCATTATCAAAAATTCCTTATCCTTACGTGAAACCTTGGAATCAAATATAGCGCTGTCAAGTGGAATACGAGATAACAATAGGTCAAAAAACCCTCTTATGGCAACTATATCCGACAGCGCTGATAACTCAATCGAAGATGCAAACGCCCGTACTAATAGGCCAGCCTCTGGTATCAAGCATAACTGCGCTTCTTCTGAGAGTAATGGCTTTCCCTCTGTGTCTTTGGCATTTGCAAATTCCGGTAGGTATCTCTCGCACCATTTCAAAGCACCAATTCTTCTCTCCGGGCACGTCATTATGCAAAGAAACATGCAATGCCAAAAATGAGAATCATCACTTAAAGTCTCTTTGTACAAATACAACAAGTTCATAGTATCATCGAAAATTTCCGAGTTTTCGTCGTCCAAGCCAGCCAATAGACAAAGTATCAATGGTTTGGTGAATACTTGCAACTTCTCCTTGGTCAATTTTGGAATAACGAGGTTTTTAAATATACTGATTTGTAGCGGTTTTATCAGAATTGATGAATACGAAAACAACGGTAAAAGCCCCGGTAACCAAATGCTTAGCTCGCTATTTAATCGGCTCTTTGAAAAGTTTTGAAACACTAGCTCGTAGATATTCAAGGCCTTCTGATGGACTCCATTGGGGAGGTCTGAGGACAAGCACAATGACAAATAATAGGCCACCTCACCTGCCGCTGGCACAAAAAAATTGTTACCACTCCCTTCCTTTAATTTCAAATTGAGCTGGATCGCTTTTTGAAGTTTGGATAGGAATGCAATGTAGTCGGCCCATTCTTCAAGCGACCCAAATGTAGCTAATACTTTTTCAACCTGTTGTTCATACTTCTTTTCTTTCGCAGTCAAATTACTGGAACTTATGATTTTAAACATATTCACTTACAAAACAGAAACAGAAAAAGAAAATATATAACAATGTAACAACCTTCTTAATTAGTTCATAGCTTAGACCTTTTCCAACCACTATGTTCAAGTCTAGAGTTCAAAACAAGTACTTTGCACTTCAATTACTTCTTCAAACCTTGAAAAGAATTCTTTATATAGATATATGATTTTTTTTTTTGTTTTCCCTCTCGTCCATTTTTTCTTTGACTATGGGCGTCCTACCCACCACTAGGGCGGTCGAGTCGACAGGACCGTCGTCTCTTGCCAGCACTGGGATTAGGCTTTAAATACTCCAACTTTGTTAGATTATCCTTTCCAGAGGAATCGAAATTGTCTCTCAGAGCCGCTAATTGAGCGGGCGGGGCTGTCATATGCTGAAACGAAGTTTCGTATTAGCCATAAAAATATATAGATATAGATATAGATATAGATATAAATATGTACATGTAAAATTGTTCATTCTTGAATTGATTTAATCCAATACAGCACTTTTCTTACCCAATTTGTAACCCACGTAATCATATAGCCTGCTCCATTGGTCCTTCTTGTGCAACATAGCTAGTATCAAAACCGCAGGAAGATGCCATACGGAGCACCAAAACAATTTTTTGGCATGTATCCCTGCAATGGCCAAACCCTCTTGCGTAGCCCCCAGTGCTAGTTTCGAGTTCGAGTAGTTCAATTGCTGCTGCTGCCAAAACTTCCATGCCCAGTAGGCCATCCACCCATTTGCAATCGCTGAATCAAACGGGAAAATCCAATCTGTCACACCAAAATAACTCAAGCCAAAACAAAGGGGAAACATGAGTATCGAGTATCGTAATGCAACTCTCGCGTTCAACTTTGGGTTTTCTGCTGCTGCCATGACATAGCCCGCCAGTTTATACTGCTGAGCAATACCATGTGACAAAGCATTAAAATGGGGAAATTGCCAAGCATATAATAACCCAGCAAGACACCAGGCACCGGGATATGTCAACGATGATGAAGCGGCCCATCCCATTAATGGCGGTATGGCACCAACTATTGCACCAACCCATGTGTTCAATATTGACTTCCTTTTCATCGAGGTGTATATCCAGGCATACAATACAATATTAGAAAAGCCCAACATGGAAACCACGGGATTCACACCAAACCATAACATCGTGCATCCTGTTGACCCAATTAATGCGGCAAATGTATAAGCTTGTTTCGGTGTAATGAGTCCTCGTACAACCGGTCTCCCAACTGTTCTGGGCATCTGTTTGTCAAACTCGGGTTCACGACCCATATTTATGGCATTGGCGGCCCCGGAACATAAAGCTGTGCCTGCAGTTAAAAAGCACAATTCAGTCACAGAAACACTTAGTGGAGAGATTGCGTAGGAACAGATACAGCTCAAAGTGACCAAGACTGTTAAGTTAGGTTTGATTAATTTCACATATGCAGAAATCGCGCTTTTTACATCTGCATTGGCCCCAATGAATGATACCGGCTCTGCTTTTGATATTCTTGGATCTTTTGGTGATACCTTAAATGGTACATTGGGCGAAATTACTGCTTGTGGTGTAAGTGTCAGTGTCGGTGTCAGTGTCGATGTCGATGTCAAACTCTGGGACAGTTTTGCCTCGGGCTCTTGACAAGTTAATACCTTTGTAGCAACATTCTCTACCTTTGTAGCGACATTCCCAATTACTGACGAGTTGCCAATACCAATATTTTTAGGCCGGGGCGTTATCATGAAAGCGCGCTCATACTGGAAGTTTGGGTTGAAGATCTTTCGACTTAGGAATTGGTTACAACTAATGAAATTTTGATCACTGAGTAAGTTTTTCCTGGTGGAGTTATTGAAAAAGAAATTGAAATTAGTAGCCAATGTGTGTACCCGTGACATCCGGGGTACAATACGAGACATGATATTTCAAAAACTTATAGGAAAGCTACAGTGTCATTCGTCTGTGAACTTCTTAGGCTCTTGAAACGTAAGACTATCAGTTGGTGAAATGGTTCTTCTTTAGCTCCAGATTTTTTTTGTTTTTTTTCTTTCTTTCTTCTTCTTCTTCTTCATTTTCTTACGTGTTTCAAATAGAGGGGGAAGAGGAAGGGGAAGGGGAAGGGGAAGGGGAAAGGAGAATAAGTGTACAAGATAGACAATTGTGAGTATATTATTATAGAAGCTATTCTACAGCTATATCCATCTCGTCCTCGGCCAAAGGCGGCTCTACCTCTAATGCCTTCTTTTCGTTTAGTTTCTTATTTTCCAATTTGTTCTCGATCAAATCGTGAAACGCGATAATGGCTCTAATCAAGGTACTTATGTATATTATCATCAACTGGTCATTAGATTTTATGGTGAATGCTGTAGCCAATTCGCTATTTGTTGACCCATCAGATCCTGGTCCTCCTCCAGACCGCGGTTCGACTAAATTAGGTAGTAAATTGAAAACATTCTGAAGCTTACCTAATATGGTGTGGTTCATTGGTAATTCTTTTGCATAAACCTTGTTCAAGTAGTTTGCAATCTCCCTCAATTTTTGGTGTAAGCCCAATAAGGACTGGTAAGTTTGAGTAACTCTTAGTGACAAGTTCCCTGCCGCTGGATCCCTAATATCCCGAAGTAAGTGCTCGACACCAATTTCCTCGGCTTCTTCTGCTTCTATTAATGATGGCACATGCACAAATGTCTTTTCTGCTGCAGACCCGTCGTTCTTGATATCATCCACGGCGAAATATGCATCGGTTGGTATACCAACTTCTCGGGGAAATACATCAACTATCAACAACAATGGGTTAGGGGTATACCTTCTAAAGACATCGTTAATTTTCAAATCTGAGGGTTTCAATTTCGGGCCGGAATGGTACCACCCCACCAATTTTTCTTTTGCATTTATCTTCTTGAACATTTCACCCATCGAGTCTATAAAATTATGGTCCAAAAACCAAACTCCTGGATTCTTTTCGTCTTCCTCAAAGGGAATAGCATACGAGTTGGTTACTTTTATTGTATTTGTGGAATTGTCCCCCAAGATGACCCCAACAACTCTCTTCTTAGAGTCTTTGGAAACTCGATTATAATGATCAACCACTGATAATAAAACAAGTGGTGATACTGTTACATTTTTCTCTAGAAACGCCAATTCATTCGTACTGGATGTGGCCGTTGACATTCCTGCTAGCTTCTCTATCTACTATCCGTCTATCTACCGGTCTTTTCTCTCTGTCGACTACTGAACCCAACTTAATCTACAAGGGGAGGAGGGGTATTGAGTTGGGTTTTTTTTTGTCCATTGCCATCATCAAAGAAGAAGAACAAAAGAAAAAAAGCGTCGATTATTGAATGTCGCGAATGGGGGGAGGCACGTTTGCGACATACAGACGCGACTTACTACCCACACTAAGAAGCAATACCAACACCTACTAGCTTGTTACACTATCAACTACTCTCTACACTATCAACTACTCCTTTACTCTATAGACTACTCCTTTACTCTATAGACTACTCCTTTACTCTATAGACTACTCCTTTACTCTATAGACTACTCCTTTACTCTATAGACTACTCCTTTACTCTATAGACTACTCCTTTACTCTATCTCCCATCGCTCGATAGTGAGTGTGAGCCGCATACTCTACGGCTCATGTCCCAAAAAAGAAAAAAAAAGAAGGCATCGGAAAAAGAGTGAAAAATTATATGCAAAATACAAAGATTGAATAAAGTTGTATATTGGGTTTTTCCGAAAATATTGAGATTTAATTACTAGGACAGGCAGAGAGAGAGAGAGAGAGAGAAAGAGAGAGAGAGAGAGAGAGAGAGAAAGAGAGAGAGAGAGAGAGAGAGAGAGAGAGAGAGAGAGAGAGAGAGAGAGAGAGAGAGAGAGATAATGTATGGTCAAATTGTTGTTGGTCCGCCCGGTTCAGGGAAGTCGACTTTATGCTATGGAATGTTTCAATTCATGTCTGCTATTGGGAGGAAACTGTGTGTAATAAACTTGGATCCGGCAAATGACCGTGTACCGTACCCATGTGAGTTGAATATACGAGACTTTATTAGCTTGGAGAAAATAATGAATGAGTATGGTTTGGGGCCTAATGGCGGGTTAATGTATGCCATGGAGCTGTTGATTGCCAATGGCATGGAAATGTTTCTTTTAAAGATTAAACAGCTAGTTGAAGAGGAAAAGAACTATTTACTATTCGATTGTCCCGGACAGATTGAGCTTTTTACACACCACAATGCTCTTTTCAAGATATTCAAGACCCTTACCAGAGAACTAAAGTTGAGGCTCTGTGTAGTATCCTTGGTGGACTCGGTATACTTGACTAGTCCTTCACAATATATTTCCATTTTGCTACTAAGTTTAAGATCTATGCTACAGCTTGATCTTCCGCATGTAAATGTTATTAGTAAAATAGACATGTTGAAAAGCTATGGAAAGTTGCCGTTCCGGTTAGAATACTACACCGAGGTTCAAGATTTGCATTATTTAACTCCACATTTGATAAAGGAATCAAATTCGATACTTGGTAAGAATTATGTCAAGTTGACCGAGATGATTGGCGAGTTGGTTGAAGAGTATCATCTAGTGTCATTTGAAGTATTGTCCGTTGAGAATAAGAAAAGTATGATTAATTTGCTAAGTGTCATAGACAAGGCTAATGGTTACAGCTTTGGTAGTGAAATTGGTGGTGACACTATATGGAACGAGGCCGTGAGACAGGGCGGGTTAAACGTGGGCGGATACCAGGATGTGGATATCCATGAGAGATGGATCGATGAGAAAGAAAAGTACGATGAAGAAGAACGAAAAATGGATCGTAAAACGAGGCAACTAGCTCCCGAAAATGAACAAGAGGAGGATATAGAGAATTACGAGGATTATAACGATTATCACAATCATCCAATAAATGAAGATGAAGAATGGGAAATGGCTTTGAAAGACTGGGAAGAGAAACATGGAGGTCAAGGCGCTATGAACCGGTGAAGGAAAAAAAGGAAACGAAAAAAAAAAAAAAAAAAAAAAAAAAAAATTAGCTCTGCGCAGAGCGATGAGCTAAAAATCTAAAGACTTAAAGACTTGTATAGCGAGACCCTAGAGTTGGAAGAAATGCAAAAATCTAGTAGGGCGACCCTTTAGCTACAAATTAGTTGATATCCCATCATCAAAATAACCAACGTATATAGACGATGCTGTCGAATCCTGTACAGGGAAGTGAAAAAACGGAGTTAAGTGAATTGTTAAAGCAATTGGACACAACAATAACAAATTTAATAAACAAAAGGCACCATTTAAATGAACAACTTATCCATCATGACACTGGGAAGCGTTTAATAAAAAGTCTCAATGAATCGAATAATGGTGGTGTGGCTCTGGGTAAACCTGCTAATGAGAAAATCTCCAGGCTTGAACGCTTGATAAAAGAGTTTGATGTTAAAATTGAACAGGCAAAGTCTACAAAAGTGAATCTTGTCAAGCTCGGTGAATTGCAGCAGTTGCAAAGTGGGAAGCCACAAGAGAGTGTGAATGAAGAAGGACTACCCTTTATGGATATCCAAGAAGAGGTTGATGAAGAGGGGAACATTATAAGTACAAAAATCAATGATGTGCCGTTCGAGGTGGCGGGTAAGACGGGGACAGTAAAGAAACTACAAAACCAAACAAAGAACAAGCAACTTGAAAACGAAAAGTTTGAAGATGAAGTGAAGCAATTACTTCAGGACATGGAGTTGGTTTCAACACTGCATAATCATCGTGTTACTAATGTAGACCAAGATGACCTATTAAGCAAAATTGACAACTTACATATTAATCCCCAGGATAAGTTTGACTTGAAAAGACTTTGTATTGATGCATTCAATACTTACAACGAAGATGAGGATGAGGGTGAGGGTGAGAATGAGGATAAGGATAAGGATGAAGATGATGTTGATGAAGACGCTGCTTTGGGAGAAAAAAAGTCAAGTAAGAAGAGCAAAGACAGCTTTAGCCTTCTGCTGCTACCAATTAATAGTATAGACAAAAGCGACTTGCTAGAGCTTGAAATACTAGCTGATGATTTTGATGATCAAGACGTGTGCCCCCAATTCAATGAAGATGAAGAATTAAATTATGATTACGAAGATGAAGATGAAGATGAAGAGGAGGACAATGATGATGACGCCCTGGCCGATGATATAATATACGGAAACACTCGGGACAACTCGTGGTTTGGCGGTGAACAACAAGGGCAGGCAAATAGTTTATTGTGGGGGCAGATAAATAAACTCAGACTTGAAAAGGTTGAAAAATATCATAAGCATGTGTCAACAGATACCGAAGAAGAGGGGGTCACTCGAGTTGAACCCAAAAAGAAACAAAAATCTGTTAGATTTGCAGAGCATTTAAGTATAAAGAGGGTAGAGAATATTAGTGAAAGTCTAAAGAACCCACCGTCTACACATCGAAAGCAATCATTGTTTAAGCAAAGAAAATCAGGATCTGCAAAAGTAAGCACTGAAAGCATGGATGAGAATAACAACAATACCAACTTTGAGCGAGGTAAACAAGAAAGGGCTATTGAAGACACTATTGTGGAGAGAGACGACGAATCACTAGCAGGTATGCAGAAGAAGTTGAATCAAACAGGAGCAGCTTCAATTAACAAAGAGCAATCTTTTGCAAATTCGCAACAAACTATTATAAAGAAGTCAGTGTCTAAATTCAAAGCTATGAGAAACAAGACCCAAGATCCAAAGGAAAATGTAGACCAGCGGAACTCACTGTTGGAAGTTGAAGCTCGAGATGACGAGAAGGACGAGAAGGACGAGAAGGACGACGAGAGTGATAATAATCAAGAAGTAAGAGATACGAGGCTAGATTATCATAACCTTAGTAAAGATTTGGATACGATGGCCAAAGCGTATGTTTTAGGAATGTATGATGACGATATTAGAACTGAAGGACCAGTTGTTGAAAAAATAGAGGATTTTGAGACGTTGAATAAGGTAGTGGTGGAGTCTCAAAGCACAGCTAAGAATCAACCTGACACAATTGATGATTTAAATGAAATTGGAATGGATTACAATGATGCAGACAATATAGATATTGATGAAGAAGAAGACAATGGGCCTATAATGAGTGATTATATCATAGAAAATGACTTTGACGAAGGAGAACAAGAAGAAGAAGAAGAAGATGATGATGATGATGATAACGAATCAAAGGACTTTTATGAAGATGAAATGCATAACCAAGAAATAAAAGAAAATTACTACAGATTAAGACAGAAAATGATAATGAACCAGAATGGATATAAGAAACAAGCTGTTGAAAGTATGGAATTTATACCTATCGATGAAGAAGGTAACAATGTGAAAGTAAGTAGATTTAAAGCAGGTCGGTTGAGGCTTGAGTAAATAGTATTGTACGTAAGGACATGAGTCCCCACAAAGTAACTTACATATCCACGGAATTTAAAACAGGAAAAGAAAAGAAAAATAAAAAAAAAAAAAAAAAAGTAGAGATTGTAATGAGAAGAAATAGTAAATTTTTCTCTCCAAAAGATTTAGAATAAGGTATATTCGGATTAACTGAATCTCAGCAACAGCCTTGTCATATTTTGGTTTTGCACTCAGTAAACTCGACTCTAAGGAACCCCGACGGTAGTTACTTTCTTGAGGCAAATTTTGTTGAGTTTTCTCAAATAACCTGAGAATAAGTTTTTTGACTAAATTTGGTACAAAAAATTCGGAGTTTTTTTTTTTTTTTTTTTTTTTTTCTTGTAATAAAGTATAAAGACACGATTCTAGCCAACAGACAATAGTCGACAACCAATTGGACTCAGTCGAAACTAAGATTACTACGTCATATTAAAATAGTCCGGTATATTGTCAAAAAGGAAATATTGTAGGTTTCGGAGAATAAAAACCTCTCAGATTCAGCGCAAAAGAAACAATAAACACAAGTTTGAGAAACAAGTTTCCCCAGGAAATTATTAAAAGTTTTTGTTATTGTTCCCGGCCAACTCCGCGAATTGTGGGGGAGAAATCGCAGTCGAATATTATGGAGAGACTTTGTAGTTAGACATTATGGGGAGACTTTGCAGTTAGACAGACATTATGGGGAGGGAGCCTTTAATTACAAATTTTTCTTTGTACAACACACGGGTTTGATTGGAAAAGATCTTACATCTCTCTCTCTTATTGTATCATACGATTTGATGAATAAAAAAAAAAAAAAAACAAAAAGCAAAAAGCAAATAATGTCATACACCGTTAGTGACCAAACGTCAAAATGCTAGACTCAAGTTCAATAAAGCTGGGTAAAATAGCTAGAAGAGAGATTGTTGAACTTACTTGATAAGCTTGTTTACTAAATCTAGTAAATCTAGTATCTAATATTGATCAATTAGGAGGGGAAAATATCACCAATTAACCAAACTCTACCCATTTCCATTCGAGTAATTTGCACAACAAAAAAAAATTTCACCCAATATGTATTACATAATTTATTATATAATTACCAGTGGATAAAGTAATAATATTTTATTTTTTATTTTGTAACTTGCATTGAAGCTTATGTATCGTATAGCATTGAAAAAGAGAGAGATGTATAGATTGACGCATGATTCGTATACTTCTTTTATGTATAGGGGAATATACTTAGTTGGCTTAATTGGGACACAAGAAATGATCTTTGGGTCATAGCTAACCTATAAAATAATAGCTCCGACTTATCCATTATGGTACGATATATATATATATATATATAGATGTAAATATCTGTTTAGTAAGTTAACTCATCTTGAGTGATTTTCTTTTGAATTAAAACAAAAAATCAATTGATTATTTTGCAAATACTTGTATTACCATATATTCCCTAAATCTTCATATATATCTATCTATTTGTCTATCTATAATCTACACTTACACATAGATATATAACCCCCGCCTCCACTTTTCTTGACCTTTGACCCTAATAATTAGTCAATATTTTTCCATTTAAACAAAAGTCCATATCAAGAAAATGTCTGCAATATTAAAGCAAAGAGTAAGGTATCCTCAATATTTGAAGAAACTAAGAACAGCTGAACAATGTATTGATTTATTCAAAAATGGTCAGTATCTCGGATGGTCAGGTTTCACTGGAGTTGGTGCTCCAAAAGTGATACCTACAGCGTTAGCCAATCACGTTGAGAAAAATAATTTACAAGGTAAGCTTGCATTCCATTTGTTTGTAGGTGCAAGTGCTGGTCCTGAAGAAAACAGGTGGGCTGAACAAAATATGATTTTGACAAGAGCTCCTCATCAAGTTGGAAAACCCATTGCCGCAGCAATAAATGATGGTAGAATACAATTTTTCGATAAACACTTGTCAATGTTTCCTCAAGATTTGACTTATGGCTATTATACAAAGAATAAGCCAAATGGTCCCAATTTGGACTATACTATAATTGAAGCAACTGCAATCAAGGAAGATGGTTCCATTGTCCCCGGACCCGCAGTTGGTGCATCTCCAGAAATGCTCTCTGTATCCGATAAAATCATTATTGAAGTTAACACTAAAACTCCATCTTTTGAAGGTATACACGATATTGACATGCCAGTAAACCCACCTTTTAGAAAGCCATATCCGCATACTTCAGCCGATTACAAGATTGGCCAAAATTCCATCATAATTGACCCAGAAAAAGTGGTGGCAATTGTGGAAAGTACTGATGGCGACAAAGTTCCACCTAATACTGTTAGTGACAAACAATCACAAGCCATTGCCAATCATTTGGTTGAGTTTTTGGAACACGAGGTCAAGCAAGGAAGATTACCTGAAAACTTACACCCATTACAATCAGGTATTGGAAATATTGCTAATGCTGTGGTTGAGGGATTAGCTTCTTCAAAATTCAAAAATTTAACCGTTTGGACCGAAGTCTTGCAAGATTCATTTTTGGACTTCTTTGAAAGTGGGTCATTGGACTTTGCTACCGCAACATCAATTAGATTAACCGAAAATGGATTCAAGAAATTTTACGAGAATTGGGATACTTATTCAAAGAAATTGTGTCTTAGATCTCAAGTTGTTTCAAATTCTCCCGAGATTATTAGAAGATTGGGAGTCATTGCCATGAATACTCCAGTGGAAGTGGATATTTATGGCCACGCCAACTCAACCAACGTTATGGGTTCAAGAATGTTAAATGGTTTAGGAGGCTCCGCCGATTTCTTGAGAAACGCAAAGTTGTCCATTATGCACACACCTTCAGCAAGACCATCAAAGACAGATCCAACTGGAGTTTCATGTATCGTTCCTATGGCTCCACACATTGATCAAACAGAACATGATTTAGATGTCGTGGTCACAGAACAAGGTTTGGCCGATTTGAGAGGTTTATCACCAAGAGAGAGAGCTAAAGTTATCATTAATAAATGTTCTCACCCAGATTATAGGGCACAATTACAAGATTACTTGGATAGAGCTACTTTCTACTGTACAAAAAAGAAGACTTTGCATGAGCCACAAATATTGAGAGATGTTTTCAAAATGCACTTGAATTTCCAAGAAAATGGTACTATGAAGTTAGACTCGTGGGATAAAAAGTTTTGAGAGATATGTATAACTTGTCACCCTTTACCCCCACTCCCATATACCCATATGCTATATATAGACACAAGTTTGCCTTTGCTAAGCACTAGCTAATTGCAACTCTCTTTCACCCCCACCATTTCCTCTGCATTTTCTTTATAGAATGTAATGATAATTATATATATAAGAAAAAAAAGAAATAGAGAAAAAAAAAAAAAACACGAATAAGAAAGTTTACGTAAGAAATGGTGCACTCATTATAACTAGTACACTCCCCCATTCTCCCCTCCTCTAGATTCTATCGAGTATGGTTTTTCGAAACATGGAATTGGAAGGACCCCTAATCTTTACCAACTTGCGGGAAAATCTTAACTCCTGTATTCATACTAAATATATATATATATATCAAATCATAATTGAAAAAAGAACATATAAAGTGCGCAAACTCCTTCCTATTTTGGATCCTTATTTCAAAAAGTTTTGTTCAATTGGTAGATTAGTTTGAGCCGCAACGTTTTCTGAAAACAAAACAAAAAAAATAAATAAGCTAGAACTTACCCTGCTTACCTTCCACCATCAAATCTTCTACCCTCCTCCCCACTAGAACAACTTCCAAAATCTCGGATGAATTCTCACAATTACGGACTAGAGGAAGAAGAGTTTGATGATACAATAACGGAAACACCCGCCAAGGCCATAACCCCTAAACGCAAGTTAGGAGGAAGCGAACCAATAAACTATACAAAATTTCGAACGACTAGTGATAATCTAACTGAAAAATCACCAATCTTACAGAAAGTAGACCAGGAAATTAAACAAGCTGAACTGATTCTTATCAATGAGCGATCTCACTACGGACGTAGAGACTTTGGGGAAAGATCACCTCCAAATTTGAAGTTTGATAGAAGCATATTGCCAACAGAAGGATCACCGGTTTCTTCCAGACGCCAGTCACTGACACTATCACAGCGTCCATCCACTCCTATTCAAGCTAGTGAGATAAAAAACAACAAAAACGGCACATCATCAGATTTAATAGAAACGCCGCTCCTTGTGAAACTCAAGTCTGTTCGAAATACACCTTCACAGGAACCTCTCATAAAAGAAAAGCTGGTTCAAAGTGAAACCACAAACACAAATGTCCAATCTTTAAGGAAGAGATTCACACGGAAGTCACCAGAAAAGTTTCCCGAAATCTCGAAGCCGCCTAAAAGAAACATTTTCCAGGTTAATGAGGACGGAAACCAGTCAGGAGTAAAACTGAGCAACGATTTGAAAAAGTCTTTAATGGATAGAGTAAACAACACGTTGGAGTCATTATACCGTAAGGAAGAACAGGATAGCCCAGTGAAAGAGGACTCAATGTCACAGGATATGGGAGGATTAGAGGACCTAGATGAATTTGATCTTCTAGCTAGACCATCAGTTAAGGAGCCAGACATGATACGACATAAGCGCTCAAGGAAAGATAAGTCGGAGGAGGTAGATATAACGCTCCCAACGATTGAAAAGTCAGCTAGCGTGCAGAACAAACGCTTAAAAACAGAAGAGTCGTCTCTAAGTCACAACTCATTGGGAAGCTCTACACCAATTGGAAGAGGAGGAAGAGAAGGAGAAGGAAGAGAAGGAGAAGGAAGAGAAGGAGAAGGAAGAGAAGGAGAAGGAGAAGGAAGAGAAGGAAGAGAAGGAGAAGGAGAAGGAAGAGAAGGAGAAGGAGGAGGAAGAGAAGGAAGAGAATACAAGAAGATTAAACTGCCTGATATGAACATTTCAAGTATGGCTACTTGGTGGTCTTCATCACAATGGCTGAAACTTGAAAAAGTTGTGCGGCTGCAATCAATCAAAAGAGAAGAGGCAATAAATAGCTCTCTTTTGATGAAGGAACTAGGGTGCTCAAGTAAAAAAGAGTTGCAGAACCGATACGATTTTTTATCCCAATACAACAATGACGCTAACACTAGATTTTACTACAACAAACTAAAAGAACGGGATTACTAGGAAAAGCTTTGAATGTCAAAAGTTTTTTTTTTTTTTTTGGTAAAGCTGGAGATACTTTAATCACTTTTCTTAAAACACTTTTGATAGCACAGAGCTAAGCTTTTCATCGGGCACTGATTTCTGCTTCAACTCACTTGCCGCATCACTACGCGAGCTATTCACCTTTCGTTGCTTAAAGTTTCTTCTTAACTTATCGTCCTCAGCAGAACTGGATTTGTTCCCTCGTTTCTTTTGGATATTTGTTATCATTTTTGCTTTTTCAACATTGTTCACAAATGCCTTGTTGAATCTGTTTTGATGTGATAGCTCCAATGCTAACTTAGCTTGTCTTACTTCGTTCTCACTTGCTATTTGTTGGGTAAGATCTAGCCATTTGAAGCCCTTCAAGTACTTGATATTTATGACATCATCATAATAGTACGAAGTCTTCTTACCCCCTAGTTTGTTACCGTTTAAAGTCGCTGCACACAATTTAGCATCTTTCTTGTTTACGAATTCGATCCATCCTTCTGTAAATTTTTTCTTTTTATTTCCTCCATACTTGACTCTTTTGTGATAAGCACTAGCTTCCTCAGGCTTTAAAAATAATCGATCGACCAGTCCAAACCTAGATAAAATGGATCGCAATTTTTGAGGTTTCATATATGGCGGCACTTTGGATAGATAACAAACACCTGTTTTTCTTATACGCTTTTGTTCTTTTGCAAGCTCCTCTGGTGTGAATTTCTTCAATTTCTTACCGGCTTTACCACTCCCCTTATCTTCTAGCTCTGTTTTCATTTCGGGTTGCTTCTCTGCCTCATCTACTTCTTTGATTTCGCTTTGGTACTGTATTGGATCCTTTTCATCGCTTTCATTATCTGACAATTCATTAGCCAGGTCTTGTTCCTCATCGCGACTAAATCTGTCGGGGGCACTAGTTTTAGATCTTAGATCAAACACTTTACTTTCCATTACCTCATCGTCGTCTGAGATAAAGTCTTCTTCTAAATCATACATCTTAGTAGGGTTCGTTCGTGGACTCGACATGGGCAGAACGGAGAGAGGGAAGGCGGGTGGTTATTTTCTTGGTGACTTCAATGAAGAGAAAGTAAATATGGTTATCGTACCTAAAAATTAATTGTTCTGCACCAGAAAAAAAAAAAAAATAGCCAGTTCACGAGCTACCAATTGCGCGGTTAAAATCTCGATTCTATTTCTTTCTTTTCTTTTGACATATTCGGAGTAATACGAGGGTCCAATTCCAATGAAACTGAAATTGAACAACAATCAAGAGTGACGCCTACTGAATTATCCAACAAAATACAAAGAAAGCTTGATCTAAAATGTAAAAAAGTAGCAATAATCATTAAAACTATACATTTCTAAAAAAGAAAAAAAGAAAAGATGTATTTTCTCTAGCTAAAAACTCTTTACTGCTCTATACAAATATAAAAACCCCTGGGGGAAAGGAGGGGGAGGGGAAAGGCAAGTCGAAAAGACAGGCCTATTTTTTAGCACCTTCAGCACCTTTTTGAGCACCTTCGGTGGCACCACCAACAGTTTGAGAAACGTATTCAGCAGCCTCAGAGAGTTTTTCCTTAGCAGCTTCAACATACTCTTGAGCAGTTTCAGCTAAAGTTTGACCCTCACCTTGAGCATCCTTCTTTCCCTCGCTGAATTTATCAGCAACAGTTTGTGAAAATGATTTTTGGCTATCGGGAACAGCTTTGTTAGCAGCATTATCGAGAGCGTCGGTAACAGATTCTTTTCCCTTCTCCAAGGTTGACTTTTCGCTATCTGGAGTTAATGATTCACTGACTTTGTCAGAGATATCTTTTCTACCTAAATCAGACATTGTATTATTAATTTTTTTTTTCTTCTTGATAAAATTGATGAAAAATACCAATTGATTTCAAGAAAAAGAAAAGTCATCCATAAGATTTTCGAGGAAGATGAAAACAGTTTCCTTTTATAGTTTGCCAATCAATTGGAAGCAAAAAAAAAGCACATGTATAGCAATTAATGCTGGTACTGTTATGGAAACACCTTTGCAATCCATAAATTTTAAGGAGTTTCTACTTAAAGTTGCTATTACTTTTGCAATTATAATTAGGCGGTAATTAAATAAGCCAAGGTACATAAGAGCAAGATTGGCATGGAAAAGGGATAAAATATAGAGAGATCTCGAACAACCTTGCAAAAGAAAAGTACGTACTCCTAACAAGAAACGATTGCGGACCAACTAGTTGGTGAACCTAGTTTAAGAGACCTATTGTCATGCATGGGTTATAGTTGTGGTTGTTGTGGTAGTGATGATGTTTTTATTAGTTTCGAGTTTATTAAATAAAATGAGGTTTTTTTTCCACAACCACTATTTTTTTATATGCAGAACAACAAAAAACAGACAATTACCCCCAAACACTATACTAACATACAATGTATACAAATTTCGTAGGACTCCCAAGGACGGAAATGGGGGAAAGGAAATTCCCCCCACCCCCCCCATACTTTCCTTTGAGTGACCATTGAGTATCTCAAAAGTATCACACCTAAGCACGAGACTCAGCCACATACAAGTTTACGCCGTCTTTGCACACTTTTTCGGATTGACTCGGCAATCCATTTCACAACATTTATGCATTATATGATGGATAAATCTAGAAAAGGCGGCGCAAATAATAAATAAATCAAGAGAAAAGCGGCGCAAATGATGGAGGTAGGACTGTGAAACCTAACGGAGACTTGACTCAACTCTTCTAAAGCCTTACCAATGGGGAATAAAGTGATACTTTTTGTTCATAAACCTCTGAGTAACCAATTTCTATATAAACACGACAGATATGACCTGTTGATTTTACATACACAGAAAGTCAGCCCATCAATATTAAATATGTTCCAAAACATACCCAAAACAAAAAAGGGTACTGCCAACCTCTAAAACCAATTCAAGCAAATCAAAGTCACTTATTCGGCAAAGAAACGTTTCATGAGCAATTCACTATGGCTTATAAAACAAAATGAACAGCACCCAGTAATATTTCTTAACAAAGAAAATAACAACTCTCTGTCTCAAGTTCATCTATATTACAATGAGTCACTCAACTATAAACCAAATTTTTTACAATTCGGTAAATTCTCTCAAATTTAAAACTAACTTCTCTCCACAATAAACTTTTCAATACATGACTTTGAAACAAATTATGTTCTTCTCTTTACCTCAATACCTGATCTGTAATCAATGCAAATACCCCATCTTTGATATCACATTAGTTGAAATCAAGCAAATTCTCCCTGATGAAAGCAGGTATCGAAAAATCTGATGCGCATTTAATCAATGCAATGAATAACACCCTTAACAATTCTAACATTGAATCAACATCACTTCTTTCCTTACTAAATGTAAATATTTAGCTGGTGACCGCAACAGCAATAATTTCTAGCTGGATAATAAAATATTTCCACGTCGTAAACTAAAAAAAAGATCTGGAAAGTCCCACCGCATTATTGCCGATTACACTCCACGCAGAATAATGACTAAAAACAACGTCTCATATTATTTAATATGTATTACAACATATTTCCAACACATCTCTCATGTTGTGATAGCTTGTTTCATAAGAAGCACATATTATCATACATTTTCGCCAACATAAACTATGTATAACAAAATTTGCTGCATTAACAATTGAAAGTAGTTGGAACGAATCAACAACCACTACATTCTCCACGTTCCAGTAACAAACCCATGGTCCAGAAACACAGGGACTCCTACATTCAAGTAAATTACAAGCAAAGCACATCAATACTCTGGCTTCTTCCTTCAACCAGCGTCCATCAACTGCTCACCACTGACAGCAATCAATAAACACTACCACCACTGTGATAGCTGGAGTTGTGCCTGCACGCAACGATTACCTACCGTTTATATCCTGACGAGAAAGAATCTCCGAATCAGAATAAATGGAAAGGCCGATCAAATTGTTAACTTCACAACTTTTTAACGTTTGGTGAGCCGCTAGTTAGTGATTTTCATCTCATATAAGGAACCCAAAGGAACCTTGTAGGATATCATCTCTATAAACTGAATTTTCTCATATATATTTTCGATGAATACCCTCGCTTCTTTATTAAAACTTGAATACCAAATTAAAAAACCCATTTTTTGTTATAATTGTTCTCAATGCTTTTGTCTGTCAGTTTGCAAGTACTGTCAAAACCTGTTTCGTTGACAAATGAACGAGTTAAAAACTTAAGCAGTAACAGCTTACGCACTCAAAAAATTTATATCCTCATATGTAATACAGTTTATGAGGTCATAATATTAATGAGTAAAAATTAATACTCTTGTGTTGGGAAACGATACGTTCATTTATTGTTTTTATAGCCCTAACTATTTGTCAACTACAAATTTAAGAATTTTATGTACGTTGTTGTAATGTTTATATCAGTTGGCGAAATTGCTGTCATGTTACGTGTTCACATGTTTATTTTGAAAAAAATGTGGTGATACTGATTCTTTGGCTTTCTTATGTAATTATTTTTTAATCATTCATTGATGCAATCTATTATGTTGATAAAATGATTACTCATATGTGGGTGAAATTTGTGGGATTGTTAGTTCCCGTCATTAGTGTTATTCCAAACTTTGAGGATATCGTTATTTTAGTTTGGATTTTGTAATATGAGCCTCTAATGTCGAGCGTGTAATCATCAGGTTTTACAATTAGCTCAGCGAAGTGATGTTTGATGTTGTTCAATTTATTATTGCAGCTTTCGTGATCTATCAATGGATAGCCTCAAGCCAAATTTTTTGATACTGTTATTACAGAACATGTTGAGTTGTATATTTGGGGGTAATTTCGTTCAGACAGGAGGTCTGTGAAAAGAAAAGCGCTATTTGTTTAATTAGTGTTACTTGTACGTGCTGTTATCATTTAGTTCTGTTTGTAGTAGCGAATTTTCATATACATTAGATATGATGCTTGTTGGGTTCAATTTAATAGCGAGGAGAATGTTTATAATGGTTTTACTTTTTTAAATGAGGACACGCTTGTGGTTAGTTGTGTTAGGTCTACTACAATTGTGAGTGAGTTTGGTTTATAAAATGATTGAGGATTGAATCAGACGGCCATCTTTTTTAATGGTGCACATATTTTGGCATGGGTCCTGTCATTGAGAAGGTATGACTTTGGTGATGTTGTGTGCTGAGTAAGAGGAGTCGCATGAAAGAAAATTAACCCGTATAGTATTTATATGTATTTCTTTGCGTTGTACTGATTGGTTGTTATATTCAGAATGTGTACTTCAAAGATTATAATATAGAGTAAATAGAGTAATGGTGTTTGCAAATTGTAGAAATGTTTTTAGATTTGGAATGGCCTAGTTAGAATCTTGTATGTTTGGTTACTGTTGTTCTCCTGATTCTTCTAAATTGTCTGGTTTTATTATGCCCCATCCCATTCTTTTGTTAAGTTTCTCATATTTCTGTCTGTCTTTGTCGCTAACACTTGGTTTTATAGCTTGCAAAGCTACTTCAAAATCAGCTTTATTTATTTTGATATTGTCGTCATTGACATCTTCATCATAAAATTCTGATTTGTCCAACTGATCTAGTTCTTGTTTGTGAAAAAATTTTCTTCGCAATGCAGCAACTGCAGCCTCCTTGACTAGCGAAGACAAATCGGCACCTGAATAGTTTCGACATCTTTCGTCTCTTGCTATTTTTTCAAGATTAACCTCTCGGTCGAGTGGACTGTTGTTCGAACGTACAATGGTTTTAAGTATCTCAGACCGTTCCGCAGGTGTAGGTAGTTCAATGTAAAGCGTCTTGTCTAATCTTCCCGGTCGAAGCATTGCGGGATCAATCATATCTGGTCGATTTGTAGCCCCAATCACAAATATACCTCTTCTATCGTTTAATCCATCGAGCTCCGTTAACAAGGTGTTCACCACACGACTACTAGATTCGGACATGGAGCTATCTCTGCGTGGAACTAATGCGTCTAATTCATCAAAGAATATGATGCACGGTATAGACGCTCGAGCCCTTTGAAACACTTGACGCACTGCCTTCTCAGATTCACCAACATATTTGTTTAAAAGCTCTGGACCTTTGATTGATATAAAATTCGCACGTGATTCATGGGCCACTGCCTTGGCTAGAAGTGTTTTACCGCACCCAGGAGGCCCCCACATGAGTACTCCGGACGGAGCTGTGATACCCACCTTGTGATATAGTTCAGGTTTTTTGACAGGCTGTACAATGCACATATGCAACTCAGTTCGGACGGCATTCAATGCGCCAACATTTTGCCAAGTGACGTCAGGAACAGTAGCAAACCCTTCCCTCTTTGCAGTGGGTTGTACTGTGGGTAGTGCGTTGATAAAATCATTGTATGTGATGGATAAGGGTTCAAGTTGTGCTGATGTTAATGTTTCAGGGTGCTTCATCAAAAAGCTTTGTATCGTTGATAATTTTTCACCTTCAGATTTGCTACTAAACGTTTTCGTCAAAGTGTTTTCATCATCCAACACGCATTTTGAATCAACGTCCATGCTGTCTGAGAAATTTCCGTTCTGATCTTGTTGTTCACTCATGGCTTCGAATATCCTTTTAATGGCAAATATCCCGGCAGTTGTTACCAAGCTCTTGAGATCGGCTCCAACATACCCAGGGGTAAGCTTCGATAGCTCTCTGTAATTGAACTTTGCACCTTGTTCTAGTTTGATATTTGCCGTCATCGCGCGAAGAATTAACTCCCTTTGAATCTCGTTTGGAACATTTAAACAGATTTCTCTGTCAAATCTTCCTGCTCTTCGAAGAGCAGAATCCAATGAATCGGGTCGATTGGTTGCCCCTATAACAATCACTGGCTTATTATCAGTCTTTTCCATGGTCAATTCATCCATCAAAGTCAACAATTGTGCAACAATCCTCCGTTCCATCTCCCTTTGAGCACCTCCATCTCTCTTGGGTGTTATGGCATCAATTTCGTCCATGAATATAAGACACGGTGCTACAGACTTTGCTTCTTCAAACAAGTCTCGCAATTTTTTCTCGGACTCTCCTGACATACCTGAAACAATGGATGGGGCTGATATATTTATAAAGGGCACCTTCAATTCGCCCGCTAGCGCATTTGCAATTGTCGTCTTACCACACCCGGGCGGACCATACAATAATACTCCCTTTGGTGGCTCAACTCCCGTGGAAGTATAGATCTCTGGGTGTAAGATAGGTAATCCAATAGTTTCTAAAAGTTGTGTAATAATGTTATCCATGCCTCCAAGCGTTGAAAAGTCAGATGTCGGTGTAGAATAATTAACTTTTCGTTTCTGTTTCTTCAGCATTGACTTAGAAGAATCCTTTGACTTTCTCTTTGTCCCTTTTGACTCACTGTCATCTTTATTCTTTGGCGCTTCTTCAGTAGATTCGCTATTCTCATCAAAGTTCCACAAAGATACTACTGATTTATTTGTAGAGTTTGTATCCTTGACCTCCATCAAATTGCTTTCCAAATTTCCCTCCTCCTCTTCACTCTCTGATTCCTTTGGAGACATATCTTGCAAAGTCTTATTCAATTCATTGGCTTCGTCCTCACGTACTATTCTGAGCATTCTCGCTACAGATTTCTCGAGCTGTGCCTTTTTGGTGCGTTTGAGTACTACATCTTTTGCTTGAACGTAGGCTAAGACTTGGGAAATGGTCAAGTTTTTGGCAGATTCAATACCTGCAAAAGGATCTTGCAACTCATCACTCGATAAAGTTTTTCTTCTTTCCTCACTTATTTCGTCTAAAAGTTCAATCACAAAGTTATAGACCTTTTTGTCTATAGGTCCGGTAATGGGATTCCTCCCCATGAAGAAAAACTTTTGGGTGTGTTCGGGGGGGGGAGGGGTGGTTGGGGTGTGAAGGCTGGTCTAAATTCACTTTCACAGAAGGTTGATGTTGTAAGTGAAAAATGTATGAGGATTATGATGATGTGCATCGCACATATGTATTTTTTTTTTTTTCTCTCTTAGGGGAGAAATAAAATTACCCATAGAGAACAGAGAAAATGACAGTTAAAATCTGGTTCAAATGTAAGAGACATGGGGATAAGAACTCGCAAGGCTCACGCATAATAATAAGAAAGAGAGCTCCGACCAAAGCAAAGTATACTCTATATGAACATTTAATACAGAATTCAGTAAAGCTATAATCTAGGATATCTTGCTCTATATTACGATCTTTTTGATTTTTATTTTCTCCAACTTCACCAACATATAGCGATAACCTATATAAATTTCAAGGTTTTTTATCCCACAAATACTTTGCAAATACTTTTTATTATTTTTGATACTATAGAGTATCGTCTATATAAGGTTTGTTTGTACTAAGTCTTTTTCGAATTTGGAGAAACATATCTGCAGTTAATCTCAAATGTTCAATTTTTTTGCAACATTTCGGATGAAAAATAATATTGGCTGCAAAAAAAGTAGATGAAGAAACGTGTGTACTGGAATGTGCAATCAACACTAACTTCAACTACACCCTTCATAAATGGTCACAGTTTAAGACAAACGGACATTGCTGCACAAGATTTTTGGGAGAAAGACATATTGATAGATAAAAGTTCTGTTATGCATCCACTATTACTTATAACGCTTGCAAATATACAAGGACAATAGTTTTTCAAACAAGTAGAGAAGAAAAAAAAAAAAAAGCAAAAAAGCACCACTCTCAACAAAAATGATTGAGAGGTAAAAAAAAAAAGTGATTGTATTATGTTAAGTTGAATATGCATTCTTTGTCGTCTGTGAGATTCTTTTTTTAGTTCAGACTCTTATAACTCCATCGACACTCTCTATACCCAATAGAGAAAATAAAGAAGGGAGGAAAAAAAGAGTGAGTGAGTGTGGTGTGTGTGAAAAGAGGGGTGAAGGGAGGAAATCTATAAGTTTTATATTGTTAAATATTTCTTGAGCAAAAGATCGTCCAGTAGAAATGCGTTCAATTCTGCAAGAGAGATCTCGAGAGCAAACATAGTATTCTCGTCGATCACCGTATTCCTACTTCTTGACTCCAGCGTCGAAACTTCTCCATTTGATACTTGGGAGTCCAACAAAATCCCGCTCTTGTACAATACCTCCCAGCTATTGCGCAATACTCCTTTTGACCACCTTCGTTCATTAACTTTCATACCTAGCATGGTTGAAAGCGATGAGGTGGTTGTATTAGTGTCCAAATCTTTGAACATTTTGGTATACTCCAAGTAAGCCAAATTGAAATTTATTGTTTGAGCATCATACTTTTCTAACCACCTAGATGCAGCAATCACCAATAATAATTCAACTTTTGAAAGTGATGTGATAGCCAACTGGAGGGAATTTTCATTTAGAGAGTTCATGGCTACCATATTTAGCAGCGATTTTTTGATAAATGGACTATTGCAGTTTATCCGGGATACCAAAAGCTTGTATATATTGTTTAAAGCAGAAAAACTCTTCATGGTATGAAAATTTTGATTATGGAGTAACCCGAGGCGGTTCTCTTTATCATTGAAAAGTTTCTCCAATTCTTCATTCCATTGAATACCGTAGTGCCGCAGTCGTAATGAGTTTATAACGCCTTCACTGAGCAAAAGATTACGCTTTGCATTCAGCAAGAATTCGCTTATTGAAATAGGGTATTTGGTTGACACAATTCTCTGCGAAAACCTGCTGCTAACTCTTTTTTCAAGAGACTCTTTTGCATTAATCTTTGTAGTCAATCCAATCACACTGATGGGAACTAAACTATTCTGGGATAAATCTAATAAGTTGTATAGTAAAGTTTGCCGATTATTTGTTGTGAATTTTTCAAACTCGTCAATAATGAAAATGATGGGCATCAATTGAATGTTCAAACCCTCGTCATTCACCCTATTGCTACTACTAAGCACATGTAGAATATTGGCAAAAGTATCATTAATTGATCTTTTTTCGAAATTTTCGAAATTCTTTATATCATTTTCTTCGTTGTTTTCGCGAACTTTAATGTCCAACCGTCTTGCAATTTCCCTTAATGCAGCATTCTCGTCTGTATGGACTGAAGCATTCAATTCTATACTAATAAATTCACTGTGATACTTGTCTTGCAAAGCTGACAAGGCCCTTTTAACAATAGCGCTTTTACCACTGGCTCTCGGTCCAACAATAAGCATAGAATGACTTTCCCTATCCTTCATTGTTTTCTCTAATACTTCGTATACGGCAGTGCGTTCCTGTTCAAGGAATGAGTCAACTGACGAGGTAAAAGTGGCACTCAATTGTGACAAAACTTGGTGTTTGACCTTTTGTACGTCTTCCTCAAATATAGTGCTTTGGCTTTGGCTTTGGCTTTGGCTTTGGCTTTGGCTTTGGCTTTGGCTTTGGTTTTGGCTTTGGTTTTGGGTTTGATTTTGGGTTTGATTTTGAGAATGTGAATGAGAATCTCTTAGTGTTATTCTAGGAGCAGTGTATTCAAATACATCAGATTTCGCGGGGTGAAACAGATTTGTTTCTCTCAGTGGTGATTTTAGAGGTTTCAAGGTTGAATTAGGGTCTTCACCAAAATCAAAGTCCATCAGTTGCGATGTTTGATTGAAAATATCGTCATCATTTAAAAGAACATCACGAATCTTGATGTGTTTTACCTTTTTATACTTTTTTGCCAGTTTAACCTTGGAATCAACGTCCTTGTCGGGAAAGTCTCTCTTGGTGTCTCGTTTTGTCTCCATAATTTTCTTCATTATCGTCATTTTCTTCTTCTTCGACTTTGACTTTGACTTTGATCCCAGACGTCGAGTTTCATCATCATCTTCTTTTTCTTTTTCCTCATCGTGTGGTGGGGCCGATATAGGTATAAGTTTCACTGCACCAAACTCTCCTTCAAAATCGTCTTCAAAGGACAGATTAAAATTCATTTGATCATCAATTTCTCACTATGTAAGGGGAAACCAATCTGTTTCGATGATAAAACAAACAAACAAACAAACAATTTTGTCTTTGAAGAAAAGAAAAGAAAAGAAAACAAAGAATTGGAAACTAAAATTAGTTGTCGCAGGATGCTTTTATTTCGCAGCCGTAGTTTCTGAAACATATTTAGTGCGAAAATGGTCTTCTTTTTTAAATTTCACTCATTGTCGAATATTCCTGAGTTATACTTGTGAGCCAAAGGTACATATATATGTCAACTGAAAACTTTTAGCATCTTTTTAGACCTAGGTGTTACGTCCTATTTGATACATTTGAAACATTGTAAATTTGCACAGAATGAAAAGAGTGTCGCTAATATGAAAATAATCATGGGTATTTATAAACCAGCTTAAATTTCACATTAGAGGGGATCACATATGTCTTTAAAAAAAACAACGACTCCGGCTTTGCTCAGCAATCAAAGTTTTGAGAAAACAGGAGGGTTCAAAGAAGAAGAAGAAGAAGAAGAAGAAGAATATGTTGAAAGTCGAGAAGAAGAAACACGTTGAAAACTCAGTTTTTGAGTCAACCATTGATCCCAAAGTGAACATATCCATATCTGATCTGAATAGTACTGGAAAAGGACAAGACGAAACAACAATGACAACAATGAGAACAACAATAACAGCAAAAACAACAACAATAGCAGCAGCAGCAGCAGCAGCAGCAGCAACAGCAGAGGCTTCTTCTTCGAATCCAAATGTTTTGCATGAAGTGATTTTGAATAAGTTCAATCGAACCACTACCGGCAGAGTGTACCAAAAAGATCTAAAAGACATCTATGCCATGTTGATTATTGAATTGGACTTGAAGAAAGATGCTACAGTTAATAGGTGTAATTTGCAACACGGGATCTCCTCTTCCTTGTCTAAAGTGAAATTTATCAAGCTATCAAAGAGCTTCCCTTATTCGTTCTATATGAGCACTGCCATTGAGAAAATGAACCAACTTAGCTTGAAGATTGAATCCACCAAAACTGTTACTTTGATTTCGTATAGCTTTAAACCTGCACTTGCAGAGACTTTGATTCGAGAGTTTTACAAAGCAAAATTCTTGCATTCCCCAGCAGATCGGACTAGAGGGGAGCCAAAGAGTAGCGTAGCGCTTCAGCCAACTCCAAAGGGCTTATCAATAGTGCAAACATTTTGTGTCAAACAAGGATTACCAAAATCAAGCATGCCTGAAGTTCTTTTCCACAATGAATACAATACCATGCAACTATTTGCATTTGAACGAGACCATATTTCAGATAAACTAGTTTACTCTGACAATCTTGTTGAATTATTGTTTAGTGCGTTGTTGGGTCCCCTGCCAAATTTTTGGTCGCCGACTAATAAACCCGATAAAATTCGGGTCTCCAAAAAGAAACACAACGATGAGGTATTCGACTATAACATTGCCGATTTTCAATTTAGTGGCGACTATTTACTGTTGAAGCAAGTCAATACCAATTTCAGCGTGTCTACTATTGGCGAGGAATGTGCATTTAGCTTTCTGAAATACCAAAATACCTGTCATGACCTTACTCAGAATCCGTATGACTCGGAGACCACTTCCAACATACTTCAAAGTCCCTTTTACCATCGATATTTTGAAAACCCCAAATCTGATGCACACATGCAGTACTACATATCGTCTGTGGGTGTGCGTTTATTGCGGGAAAAAACCGCCAGCCGCAACGGGAATTTGCAATATTGTATAAGCGGAAAAGCGATATACCAATGGCTAATGGATTGCTCAGACGTTGTATGTCCAAAGGAGGCATTGGAGATTTGCAGCTTATTTTTGAAACAAAATTTGATGGCACCACTTGAAAGTGACGGTGGAAAGGAGGAGAACTACTTTCTGAGAAGCAAGTATTTTAAATTGACTACATTTGGTCTTCAGGTTAGCCGATGGGGGAAGCCTTCACAACAAGAACGGATCTTGACCCCACAATGCATCCGCAACCGAGATGGATCCAAAAAGATTAGTAAATTCAAGATTCCATTAGCTGAAATACTAAAAGACCCAGGGACAAAATTGCAATTTCGAAAACACTTGGAAAGAGAATTCTGCTCAGAGAATTTTGACGCTTATTGTCAACTTGAGATATTTAACTCCAAAGTCTCAGCGTATCTAAATGCTATCAGTTCTAATAAGGTCTCTGAAATTACTGCGGAGGATGTGAAGCAATCAATAGCTACTCAGCAAAAGACATGCATGTCCATGGCTTATCAAATCTTTAATACTTTCATAAGTACAGAATCATCTTCCGTGGTGAACATAGAGTACAGACTAAGAATGAAGATTGTTAATTTATTGACCAGGCTTACCATGGAACAACAACAAGAGATTGACGGTAATGATGATGAATCGGTAAAGTACTTGACAACACCTACGGATACTATTACAATGAGTGGTATTACATATTCGCCGTCGTCAGAAACTATCCACAGTGATAATGATTTGACCGAATCAGAGTTAAACCAGAAAAGTGATCCTTCCAAAATATTGCGAGAAATCAATACTCTATTTGAACAAGTCAAAATACATATGTACAAGCTAATGGAAGTTGACTCATTACCAAAGTTTTTAAACAACTTTGGCTACTGGAAATTGAGCTGTTGACTTTTTCCTTCCTCCTTTCTCCCCTTCTTACCTACCCCTTGGCTTCATTTGCTTTTCTGCTGGGTGTGTTTTCGTACTTAAATAGATTCTATTGAAAATTCATTTTTTTTTTTTACTTTATTTTATTTTGTTTTATTTTATTTTATTTTATTTTCATCTACTGAAAAATGTAAAACAATCATTCCTATCAAAGAATTGGCTCAATTGTAGTCCCTTTCTTTATCGTGGCCCATCCAATTAAACGCCAATGCTTTTCAATACGTCTTGACAAGGCAATTTTTTCGTTAATTTCAGTACAAGCAGGCGAGGTTAATTGTAAACGAGCCATATCGGCTTTCACTGCCACTACTCTAGCACCTGTAGCTGTTGAACCAATATTAACCATCAAAACTTCACCCACTTCCAACTTACGGACCTTAGCTCCTTGCTTTTGACCCTCAGTCTTGACACCTAGCAATCTTCTCAATAAGAAATAATTGATTTCAATGTCAGAGTATATGGAAGGCAAATTACCCTTGGCCCCAACAACTTGACCTACCAAACGATCTGCCCTACACAAGGTTGGATCAACCTTGGTACCAACACCAATCAAACCTCCTGGAACTGCAAATTTCAAATCATTGTGCTCTGCAAATAAGGAAATGATATTGGAGAAAATTGTTTTACATTGGATTCTTCCTTGATCGTCTTTTGTAACAATACCTGGCCTGATTTCAATCTCGTCACCAATCTTGAAAACACCTGTCAAAATTGATCCACCCGCAACACCTCCTTTTAAATCATCAACATCGGCACCGGGTTTGTTCACATCAAAGGACCTAATGACTATCAATCTAGGCGATGCTGTAAAATCTCTAATCGGTACCGGTATTGAATTTACAATGAATTGATTCACAGCATCGATGTTGTACTTCAACTGTGCTGAAATGGGGACTATTGGTGCTCCATCAGCAATGGTACCTCGTATAAACTGAATAATAGATTTTTCGTGTTCTAATGCTGATTCTTCTCTCATCAAGTCCACTTTGTTCTGCAAGATAATGACATGCTTTAATTTCATAATTTCTATAGCCGCAAGATGTTCTGATGTCTGAGGCTGGGGACAGCTTTCGTTTCCTGCAATTAGCAACAAGGCAGCGTCCATGACTGCTGCTCCTGACAACATAGTACTCATCAAAATATCGTGCCCAGGGCAATCAACAAAGGAAACATGCCTCACTAATTTATAGCGCCCAGTACATCCGGGACGCTGACACTTTGGCATGATCTCCTTATCTGATTTAAACGATTTATAACAGTCCGGCTCTGGACATTCCAGGCTGTCACACTTGTAAATTTTTGCATTTGCATATCCCAATTTGATGGTGATATTTCTCTCCAACTCGTCCTTAAATCGAACAGTTTGGACACCGGAAATGGCTCTCACCACAGTGGACTTACCGTGCGCTACATGACCAATGGTTCCTATATTAATTGTGGCTTGTCTATTAATGATTTCCGGAGATAATGGTGTAAGCTTGGTGAAATCTGGATTGTCTGGTTGTTCAGGAAGCCCCCCGCCTTCTTCAAACTCCTTCCTAGCAATCTCTTCTGCTTTTTGCTCATCTTCTTCATCTAGACCTGCAAATGCTACTGATTTTTTGCCTTTAGACTCTGACTCATCTAGATCCTTCTCATCAACATGCTCATTGTCGCTTTCAACATCGTACACATTATTATCCTCATATTCTTCAATAGTGCCGCCAATAATAATATCTGGAGTCGCGTTTTCAATGTCGTCGTAGGACATTTTCCAAGGTACTTTCAAATAAGAGTTGGTTGATATATTTCCAAAAAAAATTGAAAAAAGAGAAAATTTACGGTGTAGTTTTCATCCATCAAATTTTTGAAAATTGTGAAAAAAAAAAAAAAAAAATAAAAAAAAAAATAAAAAAAAAACCATCATCACAGTCGTGTCTTGGTTAAATTGTTTTTTTTTCTAATACCTTTACTGTTTAACCAAGATGGAAACCGAAATCATTCATCACGCTATCTACATCTCTCCAAAGCATTTCGCTATCAAAACCTTCCAAATCCAAACTTTCGTATCCCAGTTGTGACGATGATTCGTTGAATGAAGGGTTCAGAAATTGCTGTTGTGGATGTTGTAGTGGATGCTGTAGTGGATGTTGTAGTTGTTGTTGTAGTTGTTGTTGTAGTGGTTGTGGATGTTGTAGTTGTTGTTGTTGTGGATGTTGTAGTGGATGTTGTAGTGGTGTTGGCTGTGAACTCCGAGATGTGTTATATGCAAATTTATTAATGCGTTGAAGTACAGGATTAGAGTTTGGTTGGGGCAATTCGTATAAAAGTTGTGATTGTATAGGCTGAAAGGTTGGGTCTCTAATCTTATTCTTATTTTCCAAAGCCTCGTAAGTTGTTTTTCTAGAGGTATCTCCAATAACATTGTTTTTGTGGGATTGGGATTTATTATGATTGTGATTATGATGATGATAGCTATTGTTATGGTTATTGTTGCTGTTGTTATTCCCACCAGGAGAACTTGCATTTGATTTTGGCAATGGAGACGAGTCTGCTGAAGAATTAACCACTTTAAAAATAGAGCTACGTTTTGAATTTGCGGCCGATATCGGTTCAGGATCCAAAGGTATGGTTCTAATGATCTGTCTTGCACGCAGTTCGGCATTATTAGTAGCAGTATTTGAAAGTGACCTTTTTTCTTGAACACTTTTCGATCCAGTTGAATTTACTGGCGCAGATTCTCTGGAAGGATGTACGGACTTGGTTGCTTCTATTCCAACAGGTGCGGGCACTGAATCGTCTTCACCTTCACCTTCACCTTCACCTTCAGAATGCGAGTGGCTATGTGCTTCGCCAGCAGCAATATCTCCTTCGTTCTCCACCACTCCCTCTGCTACTGCGTTTTCGTCTGTTTTCCTACTTAGTTTTGACATGCCTACTTGGGCTCGCACCAAATTCAAACAGTCAAAAAAGATAGATGCCGACATTCTATTGCGAACACTAATACGGAGCATGTTCATTTTTTGGTTATCCAAATTTCGGAAAAGCGGCCACATATTTTTGGTGATTCCACTTGATCTGAAAGCCATATCGTGCTTCATTATTGAAGCTTTCAAGGTCAATCTAACCACGTCCTCGAAAATCGTCCTTCCTGTTTGGACATCAATGGTTGTTTTCAAGTCTGAATGAACTAACTTTCCAATAATGCATGCGGCTTGCCAGATGTTAAGTAAATAGACTCCTGGTAAATATTTGACAAATTTATTGTCTTTACCTTGACAACTTTTCGTATAGCTCACGAGCAGTATAGCAGCGTTATACAACTTGACAAGACCCCTTTTCAACTCAAATTCGGCAATTTTAGAAGAGTCCATGAAATAGTAGCTATACAAATGAACCCTTGACGCTAGCACTTCAAACATTCGAAATCTAGATGATGAAGTTTCCAAGTTGGAACTTTTCACTTTCATCTCTAACTCATCTATGCGCTTTGTTAGTAACTTCAAAAGAGGAACTTTTTCATTAGCGTCAATTAAACCATAAGGATCAGTTGGGTTGGAGTTCAAAGATTTGACCATTTGATCTTCAAACTGAGCTATTTGCAACATGAGCTTTACACTCTCGGGTATAACAATCTCACTTCCTGTCTTACTGTAAAACCAAATAGACGAGTCAAATTGAACACATGCAGGGAAGCCAAATGCAGTGGCAATATATTGAGATGCCACATTGGAGAGGATCCAGGTTTTTACTTGTTCTTGTATCATTGCTGTTTGCCTTGTGTTTCTCCCTAAGGAGGAATTTTCCAATCCCAAATTTGTATCATCAACAAAAGAAGAAGGGGCATGCAAGCCAATTCGTATTGCTTGGAAGAAAGCTGTACTAACTGTATTATAAGAAGAGTCTGCACTCAAGGAGGAGGTGACGGGAGGCCAGAAGGAGTACAATAAAAAAGCCTGTACTGAATAAACTGAACTTACATTGTATATAGGCTCCTCTTCCTCTGATGGATTGTACCTCGTAATGGGTGAGATCATGATCTCGGCTAAAATTCCCTTAACAAGGGGAGATAACTGTACTAATAAAGATTTTGACGAGTCTGCGTCAAATCTTCTCAATGAAACAAAAATAATGACCCAAAACAACGGAGGACATAGTCGGTAGATTCTTTCCGGCCCTTTGGTCACATCAACCACAGGTAATATGGGATGATATCGAGTAATGTACTCAAGGTATAATTTTCTTATCATGTCTGGTGATATTACAATTGAATCGACTGATTTTTCCTCGCAATAAAGGTCCGCCTTTGTTAATTGAAAATCTTGCAATATCTTTTTTTCATCATATTCATAAAGGTTGGCATTATCATTCTTTCTTTTCAAAGGCCGTGGTGGTGGTATAGGCGAGTGTTGCAGTTCACTTTGCTCCGAAAAAGAAGCCCCATTTGGATTAAATAAACTTTGTGGATTCTGGATTGGCAAATTTGGTATTCGGCCATTAATAGTATGATGATGAGAACGATCACGATCACGATCACGATCACGATCAATGTTGGGATCCTCTACTCCACAATAAGACACTTTATGCTCGTGCGGTCGAGATGGAGGTTGAGGTTCCTGATTATTGTTCATCTCGTCTAATAAAGATGGGAATTTTGCCATTATTTCTGCCGTTTGTGCGCTGTTCAATGTCTTCTTCAACTCCGAAAACTCCTTCTCAATTTGCGCGATTCTCGCTCTTTTGTAAGTCCTTTTATAGTCCGATTTCAAATTGCATTGTAGTCCTTTCTTTGAACACCTCGTACAGGCATTAGGGTACTTTTCGTGTGAGTCACATCTCGACTTCTGCTGTCGGCATTCAACACAAGCCATTCGCTTAACCCTTGTGGGTTTTTCTGAGGAGGTAGTTGTCAGGGGTGGCGGCGATACTGAGTTGGAGCATGATATCGGTGTATTTGCATTTGTTCTCGGTTGCACGAGGAACCGATTCGGCAGCAGGCAGGAATGATCGTCAATGCTAGAGGGGGCGGCCACTTGACCATGCAAAGAATGCATCTCATTTTCTTGATCATTTGTATTACAAATTTCACGCGACATATTGCTAGCAATATGTACCAAATTCTCCAACGAGTTCTTAACTCTGAATTCTCCTCCGCTCTCCTCGCCACTCATGAGAGAAAAGAACAAAACAAAACAGAAAATAATCCAAGGCTTATTGGACGATGGATAGTTTTGTAGTAGTTTTCTAGTTGAAGTTTAAGCTAAATGGAACAGGTTACTTCGTAAAAATAAAACTTCTGTCAAAGATTCAAAGCTGAGAAAAAAAAAATTAAAAAAAAAAAAAAATTGAAAAATCCAATTTAAACTTTAACTTTGAAAACTCATTGCTCGAAAAATGAGCGCCAATGTTGAACAACTCTAAATGTACTACTAACTTTTGGCTAACTTTTTATACTAGTATTTCTCCTTCTTTTTTGGCCAACTTTTTATATTTCTCCTTTTTTGGCCAACTTTTTATATTTCTCCTTCTTTTTTGGCCAACTTTTTATATTTCTCCTTCTCTCTCTTCTTTTCTTCTTCTTTTCTTCTTACTAACCCCAACACCACATACCATTCTCTAACCAGTCCAATTCAAATTCTGGGCTTGCATTTCCAAATTGACGAACCATTGGCAAAACACCAACTCTTTCAGCCCCATTAATGATGAACTCTACTTTATTCTTTTCTTCTCCCTTTGCTCTTTCATCCTCCTTCTTTAAACGGTGTTCCTCTGATGCATATGAAGACATTGGCAAATAATTCAAGAAAAAATCGTAAAGCACAGGGTCGGGCACCTCGCTTGGCAAATCCGTAGTGGCAACAAATACTTCCTTGAAAACGGAACTTCGATTCTTGGCATTGTATACTGCAGCGCTGATCAAGATATCTAAATCTTGAAAATTAAATCCACCAAGGTCATTCAATCCTGTAAACGATGAGCCTCTTCGGCGAAAGGTGCCTGGTAACACGTTTTCGTACAGAATCTCTCCCATTCCCGTTATGAAAAACTCTCCTTTTAATACGTTCCACAATACATAGTAAGATTTCCGTTGTAAATCATTTGTGAGTATAACTCCTTGGATCTTACAATGTTCTTTACTCTTTTCAGTTTTAGCAACACCTTGTGCTGCAATGACTTTGGTTTTATAGTCATCAAAACAAGGTTTGATTGAGAATTTGGAAACTGTCTGGTTTAATGCCAAAGATTTTCGTGTTGATTGGTCATCACCACTAGGTTTATTAATATGGTTTTCTTGTGTGCCACCACCACTATTCTCCTCAATTGCTGACAATTCACCTGCGCCACCACCACTCACTGATCCAGGTTTCGACATGGCTAAGATACTGCTCATGTTTGTCAATGATGTATGGCTTCTATGATCACTCTGTAAGTCCGTGTGAAAGACGAGCTTGTTCAATTCTGATAACATTGCCAACTCTTTAGTTTGTAGAATATAATCAATCAAACCTCGGTCTTCTTTGTTGTCCCAATTTAACAACTTGATCCTTTTTCCTACCTGGTGAGACTTTGTGTCTGGACTTGCTTGTTTCCCAGTTTCCGCGTCCTTAATTAAATGTTCTATCAACAGTTCTTGACCCTCGGTCAATATTGGCACAGGTATTTGGTAGAAATCCAATGGGTAGCTTTTGAAGCCAAACCGTCTATAGTACGTGTTCACGCCGGAGTACAAGATCCAGATATACTCTTTACCAAGGTAGTAAGTGGCCAAACTCTTATCGATTTGCCCCGTGTAATCGTCAAGCGTCATTTTCTTGAAATTGTCAATATCGGCGTCATTGCTACTAGCCAACTTTTCCTTGATAATTTCATCCTCGGTAGCCGCAATTGCTTGTGAAATACAAGACTCGGCCAACCCTTGCTTTCTGTAGTCCTTGTGAGTAAAGACATAGCTGACTAATATTGCTGTGATATTTCTCACACCAAATGATGCTGGATCTGGAGTTGACGAGATCAAACTTGATTTATCGGCGGGCTTATAAAGGGCTTTTAAAAATTTGATTATAGTACAAGCAACCACCACTTTTGACGTGGAATCCTCGATGTAGAATGGAATTATCTTGCCACCATCTTTTCTATATTGTAATAATGTTTCGGCGTGTAAAGTACCAAACTCCTCGGGGGTTAAGGGTCCTCCCCATTGGGTGCCACATAAGCTAAACAATTCTTTGATCTTTTCTGGATCCTGTGTGGACTTGAATTGGAATTTGGAGTCAATCATGATATATATATATTAAGCCTATGGCAATGAAAAAAAAAGAATAATGATGATAATGATAATGACTAGTACTGGTTAAACTCTCCAGTATTTAAATCTTGGGGAGATCTCGCTTTTAAAAGATACGGAGTTAGAAATGCAATTTAAAAATAATAAAATGTCGAGCGACATTATCGAGCGACACTATCGAGCAGAGCGAGATAGTGGAGCAACACTCAGTAGCTTGTTACAACACTACCGAGCGACACTATCGAGCGACACTATCGAGCAGAGCGAGATAGTGGAGCAACACTCAGTAGCTTGTTACAACACTATCGAGCGACACTATCGAGCGACATTATCGAGCAGAGCGAGATAGTGGAGCAATGCTCAGTAGCTTGTTACAATCTCGTGACACTATCAAGCAATACTCAGTAGCTTGTTACAATCACTATCGCCGACACTATCGAACGAAGCGAGATAGTGATTGTACCAAGCTACTGAGCATTGCTCCACTATCTCGCTCTGCTCGATGGTCTCGCTCGATAGTGTCAATCTAATAAAAACAAGGTTTTTTTGGCTTTATTTTGATGCAAAAAAAGAAAAGTATCTATATCGATGATAGTGTTGATAAGAGCTAGTGTGCTCCACTATCTTGCTTCGCTCGATAGTGAAAGTGCAGCTCGACTATCTCTTTTCGCTCGATAGTCGATAAAAACCTCTCCAAACGATATAGATCGTATAATTCAATATACTGTTTCTTTGCTACAGAAAATCTCCTGAACCGGAAACAACCAGACACTACCCTAGGCGTATTCTAGATAAACTTAAAAACTCTAACCTTCTAACCTCGATCAAAGAAAAAAAAGCAAACAAGTTAGTTCTTAGGTTTGTGATAGAGTTACGACAGTTATGTTTTTCAAAACAAGTGACAAGTGTGTTCCATTCATTTGTGAAACTAAGACGACAACGCGGGAATCGTCTTAGTTAGAGCAGAAGCTTTTGGCGGGAGAAGGGAGGAAGGGAAGGAGGAGATGGAATAATTTAATACGAAGTAACAATTAACAATAGTATTACAATAGTTTGCATTTTCACAAACCAAGAATAGAACAACGTGATAGATAATCTTTTTTTTTTCTTTTTAATAATCCAATAGTCAAAGTCGTTTGATTCCTAATTAACTTTTTGTCGTTGGTTTCGTATTCATCGACTAAACTTTAACCATATAATTTCATTTCATTTCGGACCATTTTGTTTTTATTCTTTCTTCCAGGGGGGGGAGGAAATGGTGGGGGAAGTTAAGAACAGCGGGCTGTTTAAATGTGCTTGATTTTTTTCTTCTTTTTTTGGTAATTTTTTTCCCACGGCGAGAGCGGCTTTCTTTTGAGAACAGAATGCCGTGCATAAAGAACTATTATTAATGAATTTTTTTTTTTTTTTACCTCATCAATGGGGCATTGTGAAGCGATTCCTTCTCAAGACCCGAAACCGGGCAAAGAAATACATAATAATTGAGGGCGCCACCGGAAGTTTTAGAAGGATTGTTGCATAGAGATGGGTTGCTGAGTCATAAAATAACTGAATGTTATGGTGAAGCAGTGCCTTCTTTTCCAAAAACAAAAGAGACTATATTATACAAAAAAGGAGACTATATTAAACAAAAAAGGGAGTAATATTGAACAAAAGAATGGTTATTTTTTGATTGTGCAGACATAATGGTATATTCTACCAGTTACTATAAACATTTCAAGAGGAACCCACACGGATTTTGAAGCTGTTTGATTCATTTATTATTTTCCTTTTTGAAAGCTTTATAATCTGTCATCTCACGGATTGTGCCAATACTTTCCTTGTCATTCGATGTAAAAGCAATAACGTTGCGATGACAAGAAAAGAAGTTAAAAAAAAAAAGAAAAAAAAAAAACCAATTGTGAATTGCTGCAAAAAGTCGTTGCACAAAAAAAAAAAAAAAAAAAAAAAAAAATAAAAAAAAACCAAAAAGAAGTCCCAAGGCCTGCTATTTATATATAGGTTCCCAACTATGATACTATAAATGCCATTGGGAAACTCCAAAAGAAAAGTTATGCAAGATAAAGGTTAAGAACTATATCACTTTCCAAAATTTCATACATCTTTTATCACTAGCATACTTCCTTTTTCACCAAACTTTTTTGTTTGTATCAAGAAGCCTCCATATATTTAGGCTCCATATATTTACCCTCCATATATTTTACTCCATATATTTTACTCCATATATTTTACTCCATATATTTTACTCCATATATTTTACTCCATATATTTTACTCCATATATTTTAGCTTCGAACCATGAGCAATAAAATATTCAGTATTGATACTGAAAAGGAAGTACAAGAAATTGATTCAGTGAAAAAACCACCCACTTCAAATTCAGCATCTTCATCGATTATATCAACCAGTAATGAACTAGTAAAGCCTCGGAATAACAGATGGCGTAATTTTTGCGATTCATTCAAGCCGCCGCCACAACCACTGGTTGAAGATTATGATGATGAACAACAAAAACATCGGCCAACGAGCAATCTGGATAGCACTCTGTCTTGTTCTCTACGAGATATAGATGCAGGCTTGGACTTGGAGTATAATGAACAGAAAACAAGTCCGAGTGGTGGGGGAGGATCTCCCTTGAAGCAAAGTTTGAAAAAGAGACAAATAAAAATGATAGCCTTGGGGGGTTGTGTAGGGTCCGGATTGTTGGTTGCCTCGGGTGATGCATTGAAAGATGGTGGTCCTGCAAGTATGTTGATTGCATGGGCTATTGTTTCATCTTTTCTTTATTGTACAATGCAAGCATTGGCTGAATTATCCAGTTCATTTCCTGTTTCCGGATCATTTGCTACGTATTCAATCAAGTTTATTGATCCAAGTTGGGGTTTTGCAATGGGTTGGAACTATGTGCTATTATGGATTGTAGTTTTGCCATTGGAGTTGGTTGCTTCTTCAATGACTATAAATTTTTGGAATTCAAACATTAATAGTGTTGTTTGGGTTGCTATATTTTATGTGTTGATTATTGTGCTTAACCTATGCGGTAATCAAGGTTTTGGAGAAACAGAGTTTGTCGCATCAATAATCAAGTTATTGGGAATTGTGGGATTTGATATATTGGCCATTGTCTTGATTTGTGGTGGTGGGAAACAGGGCTACATTGGTGGGAAAAACTGGCATCCGCCATTTGCACATGGATTCAAGGGAGTTATTTCTGTTTTGTTGACTGCCACTTATTCATTAGCGGGAACAGAATTGGTTGGTTTAACTTCAGCAGAATCAGCAGGTGATGCCAGGAAAATATTACCAAAGGCTATAAAGCAAGTTGTTTGGAGAATATTGATATTTTATATGTTGACATTGACATTGATTGGGTTTTTGGTCAAGGCTGAAGATGCAACATCTTCATCGCCATTTGTCATTGCTATACAACAAGGTGGAATCAAGGCTTTACCATCAGTGTTCAATGTTGTTATCTTGGTGGCACTTTTAGCCATTGGAAACTCTGCAGTTTATGGCTTTTCAAGGACCATTTTGGCCTTGGCAGAACAGGGATTGGCACCACAGATTTTCATGTACGTTGATAGAAAGGGTAGACCATTGGTTGGAATTGCAGTATCTGCGTTTGTTGGATTAATGTCGTTTGTTTCTGCATCCAAGTATCAAGACGAGGTATTTTCATGGTTGGTTGCTATATCTGGATTATCTACTTTGTTCACATGGGGTAGTATCAACGTTGCTCATATCAGATTTAGACTGGCATTGAAGGTTCAAAATAGATCATTGGATGATTTGCCATATAGATCAAATACTGGCCTTATAGGATCTTATTATGGAATAATCATGATATTGATAGTATTGGGATTACAGTTTTGGTTGGCACTTTTCCCAATTGGAAAGCCTCCATCAGCACAGTATTTTTTCAAGATATATCTTGGAGCTGTTATCGCTATTTCTTTTTACATTGCTCATAAATTATGGACGAGACATTGGGTCATGTATATTAGAGCTCAAGACATTGATTTGGACAATGGGAAGTCAGAGACTGACCTTGAAATGCTTCGACAAACAATTAAGGAGGAGAAGGAGGAGTACAGGGCAAAACCATTGTACTATAAAATCTACAACTTTTGGTGTTGAGGAAATAGAGGGAGCAGAGGAGGAGGAGGAGGAGGAGGAGGAGGTAGTGATGATAAAATGGACGGATCATACAAATATATCCCTTTGCTTTGACAATGCAAGGTATTTATCTATACATATATTAAATGAACGACATTTGTACACGCATACATATATATGTATACACATTTTTCTTCATCTGATGATGTATGTGGCAATTACATAATTTCTCTAGGTACTAAACCATGTGTTCCAACAAAATATTCCTTAACAAAATGGTTTGGTATCCTGGATAAAGCAGTATCAGGTAACATGACTCCACTTCCTTCCTTAAATAAGTTCCCCCCATTTCTTTTATTCATTGAGACCAAACTGCAGCTTGACAAAGAGTTTGAAGTGAGCAGATTATCAAGTGCTCCATACTTGACAATTCTTAAATAAGCCATATTCAAAGGCGATAAAGTCGTAGGTTTGACTAATGACTTGTTTACCCAAGTATCTTCCATAGTTAATGGTTTGATACAGCGTAAACAGTTTCTATAATACTTTCGTTTACTTTGAACCTTGTCTGATTTTGGATTCCATTTGAAGTCTCGATAACTGCTATAGCTAGGATTGCGAGGCTGGTGGGAAAAAGAAGAATTAGAAGAAGACAAATTTATAGATGCAAACCTATTGGTTACCTCTTCATCATCCACTTCGTCATCTTCTCTTTCGTCGTCTTCGTCTTCGTCATCCTCTTCTTCATCTTCTTCATCTTCTTCATCAGAATGAGGCAAATCTGACATATTCTGTATATCTTCTTCGTCATCATTATTATGTAAACTCATCAGTGTTTCAATTCTTGACCTTCGTAAAGCTTCATTGAGCTCTTCGTCGTCATAGTCTTCATCTTCCTCTTCGCCTCCCTCATAGTCCTCACCATCATTTGTGAATATTTGTGCTCTTGCTTTTGCTTTTGTTCTTGTTCTCGTTCTTGTTCCTGCTTCTGCTCCTGTTTCTGCTCTTGTTCTTGTTCTTATTCTTGTTTTACTTCCTCCTCTATGAATTGGTTTTAAAAGATTCTGAGAAGAGCCACTTAATGCTTGGTCGATTTCCAACTGTGTTAAATTGAACTCTGAATGTGAACTATAAGCTGACAATGAGTTGAGCTGAGGAGCTAATGTGGAAATGCTTGTATCTAGTCTTTTCAGTTTAGTATCAGAAGCATTGCTACTACTTCTTAATCTAGTAGATGACAATTTAGACTTTAATCTGCTAAATCTTCCCTTAATTTTACTTGGATCTGAAGCAGCTCTTAGTCTTGATGCGCGATGTGTTGATTCCGGGAAATCATCATAGTTACTACTACTCCCCGTTCTTCCATTTCTTCTTCTCCTCCTTCTTCTTGGCACGGTTCTATACCTTGGTAATTCCCTTTCATTAATATCAATAGCTACATCTTTACCTATATTAATCAGCAAGTTCCAATCAATCAAATCTTGTATTGTAGCGAAATTTAGCAAAATCTGTTCATTTTCAATTCTTAATCTTAGCACATTAAATTTTTTCTTGTAATCAGAGGCCAATCCTATTTTCGCATGTTGTAAAGAGTACGATCTAATCAAAGGCCGTTTCTTATTGTTGTGATTGGTATTGGTCTCTAATAGCCCTAGCTTCTTAACAAAATTGTGGAATTGGTGATCATAAGGAGTAGTAAAGCTTGAATGATTATTCAAATCTTTAATTGCAATATTATTAGGACTTGCTTGAAACCCCAATATTTCAGGCTCTAAATGACTTGGTATAGTGTAAAAATTTAGCTGAGTTGAGTTTAGTTCAATAATGAGATATTTCCAGCTTCTATTAGGTGACAATTCATAAGGGCTAATCCACTCTAGTTTTCTAGCAATTACTCCTATTTTGTAAATTGAAGGAGAATACGTCGGCGGTAGTGGAGACGGCTCGAATGGTAGCGCAGGTTTCAGAATCATCATATTCGCCGATCGTGCAGGAGGAGCCGCAGCAGTAGCGGCAGCGGCCGCAGTAGTGAGGCAGCCGGCGGCAGAAGAAAGATTTATTGATGGTACTGTCATACTATCAAATGTAGTTATTGTTTGTACAATGGGAAATTTGGGACACCCACCAGGTGGTAATGTGTCGTAAGATGGGGGACAAACTGGATTTGGTTCGATTAATTGTAGATAATCTTGACAACTATTTTCGAGTGGACTAATGATAAACTTGTCTCTTGATTGCTTTTCGTGGTGGTAGTGGTGGGTAGTAGTGGCAGTGGTAGTTTTCTGACCATCAACCGTAATACTCTTATATCTCTTCTCTGAGATCTGAGAAGTAGCAGTAACGTGATTTGAGGAATAATTTGGTTTTTCAAGTGGTTTGGTATTTTCAAATTGATGAGTAATTGTTGATGTTTTTGGGGTAGATGGGCTACTGTTTTCTACCGAGGACAATGGTGTAGGAGGTATCGGCGTTCCTCTCATAAGCTCTGTATTGTCGTTTGCATTTGAAAATAGAGACGATGATGATGATGACGAAGAAGAAGAAATGGTGGTGGAGGATGAGGACGAGGAGACTGCAGGCACATTTGGTATGCCAACAACAACTGAGGGAGCAAAAGAAGAATGTGGTGGTGGTGGTGAAACATGATTATTTTCGGAATTGTGGGAACTCTTTTTCATGAATTGATGGTTTATTATATGCTCTCCATTGCTAGGATCATACAGCAAAGGAAACTGAACCGCTGGTGAGCATATATGACACGGTAGTTGATTCTGGTCGTCTTTATTATGTATCATCATCGATGTTGTTGAAAAAGACGACGAAGACGAAGATGTTGGGGAAGATGAACAAAATTGAAAATTAGAGCCATTTTTTGATCCACCCTTTTTGCGTATAAGCAGTGCCAAAACAGCCATTTTAAAAACTCTCTTATAGTATTCTTAAATATATATATGGGTTTTACTTTTATTCACGACACTGTAGCCATCATAAGGAATGTGAGTAGAAGGTAGATTTGGCTAGCGGGCTAGTTGTTTCGATTGCTGATCTTGTTAAAGATTCTTTAATCAGTTATACTTTTCCCCGATGCTAAGAAATACAAGAGAAGAAAAAATATATCTAATAATCTTTAGTTAATATTTTGATAAGAAAATTAATAATTATCAATAGCCTCGGGAGAGGGTTCCAGAGTGAGACGAGGGGTTATTTAGCGGTTGTGATGGGTATTGGTTGTTGTGGTGATTAGCTGTGGATAGATACAAAAACCAGGTGCAACGAGATGAAAATTTTAGATGTTGTTGGTATCTATCACGACAAGTTCTTAGAGATTGAGTAAATGTTAAAAAGCAGGTATATCTGGTCGTGATGTGCTTCACCAATCTCTACCTATTACTCTTACACCTATTAATTTTCTACTTGTTACTTTTCCACCTTGATATTACTAGCTTGTACAACACTATCTCGCTCTGCTCGATAGTGTTGCCACTTGTTAAATCTCTTGTAATATAACAAGGTTTTGGTTGAGATGAGAGAAATCACACCTTAAAGTCACCAGATTCATAATCCAATTACAGCCGATTATCATTAGTTCGGGGACTATTAACCAAAAAGTTATAACCAATCAATAAATAAAGCCCATATGAGGACTTCAAATCACATGATACCGCCACATTGTTTCCCTCCTACCCGAAACTCATTACCTTGCTCCTCCCGTATTAGCCGCCTTTTACTCTTTACATTTAGCGTTTTGCTCCTATTATCTATTATCAAAACCCGTGTGTTATTATATAATAGAGACAACAACTTTAGATATCACTGTATTACGTAATACACTCCCTAACTAAATGTAATATATGACATAATATGCACGTATGGTATTACATAATATCTGCCATATTATTACATAATACTTTTTTTTTTTTTGCTACTTACTCTCTTACTTGACATCTATTGTTTCCTGATTTGTAAATGAAACCGTTTCTTTTAAAAATAGTTTGCTTTTAACAATAGTTTGCTTTTTTGTCTTGTTTCCTGATTTGTAAATGAAACCACAAACTAGTTTGCTTTTAGTCTTGTGCTGTCAAAACTTTGTAGCCCAAAAAACAAGTCTGTTAAAGGTTAATACCAGAGCCAGTTCAAACGCTAGCATTTTGTATTTTTTAATCTGCCCCTTTAATGGTACTTCCGTCTCTATTACGTTTGAGTAATGCTGTTATATGTATGTTTGGGCTCTGTTTTTACTCTCCCCGCAAAAAGAAAAAAAGAAAGTCATGTATCCTATTTAGGTTGTATGCGATGAGGACCCTATAATGGTAAAGGCACGTGCAATCAACGACACCATCGAGCAGAGCGAGATGGTGGAGCAGCACTTTGTAGCTTATCACAACACTAACTAGCTCGTCAAAATACTAACTAGCTCGTCAAAACACTAACTAGCTTGTCAAAACACTAACTAGCTTGTCAAAATACTAACTAACTTGTCAAAACACTAACTAGCTTGTCAAAACACTATTGAGGAAAGAGAGATGGTGGAGCAGCACTTGGTAGCCGCCACAGACACTATCGAGCAGCACTTACTAGCAACACTGACTAGCTTGTTAAAGAGACTAGACGAGTGAAACGAGTCTAGTCTATAGAAAGAGTAGATAGAGATAGACTATCGAGCAGAGCGAGATAGTAGAGCATTATTAACCTCAACACTCTCGAGCAGAGCGAGATAGTAGAGCATTATTAGCCGCCACCAACACACGGGTAAGAATTACACACTTGACCTTCTAAGAATCTTACTTGAGCTTCTAAGAAACGAAAAAAGGAATATTTTGAAAAGTTTTACTGTATAGTTCTTATGGTTAGTTCTATTCTCCACATTGCCCAGTTCTTATGCTTAGTTCTACACACGGAATTGCTCGATAGTATCGCTAGTCGGTGGCAGCTACAAAGAATTGCTCCACTATAGAGCAAAGTCAGTGTCGGCGTAGTCAGTATTGGCGTAGTTAGTGTCGATAGTCTATCTACTATCGACTAGACTCGTTTCACTCGTCTAGTCTCACTCGTCTAGTCTCTCCTATACGGTTTGATACTTTGCAACAATCTTGTCAAAAATTTCATTCTTCTTCTCCTCATCCTTGAGCAATTCATGCTCACGGTTAACCTTCCTCAATTGCTCCAACAATGTACTTGTTTCTTTCCCGAAATTAACCAATCGATCTAATGCAATTTGATTAGCAATCATATCTCCCTTTTGTACGCTCATAGTAGTACCAGCACCAGAACTAATGGTATCTTCAGATATTTCTTTATTCTCCTCAATTATCAGCTGTATCTGTTTCAATATTTCTTGCGCCTCGGGAATATGCTTCAATTGCAATGTCAATACTAACAATCTATTCAAATTCTCAACTTTACCTCTATAATCCTCATCATTGTAATTATTATTCAATATCTCATCATAAAAGTAATATGCATTGGTTATATTTTCATTGCCATTCTTTATGCTCTTATACCAGCTTTCGATAATCTGATAAATAATATTATCCCTAGCAAAATCAGGGAACGAGTTCAAAGTTCTGAAAATACTCGTTGCAGCTTTGAAATTGCCGGTAACGAAATATAGTTGAATTAATACTAGAAACACTTCAATTTCATTAAGTTTCTGGGGGCTCTTCATATTGTCAATATACAAAGTAAGGAAATTGATACTTTGATCACTATCCTTTTCAAACTTGATCAAATACAATGATGTCAATATAGCTTGTAATTCAAATTTGGCAACTTTCAAATCTTCAAAGTATGTTGAATCATCAGTACCGAAATCTTTCAAATCGTTCCATGCTTGTAATAGCTGAAACAATTCTTCGTTACCAGGGAATTTCAATTTACCGTCTTCTATCATTTGCGATGCATCCTGCTCTAAGGCTATAGTTGATCGAATTTGAAACTCAAAAACTTTCAATTGGTTCTCAGGTGAAAACTCATCGAGTGAATAGGCCTTGACTTTATTATGCTGATGAGTGTAAAACTGAAACCTTATAGCGTAAAGCTCTCCTGAATCTGAAAACGCGTCCATTGCAAACTTACAAACCCACAAGTATTTAGAGCCAGAAAAAACACAAACAAACAAACAAACAAACCCTTGATTCGATATATGAATACCTAAAGTATTTGCAATTATCGTCGTTAGCGCCCAAATTGAATGAAAAAAAAAATGCCGAGTGTCATTTTTATTGTCGAATTTTCGTTACGTGTCCAAGAAACAAGGTCGTGTGAATCAACACTAAAATGTATTTGTGTAAAGCAACAACCTACACTATCGAGTGGAGCGAGATAGTGGAGCAGCACTTCTTTGACCACCCTAGTGACACTATCGAGTGGAGCAGCACTTCTCTGATCAATATAGTGACACTATTGAGTGGAGCAGCACTTCTTTGACCACCCTAGTGACACTATTGAGTGGAGCACTTCTCTGATCAACCTACAGTGAATGTCTGAGAAATAGGTTCGATGCTGTCATAATCAGCCAGTAGTAACTAGTCACCGTGCTCCACTATCGAGCGGAGCGAGTATGAGTATAACGTCTATGAGTATAACATCAATGAGTGTATTTATCACTATTCTCTTCTTGTTGTTACTACCATTTAGTGTCTGCTGTACAAAGAGCAGCTACAAAGAGCAGCTACAAAGAGCAGCTACAAAGAGCAGCTACTAATTGCAGCTCCACTATCTCGCACCGCTCGATAGTGAGCAGCTACAAAGAGCAGCTCCACTCGATAGTGAGCAACTACAAAGAGCTGCTCCACTCAATAGTATCATCATGGAGCCTCAAGCAAATCGATGATTTAGTTCTAGTCCCAGTTCTAGATCACAACCATCTGCTTTTGAGAGGGAGGGCGATAAACAATGAATAACTTTTCCACTCGATTTAGCCCACGCCACGTAAAAAGAAAGCTGAAGCTCTTCTCTGTAAAAAGACAGCTGAAACTCTTATCTATGGAGGGTATCTATTTATTTTTTTTTTTTTTTGACAGATGATACATAACAAAGATTGTATAATAAAGTAAGAAGTTACCAAACCGTGAGTGTAACTGAAATAAACGAGATTGATTCATGTTAAAGACCGCGTTCTTTAGTGAGACAAAAACTGGAAAGAGGTGTGTGTGTGTGGAAAACGCGTTTTGTTTATACACAATCAAGCGCAAAAAGAGTTATATTCACTTGTAGAAATAAAAACGAATGTCACGAGTGTTATTATGCCATGTTCAGTACTCTGCCGTGTTTAGTACTATGCCATGTTTAGTACTATGCCATGTTTAGTACTATGTCATGTTTAGTGTTACTATGTCATGTTCAGTACTATGCCATGTTTAGTGTTACTATGTCATGTTACTATGTCATGTTCAGTGTTACTATATATCTCGTTCTCCTGGATGGCGTCGCAAGACTTTTTTCTGCGTCCCTATGGCCTGACTCGGATGTAAATTTGTTCGTCAAACAGAACAGCTCACAGTAATTCTCAGCCTGATTATGTAATATATTATATTATATGGAAATATACACGTGACATTAAGATTGAAAAAACCGGAAGTAAACTAAACAACAATAAACATAATAAACACCCAATACAACATTCATTGCAGAAAAAGAAAAAAACAAACAATATCTATCAAAAGGTCCTTATTGTGATTATTGTTGTTGTCGTCCCGTTTTCGTTTTCGTGTTGTTGTTGTTGATGTTGTTGTTATCGTCTGGCAAGTGACATGAGATATTACTTGTTTCCAATAGTATAAATAATTCAGTCAATTACAAACTTTTTTTCATCTTGATTATTCCTTTATTTTTCTTCTTTTCTTCTCTTCAATCTCTCCATTCTTTCTACTTTAGTTCCAACTACTAGTCAATCGTTAATAATACTAATAAATACACGAAATGCAATTCTCAACTGTTACTTTAATTGCTGCTGCTACTGCTGCTTTGGTCAATGCTGATATCCTCACAACAACTACTAAAGTAGAAACTTTGGTCACAATCACCGATTGTGGTCCAACCGTATCAGACTGTCCAGCTTCCCATGTTGAAGAAGAGCATTCTACATCCATTATTGAATCACCAGTAGAGGCACCTGCTAATGTTTCAACTTTCGAAGGTGCTGCTTCTAAACAATTTGCAGTTGGTGCTGTTGCTTTAGCCGCTGGTGCCTTATTAGCTTTGTAAATTTGACAGACGCCAAAAAAGCAAAAAAAGAGAATTACTGGTTTTCAGTGTCTACAGGTTAGCAGTAAAACATCAGAAACATTTTCATTGATTAAAAGCAATGGGTCTTGTTCACTCTTGAAATAAATAGAGATAAAAGGTTTATATGTTATATTTTATATACAGAGAGATTCAAAGATTTTAAATTTCGCAGCCAAATAAAACCCCCTAACTCTTGAAACTCTTTCCGCCCCTTAAGACACCAAAAACAAACAAAGAAGAGACTCACTGGTTTTCAGTATCTACTCGACACTGTCAAGCGGAGCGAGATTGTGGAGCATACTAGCTCTCAGCAACTAAATATATTGCTAATAGCAGCTACAAAGAGCAGCTACTAATTGCAGCTCCACTATATCGCTCCGCTCGATAGTGAGCCTATGCAACTCAAAACGGTGTATCAATATTGTTATAATTTTAAACTATATATATCTTATTCACATATAATGATCCTATTAATATATTTACTAAACAACAGCTATCATTCTTATAGAACAAGGTTGTTCTAAACAATCACAAGAGCAGTGTCAATAGTGTCGGTGGCAGTTAGTGTTAGTCCATTCAAAAAACCCCCTAACTCTTGAAACATTTCCGCCCCTTAAGACACCAAAAACAAACAAAAAGAAGAGACTCACTGGTTTTCAGTATCTACTGGATTTTACACACGGGTTTGATTGCAGCCTTACACACTCGTGGTTTTAACAGGGTACATGGGTTGCTCCACTATCGAGCATAGTAAGACAGTGTCGGTGTAGTCAGTGTTGTAACAAGCCATATGTGCTGCTCCACTATTGAGCAGAGCGAGATAGTTGATAATGTCGGTGGAATCGGTGCTGCTCCACTATCGAGCAGAGAGACATAGTGTCGATAGTGTCGGTGGCAGTTAGTATGCTCCACTATCTCGCTCTGCTCGATAGTGTCGGTGGCAGTTAGTATGCTCCACTATCTCGCTCTGCTCGATAGTGTCGATAGTGTCGATAGTGTCGGTGGCAGTTAGTGTGCTCCACCATCTCGCTCTACTCGATAGTGTAGCCAAAAACCCCCTAACCTCACTTTCCGCCCCTTAAGAACATCGACAAAAAAAATTAATAACAAAATAATTAAACGTGTATACATTTTAAATATAAAGATAATCAACCCCATCTTCATCAAAAAAAAAAAACCAATTATAAAACAACACGAATCTTCAAAACGAATATTAGTAGAACGAAAATAATCAAAGCTTTGCATAAAAAACCTCCAATGATGTAGCGTTATATACACCATTCAGAAAAAAAAATGCATATTGAATGTAAAACTTATTCTTTCCTTTTTTTTTTTTCCTTTTCCTTTTTCAAATAAAAAAACACTTGGATCCATCTGGAAGGATCATATTAAATAGCATATAGATTGATAAATAAACTTCATATTTGGTTGGGTATGAAAACAAAAAGTCAGTTAAAAACAAACAAACAACAACTTCCAAAAAAATAAAACAGCCTTCAAAATATTAAAGTAAAACAGCCTTCAAAATATTAAAAAAAAACAAAAAAAACAAAAAAACAATCTATGGGTTTGGGAGATTAGGCTCCTCCTCCAACAGGCTCAATAATTTGGCCTGGTGCCTGACCCGGAACTCCTCCGCCGGCAATGATTTCAGGTGCTGGTTGATAAACATATCCAATATTCTCACCATTCAAATCATGCTCTTTATTGACATGAGTTACTTCATCAACTTGCTTCTTTCCAGCATCTTTAGCCTTTTCCTTTACATACTCTTCATGTTCAGAAGGTCCCTTCTCATGATTCTCCTTCTTGTGTTCTTCTCTATCGTGTTCCTCGTGTTCATGTTGCTCTCTTCCTGGAGCAGCCTCATACTTTTCACGCTCATGGTGCTCCTTTTCATGGTGCTCCTTCGAGTGGCGTTCACCACCATAAACACGATCTTTTTCATAGTGTTCCTTCTCCTTTTCCTTAAGGTGTTGATCCTTCTCATGCACCTCCTTCTCCACCTTCTCACTATCATGTTCCTTGACCACGTCACGACGTTTCAACTCATGATCAACCTCGTGATAATAGTCCTTGACATGTTCCTTTTCCTTGCCCCATTCATCAAGCTCGTCAATATCCTTCTCAATTTCCAAATCATCTTCCAAAGTCTTCTCATGATGATTCAAAGCGTGCTTGTCTTTTTCAATAGCAAGATCATGTTCTTTATGGCCATTCTCCTCGTGGTACTGGTACCCGTCATCAGACTCTTTATGGTGATCTTTTTCATGATGTTCAACAACCTTTTTATGAGAGTCCTCTTCATAGCGGTCAACTTCATGTCTCTTGGTGTTTTTTTCATGGTTAGCTTCGTGATAGTATTGCTTGTGCTTCTCCTTCTCCTTCTTGGCTTCGTCAAATTCATGTAATGACTTCTCATAATCAACACCATTCTCATCATCATGATCCTCTTCTTGTTGGTCAAGAACATGCTCATCTTTATCTAACGAATAGTCATCCTCCTTGTGATGATTCTTTTCGTCAAACTTCTCGTCGCTCTCAGTTTCCTCATGATGGTTAACTTCATGATGTTCTTTTACATTTTTATGATAGTCCTCCTCATAACGTTCCAATTCATGACGCTTGGAGTTATGATCCACCTCGTGGATATAATCCTTGTGGTGATCCTTCTCCTTAGCATACTCATCATTTTCGTAAACTTCTTTCGAGTATTCAACACCATTGCTACTATCTTGTTCTTGATGACTAACTTCATGTTCATCTTTAGCCAAACCATAATCATCTTCCTTGTGAGCCTCTTTCAAATGTTTATTCGATCCATCATCAAAGCTTTCATGTAAATCCAATTCATGATGCTTGGTAACATCCTTGTGTGAATCTTCTTCGTAATGCTCAACTTCGTGTCTTTTTGATGGGTGATCAATCTCCTTGAAGTAGTCCTCGTGGAAATCCTTCTCCTTTGCAAAATCATTAACCTCATGGGTATCCTTTTCGTATTGAACTCCATTCTCATCAACGTTGGCTTCGCGATTGTCAACTAAATGACTATCCTTATTCAAAGTACGATCGTTTTCCTTGTGTCCCTCCTTCTCATTATAGTGCCATCCATCATCAGAAACCGAGTGTTCACTCTTCTCATGATGTTCATTTACATCCTTGTGGAATTCCTCTTCATAGTGTTCCAACTCATGTCTCCTCCTTTTAGCTTCATGGTCCAAGTCGTGTAAATAGTCCTTATGGTGCTCTTTTTCTTTCGAAAACTCATCCAACTCATTCCATTCACTTTCGAAATCATAGCCATTGTGATCCTGTTCACGATGGTCAACCTGATGTTTATCCTTTTCTAAAGAATAATCATCTGATTTGTGTTGCTCCTTCTCATGCTTGTTACTTACATCGTCCAGTATTTCATGCAAGTTCTTTTCATGATGCTCAGTCACGTTTTTGTGAAGATCTTCTTCATAATGTTCAACTTCGTGTCTCTTTTCCTTGTGATCCAACTCATTTACTTGGTCTTTATTGATATCACTCTCAAACTCAATATCATCAAGCTCATGAATAGTCTTATCATGATGCAAGTCTCCTTCATCATGCAACTCATGTTGATCCTTTTCATGAAGGTCCTTTCCCTTCTTGTGTTCATTCTCTACTTGATGATCCAATTTATATTTACCATCCTTCTCATGAAACTTCTTTTGATACAGGTCTTTTTCCAACTCGTGCTGATCCTTTTCGTGCAAGTCAAATTCATGATGCAGTTCACCACCATCAACCTTTTCGTGTTGATCTAATTCATGTAAACCCTTCTCCTTTTTGTGAGTTTCCTTCTCATAAAGTTCCTGCTCTTCTCTCTTAATCTGGTAAACCTTTTTGTTCTTCTTCTTTTTGTCTTTGGACTTGTCCTTTTCGTAGAAATCCTGTTCATGTTCCTCCTTTTGAATTTCACGGTGCTCATACTCGTGGTGATCCTCTTCAATTTCTCCATTTTGAGTTTGGTGTTCATGAGAGTCTTCATTGTACTGTTCCTTTTCTAACTCGTGACTATCTTTCTCATGGATTTTATCACCAGTTCTCACCTTCTCATAATGATCCTTTGCTACATCTTGATAATCGCTTTTGTGGTCATTGTTTTCATGCACAACCCCATTATGGTGTTCCTCATGATGCTCCTTTTCAAAGTCCTTATTCTTTGCCACATGATGCTCTGAAGTGTGATCCAATGTACCATTACGGAATTTGGAATAGTGGTGCTCCTCGTGGTGAGTTTTTCCACTTTGTACATGATTCATCTCGTGATGTCCTTTGTTAAGATCGTTGGCATTTTTTGGTCCCAAGGGTTGTATTATTGGAGGATTTCCAACAGGTGGTCGGTTCTTAAACTCAGGAATCAAATAGTCTTTATCCTTTTTAACGGGTTTTGAGTTTCCAGGGACTTGTATTCCATTGACAGCGTCACCTTTTACGTTTCCGCCATTAACAGACAACTTTTCCTTAATTTGTGACGCAGTTAACTCACCAGAAGCAATCAACTTGGGAATCATCTGCAATACAAAAGAAGCAAAATCACTCCTCAAATCATTATCAGCCAATGTCAATTCAAAAATGTCATAAATCAAACCGGATTTTTTCAACGATGTGTAGACCTTAAGCAATAAATCGTCAGCCGTGTCTCTTTTGGTAATAACCCCTTTGGCACCTTTATTCACCTTGTCTTTTAAAGACTCCTTACTATCTTTTTTCAGGTCATTGACTTTGTCTTGGCTAGGCCTCCCTGTATTATTACCATCATCATCGCAATCTTCGTCATCGGCATCAGGCTTGTCTTTTGTTTTGCCCTTTTTGTCTCCAAACATTCCACCAAACTTGGATTTCCAGTCTTTTCCACCCTTACCAGATGAAGACTCCTCGTCCTTGTCTTTACCATCTTTCATAGACTTTCCTTTCTTACCACCAAACATTCCGCCAAGTTTACCGCCAAATTTACCATCATCGCCATCGTCTTTATCCTTGTCCGATTTTCCTTTCTTACCTCCAAACTTTCCACCAAATTTTGACTTTGAATCACTCTTATCATCTTCATCTTCATCTTCATCTTTAGATTCTTTGGATCCTTTCTTCTTACTAAGCAACTGCTTGAGTTTCAGAACTTTGAGTGCTTGAAACTGTTCTTCTTCCTCTTCTACTTCACGTTTACCTTTCGCTTTTTCTCCTGCTTTGATCTTTTCTTTAAGTTTCTCTTTGAAACTTTGTTCTGGTTTCGGTTCAGGTTCCGGTTCAGGTTGAGGTTCAGGTTCAGGTTCCGGTTCAGGTTGAGGTTCAGGTTCAGGTTGAGGTTCAGGTTCGGGTTTCTTTTCAGGTTTCTTTTCAACGGGAGGTGGGGGTGTAGACGGAGCAGCAGGAGCTTCTGTAACAGTCACTGTAACATATTCCGTAGTTGTAACAACCTTTGCACCTCCATTTTTCGAACCACCAAGCTTTCCTTTCAATTTTGAACCTTGATCCTTCATACTTGGCATTTTACCCCTCATACCTGACATTGAACCCTTCATACCTGACATTTTACTTTTCATGCCTGACATTTTACTTTTCATATTGTCCTTTCCAAACTTTTGCTTCAATTTTTGGCCTGTACCACCACTCTTCTTTGCTGAACTATCGTCTTCAATGTTTTCGGCTGGGGTCTCAACTTCCTCCTTGCTTTCAGCTGGGACCTCGGAATCAGACTTGCCTTCGCCTTTGAGCTTGCTTAATAACCCAGCTAATTTGACTTGAGATTCATCTTCTTCACGTTTTCCATTTCCTTTTCCATTTCCTTTTCCTTTTCCGCTTCCATTTCCCTTTCCCTTTTTAAGCTTGTTGTCACCAGCATTGCCTTTACCTAGTTTTCCTCCAAACTTGGATTTGAGGTCACCAGATGATTTTCCATTTTTACTTTTGGGCTGCTCTTCCTCGTACTCGTCTTCACATTCTTCATCATCATCATCAACATCATCGTTATTATTGCCTTGTGACCCTTTCCCTTTTGAAGAAGAGCCTTTTTTGAAGCCTCCTTTGTTGCCCATCAAACCTTTCAATTTAGATAAATCACGTTTTCCTTTTCCCATACCACCGTTGCCACCTTTACTGAACATACCTCCTAACTTGGCTTTCATACCACCAGAGGATTTTCCTCCATTGTTGGATGGTTTTTCTTGCTCTGGTTGTTCTTCCTCACAGTCATCATCATCTTCTTCCTCCTCCTTCTCCTCCTGGGGTTTTTCTTGTTGTTTGCCATTGGATTTACCTCCCTTACTAAACAAACCTTTCAATTTGCTTAAAAGGCCTGTCTTACCACCACCACCAACACCACCTTTTCCAGAACCATTTTGTAAGCCTTTTCCGCCTTTACCAAACATTCCGCCAAGTTTGGACCTCATGCCTCCACTTGGTTGAGCACAGTCCTCTTCTTCCTCTTCCTTTTCTTCAACAACTTCTTTTTGAGTCGATTTGCCTCCTGTTAAGCCTTTCAATTTGGACAAACCAAGTTTATCACCCATACCACCCATACCACCCATACCACCTTTACCACCCATGCCACCTTTACCACCCATGCCACCTTTACTGAACATACCTCCTAACTTGGCTTTCATACCGCCAGAGGATTTTCCTCCATTGTTGGATGGTTTTTCTTCCTCCTGCTTATTTTCTTCGACATCTTTCGTTTTCGATCCTTTGCGTTTGACATAAGTTTCTTTCCTCGACTTTGACACGCCGCTTTTGCCACCTAGTTTCAGTCCATTAGATGGCTTTTCTGATGGTTTAGGTTTTTCTTCTTCTGTTTCTTCTTCAGAGCAGGACTCATCGTCATCTCCATTATAAGAATCTTCTTTACCTTTCAGTGAGTCTTTCAGATTTGAGGCTTGATCCTTGCCTTTTTCAGGCTTAGATTTGGAGCCACTGGATGACTTTCCGTTATCTTTTGGACTTTCTTTGTCAACCAGTTCGTCCTCTGAACAATAGTCATCATCATCATCATCATCATCATCATATACTGGAGCTTCCTTATTTTTTTTCGTTTCTCCCTTGGGAACTTCCTTGGGAACTTCCTTGGAACCACCCTTGGAACCACCCTTGAAACCACCTTGTTTATCCATTAAGCCTTTTAATTTCGACAAATCACGTTTACCACCTTTTTTTGATTTCTCATCTGGACAGTCATCATCTTCAGTTTCTTCTTTACCTTTTGAAAATTTGGATTTGATAGATGAAGAGCCTTTATCGGCGCCACCTTTACCACCTTTACCACCTTTACCGCCTTTACCGCTGCCACCTTGTTTATTCATTAAGCCTTTTAATTTCGACAAATCACGTTTACCACCTTTTTTTGATTTCTCATCTGGACAGTCATCATCTTCAGTTTCTTCTTTACCTTTTGAAAATTTGGATTTGATAGATGAAGAGCCTTTATCGGCGCCACCTTTACCACCTTTACCACCTTTACCGCCTTTACCGCTGCCACCTTGTTTATTCATTAAGCCTTTTAATTTCGACAAATCACGTTTACCACCTTTTTTTGATTTCTCATCTGGACAGTCATCATCTTCAGTTTCTTCTTTACCTTTTGAAAATTTGGATTTGATAGATGAAGAGCCTTTATCGGCGCCACCTTTACCACCTTTACCACCTTTACCGCCTTTACCGCTGCCACCTTGTTTATTCATTAAGCCTTTTAATTTCGACAAATCACGTTTACCACCTTTTTTTGATTTCTCATCTGGACAGTCATCATCTTCAGTTTCTTCTTTACCTTTTGAAAATTTGGATTTGATAGATGAAGAGCCTTTATCAGAGCCACCTTTACCACCTTTACCACCTTTACCACCTTTATTGAAAAGTCCCTTCAACTTTGATTTCATGCCGCCGAATTTGTCACCTTTCATACCTTTGCCCTGTTCTTCTTCTTCTTCTTCTTCATCATCACCAGAACAATCATCTTCAATAGATGGTGTGGAGTATTTACTGCCTTTTCCAGAAGTTTTCCCATTTTTGCTCAGAGATTTTTTATCACCAGAGCCTTTTTTAAGCTTGGACAAATCACGAATCATCATTTGAACATCTTCACGTTTGAGATGGGAGCCATGAGATTTACCCCATTTTTTACCGTAATGGTGGTCATCATTACAGCAATCACATTCAAGATCATCATCTTTCTTACCATCATGGTGATCATCTTTCTTATCGTCACCTTTCTTGCCGTCATTTTTCTTGCCATCATGGTGATCCTCTTTCTTATCGTCACCTTTCTTGCCGTCATTTTTCTTGCCATCATGGTGATCATCTTTCTTATCATCATCTTTCTTATCATCATCTTTCTTGTCGTCATCTTTCTTGTCGTCATCTTTCTTGTCGTCACCTTTCTTATCATCATGATGAATAGTACCATGCTCCTTCTCCTTTAATCCTTTTCCGTGCTTATGACGACCATATTCATACAGTGTTCTAGATCCCAGACCACGACCGTTTTTCAATTCCCATTTTCTTCTGTATTCTCTTTCCCATTCGTCGCAATCTTCATCCCAGTCATGGCAATCCTCGTCTCCATCTTGGCATTCGTGGTTCCAATTTATATCTTCATACTCATAGTCGACGCAGTCACAGTCCTTATCATCATCATGGTGATGATGTTCTTTTCTTCCACCATGACCATGTTTTCTGTAACCTTTGCCTTTGCCTTTGCCTTTGCCTTTGCCCTTGCCCTTCTTGTCCTTTTTCAATTTTTCCAATCCAATAAACTTATTTTCAGGGACAGCATCGGGTGACATTTCTAAACCGTCTGATCTTTTGATAGCAATAGCTTGTGCTTGAAACATCTGGTCTTTATCCTCATCCACATCAGCAGCAGCAACGATAATATCGCCAAGTTCCCCTTCGCGAATAACCTTAATCTTCTCAAGCAACATAAGGATATCTTTCAATATAACAACTTTTTCAATAGTTATATCCTTTCCAATATTCAACAATTGCCAAAATATATTGCCCAAGCCACCGGTTTTGACTTCAGTAGTAAAAGAGGGATTACCTCCAGTAGCAACATTGTCAGCAACTCCTCTTTTAACAGGCGCATCATCAGCAACTCCTCTTTTAACATCCTGGTTAACGTTTAATCCAAGCATGGCTTGGTTCTTTCGATAATCCACGTCAACACCAAAAGAGTTATAGTGATTCGCATTCAAAGAATTACCATCATTATTGATAACAGAGCCATCCTTAACAAGTTCAACATCTTGTCTCGAGGTCACCGCCAACGCTTTAGCAGCAGCGACAATGAATAATAAACTATGAACCCTCATATGGATATGTTTATTATTGCGAGAAAAGCAGCTACTTGTTTGTAGAGAATCTTCTTTTATTTTCCAAAAAGTATATCATAGGCAAAATGGCACATCACTGTTGGTATTTATATCAATTGACCACCTTCAAATTACTTTCCCTTTTGAAAGAGGAAAGACCTTTTCCCAAAAAAAAAAAAGCTCGGCTTTAGTTATCATCGTCTACCAACGTGGCCTTGCATAGGGTATACTGCTTCAGCTTCTTCTGCTACTTCTGTTTCTTCTTCCTCTTTTTTTGTAATGCTTCAAAGAAGGATGGTTTGTATTGAAAAATGGATAAATTTTGAGGAAATATTTCATTTTGTGACTCTCCAACTTGATCAGGAATAAGAAAAAAAACCCCCCAAGAAACAAATTGAAAAATAAAAAAGGAACCCACAAGTGAAATAAATTTGAGGTTGGTGGTATCAAGAAGCAACATAATTGAATATGTTGATTAGTCAAACCTCTTGGTATAAAGTCGTACACAAAGCCGAAAGTTGAAAGTTGAAGGTTAACTATCGAGCAGAGCGAGATAGTGGAGCACACTAGCTCTTGAAACCAGGCCTCTGGCAGCTCTTAAAGCCAAGCCTCTGGCACACTAGCTCTTCAAATCAAGCCTCTGACACACTAGCTCTTGAAACCAGGCCTCTGGCACACTAGCTCTTGAAACCAGGCCTCTGGCACACTAGCTCTTGAAACCAGGCCTCTGGCACACTAGCTCTTGAAACCAGGCCTCTGGCACACTAGCTCTTGAAACCAGGCCTCTGGCACACTAGCTCTTCAAATCAAGCCTCTGGCACACTAGCTCTTCAAATCAAGTCTCTGGCACACTAGCTCTTCAAATCAAGCCTCTGGCAGCTAGTGTGCTCCACTATCTCGCTCTGCTCGATAGTGGCGTGGTGTCGGTGATGATTCTAGAATCTTGTTCCAACTAGTTCATATGATGGATTACTTGATGAAACACGTGGTCCTCTCCTGGTTAATTTTGCAAACAACAGACCAAAGCTCAAACTCTTCTTCCTTCTATGAGCCTTGAATTGTTCCTTTGTACCATTCTTCAAACTAAAATCTTCAATTTCTCTACCACTTTCCAAGTCTGTCATGTTGACTTTCTCATCCAAATTAGGAGACTTCCAGCACTTTAAAAGTAATGAGCTAAATACCACACTCAAAGAGCTTGTCATCATAGCAATACTTGCCGCCACAGGTGGGAGCATCAAGTTAAACGGTAAAAAGCAGCCCATAGCAAATGGTAACATAAACGTATTATATATGATTGCCCACAAAAAGTTTAGCTTTATCCTTGAGAATGTCATATTTGAAATTTTTAATGCATTCACAACCCCATGTAAATCCGTTTGATTCTTTTGTTTTCTATTTCCAATAAGCACAATATCTGCACTTTCAATTGCAATGTCTGTACCTGAACTGATTGCCATGCCTATGTCTGCTTTTGCTAAAGCGGGCGCATCATTTATTCCATCACCAATAAAAGCAATCCCAACATCATCAGCCAAAGTTCCAAACCTATTCTTTATATCTGTGATAACTTTGTCCTTATGCACCGGTGAAACTTCGTAAAATATATTCTCCTCAGCTATTCCAACCTCTTTGCCTATTTTCAATGCAGCGCCTTTATTATCACCCGTCACCATTCCAATTATGTAGCCTTCAACATTCTTCAAGTAGTCAATCACCTCGCGTGAGCCTTCTCTCAAGGAATCAGATAGCTCTATATATCCCGAATACTTTCCATTAATAACAACAAATGTAATTGTATTCTGAGAGTTAAAGAACAAGTTATCAACAACGTCTAATAAATCAGGAAACTTTTCCTTCAATAGTTTAGCATTACCAACATGGACATGGTATTTTCGAGATCCCAAAACCACATCGGCTTCAATGCCCGAGCCTATCAATACATTGATTTGCTCAACAGTTGTATCAAAAACATCTTCCTCAAAATTCAAACCACAATTGGATTTGGCCAGTTTTGCCAATGCACGTCCGATTGGGTGCTCTGAATTGCACTCAACTGAACCTACCAACTGCCACCAATCGCTAATTGTCATATTTTTGTCATACAAAATAGGTTTTGCATGAGCCAATGTCATTTCCCCAGTCGTTAATGTACCAGTTTTATCAAACAACAAGACATTTATTGATGTAGTTTTTTCCAATATATCTGCTCCTTTTATAAGTACCCCATTCGATGCGCCAACACCTGTACCAACCATCACCGCAGTAGGAGCCGCCAAACCTAATGCGCAAGGACAAGCAACAACAACAACAGAGATGGCTAGCTGCAAACAAACAAAAAACTTGCCATTTTCATCTTTTCTGAAAATCATTGGCAATTTCTCGGAATGCACAAAGTAACAAACAATCAACCATATGATAAACGTGGCTAGCGCCAAAATCAATACCGATGGTACAAACTTGGCCGCTATAAGATCTGAAAATCTTTGTACTGGAGCCTTGTTGACTTGCGAATCCTTTACCAAGTTGATGATTTGCTGTAGTTGAGACTTATTCCCAGTATTTGTTACTCTAATGTATATCAAATGCGCACCATTAATAGATCCTCCAATAACGCTGTCGCCTTTTGATTTATAAATGGGAAGCGGTTCACCTGTTATGAATGATTCATTCACTTCCGTCTCCCCAAATACTATTATTCCATCTGCTGGTATTTTGCCTCCCGGTAATACAATTGCAATATCATTAGGTTGCACAAGATCAATAGATATGGAGCGAGTCTGGAAGTCATGAATTTTATCTTCTTCTTTAGAGGAGGATTCAGTATACTCCTTTTCTTGTTCCATCATCCTCGATTCATAGTCCAGGGCATTTTCTAAAATAGTGCAGGTTGATGGGGTTAATTGTAGTAAGCTAGATAATGCAGTCGAAGTTGCACCTTTGGCTTTATTTTCTAATAATTTACCAAAGGACACAAATGAAATTAACATGACAAGAGTGTCAAATAGTACTTTTGGAGGCCTTGTTGTTCTTCCGTACCAAACGCTTACTATTATTGAAGTGACTGAAAATATGTATGACACCATTGTTGAGATACAAACCAACACATCCATCGATGCCCCCTTGAAGCCTCTTTTTAAGAAAGATGCAAATTTCTTAATATAATTAGCTCCCAAGTGGAATTGCATATAAGTAGATAAGACAAGCTCAACAAGTGACACCAAATAAAGACCTGGAAAGAGCATGGTTTTCTTCCAAAACGCCATTTTTTCCGTGTGGACTAGGAATAAGATAGGGATACCAACAATGAGACTTTGAATAGATATGTTTTTCCAGTACTGGATATCTTTTACTTTTGAAAGCACCTTAAGCTGTGATGCCGAAGATTGGTCAAGCGAGTTTATGACAAAAAACGTAACACGGTCATCGATTTTGTTGAGCCCATCAACAACGTCTCTTATCCCTATAATGTTTGAGTCATAGGAAAAGACTAGCTCATTGATCAAGCCTTGTATATCACTTGCGGTATCTTCTTCAGTGACCAAATCTCTAATTCGAGCTGGAGCCGAGACGTCAAGCGAGCTTGCATCTGTACCTAGTAATGTCAAATAAAATGAGCCAATTCCAGGTATACTATGCAAGAAAGCCTCTATATTATAACGCAAACCTAATTGGTCAGTGTTGGAATTGAGTCCAACCAATTTCAACGTAACTTCTTCGTATTCTTTTACTTCTTCTTGTGGTTGTCCTTCTTGTTTTTCCTTGCTTGTGGTTGAATCTCTTTGATTAGCTTTGAGATCAACGGTACGGATGTAGGTGGTATCGAACCCACAATCTTGGATCGCCGATTTTAGCTCATCTTGAGATATTTCAGGAGTATGTCGTATCAAGGCTTCTTCAGTAATCAATGATACAGAAACGTATTGCACATTTTCCAATTTCTCAAGTGACATTGTGATTGAACTCGAACAAGCGCCACAAGTCATCCCTGATACACCAATTGTAGTCTGCTTTATAATTGGAGACTTTTTTTGTTTTTGTTGTTGCTGTTGTTGAAGCAATTTGGTTGTAGATTGTAGTTGAGCATCAAATCCACAGTCTTGTATAATATTGATAATCTGGCTACCGGCAATGCTTCTTGAATGGGAGATGAGCCCATTTTCAGTAACCAAAGATATTGATGCTTTTGAGACACCTGGTTGTTTTTCCAAAGCTTGAGTAATTGCTGCAGAACAAGCTCCACAAGTCATACCTTGAATTTGCACTCTTGTATTGATTTCTGGCACATTTGACGCCACTAGCTTTACCGAATACCCCAAATCGTTAATCTTTTGCAATATGGATAGCTCGTCAAACCTTACTGTTTGAAAATCACCTTTTTCCTCAACACCTAGATCCTCATGCTTATCACCTTTTTCCTCAACGACTAGATCGTCATGATGGTCGAATTTGGTAGCAATCGCGTTATACTCGGATTCAAGTGCTTGTTTAAGAGATTTCTTCTCTTCATTTGTGTGTAGATTTAAGATACGATAAGTAGCAGTAAACGCCGCGTCGTCGCTCTTGCTTGTACCGTTCCCTCTGGGCATTAGTTGCCAAATATTTACTTGAGCTTGAGTTCCTCTTGTCTATAAAGAAGAAATATAAATGTATATATAAATATATAAAAAAAAAAAAATGCAAAGCGATGCTCAAATGGTCAATCCTTAACAACTGAAGCTAATTGTACAGCTTGAGCAATTACACAGTTGAGTAGGTGACTAAAGTGAATAGAGGGTTAGTAAAGTTTAATGGACTAGCGGACTCAAGTATAGGAGGAATATAACTTCAAGTGTAGGAGGAATATAACTTGATTTGTAAGTGATTTAAAGTAACTGATATGCACTGAAATCAATCACCTCTAGTCTTTTTTCAATTCAACCTATATAAATAGGATATTGCCTCTTGTATTTAGAATTGCCTCGTATTCAGAATTGACTCTTCTATTTAGAGTCGCCTCATTCTATAATCTCTATAGGTCTATAAGTCTATAGGTCTACTACTGCCAACTAAAAGCAAAGGTTCCAATGAGCCTTAGTGGTGTGCTTTTTTTTTTTTGACATTATAGGTATTACATAATCTTATGGCTTTAGGTGATAATTCCTGACATAATCTTATGGCTTTAGGTGATAATTTCTGACATAATCTAATGGCCTTAGGTGACATAATCACTTTGCTTTGTGTGATGACATAATCTCTTTGCTTTAGGTGTGATAATTTCTGACATAATCTCTTTGCTTAGTGTGATGATGTAATCTTTTGGCTTTGGATGAGGTAATTCCTGACATAATCTAAAGAATTTAGATGACATAATCACTTTGCTTCGTTTGATGACATAATCCACACAAAAAGAAGAAAAGAAATAAAACAAAATCTAGATGTATCTTATATGCATGACAAATAATCTCTGTTTTTATTTATCTTTTTCATCTCTGGTTTGGTATTTGGTGTGTTGTAATTGGCAGAGCTTGTCCGATCGGAGATCGTCACTATTGACACTATCGACACTATCGACACTATCGAGCGAAGCGAGATAGTGTAGAGAGACTAGACGAGTGAAACGAGTCTAGTCGATAGTAGATAGACTATCGAGCGAAGCGAGATGGTGCAGAAGCACCTCTTAGACTATCGACTATCGAGCGAAGCGAGATAGTGGAGCAGTACCGGCTAGTGGAGAAGCACTTTGTAGACACTATCCATTATCGAGCGAAGCGAGATGGTGCAGAAGCCCTTTGTGGACTATCGACTATCGAGCAAAGCGAGATGGTGGAGAAGCACCTCTTAGACTAACCACTATCGAGAGAAGCGAGATGGTAGAGAAGCACCTCTTAGACTAACGACTATCGAGAGAAGTGAGATAGTGGAGAAGCACTTTGTAGACACTATCGACTATCGAGCGAAGCGAGATAGTGGAGAAGCACCTTGTAGACTATCGACTATCGAGAGAAACAAGATAGTGGAGCAGCACCGACTAGTGGCACTAGCTGCCACCGACACTAACGACACTATCTCGCTCTGCTCGATAGTGGAGCACACTAGCGGCGACCGACACTATCCGGCTCTGCTCGATAGTGGAGCACACTATCTGCCACCAACCTACTGACACTATCAAAACCATTGAGCAGACTTTTTTAAAAAAAAAAAATATAAATATAAATATTAGGACTTTTGAAACTATTGAGCAGAAACTATTCCCTCTGCTCGATAGTGGAGAAGCACTGTGTAGACACTATCGACTATTCCCTCTGCTCGATAGTGGAGAAGCACTGTGTAGACACTATCGACTATTCCCTCTGCTCGATAGTGGAGAAGCACTGTGTAGACACTATCGACTATTCCCTCTGCTCGATAGTGGAGAAGCACTGTGTAGACACTATCGACTATTCCCTCTGCTCGATAGTGGAGAAGCACTGTGTAGACACTATCGACTATTCCCTCTGCTCGATAGTGGAGAAGCACTGTGTAAACACTATCGACTGTCTCGCTTCGCTCGATGGTGGGAGCACTGTGTAGACACTATCGACTATCTCGCTTCGCTCGATGGTGGGAGCACTGTGTAGACACTATCGACTATTCCCTCTGCTCGATAGTCGATAACCCCATTAATCTATAATTTTCCTCTCCAAACTCAACTTTGCACCACCAATATTTTGTCTTTTTCCAAGTCCCGTTCCGTGATATTTATGAGAAAGATGTTTGTATGCCTGTTTTGCGTTCAAAACCCTTCCTTCGTCATCTTTATAACTCAATTCGACTTTTGGCTGATAGGATCTAAATTTGCCTGTTTCATCTTCTTTGTCACCTGCACCGGTAATGCTTCTTTTCCTCCTCTTCCTCCATCGACTATTTTCATCCTTCTTACCCTTGTGACTTGCTTCAGCAACGATCCCCTTATTCTGTAACCTCTTATCCAACTCCTTATCCAAAAAATCCAATCTTTCACTTTTGGAAAGTTTCATATACGACTTATCCTTTCTCAAGTCTTCCTCTAGTATTCTTTTCTCAATACCAATTTTTAACGCTAACAAGCTTGACTTTTTAGCTAGTTCCCCATCATCATTTTCACACGGGTTTGATGATTGGATGATGTTTTTGGATTGAAGAAATTTAAGAGTGTCAGCTAATCCACCACTGAATGTGGGTCCTGGTTCATTCTCATCTCCATCATGTGAAGATGACGCTTGAATGTCTCCATCATGTGAAGATGCCGCTTGAATGTCTCCATCATGTGAAGATGCCACTTGAATGTCTCCATCAATACTAGCGTGTAATTCATGAGGAGGTTCTGAGCCATCATGGTGTTTGACATTACTACTATGATAGCCTCCTAAATCACGCATACCTCTATCTCCATCACTTTGATTGCCCAAAATATTCACTTCTATTTTGTTCAAAAACCCCTCGGTATCATCGTACAAATTTCCTGCATACATTTGTTTCTTCTCCTCGTCCTCCTTCTCTTCTTGTACCAGATTAGCAATATCTAAAGCTATTTCTTCTGGACTCATCATTTTCCTTTTCTGTTTCTGTTTTACTTGTCTATTCATATTGATGCAACTGTAAAATTCTTCTTCCAAGTTCTCATAATCAAGATCAAGAAATTGATCTTGTTGCTGTAACTCGCCATCTTCAATCTCAGTGCGCTTGCGCTTGGTACTCTCATCCAAGGGCTTCTTTTTCTTGATTTTCTTCATCTTGACTTGAGGAGGCGTTATTTGAGTAGCCTGTTCTTCGATATCATCGAAGAAATTTGTGAACCGAGTTCTATTAGCATTAGAAACAGACGACTCGTCATTTTGCGTGCTGGAACTGTTGTTGGTGAGGACAACCTTACCTTTCTTGATCATAGCAACTGGCTCCTCATTTCTTTCACTTTCTTCTTCCTCATTGTATTTTCTATAATGTCGACCACTGAATTTAGCCATTTCGGCCTCTTTGCGATTTTCAAGATCAATCTCCAACTTTGTATCATTGCTCAATTTCTCATTAACCAAAACATCTCCAGTTTCATCATCAAGTAAACCAGAGTCTTGTAGTGTTAAAATATCGTTATTTCGTAACCCTTGCAATCTCTTACTACTATGACCAATTATTGCATTCACTTTATTGGCATTGCCGAGTTTTTCCCGATTGTCTAGTTTCGGTTCTTTTGATAGGAGCTGTTTCTTTGACCCTAAACTATTCAACCAGTTATCTGTACCCTCGACGTTATCCCCAGCGTAAACGTCTATAGCTGCATCATCACCATCATCACCATCATCACCATCATCAACAACATCAACAACATCATTTGAATTTGTCGGTCTCCGTTTGTTTGCTGCGCGTTTTGCCTCTTGTATTCTCTCTCGTAGCAAGATATCCTTCTTCAAATTAGCGCCACATATATTATTGTTGGTCACAACATCAACATCAACATCAACATCAACATGATCATTCTTAATAGTCACTTCTTTTTTCGCCGATACTGGTATTGGTTTCAACCCCAACTTCTCTCGTAGTTTATTAGTCTCTTGTATAGATAATTCCTCATTAGACATGTTTATGAATTAACGTTCCTGGCTCTACCCGAGATACTCAAGAGATGTCCAACACCTATATCTTTAGCTTATTAAAGAGAGTATCTACTTGCAATAGTTTAACTATTTGTTTTTTCTCCGCCATAGTAATACTGCGACACCATAAACAATCACCACTATCGAGCTCCACTATCAACTGACACGATCGAGCTCCACTATCGAGCAGAGCGAGATAGTGGAGCATTTCTGACTGACACTATCGAGTGACACTGTCGAGCTCCACTGTCGAGCTCCACTATCGAGCAGAGCGAGATAGTGGAGCATCTCTGATTGACACTATCGAGTGACGCTATCGAGCTCCACTATCGAGTGACACTATCGAGCTCCACTATCGAGTGACACTATCGAGTGACACTATCGAGTGACACTATCGAGTGACACTGTCGAGCTCCACTGTCGAGCTCCACTATCGAGCAGAGCGAGATAGTGGAGCATCTCTGATTGACACTATCGAGTGACGCTATCGAGCTCCACTATCGAGTGACGCTATCGAGCTCCACTATCGAGTGACACTATCGAGTGACACTATCTCGCTCTGCTCGATAGTGGAGCATCTCTGACTGTCACCATCGAGTGACACCTTCGAGCGACACTGTCGAGCAGAGCGAGATAGTGGAGCACACTAACTGTCACCGACACTATCTCGCTCTGCTCGATAGTGGAGCCACCATAAACTATCACCACTACTAAAAGCATAGTAGTGTTCAAGACTTATTCACAAATATAACAAGAATAAGAGAATGTATGATTCTTTTTTAGTACGAACCCGGGGAGGGGGGGGAAAGAGGGTCATTAGTTTGTCTACAAATACCTCTTGCTACAAGTATTTCTTTGTTGTGTAAAAGTGTGCTCTTGACTATGGTTTAGACATCGACACTATCGAGTGACACTATCGAGTGACGCTATCTAGTGACACTATCGAGCAGAGCGAGATAGTGGAGCATCTCTGACTATCACCACCGAGTGACTCCACCGAGCGACACTGTCGAGCAGAGAGAGATAGTGGAGCATCTCTAACTGACACTATCGAGTGACACTGTCGAGCAGGGCGAGATAGCGGAGCACACTGACTAATGACATTATCGAGCAACGCTCAGTAGCTTGTTACAACACTATCGAGCAACGCTCAGTGGCTTGTTACAACACTATCGAGCAACACTTAGTAGCCTGTTACAACACTATCGAGCAACACTTAGTAGCTTGTTACAACACTATCGAGCAACACTTAGTAGCTTGTTACAACACTATCTCGCTCCGCTCGATAGTGTTGTATTAAGAGCCAGTGTTGCCAGTGCTTATCACCATGTCTTCACCAAAGGGGATACCAAAACCATCAAATAGAATAAAAAAAATTGTATGTTGTGCACCAATTAACAAAACATTACAACAATATCTCGCTTCGCTCGATTGTGTTGTGTTGCTCGATAGAGGAAGGGAAAAGAGATATCAATCCATCTACAAGACTTGTTACAACACTATCTCGCTTCGCTCGATATCCATCTACAAGACTTGTTACAACACTATCTCGCTTCGCTCGATAGTGTTGTGTTGCTCAAAAAGAGCCGCGATGACGATGAAAAAAGAAAATGAAAATGAACAAGAGCAAGAGTGATAAATTGGAATGATAGATCAAGAACAAAACGCATTAAATAGAGAGTCCATTCCTGCAATATCATCATCTTCCATGCACCAGTCAATATCTCCACCACCATTATCATCTGAAAAGCAAGACTCTTTTCCGTTTGAAATGAACAAAGAGCAATACTCGGAACTAGTAGCTGATGAAACTGATTTTGATGCTTCTTTTCTTAGTTTAGTAGAGACTTTGGCTGATTATTTCCCAACTTTCCCCAAGACAGAAATCAAGATTCGATTGAAATTAGCTGATAACGTTGAAGATTTGATCGAGGAGCTATTTAGTGAAACAGAACTGAATGAAATTGGAATACAGCAGGATCGACTGGAAAAGTCTACTTTACCAACAAGTACAAAATATAACCAAGAGGCCTATCAGTTGCATGAAATATTCCCACAAGTAAGCTTATCCATAATAAGCAAACAGTTGAAAGATAACAATAATGATGTACATAAAGTTGGCATGATCTTGCTTAATGATGACCCAACACCACCACCACTGCAAACAACAGGATTTTCTTCAAAGAATCTGAATGTGAATCAATGGTTTGAACTACCCGATATGGTGAGTAGAGTTAAAAATTTTCTTGGGGTTAATAACGTGTCTACACAGGACCAACAAGGGGAATGTTTTGTTCTTGAAGATAATGATGTGATACATTATATCAGGAGAGCCAATGGCAATTACAAAAATGCATTAATTGAAATCATCAAAAATCTTCGACCTAAATTACGCAAAGAAGTAGTTAACGTTGGTGTTGAAAGGAATTGCAGTAGGGTTCAAAGAGGTGGCAGACAAACTAACAACATTAGTAGCAGGCTATCGAACCAGGGAGTCAGATATATTGAAAGCACTTATAAGTACAATCCAAACAATAAGGAAAGTCGTGAGTTATGGCAGATATATGAGAATAACCTAGTAATGCATTCGATGGATAAGAGTTTTCTTATTAGTGCATTGGAGTTTTTCCGGGGCAATTGTGACAAGGTGATTGAATTGGCATTTGAACTAGCTCAAGCGGATGCCAGTGAAGGCAGCAGTAATGAAATTTTTGAAACCAAACTGCGCAGCAAAAATGGTTGGAGAATAGTATTTGGTTCTGATGAGGCAGCCACTAGTTATCAATCACTATCACAAACTTTTCGTAACTACACTGCCAAAAGAAAACCAAGCAACGATACTTTTACTACAAGCAACGATACTTTTACTACAAGCAACGATACTTTTACTACAAGCAACTCTCTGACATTATCGTCAGCAACTGCACCATTTGCAACTAGTGAGAGACTCGATGCCTATGTACGAGCTGGGACTCTAGACTTGCATAATTTCAAATTAGTTGAAGCAATACAAACTACAAAATTAGTATTGAACCATTGGTGGAACCAAGAAACAAAACAAAGAATTGAAGAAGGCCGGTTGCAAAATTATGGGAATTTAGCATTATTTGTTAATCATATGTCAATTATTACAGGACGTGGCATACATTCTGTTGGTAATGTTAGTCCTATTAAGAAGTATGTTAAGGAGTATTTGACTAAACAGAGTTTTATATTTGACGAATATGCTGGGAAATTTGACGTTAAAGGAAAAAGGAAAAACATTAAAAAGTAGATTTTATCGAGACTATCGAGACTATCGAGCGAAGCGAGATAGTGGAACAACACTCAGTAGCTGTCCACTATAGAGCAACACTCAGTAGCTGTCCACTATAGAGCAACACTCAGTAGCTGTCCACTATAGAGCAACACTCAGTAGCTGTCCACTATAGAGCAACACTCAGTAGCTGTCCACTATAGAGCAACACTCAGTAGCTGTCCACTATGGAGCAACACTGACTAGTTTGTTACAACACTATCGAACAACACTAAGTAGCTTGTTACAACACTATCTCGCTCTGCTCGATAGTGTTGTTCGATAGTGTTGTTCGATAGTGTTGTTCGATAGTGTCGCTCTATAGTGACGGTGTAGACGTGTATTTATATGTATAGATATATGACAAAAGAAAGATGAGCCTTTTGTTGGAGCATATTCGGCGCAAAAAGTGGAGAGGAAAAGCATAGCGACATTTTTATAATTGCAATCTGTACAATCACGTGATAATATTAACTGGCACAATTATCTTGTGTATATCACGTGACTGTACCATTTTGTACAACTATCATGTTTCTTTCACGTGACCCTTTTTTTTTTACTGGTTAAAAAATAAAAAAGAAAAAGAAAACCGTGTTTGTCCGTTATAATTTTTTTTTGACTCGTTTGCAACAATGCGCTACCAAGTGTCACATGAAGTAAGGGGGTTAGGTACCATCTATCCCTTAATTTAAGCTTCTAAGCTCATCGCATCGAAAAGACAAAAAGAGAATAGCTACTCTTTGTTGTTCTTGGATTGTTGATGATAAGCCGATTCTGATTCATTCATGAAATCATAAAAAATAAAATCCCACTTTTTCTTGGGGGCAAACGTGCTCGCGGTGACTTGTCTATTGCAAAAGAAAGATACAACATCAATAGCAAAAGGTACAATAGAGAGATATTGCCATATAAAGAAATACAAAGTAAATACTACAAAGCAATACCATACAAGGTAATACCAGGATAATACCCTAATACCCTACAAAATAATACCATAACAAGGTCACTACAAAATAATACCATAACAAGGTCACTACAAAATAATACAAAGCAAATACTATAACAAGATAATACCATACAAGGTAATACCATACAAGGTAATACAAGGTAATACAAAGCAATAACTCTATACAAATTTGATGAGAAAAAGTATTTGTACTACAAACTAATTTTATAGTTTAATTGTTTTATACTTTTTATTCAAGTTTAATAGAAAACTCGTCAGGGGAGAAAAAAACCAACCAAATATTTAAAAACTTTACAACCAAATATTTAACAACCAAATATTTAAAAACTTTACAACCATTTTTAAAAACTTTACAACCAAATATTCTACAACTTTACAACCATTTTTAATAACAACTCTACAACCAAATACTCAACAATAAAAACTCTCCAATCTAGGAGAATATATCAAATATACTTTGCTTCTTAAACAGTGGTATAGGTCAATCTTGTTAAATATGAGATACAACAAATACCAGACACATGTTAGCATTATACTATAAGTCTAAATTGAAATCTAATACTATTGAAATCTAATACTAATACTATTGCAGTACTATTGCAGTACTATTGCAGTACTATTGCAGTACTATTGCATTACTCTAATACTATAGCATTACTCTAATACTATTCCATTTTCAATGCAATAGCATTAGACTTATAACTCAAACCTAAACCACTTTTGCTGTCTGTCGCAAAAGAGAAAAACCCAATTTAGACAAAAATAAATCGACAGACAAAATCCCGCGTGTCATTAAATTTTTTTTCTTTTTTTTTTTTTTGAGACACAGACACAGACAAAAAAAAAAAAAAATAATAATCAAAAAATCAAAAAATCATAACCACAGAAGAGACACTGATCAAAAAAAAATTCACACTAACTAAACAAAGCTAAGTGATATTGTTTAACGGCACCTTCCAACATCACTAAAGACTCCCCTAGTGCGAGTCCCACTATTCATTCTCACCGCCATTACTTCAACTGCGTTGCGTGCCTTTACCATTAAAGGTGCATCATTAAACATTTGCAAAACAGAACCAGAACACACACACACCCCTTGTTTTAGGTTATATATTTCGCTGCTGCTACTGCTACTGTTACTGCTACTTCTACTGCTACTGCTACTGTTACTGCTGCCTTTCCTTTTATTCCCCCTTTTTTTTTCCACTCATTAGCCGCTTCGACTTAATAAGAAAAAGGCATTTGGTTATTCAGCACGAACCCAATAGGAACCCTCCTCCCCCATAACCATACCCATACCCACACAAGCAAGTCTGTAATATCCTTTTTTGGTTCTTTTTTGGTTGTTTTTTTTTGGGTTCTTTTTTTTTTTTTTTTTTTTTTTTTTTTTTTTTTTTTTTTTTTTTTTTTTTTNAAAATAAAGAGTCTATGAAAAATGATGAGATCTTTTTTTTTTTATTTTTTTTTTTTTCCTTCTTACGGTTGTATTCATTTTACAAAGTTTTATCTGCACATAAAATGGGTCTTGTCAGTGGTGCCCATGAGACGCTAAGTTTGCATTCTGATTCGCCTCGTTGCCTTGATTCAGTAAACCTCAATCCAGCAGCAAATCCCAACCCAACAGACCTTGCTTCGGCAGACCTTGCTTTGGAAAACAACCCAGCACAATCTTTGAAACAGCTGGACTCACAGGAACTATATTCCCCTGCTAGTCATATGGTTGAAAACCACCTTTTACGAAATAGTTCAGATACAGAAAATGATCATTCTTTACCCGAAGCAGATTTGGAAGATGTGCACTTTCCCCAACCAACCTTGAAAGCACATGAAATTGGAATAGACTCTGGCATGGGCTTGGGCTCACCGATACATGAAAAATCAAAACAATTTGATGAAAAAAACTCAACATCTATATCCAACGGCTCTATCAAAAACCAAGATATCAAGGAAAAGGAAAAGGAAAAGGAAAAGGAAAAGGAATCAAACGGTTATAGTCAATCCACGTCAGAAGAGTTGTTAAATACAGGTGAAAATCAAGAGCCGAATAAAGTAGTCTCTTTGAAAAAAGACGTTTTAAAGGATGACTCTGTGCTTGATAATCACATTGATCACAGTAACAACAACAACAACAACAACAGCGACACTTTTTCGGGAATGCCACCAAGAATGCCTGGAACCTTTAATGTCAATGCATTAAAAAACTCAGGAGATCATGATGTCCAATATAGCGAATCTAGACATGCAATGAATAACAAAAACGAGAGTGAAGATTCATTCTTTGAAAGTCCACTAAACGCCTCAAGTGATGCCATAGTAAATTACTCACCCGTCATAATGGAGGAATCAAGTATACTAGAAGAAAAAGAAGAAAAGGAACAACACGAAGAAGAAGAAGAACAAGAAGAAGAACAACAACAACAACAACAAAAAGAAGAAGAAGAAGAAGAAGAACAACAACAACAAGAAGGCAGCAAAAACCTTAAAGAGTCTAAAATCAAACAAGATAGTCAAGACCTCGAAGAATTTGAGATTCAACCAGATGAAATATTTCTATCAAGTGCGAGTGGCGCTTCAACAAATGCCAATGATGATGATGATGATGATGATGATGATGGTGGTGATGGAGTGAAAAGCATATCACGTGACGAGGATCCTGCTTTCATGGCATTTTCTGAATCAGAACGGGAACAAGTTCATAGTCAGGACAACAGTCAGTACCATAGTCAGATTGAAAGTTTGCCTCAAAGTCAATATGAAGGTTTAGATAAAGAGCACGGGCATAGTCAAGATAATGACGAAGATCGTGTTCGTGCACTGCTTGGCTCGAGTTTTCTATTAGATAGCCAACGTTTGAGTTCGAACCCTGACTCATCTAGAATATCACGAGTATCACAATTGTCGAATTTCAAATCTTTATTAGACCCAGGAAAACCAGTTCACCCATCAAATTCGCCATTGGATATTGTCAACTATTTAAATGATAAATACGATTCAAATGATTCTTCAAACAATGTATCAAACATACCCAATCGGTCAAAAAGCAATGATCTGCACGAAACATCATCACCAGTATCACTATTTGAGGACCAACTGCAGAATTATACAATCACCAGTATGAAACAAAAACATCAGTTCAATCAGACACCTTCACTCGGCCCGGAGATACCAGATGCGCCTCCCCCTCGACATTACAGGGATACTATGAGCAACTCAACAGTAATCAGAACTCCGCAAGGTAAGGAAGACAATTCATCAGAAACAACTGCAACTGCTCCCGTGGCATCTTCTCTGAACAGTTTATCAGCTCACAATCAAACGAAAGCAATCACTCCAGTTCTGCAAAATCCAACAAGGTTTTTAAGCTCTTCATCGTCAACTTTGATAAGCCCGACTCAAGTTGTAAATGCTAATATTGCTACACCTCGAGATAATTCTACTCTTGCATTTTCTTCGTCACAATCACCAAGGAGTTTAAAGAAAAGAATGAGTAGCAAAAAAGTGCGAGATGTTTTTTCTTCCATGTTTAATAAAACAAGGTCTTCTCAAAATGGGCCACCGTCACCAGAACTTAATATGAAGATAAGTACGCCATTCAATGCTAAACATGTAGCTCATGTTGGTGTTGACGATGATGGTTCCTACACAGGCTTGCCACCGGAATGGGAAAAATTATTGGCAGCTAGTGGTATAACGAAGAGAGAACAACAGCAGCATCCTCAAGCTGTCATGGACATTGTTGCATTTTATCAAGATACTAATGAAAACTCTGAAGACAATGTTTTCAAAAAATTTAAGTTTGATAATAATCAAAGCAGTTCCAGTTGGTCGATTAATAACAGTAGTAGCACGCCGCCAGCAACACCCAGTGGTAATTCGGATAGCCCACAGCGTACACTGACATCATCGTATTTCGAAAGAAACACCGAGGATGTAGATCAACCACAAGACCAGACACCTACACAATATAATCAAGATGACACTACAGTGCAAACACCGCAATCTATACCATCACAGCCAAAGACCCCCAGCAGCTCGCTGCACGAACACCTGTTTATTCCAAGTAGACCGGCACCAAGACCTCCTGCAACTCCAGTTTCTTCCTCTACTCATACTATCATCACCAAGACTACTCCTAATATGAAATCTTCTACACCACAGCAGCAAAAACAGGAACGGAAACATCTGGTGGAGAATAACTCTCCAATCCGGATGAACACTCGTTCACTTTCCCATAAATCTTTGAAATCCTTAAGGTTCAAAAAGGTTGGTAGTGGTGGTGTTAATGGCAATAGCGGTGAAAAATTCAGCAATATTCCACCACCACCTCCTCCTCCTCCACTTCCAATTAGTATTCCGAAATCTAAATCCCATTCTGCTTCTTTATCACAACAGATCAAACAAACGTTGTCGGGGCCAACCACAGCACCAATTTCGCAAAGCGCCAAATTTGATGATGGCAATATTCTTCCTAGACAAAGGAAACATGAGTTTAAATCGCATAGGGCACCTCCGCCTCCGCCTACACTAGCTGGAGCACCGCATCAACAAAATGTACCACCGAGAAATGCAGTACAACAAGCACTAGATGAAGTTGCTACTTCTTCTTCTTCTACTTCTTCTTCTTTTTTGCCTGCAAACACCAAAGAGGGTCTCCAAAGTAAATATCAAGAGGTACAACAAAGACTTCGAGAGCAGAAAGCTAGAGAGCTCGCTGAGATTCAAAGAAAACAAGAGGCCAAAACGCAACTTGAACAGCAACAGCAGCAACAGCAGCAACAGCAGCAACAACAACAACAACAACAACAACAACAACACCAACAACAACAACAACAACAACAACAACAACAACAACAACAACAACAGCAGCAGCAGCAGCATCACCATTTACCGCACTCACGGGGATCGAGTGATATCCCGACTGCTGCCAGTGGCGGTGCTGCACCTTTCCCTCCTTCTCATATGCCATCATCATCTAAAGTAGGATCAGGACCAGTTCGTGACGCCAAGCAAGCTGCGCTCATTGCACAAAAAAAAAGAGAGGATAAGAAACGAAAAAACCAGCAAATCATTAGTAAGTTACAAAGTATATGTACTTCAGGAAATCCTAACGAGCTATACATTGACTTGGTCAAGATTGGACAGGGTGCTTCAGGAGGTGTTTTCATTGCGCATGATGTTCAGAATAGAAACCGGACTGTTGCTATAAAGCAAATGAATCTTGAGCAACAACCAAAGAAGGAATTGATCATTAACGAGATATTGGTGATGAAGGGAAGTAAACACCCGAATATTGTCAATTATATTGATTCTTATTTGTTGAAAGGTGACTTGTGGGTTGTTATGGAGTATATGGAAGGGGGATCATTAACTGAAATTGTCACGCATAGTGTTATGACCGAGGGTCAAATTGGTGCTGTTTGCCGAGAAACTTTAAAAGGTTTAAAGTTTTTACATTCGAAAGGGGTAATACATCGTGATATCAAATCTGATAATATCTTATTGGATATCAATGGTAATATCAAAATGACTGATTTTGGCTTTTGCGCTCAAATTAATGAAATTAACCTTAAACGGACGACAATGGTGGGGACTCCATATTGGATGGCACCTGAGGTTGTATCACGTAAAGAGTATGGACCAAAAGTTGATATTTGGTCGTTGGGTATTATGATTATTGAAATGATTGAAGGTGAACCTCCCTATTTGAATGAGACACCCTTGAGAGCATTGTATTTAATTGCTACTAATGGAACACCTTCACTAAAGGAACCAGAAGCCTTGAGTTATGATATTAGAAGGTTCTTATCGTGGTGTTTACAAGTTGATTTCAACAGACGTGCTAATGCTGATGAATTGTTACTGGATAAGTTTATTTTGAATTGTGATGATGTTAGTAGTTTGAGTCCGCTTGTGAAGATTGCTAGAATGAAGAAAATGAACGATGATGAGTAAAAATGGAATGGGGTGTGACAATAACAAGAAGAGAAAAAGGGGAAGAAGGTAGATTATAGGTAGTAAAGGCGGGGGAGGGTAAGAAGGTAGATTATAGGTAGTAATGCAGGGGAAGAAGGCTGATCAAGTCTTGAAGAACACGTTGATTTTAATGCTTTTCAATTGAATATTCAAAGGTTTTGTATTATCACAAATAAAAAATAAAAAAATAAACCCCAGATTTGCAAGAGATTTCTATAACTTAACAATATACACACACTAACAACAAATCTCTTTTAATGCATTGGGCCTACCATCAATGCAACAAGGGAGGAAGCCTGAGGAGAAAGAGGAACTTGAAGCGGTGTCTCTATAAAGTCAGAGAAGTACTGCTGTATTCACTAATGCCATTGTTTATTTGTTTTTTGTTTTTTTTCAAACTCTATTATGTAAAGCGAAGACGTTGAAAAAAAATCAAGGTGAAAAAAAAAAAAGGCTCGATAGACCACTAGTTTTTCTTCTTCTCTTTTACCATCAAGATGACCGACGTTGTAGCGGAACAGGTTGAGAAATTGACTGTGAAGGAGGATGGATTTGAGAAGAAGAAGGAATCTAAGAAGGAATCTAAGAAGGAATCCAAGAAGGAATCCAAGAAGGACCAATCTTTAGCCGGTCTGTTATACATGGATCCACAACCGAAATTCCTCCAAGAAAGGATTGAATTATTCGATGAACTCAAGAAGAAGTACGAGTTTGAAATTTCTCAAAAGGAAAGAACACCTGTGGTGATTACTTTAAAAGATGGTACTGAGAAAGTAGGAACTGCGTATGAGACAAGTCCCATGGATATTGCCAATTCTATAGGTAAGTCATTTGCCGAAAGACAAGTTATAGCTAAGGTCAATGGTCAGTTATGGGATTTGCCTCGCCCATTAGAAGCAGAGGAGAAAGTTAGCTTGGAATTTTTAGATTTTGAGCATCCTGAAGGGAAAGCCGTGTTTTGGCATTCATCGGCCCACATATTGGGAGAATCTTGTGAGTGTCATTATGGGTGTCACTTATCGCATGGTCCTCCTACAGATAATGGGTTTTTCTACGACATGTCTATCGATGGTGGAACCAAGTTTGTTACTAGAGCGGACTTTCCTAGTTTGGAAACCATTGCAACTAAAGCTATCAAAGAGAAGCAAAAATTTGAAAGATTGGAAATGACCAAAAAAGATTTGTTGAAGATGTTTGCTTATAACAAATACAAGGTGAAATTTATTAGCGACAAAATCCCCGATGGCACTTCAACTACTGTTTATAGGTGTGGTCCATTGATTGACTTGTGTGTTGGTCCTCATATTCCTCATTCGGGGAAAATTAAAGCTTTCAAAGTGTTGAAAAATTCAAGTTCGTATTTCTTGGGTGATGCAAAAAATGATTCATTACAAAGAATCTATGGTGTCTCGTTTCCAGACAAGAAACTAATGACTGAGCATTTGAAGTTTTTGGCTGAAGCTGCTGATAGAGATCATAGAAAAATCGGTAGAGACCAAGAACTATTCATTTTCAATGAAATGTCACCTGGCTCAGCCATGTGGTTACCTCATGGAACAAGAATTTATAATACCTTGGTGGATACTTTGAGAAGCGAGTACAGACAAAGAGGTTACGAGGAAGTGATTACTCCAAATATGTACTCAACGAAATTATGGGAAACTTCGGGACATTGGCAGAATTACAAAGAGAATATGTTTTCATTTGAAATTGAAAAGGAAACTTTTGGATTGAAACCGATGAATTGCCCTGGTCATTGTATCTTGTTCAAGTCAAGAGAGCGTTCGTATCGTGATTTGCCTTGGCGTGTTGCTGATTTCGGTGTCATTCATCGTAATGAGTTTTCCGGTGCGTTATCTGGATTAACAAGGGTTCGTAGATTTCAACAAGATGATGCACACATCTTCTGTACTGCAGACCAAATTGGTACCGAGATTTCCGGAGTATTTGATTTGTTGAAAAAAATGTATGGTATATTTGGATTTGACTTCAAGATGGAATTATCCACTAGACCTGAAAAATATGTTGGTGATTTGGAGACTTGGAACGCTGCTGAAAAGAAATTGGAGCTTGCTTTAGACGATTTCCTAGGGAAGGGAAATTGGGAATTAAACCCAGGTGATGGTGCATTTTATGGTCCTAAGATTGATATCATGATTAGTGATGCTTTAAAGAGATGGTTCCAGTGCGCTACCATTCAGTTAGATTTCCAGTTACCATCTAGATTTGAATTGGAATATAGAACAGATAGCAACAATGTTTTGGAACGTCCAGTTATGATCCATAGAGCCATTTTGGGTTCAGTGGAGAGGATGACTGCTATATTGACTGAACATTACAAAGGCAAGTGGCCATTCTGGTTGTCACCAAGACAAATATTGATTGTTCCGGTTAGTCCTAAATATAACGCGTATGCCGAGAAATTACAAAGAATATTCAATAATGAGTATTTATTTTACTGTGATATTGACATTAGTGGTAATACTTTGCCCAAGAAAGTTAGAAGTGGTCAATTATTGAGCTACAATTTCATCTTTATTGTTGGAGAACAAGAAGAACAGAACTATAGTGTTAATATCAGAAATAGAGATATTGCTGAAGAACAAGGAAAAAACGCCATGGTCAAAGTAGACGATGTTATTAAACAAATGATTGCTTTGAGGGACGAAAAGAGAAGGGACAACAAGTTGTAAAGAGAAAATAGGAGGAAAGAATAAGAGCGGCTCTCCAACCACAGAAACTATATAAATATAAATATATATATATCGAGACTGATAGCCTCCTATAGCCTATTTTTTTATGCTAGTGTAGGAAACCGTGAACAAGTTGAACCTTGCCCATGCTTTACTCTTTACAAGGGACCCTTTCATTCTGACTCAACCTAATAGATCACTCTGGCGGTAGCTACTAAGTGCTGCTCAATAGTGCTTTCTACTCTACTACACCATTGAGCAAAGCGATATAATGCTTTCTACTCTACTACACCATCTCGCTTCGCTCGATAGTGTCTGCTAAGTGCTGCTCCACCATCTCGCTTCGCTCAAGATGAGCTATAAAATGACGTAGAGCGTTTTTAAGTTGCAATTCTTTGTATTACGTAATTTCTTACTTAATCTAAAAGTCATCTACGATTGCAAAATTTCACCCATTTAGCAAGCAATATATATAGAGATGAATGAACGAATTGTCTCCGGATAGAGAGTTTTCTCATTGAACAAATTGTCCAGCTACAAAGCTTTCTCATTAAACGAATTGTCCAGCTACAAAGCTTCCACATTGAACGAATTGTCCAGCTACAAAGCTTCCCCATTGAACGAATTGTCCCGCTACAAAGCTTCCCCATTGAACAAATTGTCCAGCTACAAAGCTTTTTAGATATGTCCGTTAATCCCTTGCAAGAAATACTAACCGGCCAACAATTTCAGCAATGTGTTAATTTCTACGAGGCCGATCAAAGATTAGACCAAAATGATAGATTGACTATAGCTACTGCATTACAGAGCATTGCTTTAAAGTCAAATCTTGTTGGCTATACTTGTGGTATGCTTGGTTTTTTCGCTCCAACGGCATATTTCAAGCTTGCCAAAAAGCCAGCACCCACCCCTTGGTTCTTGATACAATATCCCTTCCTTTCATTGTGTCTTGGGTTTGGTACTTTAATTGTGGGAAATAACGTTACTACAAAGCACCTTTTCAATAAGGCAAAGCAGGATGTTACCCAGTACCCCCCCAATGCCAACGTTTATAATATATGGCAAAATATGAGCTACCAGAATATTGGAGCTTATACTTTGTATTATTTTAGAACTAGCTTTAATCCAATGTTTATCATTAGAGATCCAAGACTCGCTACTAAGGGCCCATTAATTGACGAGAAATTGAGACAAAAACAAGGAAATAATACTCATTTTACCGATGCAGTAGGGTTGGGCAATTACGATAACCAGGGAAACCGTCATGATTTGGGAGTAGTGGATAAATTAAAATTACACCATGGTTTCGATGTCTCAAAAGATACTTAGAAAATAAAGGATACAGGCACCTCATAGAGGTATGAATCACTTTATCTCTGTCAACTCTCCCTAATATCGAGCGTAGCGAGATGGTAGAAACAACTCTAGTAGATGTGCAAGCACTTCATAGACATACAACTCTAGTAGATGTGCAAGCACTTCATAGACATACAACTCTAGTAGATGTGCAAGCACTTCATAGAGGTATAAATTGAAAGAAGAAGCAAAATCACTTTATCTCTTGTCAACTCGGTTAACTCGGTCTATTGTTCCTTGTACAGACCCACTACCCTATGGCAGTTAGTATGCTCCACTATCTCGCTCTGCTCGATATTGTTGATAGTGTCAGTAACAGCTAGTATGCTCCACTATCTCGCTCTGCTCGATAGTGTCGCTCGATAGTGTCACTCGAAAGTGTCGGTTGAAAATAAATGAAGAAAAAAACCAAGCGCTTATATATTTCTGGGGTAGACCATATTTATTAACCAATGACCGAGTCTTCAAGTGAAAACTATCTCCAGAATAAGCTATCGCCTCAACAGTTTCAAGAGAGCATTGATTTCTACGAAGCTGATCGTCAATTGACGGTTGAGGATAGGTTAAGATTGACGAAAGAGCTTCAATCAATTCTCGTATCAAACAACTTGATTGGTTATTCTGCCGGGATGGTTGGGTTGTTAGTACCTACAATATACTATAAGCTAATCAAAAAACAGTCACCCAACAAGTTATCATTTATTCAAAAACCGTTATTTTCCTTCTTTTTTGGCTTTGCTAATATGATGGTTGTCAGTTCAATTGTAGAACGTAGGAGTTACTATGATGTATTAAATAACGGCACTTTGAATGATCGACAATTGAACGTGTGGAAACGTATGGATTGGCAGAAAGTCCCTGCTTTTTTTTACTATTATTTGAAGTCATCTAAAGACCCTCGGTTCAAATTACGCGATCCAAGAAGTATAACTGTTGATCCAATCACCAAGAGACCAATTGAAACAATCTCGACCATACCAAATGATCCAATCACCAAGAGACCAATTGAAAAGTTTCAAAATAGCGAGACTACTCCTCAAAGAAGGGTTGAGTTCAATCCTCAAGCATACAGGGAAAAAGAGTTTCAAAATGATTCAGTAGGTGATTTTAAACCTGATTTTGTAAACGGCGTAGGGCTAAATGATCATCAACAATTATCCCACTGGGACCAAATTAGATTGGCAAATGGATTTGATGTCACTGCAGACAAAACAAGTGTCTCGCCACCTATTACACCACCATCGTTTGGTTTGCTTGGTAATGAAGATAATATCTCCTCTGAACAAGAATCGCTGTCTAGACAAGACTTTGTCGAACAGGCACCACAAAAACAACAATCAGCCTGGGACAGAATCAGAACAAGTGAAAAGTAAATACACTTTTCTACAAACTACTGAATGAATGCGACACTAGCGAGCGAAGCGAGATGGTGGAGCAGTACTGAACGACACTAGCGACACTAGCGACCAATGCTGCTTACCCTCTACAATTAGCTCATCGCTCCACTAGCGACCAATGCTGTTTACCCTCTACAATTAGCTCATCGCTCCACTAGCTCGCTTCGCTCGCGAGCTAGTAGAGCAGTACTGAACGAATGGATGAAAGAATAGGGATATCAAGTATCAAAACCAGTTATATCACGTGATACATCTCATGAGATGCTTTTGAAAGTCTATATCAAGACAATGAATGACCGACACTATCTGCCATAGGGTAGTGCCGAGTGCCTGCCCCCCACCCCTCTTCCCTTCTCTGCTCCCCTTTCTCTGCTCCCCTTTGAATAGTTGAACAAGCTCATCAGAGCTGATCTTTAAATCCGAAAAAAAAAATTATTAAAATGTACCCCGTAAAACTCCTTCACCAAGTAAGTAAATAATGTCACGAATAGCGAAAGAGTCACTACCTGCGAAACAGGTTTGCGAGAACCGTAAAGGCAAGATACTAGAGAAGTTGGAGGACGAAGTACACAAGGTCAACAAACTACGAGGCAAGCTCGACCATAGGAAGGAAAGCAAAGCTTTTGAAGAAGAAGAAGAAGAAGAAGGTGACAAGGTAGAAAAGGCTAATGAAAGTTGGCTTTTAACCACGGAATATTACAAAAATATTGACACCAAAGCTTTTCGGCAGTACGAGCTAGCGTGTGACCGAGTCAAGCAATTTTATGAAGAACAGCATGCAAAGCAAACTGTAGCTTATAACATTCAAGCACGGATAGATTTCAAAACTAAATCAAGAGATAAGATGAGTGTTTGGCAAGGGTTGGAGAAACTTAATAAGTTATTGGATGATAGCGATCCCGATACTGAATTGTCACAAATTGATCATGCGTTACAAACGGCAGAAGCTATTAGAAGGGATGGACAACCACGATGGTTTCAGCTCGTGGGGTTGATTCACGATTTAGGCAAGTTGCTTTATTTCTTCGATTCCAAAGGACAGTGGGATGTTGTTGGCGATACTTTCCCTGTTGGATGCAAATTCTCCAAACGGATCATATTCCCTGAAAGTTTTCGCAAAAACCCTGATTTTTTAAACCCCTTGTATAATACAAAATATGGCATTTATTCCAAGAATTGCGGGTTGGACAAAGTAATGTTAAGTTGGGGCCATGATGAGTATATGTATCATGTTGCTAAGAGGAGCTCGATTTTGCCTGTTGAGGCGTTGGCTATGATCAGGTATCATTCGTTTTACCCTTGGCATCAAGAATATGCTTATGGATATCTCATGGACGAACACGACAAGGAGATGCTCAAAGCAGTAAAGGCATTTAACAAGTATGATTTGTATTCCAAGATTGATCAACAATATGACATCGAAGAGTTGAAACCGTACTACATGGAGTTGATAGATGAGTTCTTTCCTGGTAAAATTATTGAATTTTGAAAAACAAAAAAAAGAACAAAAAATCTATACTTATATATATATATATATGTGTGTGTGTGTTTGTGTGTTTAACACAAGTTTAAACGAGTGAATGATGATAGAATGTGGTTGGTTTGTTGGTCTTTAGGCTAATAATTGAATGACACCAAAGTATTGTTCAATGCCATATGGACCGGGATCTTTCCAGAAATCATTATAAGTAGTTAATATTGTCACGTCACCACCAGTGGCTTCCATTATTGAAGAGACGGCTATCTTTTGATTTTCTGGACTTGGAACATTTAAGCCAAGTGTTTTTCCTTTTGAAGGGTACCCGGTTTCGGTTATCCATACCGATTTGCCATTACATAAAGCCAAAACTTGAGCTTGCTGTGAAGTAATGTATGAGCCAGCATTCTCGGGGCTGATATTTGTGTTGAAGTATGAGTGGGGATTAATACCAACAATATCGATATCGGAATCGGTACATAACTGGGGGTATTTAATGAATGTGGCTGGTGGTTCGGAGGTGGTGACGTATCCATTGTATCCAGAGGATCTTAATTGAGATTTAACTGAATTTAGTTTTGGTATCAACTGATCTAAAGTGACGAAATTGGAGTTTATTGCTTCATTTCCAATAGTGATTAGGTCAAATATGTCCCAGCCATTTTGCTGACCGTAGTTTATTATTTGTTGAATTTGATCATCAACTGAATTAACTCCGGCTTCTGACATCCAAACCCCTTGGTTTACTGTTATGCCTAATTGTTTGCATTTGGATAATACCGTTGTTAAAGATCCACAATCGGTACCGTATGATCTTATTTTTTTAATTCCCTTACTTGCAATGAGTTCTAAATCGTAATTGATATCGTCTGCTGATTTGCATCCGCCGCTATTTGCATAGGGAGAATAGACAATTGTGGATGGATGTGGAAGCAAGTCTCCGGTACTTGAAGGAGTCGATGTTTGTGTGGATGTAGTTGTAGAGGTTGTGGAAGTGGAAGTGGCAGTGGAAGTGGCAGGGGTGGCAGGAGCAGTAGTGGGAGCAGCATCTGTTGTTGTTGTCGATGTTGTCTCTGATTGTGGGGCAGGAGCAGGAGTGGGAACAGCTTCTGTTGTTGTTGTCGATGTTGTCTCTAATTGTGGGGCAGGAGCAGGAGTGGGAACACCTTCTGTTGTTGTTGTTGTCTCTGGCTGTAAAGCAGGAGTAATAGCAGCAGCTTGTGTAGCTAATGGGACATCTTTCTGAACAACCGAGGTGAATGTAACTGGGAAAGTATTCCATTGAGTATCAGTGATTGTACTTGTAGAAGAACTTCCGTCAGGTAAAATATATATGCCGACAGGTGGCAACCATACAGTAGTTGTGCCTGTGGTTCTAGTTGTGGTTTGTGTGACTGCAGCAGCAGTGTGGTATCTTGTGATGACTGCTGGTAATGGAACGGCAGATATGAGACGTAGCAAAAAGAATGTGAATATTATGGAAATCATCATTGAAGAAGGATGGAGTTTAGTAAAGAATGTGAACTTGTCTACCTAGCGAGCGAAGATAAAAGTTGTGAGAACAAACGAGAGTGAAGATACTCCTTTATTGAGTATTAGCGAGTGTATAATGGGAGCAAAGTTTGGTAAAATGAAGGAAAGTAATGGGGTTTGGTAAAATGAAAGGAAAGAAAAAGTTTATAGAATTTAATCATCTCAATGCAGCGGAGATCGGTTGCATCTTATAGTGTTGAGCTTGTACCTTGATCTTCTAATCTGTATCATGCTGGCTCGCCTTCTGAATCAGAAAGTATTGCCAAAATAGTTGATCAACATTGACAATATGAAGTTCTTAACACACGGATTTGTGAATATTATTTTCCTTCTTTTTTTTTTTGCACCCAAAAGTCTTTACAAGCAAGCTCGCTTAGTCTTTATTTATTTCTTTTTTTGTTGCTTCTAGATTTTGATAGCACCAGCTCAGGGAAGTCCCAATTAGGAAATCCAGTCTGATCTACTCTTTTTTTGACAAGCTGGACAAGAAGATAAGATAATGTGTGGGTTGTTGGATAAATGAACTGCCGATGACACCACCAGTAACGGTTCCTCTTCCTTGCTTCCCTATCTTAGTCTTTGGATGTGCTACATTCTCCATCTTTCCATGAGAAAAAAATTCATTTTTATATTCAACGAAGAGATATTACAAATAACTTTATACTATAGTGTAGAGTATCAAATAACTTGTATATGCTGTCACAACAAAAGCGGAAGGGGAAAATTGGTAATTCCACCTAAAGTGGTTTTCTCCATTCTTTAGTATAGATTCAACCCGTGTGTCATTCATTCTTTAGTATAGATTCAACCCGTGTGTCATCCATTCTTTAGTATAGATTCAACCATTCTTTAGTATAGATTCAACCATCTTTTAGATATGAGATTTCCATATCGCTAAGCCGTTTTTTTTCCCGCTTGCATGAAAGGTGTTGTAATTGTCAAGTGGAGAGAGTCACACGGCATTTCATGTTTTGCCAGCAACACTAAGAGATTGACGAAAAGCTGGAACATTTTATCAATTTGGAAGTACGTGCGGCGTTGAGCGTTTTTTTCTTTTTTTTTCTCACATGTTTGTATCGTAACTGAATTACTAGAGCATACAATGTAGCGTGTATTGTACTGTTAGCTTTGTCTTGTCAGCACCACACTCGTACAGGAGATTGGTCTTGGCGAGAGAAAGAGAGTGTGTGTGTGGAAAAGAGGGGGTGGGTGGGTGGAAAGAGAAAGGGCAGAGGCTATGAGGCTATGAGGCTATGAAGGATACTTTTTAACGCTACCATATGGTATTAGTTCCTGTTCTGGCTTTACCTATTGGTATCCAGATCCTCAACAATGTAAGCAGGTCCGCCTCGCATTCTATCCAGAGTCAGTTGATATCGTACTGGCCACCAGTACTGGTAGTATGGAAAGTTTTACTGCTACTACTACTACTAGAGGTTTTGCATTCTGAGAGTATTTTCAACTATACATCTCATGATATTATCTCCTCCACCAACTCTCCTTATATTAAACAAGCAAAAAATAATACTCCAGTCTTGGATTCTACAAATTAAAATTATATTTCCATTTCTAAACCTTTACAAAACTGTACCTCTCATCCAAGACACAACGAAAACAGAACGAGACTTAATGAAGGTTTCCTATTTGTCTTCCTCTTCTCTTTCTTTCTCTCTCTCTCTCTCTCTTTCCTTACTTTTTCTCATCAAAAGTCGACATCTCCCTTCTTATTCTCTAATAAATCATATATCAACTTCAATTTCTCATCATCTATTACGCGTTCTCGATTTAAATACCTTAATAAACTCTTTACCAATTGAACTAATTGCGGTAAACTCAAGTTTATTATAGCCATTTGTAAAATCTTCCCCAAATTCATGTTATTATTACTGATAAATGTTTGGTAATACAAATAAGTAAAAGAACCCATTAAGAATTGGCAATCGAATCTATCGGTGGCACCACCATGACCTGGAATGGTATCGCCAAAATCTTTAATTCCAAAGGCTCTTTTCAAACCACTGGCAAAAAACCCACCAAATGGTGCTATTAACGAAGCAAAAGTGGCCAATATGGCAGCATGGAAATATATTGGCTTAAAAGTAATTATCTCCACTCTATCACCAAAGAACTCAATAACGTTTGTTGGCAATTGATAAATCTGTGGAATAAATACTGGGTTTGGTTCACAATGAGGAAAATTATACAAATGAGTTGACAAGTTTTGTGCTGGGCATATTAAATAGTCTGATTTCGTCAACAAATAAGTTCCAATAATTGCTGCAATTCCAGTCATTATCCAAGCTCCCAAAAATCCCTCTACTGTCTTTTTCGGTGAGATTTCAATCAATTGGGTTTTGCCAAATGTAATGCCACAAATATAAGCAAATATGTCATTAACAATAACCAATGCACTTGGTAAAAAGAACCAAAATATGCCATGAAGGATATTATCCATGATCAAATGAGCTTGGAACACAACTAGCAACAAAGTCATATGAGTCACACACAATTGGGCAAATTGGAATTTATAGTACCCCTTTTTCAAAGTCCATACAAAGAATACGAATCCTGCAATGTAAAAAGAGTAACTGATAAATTTATGGTTGACTACCAACAATGATAAAATTTTATAAGAAAGTACCTTATCTTGAAAAAAATCGACAAAAGATGGAAAATCCAAGTAATACCATGTTGTTACCAAGAAATACCAGTTTAAAGATCTGTTATAAGGTATCTTTTTATCTCTTGCCGGTTCTGAAGTCAATGCAATAATCTCTTTAAAAGTTAGCAATTGAAACACAAGAATCAGTATTATTATGGGTATATGACCAGATGCCAATATAAGGAAAAAGGCACTAATCATAACAAATGTCCAAATTGTCCTTGTAATAAATGCTTGTTTTTTCCTTTCCTTTTCATTCACCACAGGACCCTGACCGTGATCTTGGTTTTGGCCTTGACCTTTTTCTCCTTCTTCTGATTTCGATATTGTGGGGGTAATCGAATTGGGGGTAATTGAATTAGGAGTGATTGATACAGATGCAACGTGATCCTTGGATAGATGAGATGTATCTGCCACCTCTGCATCCGTTTCCGTCTCTGTGCCTGTTTTCGTGTCCAGCAGATGGATTCTATTCTTGTTTTCTTTACTTTTGCTTGTCATTATTACACTTTTCCTCAAAGGTTTACACTTTTCCTAAAGGTTCTTTTAAGGGATGTGGGGGGAGGGGATGAACTCGTATTATTCAGCCACACAGTATACACGATATAGATCTTCTTTACCAGCGTTCCACTTTTGGTGGTTATTAAGTTAATTGCTTGATTTTCAAAATTTGAAACCTGATTAATATAGTAAAGGTTGAAAAATTTATTTATTAAAGAGAAAAATTAATTTTTTATTTTGTTTCCTTGTCTGGTATAAAATTCTATTTTTTTGGGGCGAGAAGGAAGGAAGAGGGAGCGGGAGGGGGGCCAAATGGGGGGCCAAGAGGGGGGCCGAGAGGGGGGCGAGAAGGGTTCAGTGTAATTACTCTTCTAGGTAATAGTAACTACTAGTTACGAGGAGAGTTTATTCCAAGGCAGTTTCAACTGCATGGAATAGACACAAAAAAAGATAAGACTATCGAACAACACTATTGAGCACAGCGAGATAGTGTTGTTACAAGCTAGAAATACTATCGAGCAACACTATCGAGCAACACTATCGAGCAACACTATCGAGCAACACTATCGAGCACAGCGAGATAGTGTTGTAACAAGCTAGAAATACTATTGAGCAACACTAGTTGTCACTATCGAGCGAGATAGTGGAGTAACACTAGCTGCCATGACACTAGCTGTCACCACCACTAAATAGCTGAATTTTTATACAAGAGGGTAGCAATAAATTTCGAGTTGATGCGAGAGAAATTGTACTAGTAAGCCCAATGTGCCAACTAAAAAATGTAGAGAAAGAAACTAGTAAGGATTGGAAACTAGTTAGGATTGGAAACTAGTTAGGATTGGAAACTAGTTAGGATTATGAGAAAAGTAGTGAATAGAAAAAAGATACTAGTATTGAGGATTATGCAAAATTATCTTAGAGTGAGATGACTAATACTGATAGCGTCAGTGGCAGCTATCTCGCTCTGCTCGATAGTGTTGTTAGTGTTATAACAAGCTAGTACTGCTCCACTATCTCGCTCTGCTCGATAGTGTAGCCTATCTCTCTTTGCTTGATAGTGTAGCCTATCTCTCTTTGCTTGATAGTGTCGCCTATTATTTTTATATTATTTTATTACAAACTTTTGAAATTGACTCCTTACATTCTTAATCCTATCACATGTAAATTATACTTGATAATCTGACAAACCATTTTATTACATAATCACTTTATAGTAGAGTCGATTGGATATTATGTAATAAAAGTGCTGTTTAGTATGTAACTAAATTATACCCAAAAAAAAAAAAAAAACCTTTTTTATTCTTGTAGCCAACAATTTCGTGTAGAGAATTTATCTTGGGAATAATTACCCTACACGAAATTAAAACTAAGTTGTCACGTGGCAATACTATCGAGCAACACTATTGAGCAACACTATCGAGCAACACTATCGAGCAACACTATCGAGCAGAGCGAGATAGTGGAGCACACTAGCAGCCACTGGTAAACAACTAGAAGGAAGAGAATCAATTTTTCACTTTCTTTCAATTATTTGATTTGTATATCACTAACGCTCTATATCAAATGCTCTATATCAAATGCTCTATATCAAATGCTCTATATCAAATGCTCTATATCACTAATGCTAACATAATAATGCTCAATAGTAATAGTCTCTCTTACCATTGGGGTTGTAACTGTATATAGTCGGTGGCAGCTACAAAGTACTGACACTATCTCGCTCTACTCGATAGTGTTGATTGATAATGTACTAATATCACTACTAGTATCGCTACAAAGTGTTGCTCCACTATTGAGCAAAGCGAGATAATATACTAATATCGCTACTAGTATCACTACAAAGTACTGCTCCACTAACTCGCTTTGCTCGATAGTGTTGGTCGATAGTGTCGGGAAAAAGAATATCAAAAAAGAGTAAAAACTGACAAAATTGTCAATAATAAACTATCTAGAATTTTTAAACAATTTTGTTCCCAAAATGGTAGTATTGCCATTTTGGGAACTTTTTCTAAAAACAATATTCGCAATAGACAAATCTAAAAAAGAGGTAAAAACAAAGGAAAAAGTACTCTTTTTTCGATTTCCAATAGACAATTGACACTATTGAGCAGAGCGAGATAGTGAAGCACATTAACTGCCACTGACAATCGATACTATCGAGCAGAGCGAGATAGTGGAGCACACTAGCAGAGAGTGTGGTGGGCTATAACTGTAGAAAGTCAGTATCTAGCGAAGCGAGATAGTGGGACAACACTGACTAATGACGCTATCTCGGTCGATAGTGGGGCAACACTGACTAACGACGCTATCTCGCTCGATAGTGGGACAACACTGACTATTGACGCTATCTCGCTCTACTCGATAGTGGAGCACTATGTTAGAGGCTCTCCCATCCGAGTGCAAAAACATTGTAAACACTATCACCTGAGATCAACATTACCAGCATTAGAGCAAAATCCTTTTTTATCTGAAATCAACATTACTAGCATTATAGTAGAATCCTTGTTTCAACTGAGATCAACATTACTAGTATCGCTACAGAGTACTGCTCGATAGTGTCAATGGCAGCTACAGAGTATCGCTACAGAGTACTGCTCGATAGTGTCAATGGCAGCTACAGAGTACTGTCTACTATCTCGCTTTCCTCGATAGTGTCGGTGGTGTTGCTCAATAGTGTCGGGAAAAAGAATACCAAAAAAGAGTAAAAACCTGATAAAATTGTCAATGATAACAATCTAAAATTTTTAAGCAATTTTGTTCCCAAAATGGTAGTATTGCCATTTTGGGAACTTTTTTCTTAAAAAAACATTTACAATGGTCAATTTTAAAAAAGAGGGAAAAACAAAAGAAAAAGTACTCGTTTTTCGATTTTCAATCGACACTATCGAGTAGAGCGAGATAGTGGAGCACACTAGCTGCCACTGACAATCGACACTATCGAGCAGAGCGAGATAAGCATACTAGCTGCCACCGACAATCAACCTTCCCGAGTATAGTGCGGTGAGTATAGTGTAATGAATAGAGAGTAAGTGGTGGGCTACAACTGTAGAGAGTCAGTATCCAGCAAAGCGAGATAGTGGGGCAACACTGACTAGTGACGCTATCTCGCTCTACTCAATAGTGTACTAGTCAGTATCACTAGTCAGTGCTCCACTATCTCGCTCTGCTCGAGAGTGTCAGTGTCACTAGTCAGTGCTCCACTATCTCGCTCTACTCGAGAGTGTCAGTGTCACTAGTCAGTGCTCCACTATCTCGCTCTACTCGAGAGTGTCAGTGTCACTAGTCAGTGCTCCACTATCTCGCTCTACTCGAGAGTGTCAGTGTCACTAGTCAGTGCTCCACTATCTCGCTCTACTCGAGAGTGTCAGTGTCACTAGTCAGTGCTCCACTATCTCGCTCTACTCGAGAGTGTCGCTCGCTCAATTTCAAGTAATCTTTTTTATAGCCGATTTTTCAAACGGCTGAGGAGCTTTTGTCAATTTATCTTGGGGAATAATCACTTTAGACGAAATTGCCACTAATTTGTCACGTGATGCTACTACTTTACTACTAGATGATGCATTTAAAGAATAAGTGACGATACTATCGTCACATCGTCACTATCGAGCAGAGCGAGATAGTGGGGCTCAACACTTTGTAGCAACACTTTGTAGCAACACTGTTGTCACTATCTCGCTTTGCTCGATAGTGTCACTCGCTTTGCTCGATAGTGGTGCACACTAGCTGCCACTGGTTAGCCACTAGGAGGGAAAAAATCAATTTTTCACTTACTTAATTTGTATACTCTCGCTTCTATCCGTCTAATCAATATATTATAATGCTTACATCACTAATGCTTATATCACATATCACTAATGCTCTAGATCACTAGTGTCGGTGTAGCCAAAGATGCTCCACTATCTCGCTCTGCTCGATAGTGGAGCTAGTCAGTGCTGCTCGATAGTGGGGCTAGTCAGTGCTGCTCGATAGTGGACCTAGTCAGGGTTTTTTATAGCCGATTTTTCAAACGGCTGAGGGCTTTTGTCAAGTATACGCGCCACAAGTAGCACAGAGCAACAAACCGCCATTGTAAAATAAGCTGCAAAATTTTGAATGAAAAAAATGTAAAATCGGAGTTTTTCTCGACACTAGAGAGCAGCTGTCATCGAGCAGCTGACACTAGAGAGCAGAGCGAGATAGTGTCAGTGTCCCTAGTAAGTATCACTAGTCAGTGCTGCTCCACTATCTCGCTCTGCTCAATAGTGGAGCTTCTCGCTCTGCTCTATAGTGGAGCTAGTCGGTGTCAGTGTCACTAATAAGTATCACTAGTCAAAGACGCTCCACTATCGAGCAGAGCGAGATAGTGGAGCTAGTCGGTGTAGTCAGTATTGCTCCACTATCTCGCTCTGCTCGATAGTGTTACTCGCTCTGCTCGATAGTGTTACTCGCTCTGCTCGATAGTGTTACTCGCTCTGCTCGATAGTGTTACTCGCTCTGCTCGATAGTGTTACTCGCTCTGCTCGATAGTGTTACTCGCTCTGCTCAATAGTGTCGCTTCTAAAGAGTCGGCTTAAAAAAGAGCCGGGAAAAAAAGCCTCCACGAAAACGACGAATGAAAAAGCGAGACTTTTTAACCTTCTATTCTTTTTGGTTTGTATTGATTTGTTGAGCTAGACAAAAGGGAAGGGAGCTAAAATTAGTTGAAGCTGTCGCTATTTACATCCAGTTTTGTGCATCGCCGCTTTCTAAACCAAGTATATTCGTTTCGTGAACACTCAGGTCCCGTCTCGTTTCAAAATTTCCCCTTCCCCTCCCCCCCCCCCCCCCTCCACCTTCTGCTTTTCTTCTCATCAGAGATAAATATAGGTAAGTTGGGGGATTAGAAAAAAAAGAATAGAAAAAACTGAAAAAAAAATATATGCACAATAGTGAAAGCGTTATTAAGATATTGTGAACAAATGCCATATAGTTTTAACCTCATTTTTGTTTGTGTATATATGGAATGAAGTGGAAAAGTTTCTTCCACTCCCTACATTTACACGTCACTGATTCTTTCTTTTGTTCTTTCTTCATGTCCACCCAAAAAAATATATCGTTTTAATTATTTTGGTGCACACTGGCTTAGATTTCACTTTTCCAGGTGTTGGATTTACTGGTTGACTAAGACTAGTTTCTATTCATTGTTCCTGCCTTGTTATTTACCTTTGCTTGTTCTATGCATTATGCTTTAAGAGGAAAAAATTGTCTATATTTCGGGCTTCGTGGAAGCTTAATAAACCAAAAAGCCGTTCAAAAATACAACTTTTCTTGTTTTCTTCCTTTCCCCTCCCCATTGACAGATGCACAACATATTTTTGTTAGTGACAATTCGGCATATGTATGATAAAAAAGTCACATTGTTCTTTAGAAATGTATTGTTTGAAGACATGCAATCAAACCCATGCACGCACGCACGCAAGTACATAAACACAAACACAAATACATACATACTCTCTCTTTCTTTACCGAGGATACAAGACTTTTCGAAATATACGAAAAGAATACGCGATTGAGGCCGATTTAGAAACTACAAAGTCTTACTAATCTTACAAATAACCAGAATCAGAGACAATTGCAGTGGGGGAAAAAAAAATAAAAATAATCAAAAGGTTGAAAGAAGGGCATGTATTAAAGAACAACCATTTTTTTTCATTTTGTGACAGCATGGCAAAGTCCTATGAGATTCAAGTGGGCCCTTGAAACGAATGTGCCGCAAGTTTGAAGTAGAAAAACTAAGAAAAAACTTGTTGGCACATTTCTCCAGAAAAAAGCACAGTGCCAACGGCAAAGAACGCCTACAAATAGAAGTCAAAATTTTGTTTGTTCTCTCTGTATTGAAGAGAGCAAACAAACACTTGAATCGTTGTAACGGAGTGGGGTACTCTTGGCTAGCTTCTCATTCTTTCTCTGTATATACCTCAAGCTATGGTGAATACTTTCTATTATTTCACTTTGAGTATTGCCGAAAGCAAAGAGAATTTTAAGAGAAAACTGCGTTTGTGGGAAAATAAAATAAATAAAATGAAATAAAATAAAATCCTATGGAAAAGTTACCATTTTGCAAGAAGCTAGCATCGTGGAGTATGGGTACTATAAGTGAAGGAAGGATTGACATCACCAAAAGGCCCTAATTTTGGGTTCTATTTTTCTCTTCTTTAGGTTATCCGTAGTAATGTACTTATTCAGCTAGTATTTTCCTTTGGTTCAAATAATTTTACTTGAAAAGTGTGCGAAAATTCGAAGAAAATCCAAAAAAGAAACTTGATTTGCAAATAGTCAAATACAAAGAATAAACAAGGGTGCAATACACTACTGTACTTGCAAGCCTCAAAAATAACTGCTGTTCAAAACCACTTGATTATACCATGTCAAGTCTCTTACAAATTTACTCTATATCAACTAATACTCACGTGATACAGATTAGCTAAAGTTATACGATATTTACAAAAACGTTTTGTGTGAAAACGCGCAAATGGTTTAGTGGTAAAATCCAACGTTGCCATCGTTGGGCCCCCGGTTCGATTCCGGGTTTGCGCATCTTTTGCTACTCTTTTTTTTCCTTTTTCTAGAAAGGAAAAGTTGGGAAAAGTTAAAAAGAAGAACCTTTGAACATGTATTATATCCTGGTTTTTTTTTTTGTTTTTCCCTACATCTGAAAGAAAAAACTACCAGTCTCCAGCAAAATTCACTATTCCAGAAAGTAGCCTTTATTTGATTCAATAGTGTATACCTTTCCTATCATTATGGTCCAAAAATAAGTCCTAAAATTTAATGTTTTTTTTTTTTCTTTTCTTTTCTTTTTTTTTTTTCTTTTCGCAGCCAGGCGTTATTCAATGAATCTTTGTTTCATTTTATTATTTTTATTCTTTTTCTTTACTTATAATATTTGGCTAGGCAAACATAGATGATAAGGTATCAGTTTGGTCTTCGTATTGAAAATACCGGAAGAATATAAACAGGTGGATAAAGGTAAAAAGGGAGGGGAAGGAGAGGAGATGTCTGGTGGAAAATAGTCTCAACACCTGGCTGTATATTTGTTGCGTTTCAGAGACCCCCATGAAAAATATTCAAGGGATTTTTCAATAGGGTTATATACCATAAGAGAGTTGCGCTTACATAGTCTCAATCCATCTGGGGATCCCAGGGGGGCTTTTTGGCCGTTGATAGAACATCATTGATCACTGAAAATATTTTATTCTTCTCAGCTTTGCCAAGAGAGAACATCAAAAATTTTGAAGCATTTTGAAGAAATTGTCCGAGAAGAAAAAGATAAAACAACAACTATAACATTGAAACTTGTAGATGGTGGTATTTTTAGGAAACTTAAATTTGGGTAGTTGTGGTAGTATGGAGAGGAGAGGAGAGGAGAAGTGAGGTAACAAAGAGGTAGGTGAAGAAGAGGGAAGTGGGGGCGGTAGGTGAAACTATGACTAAAACCCCAGAATTACTCATTGCAACAAGCATTGTTACCGTGTTATGTTATTGGTGAACCAGATTTCCACGAGTGCTTCAGCAAATACAACATTTCCCTATATCTAGCAAAGTGGGTGCCATTGCAAACTACTCCAATATTTTCTTTACAGAATTTTCTTGGCCTAAAGAAGTTTAGTCAGGCGAAACCTGAAAGTTGGAAGTTAACCATACTCCATGGACTTGTGAACAGGCCACTAATGTTTCCTGTTGGTTCCTAAAATCGCGAAAGGGGGGGGTGGAGGAAGAGGAAAAGGGTGTATTTATTTATGCGTCTTTTTGGAGTGGAAGAGACTTGAGAGGAGACAGGGTGAATTCTATAAAAAAATGCTGGTTTCTTCAATCAGTATCACCCGCTAAGGCTAGGAATTTTGGGCATATACCATACATACGACTAGACATTTATGAGTGAGAACTTAAAGGTAATTGTTTCCAATGGAAATAGGCTTGCTGTAGAGGATCACCAATTGGATTTGAAATCAGTTGCCTCGAATGCAATTTCTTTGAATGATATTGGAAATACATTAAATGAGACTCAAAAGAGACATATTTTGAAAAGATTAAACTATGATAAAATTGTGGATTTTAATGAGTTACCAGTAGCAGCTGTTTTTATGATCGAGAAGGTCCAAGCATTATCTATTGAGGACTCGATTTCCATTTTAAAAGAAGCTCTCATTGACCACGATGAAGATGTAAACTTCCCAACTAAAGAGTATAGCTTTATTGAAAGATTAATCCGCGATCAACGAGATAAAAAGGACATGGATTCGAGCATATTCGCAGAATCAGAAGAGAAGGATGTGGTGGAGAATGACAGAGAGGAATGGTCCGAAAAAAACACTGAGAACACGAGCTCAGCTGATGAAGAAAGTGGAGATCACGATTATTTTGCAATCGTTGATTGGGATTTGCAGGTAAGACTAGAAGCTGCGTTGATTGCTTATCATTCACCTTATCCCGAAGTGAGAGCAGTAACTGATCCATATGACGACCCATCCATTCCTTGCGAAACTATTAGAGTGTATATTCTTGGTATCTTTTGGACATGTATCGGTACTTTTGCTAATCAGTTTTTCTCAGAGAGACAGCCAACCATTGCATTATCTTCAGCAGTCGTTCAGCTACTACTTTATCCTTCAGGTGTTTTACTTTCAAAGATATTACCCAAAAAAACTGTCAAGATTTGGAAATCGTCCTTTGACTTGAATCCAGGCCCATGGAACCACAAAGAGCAGATGCTAGCTACTATCTTTTACAGCGTCTCAAATGGAATTTCATACGTTAGCTACAACCTTCACGTTCAAATGCTTGAAATATTTTACAACAACAAGTGGGTTGACTTTGGGTACCAGGTGTTGTTGATCTTGGCTACAAATTATCTAGGTATTGGGTTTGCTGGTATCTTGAGGAGATTCTCGATCTACCCACATAAAGCAATTTGGCCTACAATTTTGCCAACAATTGCATTGAACCGAGCCTTGTTACAGAAAGAAACCAAGGAGAATATAAACGGATGGGAAATTTCTCGATATAAGTGGTTCTTTGCTGTTTTTGGGTTTTCATACATGTACAATTGGATCCCAACGTATTTGTTCAATGCGCTTTCATACTTTAACTGGCCCACTTGGATTGCTCCCAATAATGTCAATTTGGTTGCTGTTACTGGCAGCGCCTCAGGTTTAGGAATGAATCCATTTCCTACTTTTGACTGGAACATTTTGAACTTTAATGGATGTTTAGTATATCCATTTTATGCACAACTTAACCAGTATATTGGAACAATGCTTGCATTTTTTGTAATTATCGCTATTTGGTACAGCAATCACAAATGGACTGGTTATATTCCAATCAATACTGCCTCTTTATTTGACCGTTTCGGTAACCGGTACAATGTGAAAGATATTGTTGATGAAAACAACATGTTTGATCAAACCAAGTATGCAGAAGTTGGACCTCCATACTACTCTGCTGCCAACATGGTTGTCTACGGTGCATTTATTGCAATCTACCCGTTCTCAATCACCTACGAAGTGTTTATGAATAGAAAATCATTTTGGAGTGCAGTGAAAGGGTTGGCTCGTGGATTCAAAAATAGTAAAAGCTCAGTTTACGAAGGCTTCCACGACCCCCACAGCACCATGATGAGAAAGTACAAAGAAGTTCCAGATTGGGTCTTTTTGATTGTGCTTGTCATTTCCATTGTGCTAGCTATTGTTTGTGTTAAGATCTACCCAACACAAACACCAGTATGGGGTGTCTTTTTTGCCGTTGGTATTAATTTCCTCTTTTTGATTCCGTTGACTGCCATTTATGCAACTACCGGCTTCTCCTTTGGATTGAATGTCTTGGTTCAATTGATTGTTGGGTTTGCATTACCTGGGAATGGTTTAGCATTGATGTTTATTAAGGCATTCGGTTACAATATCAATGGCCAAGCGCAGAACTATATTTCGGATCAAAAAATGGGCCACTACGTCAAAGTTCCACCTAGGGCTATGTTTAGGTGTCAAATGTTGTCGATTTTTGTCTCGTCGTTCCTTGGACTAGCAGTGCTCAATTTTCAGATAAAGAGCATTCCAAACTACTGTCTGCCAACAAACACCCAAAAGTTTACCTGTCCAAGCTCAACCGTGTTTTATAACGCTTCGATACTTTGGGGTGTGATTGGTCCTAAAAAAGTTTTCAATGGGTTGTATCCAATTTTACAATGGTGTTTCTTGATTGGTTTCTTGATGGCGATCCCATGTATTATTATCAAAAAGTATGGACCAAAAAAGTACACCAAATTCTTTCAGCCCACCTTGGTTGTTGGTGGATTTTTATTCTATGCGCCTTACAATTTATCTTTCTACACTGGTGGGCTTTACATGTCCATTCTTTTTATGTGGTATTTGAAAAACCGTTATTTGGCATGGTGGCAGAAGTACAACTTTGTTTTATCAGGAGCTATGGATGCCGGAGTTGCTTTCAGCGCAATAATGATATTTTTTGCTGTTCAGTACAAGGAAAAGAATATTGACTGGTGGGGTAATAGCGTAGTTTGGAGAGGTATTGAAGGTAGAGGTGGTCAAAGCAGATTGAATGCAACATCTGCACCAGGTGGATACTTTGGGCTTCGACCCGAGCAGTACCCATGATATGACTTAATACACAAACATATATACACTCAAAGAGATATGTACCTAAGCAAGCCTTTTTTTAACTTCTTCTTGTTCTTCTTGTTCTTCTTGTTCTTCTTCTTCATTTCGTTTGATGTTTTTGTGGTACCAATGGAGACGCGTATATACATTTTTTCAAATTTTTCTTTGCTTTCCACCAAAAAAAAAACAAAAAAAAACCCCATCGTTATACTAGAGCCTTCTTTACATTTCAACCAGCATAGTCCATAGTCATCTTTTGTTTTTTTGTTACTTAATGGTAGAGATAAATCTAGATGTACATCACCCCCGGACAATACTTTCAAGCATATCGAGATCTAAAGCGAACTTCATTATCTCATTCCACCTGTAAACTAGTTATTTTCGTGTCTTGCTTGGACGTTGATTCGCTATGTGCCGCCAAAATTTTCAGCATGCTACTCAAGAAGGAGCTTATTCAGTATCAATTACTACCGGTTGTTGGATACAAGGACCTAAAGAGTCACTATTCAAAGTTGGACTCCGATGTGACGAATATTGTATTGATTGGGTGTGGTGCAATGTTAGATATAGAAAGCTTTTTTGACATTGAGCCAGAGGAATTTTTAGACACAGAGACGGAAGTGGGAGATAGAGGTGACTTGGATTTGGATTTGGATTTGGATTTGCAAAAAGGGAAAAACCCCCATTTTAAGAGGAAAATTTATATCATTGATGGAAAAAGGCCGTGGAACTTGGATAATTTATTTGGCTCGGATATAGTGGTTTGTTTAGATGACGGGTTTGTGGATGGAAATTTACTAGCCGAAAAGAAGGCCTATGAGGCATTAGTTGTGGCGGAGCAAGAGGAAGGCTCAGGCTCAGGATCAGATTCAGATTCAGATTCAGATTCAAGGCCAGAGTCAGAGTTTGATTCAGAAGACGGTGGTGATACAGATGTTGATTTTCCTTCAGATAATGAGTTTATAATAAATTCACAAGACTCAGAGGATACTGTATCCCGAAAGAGAAAATTACAAGAACGACATTCAAAACAGGTAAAGAAACAACGTCATCAGCGCAAATTGCAAAACGAGGAAATCATCCTGTCATATTACAACCAAGGCTCAACTATAGGGACAGCTAATAGCATTACAGTTTACGCTTTACTCACCGCCATAGGAGAAACCAATTTGGAAAGTTTATGGATTGCAATTATAGGAACATCGTCATTAGATAGCCAATATCCCGAAATTTATGATAAATTGCAACCACTACTCAAAGAAGAGGTTATGAGATTAAACCCACAGCACGAATCCACTAAGAAAAGGGCCGATCAAACAATGCTAAGAATCGAAAGAGACTATCACTTATTTCTTCTACGACATTGGACCTTGTACGATTCATTCTTTTACTCTAGTCATGTTAATTCCAAGCTAAATCTATGGACAGATGAAGGTAAGAAACGATTGCATAAACTATTTGCCAAAATGGGTGTATCTCTAGCAGTTGCTCAACAAAAATGGCTTTATATGGACACCAAGGTTAAAAGACAGCTACCAATCATTTTTCGCAGGTATTTACCAATATATGGCCTCGAAGGTATAGTTCGAGAAGGATTCGTCAAGACGTATGGATATACGGGGCTGCTTTCAGCAATGGAATGTGTTGAGGCACTAAGTGCATTATTGGAGCTTGACGAGAAGTTTATTCAGGACTCGTTGAAGCTTAATGAAGAGGATAGTAGACTAATTGATAATGAAGAGGAAAGAATACGTAGAAGAATGGAGAGAAAAGAGTCATCTTGGCTTAAGAACTTTTGGTCCACATGGGATGCATTGAACATAAACAAGTCTTTGAGTAGTAGCAGCACAACTCCTTCGTCACTTGCGAAATTGAAAGGAAGTGATTTACTATTTCGGGGGTTGGAGTATGCAAAAAATTTACAACAAATTACATTTCGTACGGGGATGTCTCTTCTTGAAAGGAAGATGATCAAGAACTTGAAGTTGTATCGGTTGTGTGTTTTGAATGATGGTGCTGTTCCCGACTTGGAGATCTTTATCAATCCACTTATGTTGTCAAAGTTAGGGTCATGGTTGATTGAGAACTTGGCTGAATTGGATTTCATCAACGGGAACCACTCGTTGAAACCATTGGTGGTGGCCAGTTTGGATGCAAACAGTGACACTTATCTTGTCATTGGAATGGCTCCACGGTACCCTCGAGGAATGACCGCTTCAGAAAAGGCCAAATTACTCCAAGAGCAAGGTAATAACAAAATCACCGCTGAATCAATGACCACGAGATTGAACACATTTAGTGTTGCTTTTCAGCAATTATCGCAAACTTCGGGTGCCAAAGTCAGAGTAGACAGTTTTGATAACTCGGTAATTGAAATTAGAAAAGATGATTTGGCTCCGTTTTTGGAAAAGTTGACCTTAAGTGGTTTGATATAGAGTTTATAATTTATTACAAATAAGCATTTTATATTGAAACAGAAATTTTTGCTAAAATGATTTTTTCGGAAAGGAGGGTGTGTGTGTGGGGGGGGGGGAGGGAAGAAAAACAAGAGGAGGGGAAGATTAATTTTTCCGGTTATGAGTATTTTTAGTACCGAAAGTTCCCGTGTATTGTCAAATATATATATAAAAAAAAAGAAGGAAATGGAATGGTGACAAGAAAAAGTTGTTCACGAAATCAAGAATTCATACCCCACCACTTCTTTTCGCCCCCCCCTTCCAATCTCAAAAACTCTTGTTCCTGACTACATAGAATGTTGGAAATCCGAAAATAAAACCTTGCTTCTTTTAGCCATCATTTTGATTCTAATAGCCGTCTTTAATAAATAAGTCACTTTAGATAATTTAACGTTTTAAGGGGAAAAAGAAAGCCCAACATATAGAAGGGTAGGGGGGGGAGAAGGTATCACCGAATTTGTAGTATGCTTGCCGTTGAAATATATCCCCAGAATCTAAAGAAAAGAAAGAAAATCAAGCCGATTGCTATTAGCAACATGGTTACTATCAGACTTTGCATTTCATCTTAATTATTGGGGTGAGTATAATTTCAAGCCACGCTAAAAAACATTGGACACAAAAACACTTTGAATAAAACCATCCTGATCTTTTCTCTCTCTTTCTCTTTTTTTTTATTTTTTTTCTTCGGACAAAAGTTTTTCCAGGTCCGGAATAACCTGGATATACGTTTTCCCATGACTAGAGAAAAAGTTTATAGCTCCTCTGTACTTGAGCTATAAACCAACCTCTCTCTTTACCCATAAGTCTTGCCGGCCGAGTCGGTGACTCGAACTATAATTTGTATTATTTACCCCAGATTTATTTCTTGTGGGGAGGCACAGTTCCAGTTGCTGATACATGTATCCCCCACGAATCCCCCACGAAAGTTCATCATTTTTTTTTCTTTGTCATGAAAAAAATTGGGGGATTCGGCTAAATTTTGAAAAAGAAAGTAAAAAATATCAACAAAAACATAGCGCGCCTGATCCATCAAGCTATATATTTTAATTTTGTAAAGATGCGATGGTTAGCTACAGTCGGAGTGTCACGGAATATGCTTGGCTACTTTATTCGACTATAGTTTTCAACTTCAACTTTATTTGATTTGAGCAAGTCTGCTCTTTTCTTTGAAAAGATTGCGCTATATGTCAAGAGAAGGAAAAAAAAAAAAATCAAAAATGAAAGAATACAGAAAGAGAAAGGTGTCAAATGCAGAGTTCAAGGTTCGGAACGGTCGCTTTTTTATGTCAAGAGTATGCTTGTGTAATTGCTCATCGCTCGTTTACTTAATGTATGCTAAAGCTAAAAACATTTTGAAAATTTTTCCACAATTATTTTCTTTTTTTTTTTCCCATCAAAACTATGCAGTATGCGGTTATGAAATAGTCTAAATTGGTAGTTTGCATCAACAAAAAGAACAATACAATACAGAAAACAATTAGGTGATTAAGTGCACTACACATCTCTCCTAACCTATTTCAGTTCAAAAAGACCTTCCCCACAATGAGATTTTGATTTATAAATGCAAGTATCCAGATCTTGAGAAAACTCGATTGGTATTTTCTCTTTCATACTTCTTTTTTTGTTTTCTAGCAAGAAAGAAAAAGATAAGATAAGAAAAGAAAAGAGAACTAGGTCTCATATCATGCTTAGCGAACAAGCGACTAAATATCCATCAAATGAAAAGTTTGACGCTCTTTCTAGTGGCAAATCAAGCAATTCAGACATAGTTCAAAATGATTCAAGTGAAGTGCAGCCTAAAAAGAAGAAGAAGGGGCTCTTGAGCCACCTTAAGATAAAAAATATCTTTGAAAAGATCGAAGATAGACCAACTCCAAAAGAAGTTTACAACTACCGTGTTTACTTGACTGCTATTATGGCTTCTGCTGCTGCCATTATTATTGGATACGACTCTGGTTTCATCGGAGGGGCAGTTGCTTTACCAGCATTTCAGAAAGAGTTTGGTTTAGATGTTGCTCCTAATCTGGCTTATATCATATCTAACGTTATTTCTGTTTTCCATGTTGGTTGTTTTTTTGGTGCGCTTTTCTCATATCCAGCTTCATATTACCTTGGAAGAAGGATCCCTTTAATTGCTGCTTCTTTATTAATCACTTTGGGTTCAGGTGTCATGCTTGCTGCAGACAGCAGCAGAGGGCTTGGTCCTATTTATGCAGGAAGAGTTCTAGCTGGGTTATCGGTCGGATGTTCTACCAATTTGACTGTTGTTTATATTTCTGAAATCTCGCCGCCAGCTATTAGAGGTCAGCTAACTGCAAGTTATGAAATTGGATGGAGAGTTGGTGATTTAGTTGGATTTTGGATCAATTACGGTGTTGATTCGACCCTTCCTCCCGGTAAAAACCAATGGTTTATACCATTTGCTATTCAGTTAATTCCAAGTGGATTATTTTTGATTGGTAGTTTATTTATGAAAGAAAGTCCGAGATGGTTAATGCAAGTTGGAAGGGATCAAGAAGCAATCAAGAATCTTTGTTGGTTTAGACAATTACCTGAGTCAGATGAATATATTATATACGAGGTCAATCAGTGTAAAGAAAGTATTGATAAACAGAGACAAGAGGTTGGATTAGGGTTAATGGATCCATTTTACGAAGTATTTTTCCACAAATTGAATTTGTTGTACAGGTTATTCATTACAGTGATGTTGTTTATATTCTGTAACTTTATGGGTATCCAAGCTATTAACTACTATTCACCAAAGTTGTTCAAAGGTTTAGGAATTCAAGGTACAAATGCATCGTTATTCTCGACAGGTATGTTTGGTGTTGTCAAATTCGTTTGTACGTTTATCTACATTTTATTTGTTGTTGATTCGTTTGGAAGAAGGAAAGCGTTTATGTTTTCATCTAGTCTTTGTTCAATTTGTTTCTGGTATATCGGAGCTTATTTGAAGATTAATGATCCTACAAAACCAGGGGTCCTGGCTGGTCCAGGGGGTAAAGCAGCTATTGGAATGATGTATATTTGGATCGCTTCATTTATTACTGCATGGTCAGGTGGTCCTTTCGTTGTGGGAAGTGAGGTGTTTGATCAAAACATTAGATCTTTTGTTCAAGCTATCAATGCTGCCATGTCATGGGTAGCCATTTTTGTCATGTCGCGATGGACTCAAAATATGATCCAAACAATGCAATACGGTATATATTTCTTCTTTGCCTCACTAGCCGTCATTTCAGTGCCATTTGTTTACTTTTTGTTACCTGAAACAAAGGGTATTGCCTTGGAAGATATGGACAAATTGTTCAACTCAAAGATCCCAGCTAGAAAAGCACACAAGATTGTATTGAGCAATGTCAGACACGAGACTGAAGAGATATTCCACGAGAATCATGAACGAGGATTATTCAAAATGGATACCAACAAACCAGAGGTTGAAAATGTAGAGGATATTTTTGAAAATAATAGACGTGATGTATAGAAGACTGGCTCTTCTTCAAGATTAACAGTTAGGTTAGATTAGTAAAATTAGAATTAGTTATAGTATTTGAAAGAAAATTATGTTTTTTTTTTTTTATATGTTTTCTTTTTTTTTTATATGTTTTCTTTTTAGGAAACAAGGGACCGTAAGTTGTACATTATGGGGGGAGGGGGAGAGAGAGGATGAGAAGAATGAAGAGTAGTGGTAGTAGTGGATAGAGCAAACGCAATAAATGGAAATGTTCAAACTCCGATTGCATTGCTCAGCCGTTCTTGATGTTTTTTCTTCTTTTCTTAGTACTGAGCGCGCTACCAGTTGACTATTTCACATTAGTCATCATCAAAACACATTCATTCATTCATTCACTCACTCACACTCTCTATTGACCAGCTTAAAGGGAAGGAAGGGAGGGAAGAGGCGGGGAAAAAGCTCGTTTTTTACAATTGTAACGGTAGAATAAAGTTTCTCTCTTTTTTTTTTTAATTTTCTTGAATCTAATAAATACTGATGTGAACCCACTTACCCTTTTCCTTGAAGAGGAAAGTTCTTTGTACCTCAAAATCATCTACAAGGAAAACAATGTCCAAATTAGAAAAAGTCGATTCAATTACTGTTTCACTAAAGTCAACAACCTCAACCTTGCAAACTATCAAAACAAAATGCAAGACTTTGGCTGAAAAAGTTAAGAATAGGGTGAAACCGCATACCGTAAAGAATAGTGCTCTGCCTGCCTTATCAATTGAAGCTATTATTACATATCTTTCTTTGAAATAGAAGAGAGAAACACACACATGGACAAAAACACATTTGATACATACATACATGGACATTTGAGACACACGTGCTTGAAGGAAGTTTCAGGGGAAGAAGAGAAAAGAATAAGTTTAGCTGCGAAAAAGAAAAAAAAAAAAGGGTGATGCTTCAAGGTGATGCAACAAGTCACGTGACCAAGGTAAAATACAATAAAGAAGATCTAGAATGGGGTCATGTTAGAAAGCAAACACGACTGATTCTGGGCCAAACATTTAGCTACATAAGTATATATTGGTTCTCGTACTCATAATATTGATCCCTATCATATACAGTTGAGGTTTATAACTCTTGTATTTACTAAAGATGCAGCGGTATTATTGAACATCGAATGTTTTCTCTTCTATACTTTTCAAATTACTCTCAGACAACTTTTCCGTTTGTCCCCCCCTCCCATTCCACTCCGGTTCCGATTTCGCAATAATTGAAAAACTCCATATTTTCCTCCCCTCCACGTTTCAAGTTTTTCTTTTTTTTATTACCAGCCATGTCATCCAGCGTTCACGAAGAGTCCTCCGACAACGATCAAGACTCGTTGTTGGAGTTTGAAAGATTAGAGTCGACCTTACCGCCAGCTCTTAAAAGATCTGCATCGTCTTTGCTAGAAGCAATCCAGTCAACAGCAATATCAACACCGACTTCGACTAGTGAGCTGGAGACGCATGATTCTAGAATTAGATCCCCTCAACCACAACATGCAAAGGACTTTTTCACTCATGCAACATATCAAATGATCCCCGGTAGAACAGCCAATACAACACCCAACTTGAAAAATTTGAATCACCGACAGAATTTGATTAATAAACTTTCTAAATCTGAGAATGGTAGAGAGGCTTCTCCGATCCCATTACCGCGACCAAAGTTCAATGAAAGTATCTACAAACCAGCAATGAACTCGAAGCAACCATCAACGGGTGTTTTATGGGCAACCGAAAGAGCAATGGAGTATGGCTATGATTCTGAAAATGTTGGAGATTGGGCCAATTTAGGACAAGGCGCACCAGAGCATGGCGATACAGTTCCAGGATCGTTCCCTAGACCCAAGACAATTAATGTCCCCGATGCTTCAAGGGAGTACGCACCAACAGCGGGTATCAAGGAGTTGAGAGAAGCCGTGGCAAATTACTACAATGAAACTTATAGAACGACAAAGCGTAGTAAGTATACTTACAAGAATGTATGTATTGTGCCTGGTGGAAGAGCAGGGTTGACAAGAATAGCCTCGATTATTAGCGACTGCTATTTGTCATTCTTTTTACCTGATTACACCGCTTACGCAGAGATGTTGTCGTTATTCAAAAACTTTTCACCTATCCCAGTTCCCTTGAAAGAAGGAGATAACTATGAGATGCACTTGAAAATGATTAAAGAGGAGTTGACAAGAGGCGTAAGTGCATTGTTGACTTCCAATCCGAGAAACCCAACAGGTCACTGTTTGAAACCTGAGCAGTTGAATCAACTCCACAACATGTGCCGTGAAAAGTGTTTATTAATCATGGATGAGTTTTACTCGCATTACTACTACGATGATGGATGCACGGGTTCCTCAATAAGTTCTGCTGAATATGTTGAGGATGTTAACTATGACCCGGTTTTGATATTAAATGGATTGACAAAGGCCTTTAGATTGCCAGGATGGAGAATATGTTGGATATTAGGGCCCGAAGACTACATAAGTGCATTGTCTTCAGCAGGCTCGTTTTTAGATGGAGGTTCGAATGCGCCATTTCAGTACGTTGCTGTTGATTTCTTACAACCGCAAAAGGTGAGAAATGAAATGATGGCATTGCAAGTGCATTTCAAGCTGAAGCGTGACTACATTATCCGCAGGTTATCGAAAATGGGGTTCAAGTTTACAGAAAAAAACATACCAAATTCAACATTTTATCTCTGGTTGAACTTATCACATTTACCCGGCAAATTAAGCAATTGTCTTGGGTTTTTCCACGAATGTTTACATGAGAAGGTTATCGTTGTTCCTGGATTTTTCTTTTTAATCAACCCACAAAATTTGAGCCATTTAGAGGAAGCTATATGGTACAACTATGTTAGAATAAGTTACGGTCCCGAATTTCACCATTTGGAAAAGGGGATGGATGGTATCGAACGTATCTTGTATAGATTTGGCTGTTTGCCATACGAAAAAAAGTAGAAAAAGAGTAGAAATGTAGATACATAAAAGTAGAAACGGATACATAGAAGTAGAAATGGATACATAGAAGTAGAAATGGATACATAGAAGTAGAAATGGATAAATAGAAGTAGAAATGGATACATAAAAGCAAGCAAGGAATAGACAATGAATTTTGCTTTACGTTTCTCTCTTCTATTTTTTCATCGCATCAAGTTTAAACTTCTCCGCACAAATTGCAATATTTTATATGCCTGAGCGCAAATCACTTTAATCCATTGAGTAGGAGAGAAGCTTGGCTTGAGGTATTGGGAAGAAGGAAGGAAGGAAGGAAGGAAGGAAGGAAAGAAAGAAAATAATGAGCGAGCAGGTGGACGTAACGAGATTATTGCCGCTGGAATCTCAGAGTACTACTGTTCATTTGGAAGGAAGAGAAGGTGGTGGTGATGGTTCCTACTACGAGTCACTTTTACTCATAATTTTCCGGTGGATAATGATGGATCTTCCCAAAACAATGCTACGACTTTTATCCAAAAACTTTGAAATTAACTTGAATGTATCTTCAATATTGTTAATTGTCGGCTTGCTAATTCTTGCAGGACTACTTGTAGTACGATACAAGTATCTTACTGGTTACTCAAAGGATATTAATACAAAATCTCCATTGAGCCAAGGTAGCACCAATGCAACAAACCAGGGAGGCATCAAACCATCAAAGACAGCTCCTTCGAGCTTACTTGTAGAGAAGAAGAAGGAGACAAGTTTTGGTAATTACTTGGACGAGTTCCTCCTGGCAATCAAAGTGTTTGGGTACTTGGACAAGGCTGTTTTCCATGAGTTGACTAAAAGCATGACGACGCAAAAATTATTTAAAGATGAGATAATGTGCCTTGATGAAAAAGTAGGGTTCCTGATTGTTGTAGAAGGCACGGCGCAAGTATATACCAAGGTGACAAAGAGGAGCGATGATGTTGGGTTAATCGAGCAGGATGAGAGTGAACAAGTGTATGAATTTGATGACTATGAAAATAGCGACGAGATGTTCAAGCTTGGAGAACAAACTTACCAACTTCTAAATGAAGTAAAAAGTGGGGCACCATTAAGTTCATTAATTTCTACTTTGGATTTGTTCAAACCTGCAAAAAGAGAAGGAGGAAGCGTGAGTTTGAGAGGAAGAGCAGCAGCAACTGCAGCAGCGGCGGCAGCAGCGGCAACAGCAGCAGGAGGAGGAGGAGGAGATCTCATGATGTCACCAACAGACTTGAATACAAGCTCAATATCCTTGAATCTAGATTATTTAGATAGACCAGACTCAACTTTAGGGGAAGAAGATCGTATTGAGATGGGTAGAGAAATAGACAGCGATACTTATCCCGATATAATAATAAGACCAAAGAAGAAGAAACATAGCGACTCGATTACTGTGGCAATTATACCTCATTCTGCATTTGAGCGTGTGTATAGAAAGTACCCTAAAGCCACTTCGCATATTGTAACCATGGCTTTAACTAGATTATACAAAGTAACCATGAACACTATACACCATTATCTAGGATTGACTGGGGAAATTTTCAAGCTGGAAGTTGAGTTGAACAAGTGTAGTCAGTTGAGCTTGCCAAGGTATTTGGTAGATGGGTTGCTTGAAAGATTAAACTATGGCAATGCTAGTACGAAAAAGCAACCTAAACAGTATCGTGGAGGTCCATTGGAAAGATCAGCATCAAGATATGTCTTGTTGAATTCGAGGGTAATGAGTAACAATCCAGGAGACTTGCTTTCCTCAGTGCCCATTCTGCGAGATGACTCTAAACATGGCTTGAGTAAACTGTCCTCTTCAACCTTGAATGATGACAGGCGATTGAACTTTACCGACAATATAGAAGAAACAGAAGATAATTCTCTAAGGATAGCAATTATTGAAAATATATTCAAAATCATAGGGATCAATGATTCAACTAATGAATTTCAAGAACCGGCACAATTCCAAAGCTTGAACTCATCAGCAAACAGCTCAGTAGTTGGCTTGAACAACTTTGGTAGCATGTCTTCAAAGAGCCCTCTCCCTTTGATTGGAGGTTACCATGGTGTGTTTAAATACAATCCAAATGAGCCTCTAATGAATACCATCAACATACTGAAATTGAAGTCGCATCAGTCGTCTCCTTCAAGCAGGAGTTCGTCTCAAAAGCCACAATATAGGAAAAGAAATGCCATCAACGAAATGAATATCAAGGACGAATTTGCCAAAGTTATGGACCTCAAGTATATCGAGCCAGATAAAACATTGGTGCAACAAAACTCCATCTTGTGTGGATTATATTATGTTATTAATGGCTCATTAGAAGTACACTACAAGCATCCAGATACTTATTCCAAGACCTCGTCATCAAAGTATGTATACACTGTTAATGCTGGTGGTATTGCTGGGTATTTGTCATGCGTGGTTGGATTTAGATCGTTGGTGTCCATAAAAACACCCAAGAACAGTGGAGCGTTAGTTGCATACATTGGCAAAAATGATTACAACAAACTACTTGACAAATTTTATTTCTTACAACTACCAGTTGCAATTAAATTAAAAAGTCTTTTGTCAAAGCAAATCCTAACTATAGATTATGCCTTGGAATGGTGTCATATACCAGCAGGAAATGTTCTTTGTTCGCAAGGCGACCTAGCAAACGGGTTTCACGTAGTATTGAGTGGACGCTTCAGGGTTGTTCGTCGAAGCAAAAAGAAAAACTCAGACCAAAGTGATATGGAAGTATTGGGCGAATACGGTCATGGAGGGTCTATAGGAGAAGTGGAAGTGCTTACTGCATCGCGAAGGTCGAATTCGTTAATAGCAGTAAGAGATTCAGAAACAGCCAGAATTCCAAGAACCTTATTTGAAATAATGTCTTTCCAAAATCCATCAATCATGGTCAAAGTGTCAAGATTAGTGGCAGCAAAGGTTTTATCTACTGAAAAATCCATCAGTAAGTCATCGCATAATTATATTACCTCTACCAGCAGCGAGGACTTTACGTCTGCCGATTATAAAACTATCACAATTCTTCCCACGGTTTCTGGCTTACCGGTGCGCGAGTTTGCTGACAAATTGGTTCATGCATTGATAACAATTGGTCGAAATGTGATAGCATTGGATCAAGCACTGACATTGACTCATTTGGGTAGACATGCATTTGATGAAAATTTAGTTCGGTTAAAGTTGTCAGGCTATTTTGCTTACTTGGAAGAGGAGTACGAGACCATTATTTACATTTGTGACACACCTGTGCAATCGAATTGGACTTCCACTTGTATATCGCAAGGTGACTGCATATTGTTACTAGCCGATGCCGACGACGAGACCACTGCAACATCTATTGGTGAATATGAGCAATTATTGATCAAATTAAAGACTACAGCAAGGACTGATTTGTGCTTGATCCATCGAGAGAAATATGTCGTGTCTGGATCCACCAGTCAATGGTTGAAAAACAGAGTGTGGGTCCAAGGACACCATCACATTCAAATGTACATGGAAAGAAGCAAAGACTCAATTGGACCTAATAAAAAGTCCTTTATTAATGAGATGGCTGCAAAATTTGTTCAAAACAAATCAATAATTTCCAAATTTGAAGAAACCAGGAAAAAGGCATTGAGCTGGAAGCGCCTGGAACAACTGAAAGACTTGACGTTAAAGTCTCACAAGAATGATTTTTTGAGATTGGCCAGAATTTTGTCGAATGAGGCTGTTGGGTTGGTATTGGGCGGTGGTGGCTCAAGAGGAATTTCTCACGTTGGAGTGGTGACGGCATTGGAGAGACATGGAATTCCTGTTGACTTGATTGGGGGAACATCAATTGGTTCTTTTGTTGGAGGATTATATGCAAAAGATTACGATATGGTCTCAATTTATGGTAGGGCCAAGAAATTCAGCAAAAGGGTAGCCTCTATGTGGAGAATGATATTTGACTTGACTTATCCGGTGACCTCATACATAACCGGTTACGAGTTCAATAGAGGTATTTGGAAAGTATTTGGATTTTCCGAGATTGAAGATTTTTGGGTCAAATTTTTTTGCAACTCCACTAATATCACCAATTCCACAATGGACATACATGATTCAGGTTATGCATGGAGGTTTATTAGAGCATCAATGTCGCTTGCAGGTTTGCTACCGCCAATTGCTTTTAAGGGCTGTATGCTTCTCGATGGTGGCTATTTAGATAATTTACCCGTAATGGAAATGAAGAGACGCGGCGCTAAACATATCATTGCTGTTGACGTAGGCTCAGCAGATGACAGGACTCCCATGAATTATGGCGACACTCTAAGTGGGTTCTGGGTTCTCTTTAACAGATGGAACCCCTTTTCCAAACACCCAAATGTTCCCAATATGATGGACATTCAAATGAGGTTGGCATATGTTGCCAGTGTTAATGCTTTAGAAGAAGCAAAGCGAACACCTGGTGTCTACTATTTACGACCTCCCATTGATAACTATGCCACCTTAGATTTTGGAAAGTTTGATGAAATTTATCAAGTGGGGTTAGGTTATGCTGATAAGTTATTCACAGAGTGGGAGAAAACAAAGGAAGCGCCAAGGATTGCTGGATACATAAAGAGAGATAGCACTAATGACGCCGAGCAAAGAAGAGTTATGTTTAGAAGAAACAGTATATAGCATGAATCCAAGGTATAGAAAAAAAAATAGAAAATAAAATCTAGACGAAAACGACTATGGAGTCGGACAAGATGATGATGATGATGAAGAGGAAAAAAAAGAAAAGAAAAAATGATGTATACAACATGCAATTCACTCGTAACTACTGACTCTAAAGTTCAATTTCTGTTGACCGTGACCACGAGAATTGACCTCTGATGACAAGATGGCTAACGAATTATAGAACTTGACAACTTTGGGATGAGACCGGACCTTCATCACGTTAAAGTTTAGCACCTGTAGACCTTCTCTTGAAGTAGCTCTCGATAAAGCAACATACGATTGGCCTGTTTCAAATACCTTTTTCAAATCGACTTTGACCTTGGTCAAAGTTTGTCCTTGCGACTTGTGTATTGATAAAGACCATGCAAGCATTATAGGGAATTGGATTCTAGAAACAAGTACTTTTCCATCCTCATCTTCAACTGTCCATTCCTCCGGCTCAACAAGCACAGTTCTAGTGTTTACTCCATCTGGAGATAGAAATCTCACCAAGGGGCACTTTTTGTTTTTAAAGTCATCCAATAAGTTATCATTCAAATCCATCCTCCTTGTTGTCTTCCTTCGGTCTTCCTCGGTTTGATTCTTTTGTGTGAGCGAGCCAGTAGTAGTGGGGCCCTGAGGCATATCTGATTCACTATAAACAAAATCTTTCAATATACCATTCTCGTTCGCTTGTTCTTCAGACAGAAAGGCTTTCATATATGTATCTTTATCCATAAAGTCAACAATGGTGCCCAAAGATCCATTCACTAAAGTTTCGTCAAAGTTTTTGATGCACATAACTTGAGCATCTTTTTTCAAGTGAAGTTCCTGAGGTGCCAAGAAATTGGATAGCAATCCAATTCTTTGTTTCTCATCCAAAGACCCCGTGTCATGTGCTCTATAATAGATTTCTTCTCCAGGTAATGCTCGAAGTCGTATGTTATTAGCTCTCTCTACTTCGTACCTAGTGGCAAATAATTCGGCAGGAACAATACCTGGAGGACACTTCAAGGGACGACTCAACTTTTTGAACTCTTGAATTGTTCGAACTGAAATTTTGCCATCTCGCATTTCGTTCAACATATCGATAAACGTCTGGTCACCTTTTTGCCTAAAGACCTCCTTTAGTATAATAGTTTCCTGAATTGTTTCTTTCCAAGCAAGGCATTCAAAAGAAAAAAATGCTTCAACATCTTCGTTCAATTCGCCTTCGGCATTCACCTTTTTAACCACAGGTGGTAATTGGTAAAAGTCACCACACGCAACCAATTGAATACCACCAAATGGCGCATCATTCTTTCTAAATATCTTGGCTATTTCATTCAACTTATCTAATAATGCACCATCTACCATTGAGATTTCATCAATAATCAAAACCTTTGTTTCCAACCATCTTCTCAGTGCTTTTTTATTTTTTCTTATTTTCCTTACCAAAGATTCAACATTCGAATTCCCTAACCCGATACCACTAAAACTATGCAAGGTTATACCACCAATATTACAGGCAGCCAATCCTGTAGACGCTGTCACTGCAACTCCATGGGGATATATGTGCTTAAGGGCCTTGATAATGGATCTCAAAAGAACGGACTTTCCAGTACCAGCCGATCCGGTATAGAATAAGGAAACTCCCAGCAAGACCCTTTGTAAGACGGATTCTTGTTCTCTAGATAAAATTATGGGCTGAACCTTTTTGCTCAATGTAGAGGTTTCCACTGGAGCCTTTTCTGACACGTTATCTATAGATGGCTTTTGTGTGGCTAGCTGCAAAGTATAATTTACTGGAGTCTTTTTTGGCTGTTCAGATTGTAGCCCCGTTGAGTAATAACGCGCAGCTTGACAAGGAGCCTTGAAATCTTTTAAAATGTTTCGTATTGGAACCAGAGGCGGCGATTCAAGACAAGAGTTCAATCGTTTTCGCGTTGGTGACTCGGAAAGCTTTATCTGCAAAGCAGGATTATGTTTCTTCGAGGGAGATTCGGATTTTGATGGCGATGTTGTTATTATATGTTTCATAGTTGTCAGTCGTTGAGGAGCTTTGATAATTGGTGTTTGTGTATGAAGCAGAAAAGACGCTTTTCTAAGTTCCGTGGGTGACACTTTTGGATCAAATGAAGAATCTTCATGATTCTCTTTTTGTGGTGATGGTGATGAGTGTTTGCAGGTATTGCCAACGGCTGCGAGTACTTCATTATCCTCTTCGCTAAATTCAAAACTAGGATCATACGCCCGAGAGCCAGAAGATTCACTCTGGGAAATCACTTTAAGCTTACTACTGCTTTCTAAAGTTTGGGAATGCTCTTCTTCTTTTTGTTGCAGATTTGCAGTCACTCTGTCTCGGTTTTTGGAAAAGTTTCTAGGCGAGGACAATTCGCTATCGCTGAACTCAAAAAGATCATCTACATATGCTTCAGTAGGCTCCACTAATGCGTCATTACCTTCCTTATCGCCGTTTTCCTTGGTATTCGAATTCGTATTAGACTGTAACTTTAGTCGCAGTGATGGTGTATTATCACTAAATTCAAACGATTCTGCCAACATTTCCTCTGTGTTACCAAACCCTCCCTTTGATTCCCGGTCCTGCCTCCCTACTCTATGCCCGTCAGCAAATCCGTTTGTCGAGCTTTCGTTTTCGCAAAGCTGGGCGTCACCACCAGCAGAGTTCTGAGACGCGCTTTCTTCTCCAAAAGAGTCATCTATATCGATTCCCTCCAAAGCCGAAAGATTTGCGTGACTAAGTGCCCTCGTACCGAGCATAAGCTTCTGAAATTGACGTATATATTCTTTTCCTGGATTGGTAAAACTTGTAATACTCAATGCCTGATTTGCGTGTCTTCTAATAAAAATATTAGATGATATTAAGTTTCTAGACGTGTATCTTCTTATGACAGCTATTACTTTTCTCGAGTACATCAACGGGTCGTACCTCCGAGATTGAATCCGATCTCTCTTATATAGGCACTAGGGCACTTGAACTTTGGTTTCCTTGTCAATATCTTCTCTAATCCTCATATAAAGATAGATATATATATAAAATGAAATTAAAACATTTTTCAAACAGAGAGAAAAAGAAAGAAAGAAAAAAAAAAAAAAAAAAGAGAAAAAAGAATCGCAGAGTGAGAGAGGAAATGGAAGGAATCAAGTTGATAAAAACTTGTGTTTAATTTTGTTAACGTATAAAAGACATAGGGGTTGTTGTTCACTGTTTAGTAGCCCCTATAGCCCATCCCAAACCAGAAACAAACAAGTTTGAAATTTTTTCGCTGGCGTTGTTGCTTCTTTTCGTAGCATCTGTAATTAGTCCTTGTGTGATTGAAGTAATTGGTTGTTGTGCCTGTGGCTCATAATCGTATGATGTTTTGGCCTGGTAAACTTCTTTTTCTGAACAGTGCTTTTCAATTTGCCTATTCAAGTTGTTCCACTGATCTAGAACAATGGTTACGTGATCTCCACAGTTGATCCTCTGTAGAGTTAACGATAATATCTGTCTTTGTTTAATCCAAATACCAAGTATATCGGATTCATCACTCTCCAACCAGTCAGGCGATACAAATTTCCCCACTTGATAAAACGTTAGCCAAAACTCGTCAATGTTGGTCGTGGCTGCAAAATGCTCAAATAACTCGATACTTTGATCATAAGCAAATGAAAAATTGTTATCAACTAATGCACTTTCGATACAGGCACTTTTCAACTTGTTGAAGTAAAAATTGCTCTCAACTAGATCCAAATTATCAAAGTATAATAACAAGTCATTTAAAATTCGAAACAATTTCTCAAATGCTAAATATGATTTTGCGTTTTGTTCTAAAATGATGGTTATCAAATGAAAGCAGTTTTTTTCGTCAATTTGGTTGTTTGTTATCTGGCCCGAGAATTTGATCAATTGACTAGGAGTAAATGGCTTATTCTTTTCAACAACAATTTTGAAATTTTTCATAGCACTCATTGCCTTGAATAGATGTTTGAGCTTAACAATTTCTTTCCGGTTGGCTTCAGACAAATCTGACTGAGTTGGATTTTGATTTTCAACCAAGTCAAGACATTTTCTTGACTGATGCAAGTGACCAATCTTATCATTGATATTCGTTGCCTGATTAAAACTCTCCCAAAATTTTTCCATTACCAACTCGTAGATTTCCTTTGTCGACAAGTCAAATCCTCCGTCTTTAAGTAATAAAGTCACCTGATCAAATAAATTAGCAGTTAGCAATCTCTCAAGTAAAATATAGTTAACTACGTTTGCTTTCTTTCCTCGTGGCACAAAGACTTTTTGAAATACCTCAACCATTTGAATCAACTGCTGTGAATTGGAAGCGTTTATATTGCAAGTAATTTTGGAAACTTCCTTTTGAAGAGAGCTGTCGTTGGAGTTGAATTTTAATTCAAGATATTTATCCAAAGTGAGTTTGCTTATAGGGAACAATCTTTGACACGTTGCAATTGCATCTCGAAGAAAAGCTGTGTATTTTATTTGGAATAAAGGATGCAAGGGGTTATGGATGGATGAAAACTCATCAAACGTTGCAGCAGTTATTGACAGCTGCCAATCAAATTGTAAGCTTGGGGGTTCAACAGCAGTATCATCGCAAACTATGGCAGACAATGTTTCGCTGATAATGTCATACAATTTCGTCAAGTCCACTGACGAAATAGCACTCGCTTGAAGAATAAATGCATTGTAATAGCACATTACCAAGTATTTCTCGACAATATTCTGGATTTTGGAAATTCCCAATTGATTTGCAAGCATCTTGATGCCAATATTCCATAACTCAAACTTTTGTTGAACCGAGCCATGATATTTAGTAAACATCCAACTTTCCAAAGGTTCCAAATCAAAGTCATAATGGCTTAAAATTGGAAGTATTGTATATTGAAACCAGGACTTGACACTGTGCACCTGGTCGCTGTCTATTGGATGCACTAGGATATCAAAATGTTCTTGCAATGAGTGTGACTTGAGGTATGCGTGCAGCGATATCAGCTCCAGCTGATAGATCGACCCAAAATGAGTCCAGTAGTATTTGTATGGTTCTATGACACCTTGTTGCCATAGCCGAAACTCTTTGAAATCAACATTTTCAAATAGTCCGCTTATTTCATTTAGATCTCTGTACGATCGACTTAAATCAAACGTTTTAGCTTGTATAAACCGCAATAAGTTCATATTCGCGTCAATCAGCTCATCGTATTCAAATCCAAGTGCTTGCGATTTGGAATTGGTGTCAATGAGTAAGTCATCTGCTGTTTGAATTAGTGACGTTTCATTTTCAATTGACTGAAATGGATATGTAGCGTCTTCTGCTTCAACAATCTCAATTTCACTTAGTATGAACTCAGCTATTTCAGATACCAAACTATATGGTATAGTTTCCGGGTACGTATATACCAAAAGGGTGTTTAACAAGTTTGCCTTGGTGACATAGTAAGGTCGAAAGTTTATCAACCTAGCTTTTACTATGCGTAACTGTGATAAAAGTTGCTCATAATCCTGCAGCAAAGAAGAGGATAGTACTTGTACCAATGATACATACAAAGAAGCATCAAGTGACCTCTCAAGTGGGCGTTTACTCCTCTGTTCCTCCATCGTTTCAACGTTTGTTGTAGCTAATTTCAATAAAAAGAATGTTAGAAATGTACAGAGTTGAAAGATTGAAAAAAAAAAAAGAATAATATAAAAAAGAATCAAACATGTACAAGAGCGCAAGGAGATTTGTTAGATCAGTTTCACCAAACTGGGAGTCACAAGTCACATTTCGTCTCAAATGGCTACTCCTAAACAGCAGAGGTTGATAGATGACACAGTGAGAAACCATGTTAAGTATTACGATGTTGTATTTTCGTCATATTTGAAGATTCGGCAGGAAATACTATTGTTGAATACAACTATCCTTAAGGAACTTAAACAACAGGAGGAGGAGGACTTTCCCTCTGTAGTGTTTCAAGAAACGGCATTCAAACTACATCAGTTACTACTAGATTTACAGAAACTGGAGCTTCTATACAAGGCACATATAGAAGAACTCGTCAATGTTTTACAAATACAGAAAGTATTGAAACCCGATATATTAACCAGTGTGAACTCACAGTTGGAGTCGATTATCAAGCAAAATGAGGAGCTCGAAAAAAGGATAAAGGATATCAAAAATGTGGAGCAGCCTATACTAGAGAAAATCACAACATTGGTAAACAGTTGCAATACAAATTTGGCCGTCCCAACAGCAAGATTGTTGCACCCCGATGTAATCAGTGGATTGGGGAAAGATGAAGACAAGAAGGAAAAAGAGTCTACTCAGATAGATTATCGATTGCTAGTGTTTGATACAAGGGACTTGCAAAAACGATTCTTGGATTTGACTGCCGATAAGCTCAAAAACACCGATATTGATGAATATTTAAAAATCAACTCAAAAATCTTTGATAGGTTTAAAAATGACGATTCAAGAGTGATTTATAAGTTACCGAGATCTTCATTACATGAGTTGGATTCAACCACAACCCTTGATAAATATGATGGGTTAATCTCTAAAACAATTGAGCAGATTCAAACTTTGCAAAAAGAAGGCGAGTCCATTAAGTCGAGCTGGAATAAGAATGCAAGTAAAATCACCAAGATGGACGCTATTTTAAAAGAGGATGAAAATGACGTGGAAATGAGCCAATGACTTGTCAAATGTCGTAAACATATATGTATATGTATATGTATATATATATATATATATGTATATATATATATATATATGTATATATTTAATCTAAAACGGGACTTATCAATATCACCGAGTCTCCCCTTACGAAAACCATATCTGTTTTCTTTATCACTGGCTGCGTTTCTTTCGATTCACCGTATATTGTTTCCGTAGCATCACTCAATACCATATTGCAATGACTATCATAACCTTGTAATTTACCGGTCAACTCTCGTGCTCCTCTCAATTTCACTATTACATACTCATCCAACTGAAACCGTATCAAGTCAAGTGGCTCTTGTTGTTGGTGGTGTTCCGTCTGTATCGTAGACATATCCCCTTTTCTAGTTTCTTCCTCACCGAATCTAAACCCTTTGACTCTTTCTTGTACTGTTTTTTTTTTTTTTTTCACGCACTGGTGAAATTTTTTTTCAAGCAAGAAGAAGAACAAGAAGAAGAAGAAGAGGAAGAAGAAGAAGAGGAAGAAGAAGAAGAAAAGTGGGAGTAAGAAGGCAATGTCTTTTGCTAGTGTACGTTTTTTCCTGAGAAGCTCGATAAGGTCAGCAAGTACTAGGAAGTTGAGGTTCACAAATTTGTCCAAAGTGAAATTACGTGAGCCTATTGTTCCAACGGTTGAGAATTTTAAAGTATCACCCGATCATCCATTATGGCAGTTTTTCCCCCAAGGAAATGCGACAAATAGTGCTATTCGTGAACCGGATGAGCTAGATTTGAATTCTAGAGAATGGACAAGTGCTGAGTTGCGTCAAAAGTCATTTGAAGATTTACATAAATTATGGTATATCATTTTGAAAGAGCGCAATATATTGGCTAGAGAAGTTCGAGTTGGAGAAAGTATAGGGATGGCAGATGCCAGGCAGTTTGATTTGCTAGATGAGAAGCTTGTTAAATCGCAAAAGAGGATAAAGCAAGTATTATCGGAGAGACACATTGCTTTTGAACGAGTTGAAGCTAGTCCCGATGTGATTGCAGAACGACAAGAGTATTTGGATGGGTTTGCCAAGAGATACCTTGAAGCAGCGACGGGCGCTGAAAGTGAAGAAATGGATAAAAAGTTGGACCGATTACAATATGCGATATTTGGCATTGAGCCCGAACTAAACTTGGAGACTTTGAAAGATGATATCGATGTAAACTTTATCAAGGGGGTGGAATATTCAAGTAATTTAAAGGCAAAAAGGTATGTGAAAACAAACCTTGGAGAAGAGTCATTGCTACCATTGAATGGGCCTATGGAAGAATTGCCTTTTTTCTTGCACGATATTGAAGAAGCTGTTGAACAAGTTAAGGAATTGAGATTATCAGGCAATTCGCGCACACTATACAAGAGCGAGGTTATACCGTTCCTTATCAAAGCTATAGGAAAGCATCTTGAATCTTATGAGTAACGGCGTCTTACTAATTTAGAGATAATTAGCTGTATATAAAGAAAGAGAACGTGTGTAAGAAAAAGTATGTTTTGTTGTTGTTCTTCAACATTCCATGAGTGAAGGAAAGGAGCACCAACTAGAGTTGAAGCAGAGCACAGCTCTGCTGAAAAGAATGGCCCATCTGCTTCCTCTGCTGTGTAACTGTATATAAAGAAAGAGAAAGTGTGTTTGAGCGTATGTGAGTATCTGAGGTGAGCTAGAGTATTTTGTTATTCTTCATCATTCCATGAGTGAAGGAAAGGAGCACCAACTAGAGTTGAAGCGGAGCAAAGCTCTGCTGAAAAGAATGGCTCATCTGCTTCCACATCAGAAGCTGGCGCCTCTGTTGTGTAATCAACCAATGGAACACCAGGCCGAGTCGTTCCTTCTTTTTTTTCTCTCATGGTAATTTTTTTTCTCTCTTCATCTCAACTAATAAGGAGCTTTGGCTATCATTATTACTGGGTTTGGATTTAGATTAGTAGTACTGGCTTTGAATTTAGGTTACTAGCACTAGAACGAAAGAGAGATTAAATTACAATATGGGTGGTGGTATACATGGCTTTTTAGGCGGTGTGTTATTAACATCAACATTGACATATTATACGGGACAAATGTTTCGTGAAAATCTGAACTTTATATCCCAACAATTAAAGCAATCCAATAACATTATAAATAATCGGATATTATCGAAAACAGATTACACACAAACAGAGGTACCCAACAAACATGTCACGATAACAAGAAGAACCGACTTTAAGGAGACGTGTAAGGATATTTGGAATGAGGAAATTATCAAAATGGTGAATTGGGTATATAGTATTAATTGGTATAAACTTGGACTAAAGATCGATAGTGAGTCTAGTAAATTGGTCGATAAGTTAGCTGAGCAGTTTGTAACTAAAAAATGAAATGAACCTAGAGTAGATATTCGTGAGAGAGACAGTAAAAGAGAGTAGAGTAACGACTAGCCCTTGCCTTGCCTTTGGCATTTGCAAGGAGGATTTTTACTTTTTGAATGAGTTTGCAATATCTCTACCAATGGTCCACATCACAATTGGCTCAATAATCAGAAATATGAAGCTGACAATAACTTGGAAAATCCACCATTGGTGCGGGCGTACTCCCAATACACTACAGCTCAACAACCATCCAATGAAATCAGTAGTTATAGTGTCGTATCCCTTCAGTAGTTTATCGATGATAATACCAGCACATTCTTCTCCTGAGATTGGCTTACTTGGCCCTTCAATAGTTTTAGTAATCTGTGGTTTAGTTCTTTGCTCCTCTTCAAATCCTTCACTTTGGAAATTCCCAGGGTAAACACACGATACTCTGAAATTGTATGGTTTTAGTTCCTGCCTGAGTATGATTGATAATGAATCAATTGCAGCCTTCATTGGAGCATATTGACCATACCCAATGAATGGGAAGAACCCAACAACAGAGCCAAATAAAACAATATGTCTCTGTGGCCAATCCTTAGAAAGAGTGGTACTGGGTTGACTTGTAAGCATATACTTGAATCCCGAGTGTACTATATTCACTGCGGTTTTGTAATTAACATCTATACCCAAGGATATATCATTAGCAGTTAGATCATTGAATAGTTTGGGCATACTTGATCCTGCACAACAAATAATCACATTAGGCTCAAACCCCAGCGAGTACGTATCCTTCCATAATCTTTGACAGTCTTCATACTTTGACGCGTCACATGTGAAATACGTGACTTTTGCAGTATGCGATGGTCCTGTTTCAAGAGCCAAAATTGACTTTCCATGAAATTGAAGTTTTTCAGTCGTTCGGGCAACAAGTACAATTGAACAATTTTGAAGGTATAGTTTCCTAGCCAAGTCAACACCAAGACCCTGAGAGGCACCAACTATCAATGCAGTTTTACCATCTACGTTGAAATGAGACTTTGAAAACCACATTTCAACACTGAGGTTGGTTTCTAGAAAGCCAATATATCTTTTCTTTTTTTTTTTTTTTTGAACTTAATTTACTTTTTTTACTTGATTCATTTCTCTCAAGTCTACTGAGAGAGGTGAAATCATGGGCTATATACAAAAGCTATAAGTGTTATGTGGACTTCAAGTAAGGTGATTGTGGTAAAGGGACAGGTTCCATTTCCCTCCTTGGCCTAACGTTGTACTTTTTAGACACCAATAATTTCCCCTTTAAACTTCCTGTATGTCTTTCCATATTGGGTAAATTCTTCAATATCTTTTGCATTTTTTCATCACTAGGTTCCAGATCATCTTTGATTCTAAAAAACTCCTTCTTGCAAGTTTCTACCGCGTCTCTAAACACTTGTTCTCCATTGTGTCTGTTTGCAATTAATTTCTTCATATTCAACTCTGTTATATCGTCCAAAGGCACATTCTGCAACTCCAATCTTGCCACTGTTTTCGCAATGTACCAAAACTTGACCTCATATTTCGAGTCAACTAGTTCAAGTACGCTCATTGGAGCCTTATCCTCACCTAAACGAGGCTCCAACTTGATAATCCTAGTAAATCCGTGTGTCCTATTAGCATATCGTTTACTCAATTCATTAATCACTTTAGTGCCAACACTAGCTTTATCGGGGGGTTGCAAATACTCCAATGAAGCCATTTTCGATAGTTTCAATTTCGGATCCTCGGTAAACTTGCTATTCTCCTTCAAAGCTCGTGCTAAAAATTTTTCAATCAATGGTTGGGCCTTGCTAGCTTTCGACAGCGTCGTCACAATATATTCATTTCGTATCAAGTTGGCACAAAGATTCTTATATATCATTGCCTTGTGACCAGCGACATTCTTCTGCACATTGTTAACCGTAACCATACCTGCCAGCAAACTAGTGTGAATGTGAATCCACCTGGTCTCTTTATATCTCTACTAGTCTAATGAGAATATAAGCCTGAATATATATTTTTTTTTCCATCCCTCATAGTGGTGTTTCAGTGTCGTGAAAAACTAATTGACAATAAAATCTGACACTTCCATTTTGAGCCCGAAGGATTGAAATTTTTTTTTCAACCTCATCACGAGAGTATATATATATATTCATTGGAGTTATCTTCAAGATAGTAAAGGTACAAGATGCATTTGATGTATACTTTAGACGATGAGGGGAAAAGAATCTATACATTGAAGAAGATTACTGAAGATGGTAAAATCACTGATTCGGCCCATCCTGCGAGATTTAGTCCCGACGACAAGTATTCAAGACAAAGAGTTACCTTGAAGAAGAGATTTGGGATGTTGCCTACTCAAAACTGAGCATGAAATGAAAATTATCAGGTGAGAGGGATAAAAAGGTAGATGCAACAAGGCTGAGTCAAATATGAATATAAGAGTTTTTGGAAATAATTTGGTAAACATTGGTTTTCTACAGATGCACTATCGAGCGACACTATCGAGCAGAGCGAGATAGTGGAGCAGCACCGACCAGTGACACTATTGACACTATTAGAATTTGTAGATAATTGTATTTACGAATGTAATAATCTAATTTGTTTTGTGATTTCTATCGACACTATTGAGCGACACTATCGAGCAGAGCGAGATAGTGGAGCACACTGACTAGCTTCTACCGACACTACCGATACTATCTCGCTCTGCTCGATAGTGGAGCACACTGACTAACTTCTACCGACACTATCGACACTATCTCGCTCTGCTCGATAGTGGAGCACACTGACTAGCTCCTACTATTATCTTCTGGTTTCCTCCTCTTTTACCAAAATACACTAGAGAATCAATACAGTTGAAAAAAATGGAGTTTGGTATTTTTTTTTATTTTTATTTTTTATTTTTTTTTTTTCGCAGCAATTGATTTGCAACTTTGCCTATACACTTGTCTCTTTCTTTACAGAATTATCCCGTTTCAATATTTAATAATAATAATTTGTAGTAGGGGAATTCTCTCCATTTATTCCACCATTATTACCATAACTATTATAGGATTTATCCAAGGATACGGCACTAGAAGGAATGATATGAGCACCACCAACTGGGAAGTTCAACTGTTGCTGCAGTTGTTGTTGTTGGTGTTGTTGTGGATGAAAGTGCAAGTGTTGAGGTAATTGTGGATGTGGATGTGGATGTGGATGTGGATGTGGATGTGGATGTGGGTGCGGATGTGGAGGGGGATGGAGTGGTGGGGGTATGACATACATAGGAAGTTTTGTCGCTTGATTCGGTATAGTTCTTGCTGGATTAGGTGTAGCCACTTGATTGTTTCCATACATGCATGGATTATGGTACCCGTAGTAGTAAGGCATCATTGGCTGATAGGCGTAATAAACACCTTCAGGAGTTGCGCCGCCACCATTTGACCTAGGAGCATTGCCACTTCTCAAAAGATAATCTCTAGAAGTCGACTTTATTTTTGCATTGGGTAAATTAGGCATTGTTCCCGCATTCCCCAAAGGAATAACAAACTTACTGATTGTGGGACTATACCCAAATCGATACTGATTATTATTGATGTTACTTGTGTTAGATTTTTGTATTGCAAATGAAGACTGAATTAAGATTGGATAACTCAGATGATGTTGCAGTTGCAGTTGCAGTTGGTAATTTTGGGGGTGTTGTTGATTTACTCGAACAATCTTATTGTTTGTCATTAATATTGCTCGGATTGTCATCTTGAAAGTCTTGTAGAAAATAAACCCAATGCGTCCATTCTTCTTAGGTTCCACCTCTGTGCCTTCTGAATACTCTTCATTTTCGTTTACCTCGTCTCTCTCATCATTATCATCGTCATTATCATCATCATCATCATTGCTCTCTTCCTCCCTTTCTTCATTCCCTCCTTCTCTATTTTTGCCCTGATTTGCATAAAAATGCGGCTTGATAATCTTGGCAGATTTAATGCAACCAAATTGTTTCCAAAATAACCCCCACGTCAAATCGTCGTTTTGGAAAACTTGCAGTAGATTATTGACATAAAGGTTAGTCTCTTGATAATTAACACCACGTATAAATGAATTTATAGTATAAATTGGATTTGGGTAGTCGATATTGATAACCAGTAAAGTTGGTGTCTTGTTAGTTGGTGTGGCTGGTATATTCAAATTACTAAAACTCAAAAAATACTGATTTGCCAGGGAGAATAAATTAAAATTATGTTTGTGTTGGGCTAAAGTGATGCTTAGCTTCTTCATTTTCTCTTTAACGGTATTTTCATCCTCCTCTCCCTCCTCTTCATCCTCCTTCTCCTCCTCCTCTTCTTCTTCTTCTTCTTTCTCAACATTATCCATTAAGCCTGGTAAATTACCTGTATCGAGCAGATTAAATTCGTCCCAGGATAATCCATTCAAATAGTACATTATTCTCAATGTGTTTTCAACCAAATTAACAACCGGCTTGAATCGAATATATCCGAAATCCATAAACTTGTAACGTTGATGAGTATGGGATGAAATACCTGAAGATAGTGGTTCATCTTTAACAACACCATTACTACTGTCTACTAGATTGACTGGGAAATATATGGCATCTATTATATTTTCAAACATCTTAAACTTATCAATAAACTTTTCAAATTGAAACTTGGAGATATAGTCCGTGGGAAAGAAATTGGTCAAGTTTTGAACAATGATTAAAGAGAAATGGTCCTGTGAAGTGGTAGATGCTACAATTGGGGGTGGAACTGTGGATCTTAGTGGGTACTGAAGGGGGAGCTGCTGCTGCTGCCGTTGCTGTTGCTGTTGCTTCATCCCAAACAGAGAAAGAGACAATTTGTTGAAAGTTAGATTCAACAGTGGATGTGGTGCTTGTGGATGTTGTAGCGGCGGCGCATTAGATGCAAATGACGCCATTCTCTCTCTCTTGTTGAGATACTTGTTCAAAAACAATGCAACATAGGGATTTTCATGGAATATATTTGGAACCAAGCGATTACACTTTTCAATCAATAAATCGACATCCAAATGGTTTGAAAATTTGACAATTGCAAATGCTGAGGATAAGGAAGGTGATGTTGATGAGGAAGAGGATGAAGTGATTGATGATAGTGAGCTCGAAAGTGCAGCATGCTTATTGTTATTGTTATTGTTATTGTTATTATTGTTATTGTTACTGTTATTGTTATTATTATTGTTGTTGTTGTTGTTGTTGTTGCTGTTGTTATTGTTATTTTGGTTATTGTTATTATGGCCCACTGCTTCATTCTTGAACAACTTCACCTCTTCCAAAGATTTAAAGTGACAGTTATCATACAAAAATTTATACAATTTGTGCATCTTTGAACCTTGTTCAACGGCATCTTTTTTCAAAATGATAAAATCCGCATCACTAGAGTCTTCCAGGTCAAATACGATTTCACCGGACAAGTTCTTGATAAAAAGCACACACGGATTTGAAACAAACTTTGAATAATCCAATTGGAAAACAACATTCTCTTCATACAAATGAAAAATCAACTCTTCCAAACTAGATTTTTGTTTAAATCCAATATTGAACACTTTTCCCTTTTCGCTATCTTCTAATATTTCGCCGATGAATACTTTCAGATGTTGCAGAATCACGTATCTTACATCTTGTTCCATTTTTTTGCTCCCAATAGGGATTTTCAAAATAACAGGGAAATTGAAAAACTCAATACCATCTTTTGTTCGTGAATGATCACCAAAGTTACCACCTTCGCCTCCTTCACCACCTTCACCTCTAAAGATATATTCATTCAAACAATTGATCAACTCTTGGTTTGGTTTTTCTTCCAAATGCTTTCTTCTCTGAATAGATCTCTCAACACCTTCATTAATAGTGTAATTAGTTAAACCCAGTGAAGCTGACGTTGGCTGCGACTCCAAGCTACAAGTAGACCTAGAAGTACTCGATAGTGATGGCGACGTTGGTGTCATGTTCATACTAAAAATATGAGTTTTTTTTTTTCTTCCCCCTTGGAGTTAAAAATAGTGACTGAATTGGACTTAAAAAAAAAAGCTAGCTGTTCTTCAAAACCTACTTGTTATTTGCAACTGACTTTTCTCATACAAACACACTTATTCAAACTCTTCCTACCAGCTTAGTTTTCCAATCAAGTCCAGCCGGTTTAAGTTCTTAACCTGCCAACTTTTTCAACCTTCAAAACGCTTTGGTTTATAAATTTTTTTTTTTTTTTTTTTTTTAATTCCCCCTCGGTTTTCAGCCTTCTATGTAAAGCGTATTAAAAAAACGAGTTTAAAATTTTAAATCTTTTTTACGAAGCTGTGGGACCAAATAGAAATTGAAGTGCGTCAAAATGTGAATCACAGCTAAAAAGTTATTAAGGCACTTGGGAATAAAAAATGTATTGAATTAAGTGTGATTTATTTATTGTAACACACGGGTTTAACAAAACGTTACCTCTTTTGGTTTTTTGTTGATTTTATCCTTCTCTGTCGATTTTTCCTTTTTCTATGGCCAGAAGAAAACTCACACAAAATTGTTCTGGTCTTTCAATCTGTTGGACAATAATACTTTACAATAAAGTGTAGTAGCGTTTCTACTAAGACAACTCTTGAAAAATGATGATCAATAGAAAGGATTGAAAAAGAGCCCCAAAAAAAAAAAAAAGAAAAGAAAAGAAAAGAACTAGAAGGGTGATATAGTCAGTTGACTGTGGTTTTGAAATTTAATCTTCAAGAAAGCTTGATTTCAGAAAATTCTCTCTAGTAAGAGACAATTTTCGATTCCCTTTGGTTATTTTGGTTCTTTCTTTTTTCTTTTTCTTTTTTTTTTCTTTTTCTTTTTTTTTTTTTTTCTGTCG